CGTGACCTTTCTTAGTGTAGCGTCTTTAACCTAACTCTTTACAAAACCTTCGTATAACTTAACCAGGAATGTTAACACATCATATTAAGAATATTAGGATTTTTTTTTTACTGGACGTAAGGTTACACGGACTCCCACACGGGGTATGTACTTGCCCGTGTAATGCAAAATCTCATTTTTTCTTGGAAACGGAAGGTTACACGGCCTCCCACACGACCGTGTACTTTCCCGTGTATGTTTTGATTCGGGATTGCCTTGAAAGAAACGGAGTTAGCGATATCACATCTAAGTCCATCTGTTCAAGGCCCAAGGGCAAGTAATGTGAATGTACAATATGAAAGAGTTAGAGGTCGAGGTAGACCCGAAAACGTCAATATGACACAAGGTGTGGCTAGAACCGAGGCTCAAAGTAGCCGATCTCAAGCTCGAAGCACGGGTTATGCAATTCCTCAACAATAAGCGAGTGGTTGCACCAAAAGTCGTGACGAATAAATTACTTGTCTCTAATATTGAAGCTTGTGTTTTAGTTGATCTCGGAGCCACGTATTCATTCATAACACCTACGTTTGCATCCCGAATTCATAAATGTGCTCGAACCTCTTGAATATGATTTGTATGTTAGCACTCCCTTAGGAGAATTACTTCGAGGTTAATAGAGTATGTCGGGATTGTGTGGTATGGATAGGAGATACCGATTTAGGTGCTGATTTATTACTCATGTTCTTCCATGATTTTGATGTTATTTTGAGAATGGATTGGTTGACAAAGCATCATGTTATAGTAAATTGTTTTACTAAAGAAGTTGAATTTGATTTGCCAAATCAAGCAAGAATAATTTTTCGAGGAGAATGTAAAATTTTACCTACTTATTTAGTATCCGTAATTAAAACATGTAAGATGATTCGAAGGGGTGCGAAGCATATTTAGCTCATGTGAGAGAGAGAAAGAGAGAAAAACCCATTTCTTTGTCAAATTCGGATGATCAAGCCGAAAATCTAGGTAAGTTCATCTCCAACTTCTGTTTTGCACTATTGATTTCGAGACTTTAAGTTCGGATCCGAAACAAGTTGTAAGAATGCAATTTGTTTTTTTATGTCTTATCTAGCTCTCTATAAAAGGGTTTGCTATTTAGTCATGTATATTTTAAGTTATAATGGTTTGAACACATGTTTTAGGTGACTCGATGTCGATAGATTAGTGTTTAAACTTTAAAAATATGATATTATTTGAGTGTCAAGTATTTCGATCTGATTTTTGGATATGTTTTAGATTGATATGTCTAGTTTTTTTTTAAAAGAAAAGAATTAGGTCTTGACCATGTCCCAATCTAAAATTATTATTGTTTGTTTGGAGACTGCTCGGTAGCATGGGTGCTAAAAACTAGTTAGAGTTTGAAAATCTAACATAAATTGTGTATATAGAATATTGGGCTGATTTTTTGATATGTTAGATTCATATGAGTCTAGTTTCATATGAAACTCGGAAGTTAATCATTTGACCATGTATTTTAGGATTTATGGTAGAAAGAATACAAAGAGGTCAAGTACCCATAAAGGAATAAGTTAACCATGAAGTCATATTTTGCACCTCGAACATATTTAGAAGTTTGATCATGATAAAATGACTTATAAAAGTATATCCGTATGTGTTTATAGACGCCGAAGAGCATGAGGTGCAAGATGCAACACGTTGACTAGCGACAAAGTCGTCATTTTTGTGAGTTGAATAATAATAGTTGTGTCGTGATGTGTTATTGCTATTGAGTGCTAATATTATATTTATTGATATTGATATTATGATGTGAATGATGTGTCGTTTGCTTTCCGGACTCGTTATGGGCATTATGAATTTCTTGTACCTCACGCTCCTCGCCGTCTATAAACATATACACATATACTTTTATAAGTCATTTTATTATGATCAAACTTCTAAATATGTTCAAGGTGCAAAATATGATTTTAGGGTTAACTTATTCCTTTATGGGTACTTAACCACTTCGTACTCTTTCTACCATAAATCCTAAAATACGAGGTCAAATGATGAAATTCTAGTTTCATATGAAACTAGACTCACATGGGATGTGCCCTGACCACATCTTCATAACTCCAAATACCCGCATTCGTTATAAGATCTAACATATCCAAAAATCAGCCCAAGCTTCCATATACACGATTTACGTTAGATTTTCAAACTCTAACTAGTTTCCAAGACCTCGTTACCGAGCAGTCTCCAAACAAACAACAATAACTCTAGATTGGGACATGATCAAGACCTAATTATTTTTTTAACAAGAACTATAAATATCAATCTAAAAAATATCCAAAAATCAGATCGAAATACTCAACACCTAAAGAATACCATATTTTTAAAGTTTGTACACTAATCTGCTAACATCGTGTCACCTAGAACAACATGTGTTCAAACCATCATAACTCGAAATATACATCACTAAATACCAAACCCTTTCGGAGAGAGCTAGATAAGACATAAAATAAAAAATTTTATTCTTACAACTTGTTTCAAATCTAACCCTAAAGTCTCGAAATCAAGAATGCAAAACGAGTTGGAGATGAACTTACCTAGATTTTCAACTTGATCATTCGAATTTGACAAATAAATAGGTTTTTCCTCTCCTTCTCTCTCTCAAAACGAGAAACCAGATGGGATAAGAAGAGATAAGGGTCGTGTAAGTCTAAAGGTGTTATCTTGATAAGATTGTAAAGATATTTTGACAAAGTTCGTTTTGGTACCTCAAATTTTAGCTTGTTTTTATTCTAGTTCCTCAACTTAGATTACTTCAATTGAGCCCCTATTTCTTCCTATTATTCAAAATACTTATTATCCAATACCCCGATAATATGTCACGTGCGAGTATAAGTATATGCGCGTAACTCATAAGTATGCATGTATGCATGAACGAGTGTATGTTTTTGGGACGGGGTTATTACACTTAGTATACTAAATAGTTTATCTTATTATAAAACATTTCAGTAGATATTATATCAATTAGTTAGAGTTTGGATTTATTTATTTATTTATTTGATTGTAAGAATGTTATCGAACTAGTTTATACGGTAAACGATAATTGTCGTTAAACTCCTTCCTATACTAGCTTAAAAGACTAAATCTCTTCTAATACAATTTTAAAGATGTACTTTCCATGTCTATCTAGTACATTTAGAAAATTTTTAAAAAATCATGTGAATATTGATTCCAAAATTTGAAATACAATTTTAAAGATGTACTTTCCATGTCTATTTAATACATTTAGAAAATTTTAAAAAAATCATATGAATATTGATTCCAAAATTTGAAGCCAGAAAGTCATGAAAATAAATATATATTTTTAACAATCAAGGAAATTATTTGGGATTTTTATAGATTGGATTGAAAAAATGTAGATAAATGTGAGAAATTATTAGAGGGACTTGGTCCATTACTTAATATCATAGAAAGCTAAGAAGTAGAATTTTTTGACATAATTAAATTTATTCAAACCACTTTTTTAGTTAATCACATTTAAAAAAAATATATTTTTTTAATCTTTAAAAGCATATTTATGATTACAAAACAAAATAATTAATACTACATCTATCGCAAAATAGTATAGACAATATGGGTAAAAATTCTATTGAGTTGATTTATCCCCCCCCCTCCCAAAAAAAAAAAAAAACAATAATAATAACACCTCGTGGAAAAGAGAAGCAACTTCTTTGCACATGATGTCATCATATATGATGATATTAATAACATGCTTTTAAAGTGGATCAAAAAAACGGGGCATGTGGAGAGACCTGCTTTAATTACGAGGATTGACTTTAGGTCTTAAGGTGGGTCTCAACTGTCAAATTCTTTTCAAACACAGCTTGCATCTACGGTCCAAACACAATTAACCTCTTCGTCTTTCCACCAAGCTTTTGTCGTCCACTTCTCTTGGTCAAAAAAATTACCTCATGCTCTCCTAGACTTTTCATTTACATCAAACTCCATGCCCCTAACAAATAAGCTTTTGATCCAATCTTAAAAGAATTGGCTTTGATCTACTCATATTTATTTAAAAAATTAAGTTATTAAAAAAAATTAAATTTTATCGTTTTCGTTTCGAATAAAATCAATCTTATCTTTAATCATTTTGAATAAAACTAATCTTATCTTTAATATAAAATGAGTCATACAAGTCATATTTATTCAAAAAGAAGTTAAATTTTTTTGTTCTTGTTCCGAAACAGAATTAGTCCGATCTTTAAAACGTAGAATAAAAAAAGAAAAGAAAAACTCCATGGCCCATATTGTATCATTGCCAAAGCTCTATTAAATTTTTAAGAAAGCTTGTTTGATTATTTGACCAGATTTTGACTAATCACGTCTCTTCACTTAACCTAATAAGGTTGATTGACCAATCTTTAGCTAATAAGCTTTTTTGACCACTCGGATAAGACCGTCACCTTCCATCCAAATTGAGACTCGAAATCACCGGATACACCAAATCGAGTTTCATCATTAGTTGAGATTTTATTTTTGAATAAAAAAATCTATGCCGATATGGTTTTATGCGTTATTTTAGGAGTCAGGATCCTTCAAAGATTCTTGAAAGATCGTTTACCAAACATAAGCCACTTAGTCATTGTTAGCAACTGACATTGTCAACAAGCATGAAGTATCAACTTCATAGTCTGTTCTTTAAGTGTTCATTAATGGAGATTGGTGGTGGATATGCATCACTATCCACCATGTTTCATAGTTCAGGCCATTCAGGGAAAAACATCAAATGCACTAAATCAAAAGGCATGAAGATGGAAATAAACAAGACCTCACATCTCAAAAAGATATCCACATCACAAAGGAGTTTCAATAATCCACAAACAAATGTGTATCTGCTCAAGTCAAACAGCTAAAGGAAGGCAAGAGTTGCCCCACTACCAAATTCAAACTACTCATCATGAAATTAGCTCCCTCAAAGAAAATCCTCTCTTTTCATCACAAAACAGGAACCAGATCATTCAGAAACTAGAGAAAGATGCAACTATAGCTCCAATGATTAGGGATCCGGCAGAGACATACAATCCACTCGAACCGGAAGAACCTGGAGATGGAGCTGGTGCTTCTTCATTTGCTCCGCCATTCGCAGCTGGTCCGGATGCAGATCCTGCTATCATATGAATCGAACAAAATGATGAGCGGTATGGATTTGATTGGCAAACAAATCACTATAGTTTGAAAAAACAAAAGAGCAAAATCATGTCTAAAAGACTCGTTACAAAACATAAAAATGGAAGCAAACTATTTGCCACATTTATAACCATCACATTCTGTTGTCTTAAGCATCGAAATCGCTAAGTGTGATGGGAAAATTTGAGCACATTCATCCACCACAAACAGCAAAAGTTGATTACAAATCCCCTGCACATATGATATGGGAGGGGAAATCTCTTGTTTCTTCTTTCGAGAAAGTAGAAGTAAGAAACAGTTCGTCTCAAGACCAAACGAGCAATAACGATAGTTGTCAAACTCCACATTGTCCAAGCACAAACAAGAGGACACCTTCAGAGCACTTGAATTCAAATATAATAAATCGAATCCCTCACCCCAAAAATATCAAAAACTGAATAAATAAATAAGGTGTAATCAATTTTAACTACAGATTAGGTTGCAAATTCAACAAAATCAAATAAAAAACAGAACAGAAATGCTCACTCTTTAGGATACTAATCACTAGAAAGAGACACTGGGACCTCCATTTAAAAAAAGAATAGAACAATGCAATAAATTATACCAAAATTTGGAAAAGAATGACAGCAAGACAACAGCAAAGCATTCAAATTTCTTCCTTTTCCTTTCTTCACTGTTTAGCAAGAATCCGTGCCGTGACAGTTCAAAGTAAATCCAGACATGGGTCAATAAGAAAAAAATCTAGATAATTCAACCAGTGTTTCAAATGCTACATGCAAATACCTAAAAGCATTTATAAAAAAAAAATCGAGATAATATTTTTTTTTAAAAAAGACACAGTGAAGATCGGGAATAGAAGATACCAGGAACAGGGGCACCAGCAGGACCAGCAGACACTGTAGCCAGAAGAAGAAAAAAAACAATAAACCAAATTTATTCCACTAAAAAACAGGAATTTTTAAAAACCCACAAGAAATATCTAAAAGGTGAGTACTGACATCCGCAGTTAGTGGCAGAAGAAGTGTGGATTTTGCAAGCAGAAGGGAGTGAGAGAGCCTTAGTGATGTTCAAAGCGACACCCAGTTGAGCACTATTCTTGAAGGCCTCACAGAGACACGCAGCGTCGGTGCTCAACACCGTTTTCAAACCAGAACAGCAAGTATTCTCTGGCTTCGTTAATGTGCTGTCGTTTGACACAAAGGACAAGCAGTCAGCCATGCTCAATATCAGATTGGAGCAGTCCACTGACGGTGCTGGGGCTGATGCGCGGTGGTGTGAGGCACCATCCGCCCAGTAACAACAAGAGATTGAGATTGTGCACAAAATGATCAAAGACAACACCTTTTTCGAAGCCATTTTTTTTAATTACTATTACTATTCTAGAGCAGAAAGAGAGAGTTCGAGAGCGAGAGAGAGAGAGAGAGAGAGGGTAGGCTTTGATGTATGGATGGGGTTGTGGAGTTTGGGTTGGTGGAGGGAGATAAATAGGAGGAAAGGGAAGTGGGGGAGCGAAAAAGTGGAGATGGCAATTATTATTAGGAGACATCTAGGTACTAAAACTTTTTGTTATTATCAATTCAGTCATAAATCTTTTTAATTTTATCAATTTTACTTCAAAAGTTATTGACACAAGACATTATGATTTTCCTATTGGTCTGATATTAGCAAGAGAATCAAAATATTTTATTCAATTTGCACGAAATCTTGAGGTAATTTCATCTAATGTATGAAAATAAAGCTTATATTATTATAAAAGAGATTTAACAAGCACAAGCAAATACAAATTTAATAAAAAATTTTAATTACTACTAATAAGTGATAGATGGGAGGGTGATGTTTAGAAGCAAAATTGATAAACCAAAGATTTTGGACTTAATTGATAATGATAGGATATATTATGGGCTAGATCGAGGTTTCCTTGTTAATGAAATAGTACCCAAAAAAAAAAAGGCAACGGCTTTTTCTCTCCTTTTCGGCGCTGCCATGTGGCCGCATAAGTCGGTGCATGATGAACTGATATGTGGATTACGTGTCATGCAACCTATACCATTTGTCGATTTTTTCCGGTTCTTTTTTTTTTTAAAAAAAAAAGGGGGCCATTATGATTTTTTAAAAAAAAAGGTAAAAAAAGAAGGGCCATTATGATATTTTTTATATTTTTTACTGATGCTATTTTTAACTCATTACAAATTACTTATTGCACAAACAGACTAGTAATATGAGTTTTGTACTTTTAACACCGAGGTTTAAAATTTAAATTCTACTTCTCATGGCTATCATAAAATTTATGCCTATTTATGAAAAATTTTATAATACACAAGGAAGTAACTAGTGTTATATACAATAATTACTCTTTGAGTTCACTTCGAAAAGAGAGAAAAACATATAAAAAAAGAGAGAAATTACATTTATATTCAACAAAGTGATTAGAAGATTTTCATGTCCGTTCAAATTTTTTTATTTTCTCTCTCCTATTTTTTTCTCTCTTTTTGTATGTCTTTCTCTCTCCTCAAAGTGGATCCAAAAAATAACTACCGTACATATCACTAATTACTCCTTGTGTATTATAAAATTTCTCATCTGTTTATACGATTCTAAAAATATCAAAAATTTAAAACCTTCAATTTTAAAACCAATTTGTACCCTAAAAAAATAGTTGAAAAGCTGTAAGTTTCTATTTCTTGGTTTTTTGTTTTTTAAAAAAAAATTATTGCATACATAGTTCAAGTTTTGGTGACAAGGAATGATGAAAGAGGCCCCAGCCCAAGCCCAAACCTTGCTTTTATTTGAATTAGGTGAATCGCAAAGGAGTATTTGAATTAGGTAAATTTATAACATGTAATTTATGAAACCAAATATCTTTACAGAGTTTATATTTTTATACATAGTTGTGATCCCAATTTTTTTCTGAGTCCAGGTAGAGATCAAAGGTTTTGACCAATCCGTCCGACAGAACAATTCAAATCATAGAGAAATATCGTTAACTTTTTCATTTTCGTTCCAAGTTAAAAGTATTATTTGTAAAAATAAAAATCCTTCCGTTGGCAATTATTTAGAAATCCTCTTAAATTGGATTTAAGAGGATTTAGGTGGTCTAGCTTTGTGACCCTATATGGTTTGCTACTTTTCCAGCTTTCCATTCTTGTCCTTTTGGGCAGTGATTCGAGATGCAATGATTCTATCCGTGCCATGTGTTGGCTGTGCGTGCTTTCTAGGGGGACCCTATCCCTGCCTTTCCTTATTTGTAAATTATTTTCGAAAAGGACAAAGAATAATCTTTTTTATTTACAGCTTATTGAAGTTAAAAATGTTCTATTCGAGATAGAGTTGATTATAAATTAGTCCCTTTATTTTTTATAAATTAATTAATTAAACCCTTTGTTTTAAAAATTAGTTATTTAGTCTCTCAATAACCGTTGACCATTAGGGATGGCAATGGGGCGGGGATGGGGATCGATCACCATCCCCGCCCCGCCCCGCCCCTAAAATTTTTTTTCCATCCCAGCCTCATGCCTCGAACGGGGATCCTTGTCCTCGTCCCGTGCTTCGAACGGAGTAAAATTTTCCTTACCATGCCTGTCCCAAACAAGGAGTAAAAAGGACAAGATTTTTTTTCGTCTTATTCTATCCAATTTTACTATCAAAATTTAAATAAAAAATAATAATTTATATAGAAAATAAATCCTAAAAATCACTAATTATAATTTTAATGAAAAAAAAGAGGCAAATGAGGCAGGGTAGACAAATCTCATCCCCGCCTCGTCTCCGCTTCTGGGGCGCCCCACCCGGCCCCGTTCCCTAGTCAACGCGAGGAATCCTTGCGTTGATCGGAGAAAATTGATGCTGGGCAGGATAGAGCTCCGTTGGGATGGGACAAATTACCATCCCTATTGACCATGTCTAATGTAATGTTATTTTATTTTTAAAAAATCATTTTTTTGTGTCAATCCTTTCATATTTTTGTTCCTATTTTTAAAACAAAACTCAATATAAATTGAATTCTCGAAAAAAAAGAAAAAATTTATTTATTTTTCAAAACCATAGAAACTAATCTATAATTTACTCATTCAATATATTACATATTATTGATAAAAAATATATATATATATTTAACAACAGAAATTTACTAGCATGTATTTTTTTAATTTCCAAAATAATATATATATATATATATATATTAAAGAACAAATTCTGGTCTTAATCATTTCAAATCATCATTACAGGTTGATGCATCCTTCATAAAGTTTGGCATGCTACATCATTTCTTCATGCATCCCACCTAATTAGGCTTTTCTGTGATTTGTAGGAAAATTTCCGAAAAAAATATATTTTTTGAAAAGCTGGGTCCAACCTCCAAGCACTCTAGAATCTAGACCAGACGAGGCTCAACCCCTGGACGATTTAGACTTGACCCCGTCTCCGACCATCAAGTTCTCCGACCCGATCTCTAAACCTCTCGGCTCGATCTTTAGATGCTCCAGACCTAACTTCTCACGTGACCCTACAAGGCTTGAACTGACTTCAGGCACATTGTGCTTGGTCCTTGTGCTTAACCTCTTGGTGCTTGGGACTTGAAATCTTTTAAAACAGCTTTTTATTTTATTTTTTTGAAAAAAAAAAAAAACAACAGATAAGTTTGCACGTCTTGTTTTCAAATTTTTGAAAGCAAAAACAAAAACCTAAAAAATGAAAGCGATACCAAACAATTTTCTTAGTTTTATTTCTCTTCTCCTTTGTTAAGTACAATAATCTCATTGAAATGTTATGAAATTACAAAAATTATCCAAAAGTTTGAAAATTTTACAGAAACTCCTTTCGTGTTTAAGAAAATATTATATAAACACATTTTTTACACAAAAGGCACTAAATTGTGATTTAGAAAAGATAATTAAATTAAAAGCTTACAAAATTAGAGAAAAATAAAAAATGGACATGATTTTTATTAATACATGAATAATACTAGTTTTACCATTTAATTTTGATCAATTTTGTTCTAGGTTTATTTTTAATCTTCTAACTAATAATTAAAGACATATTGGGTATAAAAGAGGCTTTTGTCAAATATTTGAATAGTCTTTGTAATTTTATGGTATTTGAGGGAGGTCATTGTAATTTTCTTTTTTCTTTTTTTTTTTTCGCTTACCATGGCACGCCTCTGCCTCTTCACATGGAGGTACTATTTGCACTCTCAAAATTGCTGTATGCACTCGTGTTACTTGTTAAAATATCCATATTTTCCCTTGTAATTTATTTTTTTAAAAAAAATTAAGGTCAATTATAGGATCGAACTTATAACCTTAAATGAGAACTAACAACAAAGCATTGTAACGATGTTAAAATAGGTTTAACGAGTTACGTCACTTTAAAAATCGATTTTTTCTATGATTGAGATAAAATTGTTTTTTGAGTTGTTGAAATTACGATAATCGACTATAATGATTTTGGATTTTGTATCTTTTTTTAGGTTTGTTTTTACTAGATTTGTATTTTGACAGTTTCAAAATTATTTCACCTTTTATGATCAAAAGGTCACAGCACGGCCATCCTTTCTACCACTTTTGGATAAAAATAGAAAAACAAAAAAAGGATTATATGAAAACAAGACATGCTATCTTTATTGGATCAATCATCTAAGGTTGTTGACAGGTCTTTTGTATCATTCAATCTTTGGATTTGTTTTGAAAGTAAAACCATAAGTCCATTAGTACAAGTAAGAGAGCTTTGGTTTTGTGAGAAATATTTATTAAAAAAAAAATTTCTTGATTTTTTTTTCATGTTTTGCGGAAAATATTATACAAAAACATTAGTTAACACATAATATGCTATTATCTAGCTTTAAACATAATTCTTTTGTTAAAAAATATTTCCAATTTGCAAAGTTCTATAAAATATCTTAGGAATAATACTCTATTGGTATTATTTTATAACTATTTCATTCATCATCATCATTATCTCTACTACTTCATTCACTGTTACTATCTCTGCTACTCGTCATCATCCATTGTCGTTGCCGCCACAATCAACACCCCATCTCCACCACCACATCATCATTGCATTCACCATTGTCGGCACCACCACCAACTCTTTGTCATTATTGCCACCTCCATCCTCATCTACTCTCTCGTCAACGTTATTATCATAATTACTACCATTTCATAACTTGTTATTGCCATCACCACCACCTTTTTTTTATTATCTCCGTCGTCTCTATTTTCATCCCCACTTTTATATTGACTATTACCATAACCTCATCGCCATTGCTACCACGATCACCATTTCCTCGTCGCAATAACTTGTCATCATCATTCTATTGTCTTTATATTTGTTTTGTCATTATTTATAAATATCTATTTTTTCATATAAAGTATTATACATGTCACTATTTATTGGCTTCGTAAAATATTTTATGGAGTAAATCATAAATAATTCTTTTAGTTTTGAAAAATAAATCAATTAGTCCTTTTATTTTAAAAAACTTTTTTTTTGTTAGTATTGATCACACTTAATTTAATTTTACTTTATTCTAAAAGATATATATTTTTTCTCATTGATCTTTTCATAATATCTATTTTTTTATCTCTCTATTTTCTAAAACAAACAAAAAAAAAAAGGAATAAAATAGACAAAAAGACTAAATAATTAGTTTTTAAAATAGAGAAGCCAAATTAATTTGTTTTTCAAAACTAAAGGAACTAATTTATAATTTAGTCATATTTTACTCAAAAAAAATTAAAAAAAAAAAACTAAACCAAAACGTTAGTTTACTATTCTTTGGTACTTTTCCAAACACTATTCATCCATAGTCATATACACTATTCATTTCAACATGTAGCGGTTTTTTTGTAATTTTCAAACCTTTTTAAGACATTTATTATGAATTTTTTTTGTGACATTACATTTTGGTTTCTCTCTTTCTAAAAATTGTTTTTTCAGTCCACAAAAATTTTTATTTTATTTTGATCTATTTTTTTGTTTCATTTTGATCACTTTGGTCCTTGCTTTTTTTTCTTTGATTTTTTAAATAAAAAATTTAAGAAAAAAATATTTAGAAAAAACAATTTACAAAATTTGTTTTTAGCTAAAAATGTAGATAGAGATAAATAAATAATATTTTTTAATAAAACAATTATAAAAATATAAGGAATAATTAGTCAAATACAAAATTTTAATTAAAAAATTATAAAATCGAACATATTTTTATTTAGTTTTGATTTGATATATTTTGATAGATACACAATATAACATAAGACATTAAACTGAAATAATTTTTAAAAATATTTTTATGTATTCTGTTCGATTTGCAACCTAGCGAGGGTAAAAAAACTAATGCCCTCTAGAATAAAAGGTAAATTATAAATCAGTCCTCTATTTTTTAGATTAGTTCCTCTTGCTTCAAAAAATAATTATTTTTTCATTTAACTAAATCCATCATACTTAATTTAATACTATTTTATTTCAAAAAAATAATATTTTCTCACAAATCTTTCCCCATTTTTTTACTTATTTTTTCTATTTCTATTTCTTAAAACAAAAAATTAAAATAAATTGAAAAATAACTTAAATGATTCAGTTACAAGAAAATTTAAAAATACTTCCATTTCAAAAAATATTAACTAATTTGTTTTTCGAAATTAAAAAAACGAATTTATCACTTGCTGTTAAAAATAAGAAAAGAAAGAGAAGAAGAGAAGGATGTGGTCCATACTTTTTTTTCTCCCTCTTAGAGATTGAGGTCCAAACTTTATCTATTTATTTTGAAGACGGAGGTCCAGACCTTGGAAGAGGATATCGTTTCAAAAGTAAACAGAGGTGCTGATTATGCACATCTATCGTTACTTTGTGTGTGGGCCCCTTGATGAGCTGGATCCATATATATTTTTTTAAGTAGTCTTTTTGTTATTTCAGATACGAATCCGCCTTTTTTCGAAGAAGCCCAATCAATTAATTTGAGCACTGTTACCCAAAAAAAAAGGAAAAAAAAACTTCCAGTTAAACATTTTTTTTTACAATGAATTTCTTTCAAACTTGTTGAATAATCTTTTCCATTTATGCATCTCAAAAAAGAAATTTTCAAAATTTTCGAATAAAAATAGTTAAATCCTATTTACTAATTAATGTACATTTAATATTCAATCAAAAGTAGAATTAATTGACTCCTATTATTTCATAGTGTGGTCAAATGTAAAGTACAATTGCAATACCAATACATATATTTTTTAAAAATACATATACTTTATATAGATGGTAAAATCTTATCATCTTAGGATTCTATGTTACTGTTTAATATATTTTTCATTCACTAATAAAATAATTTTTTTTTTAATTTTATTCAGATATTTTTATTTTATATTGGAGATAAGAATAATCATATTCGAAACGAAAATGAAAAAGAGAAGATTTAGCATTTCTTAACAAAAGGTCATTCTACGATCAAATTCTGCATATTAATAGAAATTTTTTTAAAAAACTAACTCGTTTATCTTTAGATTAATAACTTATTGATACTAATAAAATAATTTTAATAACTTTAGACGTAATTTTTTTTAATTCCACAATAAATATATCTTCGAGTCAATTTAAGTGTCAATCAAGATTAATTTTTTTTTCAAATGATTTTAAAAACGCAACTATTACATTTACATGATGCATGAACTTTATTTGAATGTATTAATTTATAAATTTGAATCCAAAAAATAAAAAATAAATTTTCTTAACCAGTATATGGAGCCCTCTTTTAATAGAAACAAAAGCTCCACGTGGGATGAAGCCAACATGGGGATCTGGATGGAGCTCAAGTTCCCATTGGTCCGAAATCTATCCAAGAAACTTGCTCAGATTTCATGATCCTACATGGCTCCATTCAAAGCCATTCTTTAGATCATCCTTCCCTCTCTCACTCATCGTCCAAGAGAGCATTAAAACCACCAACCACAACAAGTGTCTACAATTCAGAGAGGAAACTGGCCCAGGCACCACAACTTCTATCTATCGTACATAGAAACCAACTTCTACGTCTTGGACCAGGTAAAGTAGAGAGAAAAGGAGAGATGGCTGCTACCGCCGGTGCTGTCCTAAATGGGCTGGGGTCTTCTTTCTTGCGTGGAGGGAAGAGGAGCCAAGCATTGTTGGGAATTGGAGCTAGTAGAATTGCAACTTATCCAGTTGGTACAAGGAAGTTGGTGGTGGCAGCTGCTGCTGCTCCAAAAAAGTCATGGATCCCTGGTGTTAGAGGTGGCGGCAACTTCATTGACCCTGAGTGGCTCGATGGCTCGTAAGTCTGATCTCTCCCCCTCCTTTTTTCGGGTCTTAATCTGAATTCTAGTTAAAAGATTGATCTTCTCGTTGTAGTTTGATAATCATGTCCATATCATGCCATCACTCTCGGTTATAAATAGAAAAAACTACCATGTCCATGGAATTTATTATGGTAGCTAGAGCTGAAGCATGCTTGTCTCCACTCATTTAATCTGCAGGCTACCAGGTGACTACGGTTTCGACCCGCTAGGTTTAGGCAAGGACCCAGCATTCCTCAAATGGTACAGAGAAGCTGAACTCATTCATGGCCGGTGGGCTATGGCTGCTGTGGTGGGCATCTTTGTTGGCCAAGCCTGGAGCGGCGTCCCTTGGTTCGAGGCCGGTGCTGACCCAGGTGCCATCGCACCTTTCTCCTTCGGTTCCCTCCTCGGCACGCAGCTCCTCCTCATGGGTTGGGTGGAGAGCAAGCGGTGGGTGGATTTCTTCAACCCCGAGTCCCAATCTGTGGAATGGGCAACACCATGGTCTAAAACCGCGGAGAATTTTGCTAATGCCACCGGTGACCAGGGTTATCCCGGCGGCAAGTTCTTTGACCCATTGGGATTGGCAGGGACTCTCAGGGATGGTGTGTACATTCCTGACGTGGAGAAGCTTGAGAGACTCAAACTTGCTGAGATTAAGCACGCCAGGCTTGCCATGGTTGCCATGTTGATCTTTTACTTCGAGGCTGGCCAAGGCAAGACTCCTCTTGGTGCTCTTGGATTGTAAAACCTTTACATGATTATCTGCTCTTTTCTGTTTTTAATGTAGATATAAATCTAATTTTTAGTGTATAAAACATTCGTGAACTTCAATTGTCTGTTCTTGAGCTATATAAGTATTGAGTTTTCTCCATCATAATTCAAATCTTCTTTTTACTTGGATTGGATCTGGTATGGTGATTTTCTTTTTGGTTCGTTCAGCCTGAGGCTAATTTATATAAGCTATAAGGATAAGTTAATGAGAGAATAGAACTGTTTGTCCAAAGGAAAGATGGATCCAACATCAATGGCAACTTCTTTTCCCATTTCTTTATCTCACCTTGAATCTATATACTGAGTCCATCACAACACATGGTCATCTCAAACTTTGAACTTTAAAGATGCCTGTTCAGACAACAGCTAACCTACCATTGCTTGTGCACATAGAAAGACATTTAGCACAGGCAAATCTAAAATTGAATCAAATCCCACAATGCATGACCAAGGTTCCCTCGAGGCAATTAGGAAACAAAAAAGAATCATTTTTATTAAAAGGATAAATTGCAACAGCTTCCCTGAACTATTGTGAAATTACAGACACCTCCCGAAATCACCCCTGTAATAGCAAGAACACTTTGGGAACAAAAGGTCCCTTCGGTATCTTCAGAACCGAGGGTTATTGTAATTGTACTTTACCCCTGTTTTTATTTATGCTTGGCTGCCGTGCTAATTTCGGTCCAAGGCATATTAAGAAATTTGAGGACCTTGGGTTCTTAAGGCACAAATGAGGTAAATAACCTTAGCAGATGCATCCTCTGATCCATTTAGACCTTTTTATGACATTAACTGGATTGTTTTCCTGCTGTACACAACTCATATAACAAAATGAAACTGTGAATAAAAACCATGCCATATCTCATTGGTCTCTTTTCGATTTCCTTCCCCTATCGGTTCGGGGGTAAAAGAGACAAAAACAAAATAAAATAAAACCATGTAATACGGCAGTAATGATAATAACTTGAAGAACAGGCTTTTGGACCATAAAATTTAACTCGTACCATTTTCCAAATAGTTCCCGCAGAAAAGAGCTTGAACGCTTTTCTAGTGCCCAAACAACAAGGAAGCAAAGAGGTCACATGCTTATGATTGGCATGGATAGATTTTGACCAACTTTGGATGAAAATCATAGAAAGGATTGTTGAGTTTCAGTGAAAAAAAAAAAACCCAAGTAAAATCAACTAGTGATTGGTAGAAAATAGTAAAACTAGCAGCGATTATTCACTACCGGTGGCCATCAAAAACTCACCCTCACAAACTACCTCACCTCCAACATAAGCTTTCCCCTCCATCTTTGCTATTCCAAAGCGTTTCTGCAGCTTGATAAGTGTCATTCTCATAACTAAGGTGTCACCTGCAATCACTGGTTTTCGGAATCTCACTTTGTCAATTCCAGCAAAGAAGAAATTCTCACGAGAGCCTCCAACTTCTGGTTGCAGCATAACCAAACCACCAACTTGTGCCATTGCCTAGACAAATGACCATCAACTCGTATCATTAATTATGCAGAATATAGAAACATATCTATCACCAAAAAAAAAAAAAACAAACAAACAAACAAAATGACTTTTTACAGGAGTCTGAACTCTGAAGTACATCAGTATGGCCAGTAGGCAAATAAGGTTTGACTCTATTGAATGGGACAGGATATATAAACACAATTTCCAGCCAAAGAATACAAAGGAGAGCCATAGTTTTGAAAGGGGTTAAGGCTACTACATGATGATGCACAAATATCACATTCAGTAGCATAGATATCAGGAAGTCCATGGCTGAATCATAAAATGACATCCATGGCAAAGAAATACAACCATATATCATAAGTTGAAGATGATCATTTTGTTATTACTTTTAACTTCCTTGACCTTTAGATGATGCTCTAGTTATGCCATTTAACTTACTCAAACTATCAATTGACAAGGAAGACAAAATGAGCTCCCTCTCCCTCTCTCTCTCTCTCTCTATATCCCTCCCTTTCATGTGGGTAAAGCAACAAAACTCAACTTTCGTTCTACTAGCACCAATTTCTATGATGATAAATCCTAAATGTTACCCTAACTTAAGATGATGATGATGACCGTGATATCATCATGCTCTTGTACTTTCAAGTTCTCTTAATCATTTTTTTGAGATTTGCTCTCATGGAACTAGGAAGAAACACTCAAATGCTAAGGAAAGGAAAAGATACCTAGCTCTGGGAGATAAAGTTTTAGTAAATAGCCAAGTAAGTCCAAACAAAGCCAAGGCATCAAATTGACAGCTTATTTAGTCAAACATGGAACAAAATTGTTACTTCACAAAAAAAAAAAAAAAAAAAGTTCCTTAAATAAACATTTTAGGTGCAAAATTGTAGGGTTTAAATATTTAACCATACTTGAACATGATATCAACAATCCTGAAATGTTAGCAATTTCTCAGTCACAAGTTTTCCCTCTCGATTCATTTTCTAGACCTGGTAACCTATGAACACAACAAAAACATCTTAAACTATGTGTTACTCTAGATAAAATTTAAGCAAAAAAAAAAAAAATGTAACAAAGGGAGAGTGGACAGCACATGCACATGCAAAAGCAGAAACTATGAGATCTAACAAGTTTGTTCCTCTTCTTCTACACAGATTTAGGGGATGCCTTCAAAAAAATTAAGGTACTTTGTTAATTCGTGCAGCTTTAGTGTTAAAAAAAAAACTTAGACACACAAGGGCAAACAAAATGTTGAACATAAGACCTTGTCATGCCTTTCCATCATAGAAGGCATTATAAACATAAACTGTTAAGCTCATTTAGTAAAGAAAAATGATCTGCAATAACAAACTTAAGCAGCTAAAGTATAAGATACTCCAGAACTGTAAGAGGAAAATCAAATTAAAAAACAAAGGCTCCTTAGGAATCAATCCTCCTGATTGAGGTGCATAGTTCAGCATCCACAGTATCATGCAATTATCAGTTTCAGTCATAGACATTAAACTTAAAAGTATCTAAACCACACGAGACGTAATTAATTTGTGCTGAAAAAGGTTGTTTAGGTGATATTTCTACACTTTTCCTCACAATGTAAAACTCGGGAAAAAAAAAAAAACTGTTTCCTTTGAAAAGTTTTTCGCAGGTCCTATTCTTGAAGCAGCTGATCCCAAGCACGTGACTAGAGCACATAGAAGCAAAGAGAAAAAAGGCTGATCTATCAATAGCCAAAAAGTGTGGATCAGCATGGTCCCAAACAAATTGGCTTATAAGACTATACATGATGACCATATCATTCCTCCTCTACATACATGATATGCAAAAATCTAGATTAGGAACTTCGAAGACATCGTGTCATATCAGAGAAACTTTTAAGAAATTAAAAAATTTCTACAACATCAACCAAAAGATCGTCAATATATTCTTAAATAAAAATCATGTGATAACCTACTTATGATCTCAGCAAATACAGAGGACTAAGGAAATGGTCCTACCCTGTTAAATTACCCCCTAATAACCTGATCGTCTCCTTCGAATGCATCTAATTATTTCCTGGCACTAAGAGACCCGATTTGGATAAATGGCAACATCACTTATGTCTAACTGTCCCCTGACGATTCATGTAAATCTGGGACATGTGGACATAAAGCTGAATTTGCATCACCGTTATAGATGATCATTGCCAAGAATTCACAAGCAAATAATTACTAGAAAAAATCCACGCACAAAAAAAAAAATTACCTCAACCATGAGAACACCAGGCATTATTGGCCTCTCGGGAAAATGACCAGGGAAGAAATTGTCATTTATGGTCACATTCTTGATGGCAACAGCTGAAACTCCTGGATTGTACTCAATCACTCTATCCACCAACAGAAATGGAAACCTAACAAGCCAGCCCATTGAACACAACCTCTCAGTGAATCCAGAAACACATAAAATCTTGTTTCATTCCTGGTAAAATACCAACCTGTGGGGTAAAATCTCACGAATCTGGTTAATGTCCATGACAGTAGGATAAGCTGGATATTCTGCAAAACGAAGATATAGAATCAGTAGAGTTTGACATACAGGAGAGAGGGAGAGAGTGATAGAGAAGGGCAAAGAGCATACTGAGTTCAATGGGTGTCTGCTCTTCTTCTGGGTCTTTAGCAGCAGCATCAAGAGAGCAAAAGGTGGTCAAAGAGCTTGAATTGGTTTTGTTCTTCTTCAGCTTCAAATGGGTAGAGAAAGGCAAAATATGAGATCTGGAATCGGAAACTGAAATCCGAGATGGAAGCAAGGCATTATTACTGGAGGGTATAACTCCATAACTAAAAGATGTTGAAGAAGAAGAAGAAAGAAGCGAGTTAGCAAAAGCCGAGGTTGCCATTGTGGAGGATGGAAGTGGAGAGTTTCGAAGTTACAAGTGGTGGTGCTATTAATGTTGTTGTAATAACAATTACTTTTGTAGTTTAGGGGTTTGGGGCGACGGCAACGAGGTATGGATTGAGGGGTCCAACTTCGAAGGCCGACGTTGTTGGTTGGTTGGTTGGTTGGTTTGGTGCTGACGGATTTTTCAATGTTGTTGTTTCCCAATTCCTACTTCTGTTTATTTTGTTAGAAATGGTAATATTTTTTATTTTTATCCACATAAACATTTCAATATTAACAATTATATTCTAAATTTATCAATTTTTATCGTTCATCTTACCTAAATTACTTGTTACCTTTAGATCTTTTTTAAAAAATCAAAAATATAAAATGAAAATCATACAAAATAAGAAAAAGATTAAGATAAAGAAGAGGGAGAAAAATTCCAGCTACAAAATACAACTGCTAAGGTGACGAATTCTACCTTCAAGCGAGACCCTCGTCTTGAAGAATCCATAAACACTAAAATTGGACTATTTTGCCACTGAATTGGGAGATATATTGATCCGAAAAGTCCAAAGTCAGTTTTATATTAATTGATCGTTTATGTAGAATTTTTTATTTTCCTCTATTTGTTTTTTGTATTATATATTGAATGAATATAATTTATTATTAGTTAAGGATATAAGGTGACTTATATGATACCAGTATAAAACTTTTTTCAGGTTATTTTAATATAAAATTAATTTATTTATTTTTAATGTTTATCATAGATAAATTTATTGGGACGGATATATAATAGTAAACTTTAAGTTATGATATTTTTTATTGTGTGAAAAATAATTATGACAATTGATTGTCTTAAAAGACAGTGAAATAGAGAAAAAATGCCTCAAATCTATAAAATATTTCAAGCATAACATGGACCATACAACATAGTGCAAAGGCAAAACCATCGTTTAAAATGTATTATTTTGTCTTGTAAAGACGAAGTGAAACAGGAGCGGCCCATGACATTACAAGGCCGAATGTTTTTTTCTTTGTTTGGGCCAAAATAATTAAGTCCATTTATTTTATTTTTTATTTTATTTTATGTGTTTTACTTTGTCCTATTTACATAAAGATTTCTATTATGCTTGAGAGTTTATTTTAAACCACATTTGTTATGAATTTGAGCTCGGTTAATTAGTTTTTGTTGAATTTAGATTGAGCTAATTTGTCGTGCCGAATGGCTTAGGTTTATTGTTGTCCGCATGACATAGGGATTAAACCACTAATGGCTGAATATATGCCTTAGTACTTAAGCATTCTTATGTAATACGAAGAGATATTATTATTATGGAATAAACTTTGTGAGAATTCTCTCCCAAATTTACATGCTCTTGTGTTTTGTTTGGAGTTTGTGTTTTCGTATCCTTAAATTGATCGCTCAAGCGGAGATATTGATTATCATTAACCAAAATTGTTGCGGGATTATAAATTTTGTCAAAATCAATCAAACTTAGAATTACTTTAGTGTTTGAAGTTTTGAAATTCACCAACAAGAGGTTGTAAAGTTTCAACCATCATTTAATTTAGAGTTAGATAATTCGGCTTGACCTAATCTTTACAAAATTGGTGTTACTATCAAGCTTAGGTTTGTTGTCCTACATATTTTGACTAGCTTGTAATGATGCCTCTAAGAAAGCAACTAAACCAAATGTTTATGGCTGATTTACAATGTGAGAATACGTATTTGTAATATAGGAATGAAGAGTTTGAGAGGATGGTCCGAAAGGCTAATAACCGAGAGTCAAAGGGTGATAATGAAAAGGTCCGATTGGAGAATCATTTCCAATCATTACAAATCAAATCTTCTTACGAGAAAAAGGGATTCGTACAATTAGGATGCATGGTAAGGAGACAATTGTAACATTATGATTGTGATGTTAAGGTGAAGATTTCTAATTTGAAGAAAAGTTTAATTCGGATGATTTCATTGAGTGAATACATACGAGTAGAGAGGGTGTTTGATTTTAAACATATGTCATAGGACAAAAAGGTCAAGTTTGTAGCCATCAAGATGAAAAAGAATGTTTTCATATGGAGAAAGAACTTGAAAAGACAAATAAATCGATAAGGAAAGACAAAATCAATACGCAAGATAGGATGAAGAAAGTCTTACATCGTAAGTATCTTTTTACTACCGTAGACAATATATTTTTCTTAAATTTCAAACTTTTCGACAAAAAGATTTGAGTATTGAGGTATATACTATTGAATTTGAACAACTAATATTGAAGTGTGAAATTAATGAGCTCGAGGAGTACAAAATTACAAGGTTTTTATGGAGATTAAGGTTTAAGATTGTTGGCGTGGTATAACTACAACAATATTAGACTTTGCATAATGTTGTTAAGTTGTCCTTAAAGGTGAAAATCATAAAAAATGGAGAAAAAGTCTCAACTAGAAAAACCAGTTCTAATCCAATAGTTTCAACTAGGATTTTTAAACATAACCATTGAAGAATAAACGAGAGAATAGATGAAAGTTTAGATAGTGTCAACAAAACAAAAACAATAAAGTCCAATAATGATGCCCAAAAGTATTTTAAACGTCACGAATTTGGACACAATACTTCAAATTATCCTAACCAAAGGGTAATTAGCCTTTTGGAGGAATGCAAATAGGTCGAGGAAAATGATGAGATAGATGATGGTTTGATTGAGAAAGAAGAGGAGATTTATACTAATGACAAAGTGTTGCTAGTGATTTGAAGATCTCTTAATGTCGAGGTGGTTCAAATGAAGGATTAACTAATGCATAACATCTTTCACACTCAATGCACATTTTAAGGCAAAGCGTGTGAATTGATCATTGATGGAATAAGTTGTACAAACAAAATTTTTATGAAGACTATGGAGAAGTTGAACATTTGTTGAAAGATAATGACATTAGGGTATTGAAGAGGTGCCTTATGCAATTTTCAATAGGTAATAAGAACCAATAAGAGATGTAGTGTTATGTGATTCTTATGGATGCATGCCATATTTTATTGAAGAAGCTATAAAAATATGATAAAAAAATTAGGCATGGTATGTTTAAGAACATGTAGTTGTTTGAGTTGAAAGAAAATAAAATTATCGTAATGTCTTTGAAAGATGAGATTTTGGTCAACCACCAAAATAATTGAAAGAAGATAGTTTATGAATTCATGTTTATTGGGACATTAAAGAAGTCTATGATGGCTTGTGCATTTATTTTGATGGAAAAGAATGAGGGTCAAGTGAGATTCTGGAAGAGACAAAGCCTATGTTTTAGAAATTTGAAGATGTAGTGCCAAATGAGGCACATAGTAGGTTACCACATTCGAGGGACATATAACATACGATTGGTTTTATTTTGAGTTCTAATATTCTACATCGATCAACTTATAGAGTAAGTTTGAAGCAAGCACGAGGAATTGCAAAGACAAACGTTGGAACTTATAGAGAAGGGATTAGTCGATCAAAGTGTGTGTCTTTGTGCAATTCGCGCTCATCGATATCGAAGAAAGATGGATCATGGAGGATGTAAATTAATAGTAGGGCCTTGAACAAGATTACTATCAAATATTGGCTCCTAATTCCATGACTTGATGATTTACCTAATTATGGGTACTAGTCTTTGATCTTTTTAAAGATAGATTTGAGAAGAGTATTAGACAATGGTACTTGATTCTTGCTCAAGTCGAGTTTGCTTATAATCGATTTCCTAGTCAAATAACAAGTAAGAATTCTTTTAAAGTTGTGTATGGAAGAAATCTCCCATTAAATTCAAATCAAAACGAACTTTGATTGAATTTAGTGTGATGTCGAGAAGAGAGCTAAAGAGATCAGAAGCTTTATAAGCGGAGTTGAAGAGCTAAACAAAATGAGAAGTACCCGAAAACAAGCTAATAAGTTTAAAAGGTTGGCGACATTCAAGAAATGAGACTCGATCTAGATTTATTCGAGGAAGGAGAGATCTCCTAAAAGTCTATATACAAAGCTTAAGCCAATTGTACATGGTACTTTTGAAGTTGTGAAGCCGACTTATGCGAATGTTTACAAGATAAAGCTTTACGAAGACTACAATCCTTTAGCTATATTTAATGTTATCAATCTTTTGTTGTACCATGAAGAAAAAATAAAGAAAGTTAAGATGATAAAGAAAATCTTTCTTCAAACCGAAGAGCTTGATATTAAAATGGGCCTATAACCTTACAAGGTCGAATGTTTTGGTCTTTGTTTAGGCCAAAATAATCAAGTCCATTTATTTATTTTGTGTTTTATTTTCTTCTATTTGCATAAAGATTCCTATTATGTTTGAGAGTTTATTTTAGCTCATATTTTGTTTTAGATTTGGACTAGATTAATTAATCTTTGTTGAATTTGGATTGGGCTAGTTTGTTGAGCCCATATAGCATAAGGTTATTGTTATCTGCATGACTTAGGGATCAAACCCCGATGGCTGAATATTTGCCTAGTATTTAAGCATTCTTATGCAATATAGAGAGACATATATATTGTTGAATAAACTTTGTGAGAATTTTATAACAAATTTATGTGTTCTTGTGCTTTGGTTAGAGTTTGCGTTTTTGTATTCTTGAATTAATCGCTCAAGATGGTGTTGTTGATCATCATTAGTTAAATTATAAATCTCGTTGAAATCAATTAAAGGTAGGATTACTTTTGTGTTTAAAGTTTCAAAATTCATCAACAAAAGATTGTAAAGTTTTGGCCTTTATCTTATATAAGGTTGGACGAGTTTGGCTTGGCCTAATCTTCAAAAAAACCGAAGCCATAAAGATAAGAATTATGTCATGTTTGCGTAACAAACACAAACTAGTCTCATCTCCTATTGTTTCATCTTTGTAATTTCATCCCTCGCTTCTTGTCTCCCTACCAAACACTACTCGATATAATGTTTGATTCGGAGCACTAAACGAGAAAGACAAGTACAAGATACAAAACATTATGTTTGGTTAGTAGAGATGAAGACAAAATCTAAAATTGTCTCTATCTCGAAGAAAAAAATGAGTGAAATTTTTGTACCTCTTTTTTTAAAGGACCCGGATAGAGACGGCGATGAAAATTTTGAATGATTTTTTTTTTAATTTTGACCTTATAAACTTTTTAAAATTTCAAACCATGTCCTTCACTTAACAATCTCGATCATTGATTTTGTGTGAATTTTATTTACCGTTAGATTTGTCTAAAAAAGAGTTAAAAATACAATTTAAAAATCATTAATAATCGAAAAAATATAAAAAAGATAGCGGAAGAGAAGTAAGAGAAGATTGAAAACTTTGGCGTCAATAGAATTCAATCATAACTCTAAAAACTAAATTCATAAAATAAAAGCTCTCAATGTGACATATTTATAGATACAAAAATTACACAATTTCATTTCGTAAATAAAGCGATATGCTAATTTGAATATTTATATTTAAAAGTGTCAATTTGTATTTTGCGTTGATTGGTTATTTATAAATGATATTTTGAGCTTAGATTTGTATCTAAAAGAGGAGGTTTTTTAGCTGTGTTTTTTTAGTGAAAAAAAAAAAAACAAGAAAATGAAGTTTTTCAAAATCCTCGCCGGTGCCACGCTGGAATCCAGGGTGATGCCCAGATCCTAGCAAAACACGAAGAAGATGAAAACTGAACGAATCTTCTGCGAAAATGATGCGTCTATGGTTTTACAATTATAGCTGGGCCTCGACTTGAGCCCAGGTGCTCTGGACCTTCCAGATGCACTTATATGCTCTGCTCCAAGTCCAACATTTTTTTTCATTTATTCTTTTTATTTTTTTCTAATAATTTCCTTTATTGAATTTATTATTGTTTTTTATTTATCCCATACCTACAATAAAATAAAATTTTACATTTTTGGCTGTTTTTAAGTTAATATGACATTTTTAACAACCTTTTATTTTGTATTTCCATCCTATCATATTATTAAATCAATATTGAAGAAAATTATTTAATTGAAATAAAACATGCATTTTTTATATTTTAAAGATAATTTAATTCAATGAAAAAAATTAGAATAATTAAATAAGTATTAGGACATGTAAATTGATTTATTTTAATATAAAAAAATCCTAGTATTTTTGTCGTGGTTAATTTCGAATTTTGATACTAGTTTTTAGAAGAATTTATTTCTTAAATACACTATATAAATATAAAAGATGCACCTTTAAAATTATATAAAAAAATTAGTTTCAGTTAACAAAAAAAAAATCCTAGTATTTTTGTTGTTTTTTAGTAAGAAATATATATAAAAAGGAATGATACTCTTATTTCTCAGGACAGATACTAGATCCGAATGAAAAATAACAAATAGATACAACGACATAGATGGTAAATTCGAACAACTTTATGGTTCATTATTAATTGTCTCTATTCGTTATATTATCAATATTCAATTATAAAACGAGTAAGACAAGCGGGTAGGAGAGCATTCTGGGCCGAACCGACTGGGCTAACCTAGTTTTCATGCCTACAAAGCTAAAACCAAGTCCACAATTCTCTCCTGATTTTCCAGTTCTCTGTCCAAACTCCGAACAGATAGAGTCAACCCCATAATGGACTCCAACAACAAAAACTACTCTCCGTCCTCTTCCTCCTCCACATCCTCCACTCCCCACCCCACCACCGCCACCGCCACCAACACCACCGACCCAGTGCAATCCTGGTGGGAATCAGTATCGAAAGCCCGTTCGCGCATCCTCTCACTGTCTTCAATCCTACCTTCTCATCCTTCTTCGTCTTCGTTCTCGCTTTCCTCTCTCGCTGACTCCGACCGCCCTGCCATTTCCTTCCTCTCTTCACCAGACGCTTACTCTTTCATCTCCTCTTCGCTTTCCTCTCCTTATTCCGGCTCTGGCTCCGATCCCCTCTGCCAGTGGCTTTATGATACTTACCTTTCCTCTGATCCTAACCTCCGTCTTATTGTCCTCTCTTTCCTTCCTCTTCTCACTGGCATTTATCTCTCCCGGATCCATTCTTCTGATTCCTCTTCAGCTCCTTCCCTAGCTGGCTTCGAAGCTGTTCTTCTTGCCATCTATTCGTCTGACGTCAAATCTCGTGCGGGAAAGCCTGTTGTCGTTCAGATTCCTCATCTTTCTAACCCTTCTCTTTATCATACTCCTCGAAACAGGCTCCATAAATCTCAGGCTCAGTCTCCTTCTGCTGGGGTTTTGTCTCCCCCTCTTGAGCCCCAGGTCGCTGTTAAGTCTACGAAAAGGCCTGTCATTGTTGGTGTCGCTTTGGACTGTTACTTTAAGCACATTTCGCAGATGCCCACTTGGTCTAAAGTCGAATTGTGCCGGTTTGCGGCCGCCTGGGCTGGACAGGACTGTGCTTGTCAAGATAAATTTGACGAATATGATGATGCTGATTATTTTGTTGAGGGAAGGAATGTAATGATAAGCAATAATGAGACTGAAGACAACTCGGGGATCACTGAGTCTGAGTCTAAGGGAGTGAGGATTCCGCTGCCTTGGGAGATTTTGCAGCCATTGTTGAGGATTTTGGGGCATTGTTTGTTGGGACCATTGAACACGCAAGATGTTAAGGATGCTGCATCTGTTGCTGTAAGGAGGTTGTATGCTAGAGGGTCTCATGATTTGGTTCCACAGGCGATTTTAGCCACTAGGAGTCTAATCCAGCTTGATAAGAGAACGCGTGAGGCTGCAAAGGCAGCCGCTGTAAATACTTCTTCAAATGCTAACACCCCTGCCAAAGCTAAGAAGCCTGAAATTCTCTTAGTCTCAAAGTGAAAGTGGTTCGTTTTGGCTGCGATTTGCGTGCCAGGTAACCTCTCAGTTTTTAAATCTTTGGTTTTGCTAATGCATCATAATACTGCTTTAAGTCGGTCATAGTCGTCTGTTTGCTTATTGTAATGGATCTCACTGAACATGCTCGTCTATGTCATGCATGTGGTTTCACTTTCTTGTCAGCACTGCTCGCCAAGTAGAAAATTATGTTTCCAAAGCTTCGTTCTTTGTTATGCAGCAGTTTTTTGTTATCTTCTCATTAAAGTTTCTCATGCCTATTAGCTCTACAGAATAAACTGGTACCCTTTGAAGAATTGATAACATTTATCAATGAAATATGATTTTTACTCTAATTTCTTATTCCATGGAAAAGATTGTTATGTACCCAACCTAATCAATGTTGCCTACATGAAGTTAGGTCTTTTTGCTTTATCTATGTTCTGCTAGTGGGATAGTGGCTTATCTCTAAAGTAGTGTTCGAGTAGTTTTAGGAGTAAATTTAGTATCCACTCTAGTTAGTGTTTTTTAGTTGCTACTAATTAGGAGATGTTGTTGTACTCTTCTCTATTCAAATGTGACGGTGAAAAAATGGGGAGTTGTCATTTTTCAAGTAAAGTTGACCTTTGTCCGTCAGGATGATTTTGGGTTTCCCTCGAAGAAATCCTATTACCACTGAATTTCTCTATCCAAGTATAGATAACGTAGATATGTGTAGTTACTAAATAAATGAGCTCAAGATGAGCAAAAACAATAAAATAAAATAAAACAAGTCATTATACTTTTATGTTTTAGTACTCGAATCAGTTGATGCTCCTCTTACTGAGTTTCTGTAAATAATCAGGGTAGTGAAAGGTTATATTGGCAATGCAGTTCGGCAAATTGGTTGCTCTATCAAAAATTTCAGTATTCACATGCAGTTTCTTTGTTCAGTTCTCTTATTGCAAATTACTACTGTTAGTTGGATCAATGTAGGAGGGAAATTTGAGATCTTAAACCTGAAAAAGGAAGCTTGTATGGGGAGGTTTCTAAGAGAGTGTGTTGAAATTTGAGATAGAGCTGTGGAGGAATTGGAATCTTGATAAGGAACAGAGAAATCACCTAACATCAGGTTAGTGCTCCTAGGAAAGATTCATTATGATCATTAAACATCACTCTAAGAAAGCGAGACGCCATGAACCCAATATTTATGGCTTCTGACTGCAATAAAGCGCTATAACCTCACAACATTTTGGTTGAAACTTCCTTTCCAAAATAAACCTCACAGCCACATACAGCCCCTCTAAGTAGCTTACTTGGGGAGGTGCCTCCAAGTTGCAGACTGAGCAGATAGCGTCATTAAGGGTGACTTTCTTGAGAAGCAAGTGTCCTACACCTAATGAGGATGCTGATAGGCCATATAGTATTGCATATATCATATGAACCCCACCGAAAAAACAAAAAAAAAGAAAAAATATATTCCCATTGGGGCATTAAACTTGATAAAGAGTCTCTTCTAGATGTTTTGTGGAAGCTTTATTAAATTTCAATCTTAGTGCCAAAGCAATTGCTACTTTGATAAGCACCGACATAAATTGGGTGGGATTAATCATGCTACTTTGCTGCTATGCAAACAAAAGGAGACAATCAGATAATTTTTCTTGTAATATTTATTTATTTTAATGCTTCAACTTTCATCTTCAAAGTCATATTGTGAAATTTTAGAAACTTGACGATGCAGTCTAGGGTTTAGCTTTGACTTTGAGTAAATATTTAAGCAAGGGACAAAAGGAGATGTTCAATTCAAGCTTTAATTTAGTGGGATAAAGGCTTACACAGTTCCATATGAGAGTTGGTTCAGTTTCAAGCTATTTTGAGTTGCATCCTAGTTAGTACAGTCTGGGGCAATCCTGTAATTTTACAGATTGCTGGGAATTTTAGCAGAGTCTAGTTTTTAGTTTCTATATAGTTGTTTTAATAGGTCCTTGAATAAGTGCACCTGTTTAGGTTTTAGGAATCTAATTCGCATAGTAGTAATCATTTATATATGCTTTTTAGTCTTTCAATTCCATCAGAGAGAATTTCTATTGAATAAAGTGCAGCTTTTTGCTTAAATATGTAGCGTAATCCTTTCAATGAAGGATTGATTCCTTGAATCTACTAGTGTGAGGCTAGTAGGTTTGCTGTCTTTTCTGGAACTCCAAAGAACTTGGAAACTAAAACCAACTCTCATAACCAATCTTTTAAGGCTGTATTTGGTAAGGGGTGAAAAATTTGGTGGGGAAAAGTTAAGGGAGTAAGATATAAGTGTGAAGTGTTAAGGGTTTGAAAAATTATTAATGAGTGAAATGTTAAAGGTGTTAGGTATGAGTTTAAAAGAGAATGAATTGATGAGTAACATAGGGTCCCACTAACTATCAAATCATATCTTGAATTAAATTTTATTATAAATATAAAATAGAATAAATTTATGGGTTCCAAATGCTAAAGATAAATAGAGAAAGTTTGGAGGCTAAAAAAATGAGAGGGGAAGCACAAAAACCAAAATATTTTCCCATTTAACAAAATTTTTACTCCCTATCCTTGGAAGGTAACACTTACCATCCCTTTTGGGTTAAGTATTACCCTTCATAATTTCTCCCTCTTCCAACTTTTTTGTACCAAATAAGAGGAAAGGGGTGAAAAATTACAATGGTAACTTTTCACCCTCGTTCTCCCCTTACCAAACACAACCTAAGGCTTTAATCCGCAGAATTAAAGCATGGGTTGAATATCTCTTTTTGTCTCTCTCAAATATTGACCTTCAATTGCATTAGACTAATGCCATATTTCTCTGTGAGAATAAGTACTACGAGTTGCATTCTTTAGTGGACCAGTTCTTGATGGTTGTTCACCTGATGAATGGTTGCAAGGATTGCTAGTACCCCTTCGAATGTTGTCTAAATCGCATGACCCAGAATGTGGTGCGTTTGCGATCCAGTTTGCCAAAAGTAGCGACCTGACTATTTTTGGGTTGATAGTTTTAAATTTTGAAAGAGAGAGTTTCAAAAGAGGAGATCTAAACATCCCATCACTAATGGAATCCTAATAAGATAATGCAAGTAATTAAAACCCTTGATTCTCTCACCTTTATTTAACCGAAAAGGTTTAGATTAAGAGTGTTTGATAACCTCTTTAAGTAGCTTAAAAAATTAAATTGTAGTACTTAATATAAAAAATTTGTTTGATAATCTAAATAATCTCATATTTAAAATTTAAATTAAGTCAAAATCCACTTAATTAGGGAAGTTAAAGTTTTTAACTTAAAACATTTTGAGTAACACTCTCGGTGGAAAGATTTTTAAAAAACCAAGTAAAAAGAAAATCAAGTAAGCATCTTAATTATAAAGGTGGATTTTGTTATTTTATAAAGTGGCGTCAACTCCAACTATGCTCGGTGTAATAGAGCCTTATCAAGCTGGAATTAAGTTTAGGTTAGGATCCAATAAAAACCAACTTGACATAAAATTTGATGATATTAAAAGGATGTTGAAAATTCCATCGTTGAAAATAAAAGATAAAACAAAAATCCTATTCGGAAATCTCTAAGTCTTTGAGCAATGCAATTACGATATTAATTAATATGTAAGTGACTACATTTTCATGTTGTGTTTGCTTGTCCATGCCGTTAAGGATATGGAAATACTCGTTAAAAAAGAAATTCTAGAAAATTGACTTTACGGTAATGATGCAGTTTCAAGACCTTTCAAAAATCTTGATAATGAAAATCTTATCAATGTTGATAATTTTTATTTTGTTGGTGTGGTTGAAGATCCGAACAAGTACCATAGAAAGTGAAGACATAAATGGATGGTAGTTTTGAAATAAAATTATTTTCATAAACCATGAGCTTCCATATCCGTTGCAATAGTCGTTGTTTCTCTAATACTCATTGTTATACAAACAAGTGTGTTCTATCCTTCAAGTTAAATAGGTTTTTTTAATACTCACGATCATGTAAACTATGACGTTGGAATAACAATTCTAAAGACAATGGCCTAATATCCATTTGCAAAGAGATATTGTTATTACATATGTTGCAATACATAATTATTTTCAAAGAACATTTTTCACTTGCAACATTATTCAACAATTTGATGGCGATTATGTGATGCATCAAACAAAAATGTTGCTGCAAATTTACCATTTATCGAAGGAGGGACGCAAGCTCGAGCCGATCAAACATTTATGATTAATTTGTGAGACCAAATTGCGGATGAATTGATTAGTACTTGAGATTTCATTTATTTTGTGCATGATACGACAATTAATGTTATGTTAGAACGTGTTTAATTTTTTTTTATTAATAATCATGTTTATTGAATTTTTATTATTTATTTATATACATAAACACATTTATGTATATATTTTTATTTTTGTTAAAAAATATCATGTTACAATTGCAAGGTTAAAATTGTTATATTTATAGTCTTAATATGTTCAAGCAATAATACTTATCAAACAATATTATTATATTCAATACTTAATTTTGAGTAAATACTAAATTTGTTAGCAATATATTCAGTATTTAATTATTCAACACTTAAAATTTGACATTTAATAGATTCAGCAAATAAAAAAATTAAAAATTCAATAAAAAAAGATTATTAATAAAAAATTAAAAATAGCATTAATTGTCGTATTATGCACAAAATAAATGAAATTTCAAGTACTAATTAATTCATTTGCAATTTGGTTTTGCAAATTAATCATAAATGTTTGATCAGCTCGAGCTTGCGTCCCTCCTCCAATAAATGGTAAATTTGCAGCAATATTTGTTGTTAGATGGATCACATAATCGCCATCAAATTGTTGAATAATGTTGTAAGTGAAAAATGTTCTTTGAAAATAATTATGTATTGCAACATATGTAATAACAATATCTCTTTGCAAATAGATATTGAACCATTGTCTTTAGAATTGTTATTCCAACGTCATAGTTTACATGATCATGAGTATTAAAAGAACCTATTTAACTTGAAGGATAGAACACACTCGTTTGTAAGACGATGAGTATTAGAGGAATAACAGATTGCTATAATAGAGATGGAAGCTCATGGATTATGAAAATAATTTTGTTTCAAAGCTACCATCCATTTGTGTTTTCGTTTTCTATGGTACTTGTTTAGATCTTCAATTACACCGGAAAAATAAAAATTGTCAACGTTGATAAAATTTCCATTATTAAGATTTTTGAAAAGTCTTGAAACCGTGTCATTATCGTAAAACCAATTTTCTAGAATTTCTTTTTTAACGAGTATTTCCACATTCATAACGACATGGATAAGCAAATACGAGCATGACAACACGATCATTTACATATTGATTAGCACCGTAATTGCATTGCTCAAAAACTTAGAGATTTCGAATAGCATTTCTATTTTATCTTCAATTTTCAACTCGTGGAATTTCCAATGTCCTTTTAATATCATCAAATTTTATGTCAAGTTGGTTTTTTCGGACCGTAACTTAAACTTGATTCCAGCTTGATAGAGCTCCGTTACATTTGGGTATAATTAGAGTTTGACGTCACTTTACAACATATCAAAATCCACCTTTATAATTAAGATGATTAATTGGTTACTAGTAGCTTGTCGACGATGATAGGATAAAAGTATCGATAATGGAGAAGGTCTTCTCTGTTTCAGCAATGGGGATAGTAGAAATCGTTTATCAATTGGTTTGTATAGCTGGAGTTATAAGAATATATAAGGGCTATATAGTCATATTTAAAAAGTTTTAAAAACTTTAAATTGAGGATGTTAATAAAAAAATTTTAAGTTAAAAACTTTAACTTATTTAATTAAGTGGATTTTGACTGAATTTAAGTTTTAATATAAGATTATTTAGATTATCAAACAAATTTTTATATTAAGTACTACAATTTAATTTTTTAAACTACTTTAATAAGTTATCAAATACACTATTAGTTGGAGTTGCACTCTTTGATTCTGTTTCCCTTGAAAAAAAAGGAGGCCAAATGTTGCTACCTGGGGAAGAGGAGAGAAAATTGGAAATGATGTTTATGTTGGAGAAAATCTTGTTCAAAAGTAATTAGATACATTCGGTCATACTATATTTATTTCTTATGTTTTTATTATTTACTGAATTTAAAAGGATTTGGGTGTGTATATATATTATACATACATATATATGATGACCCACACTAAAAAGAACCATGACCCGAAATACCGAACCCAACTATGCCTATAACACTTAACCCATAAAGTGGCAAACCACATACATGTACCTATACCAAGTACCATCACAAACCATGTCAACAACTTGGCATTTTTTTCGTAAGCATTTCATCCTAGAGCATTAGTTGTATGAAGTGTGTCTTGAACTGCTTGATCCAATTCATGTTATCATCCAGCCTGACATATATTATTTTGCGAGCTTTGTCATGGTAACATTTGACCCAACTATATATTATTTAGGATCAATTTGTCCTTTTCCTTTGGGAATTAGGGTTACCTCCTTTCTCACTCCGGATTGTGAGGTTTTATGGACTCCTGAGCAACGCAAATTGAACTTCTTACTTCTGTTGAAAATGGTACTTTCTAGCGACTTTCTTTGACTGAATGGATAATTTTGTAAGAAATTCTTGTTGAACTGGATTAAGACTAATTGCAAGTGGTGGTGCTCAAATTAACTGTTACTCGAGCCTTAAGTTATTGAGGAATCAATATCTGTTACATTTTACTTGTTGAATTGATTTTCTGAACTATGTTCAAGAACTAGTGCCTGGACTAAAATATCTTGGAGATGAGAAAAATGCTGTCACCTGTGGCCCTTTTAGAGTAACACGCAATGGTTCATTTGTTTATTTGAGCAAAATACCATCAAAATTTATCCTGTTAGTCAGTGTCTTCTTCAATCATTCTTTTACTTTCATTGATATATTACACTTTGACTACTTGTTGTCACTTTTTGACTTTGTTAGTGGCACTTCTCACGCTTGAGGTATTGGCAATATTGTTTTTGAGAGATCAGAAATGACAGAAATTTACTGTGGAATTGATGATTTTAGCGATGCTTATTTTTCTAGACACCTGCCAATCGTGGTTTTTAGATCTAACCAATCCTTGGCCACTTTTGTATGCTGATTTATACTCACATGAGTTTTCGGCTCATGCAGGTTTCATGGGTACCTATGATCATGAGTTGAAGTTGGATTGCCCCAACAAGGAATTTTTACCTTCTTTTAGATGAAAATGTTGACATTTAAAACAGCCACAGAACGACGTTAAACAGCTAGAGAGCTGCTTGCATTTAGAAGTGTATCATTTCAAGGAGATGAATATCATGATCATTATTCTGAAAACAAGGCTGTGCTTGGTATATATGGTCCTGTTCAATGAGTGCTGTAATTACTTTGTTGAAGGCATGCATATAGGGAGTAGGACATGTTTTGCATTGTTGTCGTGCTGTATACAGGGTTTGTGGACGTTAAGGCTTGCGAACCATAGTTCCTACCTCTTCTCATAGTCTCTGCGATTTGATTTCTTTTGTCGATGTTAAATGTTAGACTAAGTTGATTGCACCAGGCTTGGATCTGTGTTCTATGCTAGATGACTGTTCTGTTTGTCTAAATTGTTAACGTGGGCATGTCATGTGGACGACTTGCTCTTTCCTTACCTTTTCTTTTTTCTTGCACGAACTGCTAGATATAGGATGGTGCGTGGGTAAATTCTGTCCCCCCTCCCCCCCCCCCCCCCCAGTAATACTGATTCACTGTCTTTCCCTTTCGACAGGGTAGAAACTTAGTTTAAGTTGCATGAAATGCCGCAATTCAATCAATAAGAGTTCCTTTTTGTATACCAAGTGGGCTAATTGGTTATAAAGGATTATTGGTTGACAGGAGAAAAGTTCATAACTTTATTTTTTTTTTTGGATTTTCAACTTGCAGTTAACTTATTTTTGTAGTTGATAAATGTGAAGCTATATTGAGCCACGAGATAGATACGTGGAGTTATAAAACAATATCATGTGTCTTGTGTTTAGCGTTTTTAAAACATATGTTTTTGTTTTAATGATTATATCAAATAACATTACGTGTTTTGTGTTTTTTTAGGACATATATGGTTCTTTTAATGACTCTGTTTTTAATAAATCAAACATCTAGTTTTAGGTTTCCATGTACGATTTTGAACTTTTCCTACTGTTTCTCAGCAACCAAATCAAACATGAAACAGAATATAAAGGTTACAGCTTTCGGTGTGATAGTGGACGGCAGGGCAAATACAATCCCAGTGGTATTATTGCCATTGTTATGCCCTAACTCTCTGTACGCTTGAAACACAAGTATTGCTTATATATCTCACAAATTACAAGCAGCCCTTCAAATTTTCTTTTTATTGGTAGGAATTGCTGTTGGGTCAACAAATAGACTCTACTTCTCTCGATTTTTCCTATATATATATATATATAAAGTATGCTCAACAAAGAGCTCTTTGGCATTCACAACAGCACCTCAACTGTTTCAGACTTTCCCCAGCTAAGATTTCGTCCACTACTGATCATAAACAAGCAGGTGATAATAGACCAGTTTAATGTTAATCAATGAAAACAATGTGAAAAAAAAAAAAAAACTATTATCATAACATTAACCTTGGAAGCTCCAACAGTTGATATCATAACATTCTTGGTTTTATCTTCAACAAGGAGCACTGCTTGTCAGCTGTACTAATAGCATTTTTAGTTAGGAAAATTCTGATATCTTGAGCTGTTGCTAGCTTAGGCCATTTTTGAATGCATGCACAATTACTTAACTTGTATGAAAAGGATCAAATCAGCTAGCTTTCGCTTTGAAATTTGAATTGCAATCATGGGATTTTCTCTATTCCTGATCAAGCAGCTGTGTTTGCTTCTTGTGTTGCCTTTCTCGATATTATACCTGAGGAAATATGCTACAGCTGCCCAGTTTGATCCTTCACAGTACCCTAGACAAGAAAGGTGTGCCCTTTATGCTCTCAAGGCCAGTTTCAACAACTCTTTTCTGAATGATAATTGGACTGGTCCTCAATGTTCTACGGATAATTCCTCAGGATGGCATGGCATTCGGTGCGTCAGTGGTCTTGTTTCTGAAATCTCTCTGGAAAGTATAGGGTTGAATGCTACATTAATCGACACCGATGCATTCCTCTTCCTCACCGAGCTGACTGTCCTAAGCTTCAAGAACAATTCAATATCAGGGAACGTAATGAATTTCTCTTCCAACATCAAGATGAAGCGACTTGATTTATCAGGAAACAAGTTGTACGGTTCAATCCCAAGGTCACTGCTAAGTCTTACATTGTTGGAGTCATTGCTTCTTCAGGATAACTATTTGAAAGGCTCAATCCCAGAATTTAACCAATCCAGCCTGACAGTGTTTAATGTCTCTAACAATGATCTCAATGGTTCAATCCCAACAACTCAAACTCTTCAATCCTTTGGCCCTGATTCATATTCTAGTAACCGTCGATTGTTCGGTCCTCCTACGCTCAACACCTGCAATAGTATTTTTACAGCAAAATATGTGGCAGATGTTCCGAGCAATGAAAATTCTCCACCTGAACCCCCAAAAAAGTCATCTAAACCTAATTTTGCTACCACATTTATAGTTTTTGACGTTGTTGGTTTAGTTGCAGTAATTTTTCTCTTCTTGCTTTACTTTCAGAAGGTTAGGAAGCGTAAGAAAATGATCAAGAAAGATGATGGAAAAGAAAAAGAAGGAGGAAGAGATACTACTTGTGGTGATGATCGTTTGGAGGATGAGGGAAAAGGGAAAGGATGTCATAATCGGAGAAGAAAAAGGGAAGCTTATGTTCATAGAGGAAGAAGCAAGAAGTTTCCAACTGAATGATCTTCTAAAAGCTTCTGCTGAAGGTTTAGGCAAGGGAAGCTTTGGAAAGTGTTATAAAGCTAAGATGGACAGCGGGGAAGCTGTTGTTGTAAAGCGAATGAGTGATTTGAAGCCACTGAGTAGCGTGGAATTCACAAGGCAATTGCATATAATCGCTCATCAGAAGCACCCCAATTTGCTACCACTTCTAGCTTACTACTATTCCAAGGAGGAGAAGTTGCTGGTATACAAATATGCAGAAAATGGAAACCTCTTTAATCGCATTCATGGTATTCACTTCACTTCATTTTGCTCTTTCCCTCTTTCTCTTTCTTTTCACTACAGAATCTTATGCTGAATTCTGCTTAATCACAATTAGTTTCTCCTTTTAGCTCTCTCTCTCGACTTCTCCAGGAAGGGGAGGATGGACAGAGTAGAAAATACTAGCTAGTTATTTTTTTTATCTATTTTATTATCTGCAACCAATTAAATGTAATGTTTTTGTGTTCAACTTGATCAGTATATATAGTTTTGAGCGACATAATGAGAAGTAATAATACAGGTAGCAGAGGAAGGGACAGGATTCCATTTCGGTGGAATGCAAGATTATCAGTAGCTCGAGGCATTGCACGAGCCCTGGAACATCTTCACTTCAATGTTAAGTCACAGAGCAGTGTCCCTCATGGCAACCTAAAATCAACAAATGTTCTTCTTGATTCGAACGAAATGGTTCTGATATCGGATTATGGTCTCAGTTCACTAATAGCTCAACCCATTGCAGCTCAGCGTCTCATTGCATACAAATCCCCTGAATTTCAGTCTAGCAAAAAGGTTTCTAAGAAGTCTGACGTTTGGAGTTATGGTTGCCTTTTGTTAGAACTCTTGACTGGAAAGCTATCAGTCTATTCGGCTCCACCAGGAATGAATGGGGTGGATCTTTGCAGTTGGGTGAGTAGAGCAGTCAGGGAAGAGTGGACAGCTGAGATATTTGATATTGAGATTGCTGTGCAAAGAAGTGCATGTTCTGGGATGCTAAAATTACTGCAAATCGCAATCCGCTGCTGCAGTAAGTCCCCTGATAACCGGCCTGAAATGACAGAGGTGGTGAGAGAGGTGGAGAACACTAGAGTTGTTGAATCAGAGGAAGAAGACTTATCCGTGGATCCATCGTTGACGGATGAATCTATTTCAACAGGTGCCAGCCTTAATGAGCAATGAAATTAAATTGTCAGATTAAAAAACCACATCAGAGTGTTCTTTTGAATGGTCAGAAAAATAAAAAACCTAGAAGAATTGACTGTGAGGGTTGGAATAGTTGTTGTACTTAACATTTCTTTCTTTATGTAGTTAACTTGTTCTTCTGTGATGAATCTAAACCTATTTTTCTCAGCTTCTGAACCTTTTAAGTTTCCTAGTCAATTAAAATTTGTCCTGCTAAGTGCAGTTTTAGAGCAACTACCTGCATGCCTCGAAAGGAAAAATATTTTTTTTGAAACGGTATAAAGATTGATTCTGTGTATAACTTATAAATCTCAAATGAACGAATCAGATTAACTTACAAAATATAAATAAAATATCTTACTCATGTATATGAACAAATTAAATTTAAGGACTGTGGTCACAAAACACAATTCTGTTTGCACATACGAGAAAACCTCAAAGGGCATTTTCAAGAAGTTCAGCTCTTCGAAGGACTTGAAAGTTTTCAAAATTCTATGCTATTGCAGCCTTTTTTAGGAATTCAAAGGCAGCTACAGCTCGTTTGGATGTATAGCATTATTGTTTTCAAAATAGTCATGACATACATTAGTACAATCAGCAAAAATCACAGCACTAAAAAGAAGATCATACTTTTTTTTAGCTGATTAATCAATGTGATTATGTGAGAACAAGACGCTTGCAGATGCTATCAGGAATAAGGTGGTATAAGACATTAAAGAAACTCACACAAATTAAGCACATCCTCATAGAAGCATGCCTTCTCCACAACCTGATAAACACTACCATTTTCTATTCCGAGCTGTTCAACTATATATTTAGTTTTTATTATTGGATGGCAACCTTCTGAAGGTTGCTTAAATTCAAAGGAAAAAAGTGATATTTATGTATATACAGTCAAGAATCAAAATTTACATTGTATATGCAACAAATTAATAAGGCTAGGAAATGTGTCCAAGGAAACCTGGGGCAGTATGTTACATGGCCAGAAAAAGTACAACGCAGCAAAACCATATGATCAATACATCAGACAGGAACACGGTAGGATGGATCAACCATTTTCAAGACAAACAGGTTTCCTTTGTCTCCTCTGGATACTCTGTTGAAATGAAAAGAAATAGGTTACATACACTGAAGATAGACATGCATGGTTTTGAGCTCAAGTTGAGTAATTTGGTAATTGGTTCCTGGAGACTGATTATGGACATGAATGGTTTATCATCATTAGACCAAGAACCAGTCATGTGTTTAATACAGGGGAATGAATAGGGAAAAAATTGCAAAGAATGATTAGTATTGTCATACAAGATCCCGTATCAAGAATCAATCGAGAGTTGTACTGCTCAGTTGATAGGCATGCAATTGATCTCCTTCTTGGAGTATGACATAAAGTGCTCAAAATGCATTGCATTAGTTTATTATGTTGTAGTTTTGGTTTTCTCAATACAGGACTTCAAAACGTGTGCTTGCATGTTTTTTTTTTTTAAACATGAATGAGTTTTTGATGATTGCTCATACAGAAATCAGGCTTTAAGAAACCATCTCCATCAGTTCTTTCAGTTCAAAATGCTTCAGTTCTTAGAGAATTCCCCTCATTCTTAAGAATTGATGGTACACAAAAATAATTAAAGTTGATTAAGCAGAGAGGAAAAGGAAAATGAACTGTTAAACTCGGTCAATTTCAAGTTCATAGAATAGCAATCTTATACTGACCGTAATTCTTCATCCAAATAAGTGATTTCCAACTCACCACGAGCTCTTCCAGGTGCCTTAACTGGTATCTGCACACGATGTTATTGGCATTTTTGTGAAAAAAAGTGGCAAAAGGACGAAGTGAAAAATATGTTAGGATGTACTCATGATTTATAGGCTTGTTTTTAGTGTTTAGCAGGGATACGTCAGACATCATTAACTTGAAAGCACCTTGCTAGGTAACTATAGCACTCCAAAAACATGTGTACCACATAATTATATATTACGTAAAAAGAAGAAGAGAGCACCTACCAGACCAGCAATTTTGAAAACATCGAACTGTACAGCAACTTTTTTTGCATTCAAAGGAGTTAAATCTGCAGTTACCTACAAAAATGAACGTCAAACTGATAAAACATTAAATGTCCATGAGGATAGACGACGGTTTATGCAAAGATTATCATCAAATTGAATTTACACATTTTGATTTTTCAATAGAGAGCCCCAAATCCTAAACAGTTTTATTTATGGAAACTTACCATATAGTTTTCAATTAAAAAACACAGAGCAGATAGATGGAACATAGGAGCAGTGGAAATCTTTTTAGATAAAATAATGATGTGATGCAGACGCAATGTTTTCCGTCGAAAAGTATGAGACTAGATGGAAAATAGAGTAAATAAAATGCTTATTAATCACAGTCCATTAATCTCTTCATCCACACTGGCAATGCTTCTAGGAAAATCGATTACCTGGTTGAAGAAGGGCCAAGATTCCATGTTCTGGGCCCTAAGTGTATCCGCATTGATTGCTTGGTAGTTTGTCCTCGATCTTAAGAATTTAGGCCTCTGCATGACATTATTTCTCAAATGAGGTCAACTCGTACAAGAAACAAAGCGACCTCAAACATACTAAAGGGATTAATTAATTCCTTTTGATAAACTTCATAGACTAATTTATAATTAACTCTCTCTTTTTTCCGTTTCTTCAACAAGGTTAAGCAATTTACCAAGTAAAGAAATTCAGTTGCTCTAACATATTGAAGTTTGATGGATCATTTTGACAAAAAAGTTGATCAAATGAATTTAATTAGTATATGTATATATGTGTGTGTGTGTGTGTGTGTATAGAAACAACATGGTATCTCAGCTTACTTGTGTTTGCAAAATAGATTGTGAAGTAGTGTATATAAGCTCCCATTTCCCGTTCAGTAAATCAGATTTCAGTGGCTCCTTTCTCGGATTAACTGCTTCAAGTTTGCGAGCAATCTATTAAGAAATGAATTCCAAGAATCAGGAAACGAACTGACATACATACAACACTGAAATGAAGCCAGACTAAATCTATTTTCCAGTTCCAGACGATCTTAAAGACACATCCTTAACATTTTCCAAATGCATTCCAAAGAATTTAATAAATTCCCATAGTAATGGCTACAAGATTCGAACTAAGGAAGTAAAGAGAGGGAGCGATCCTCTTAGATCACCAGACCATCCATTGGGGTAAACTTTAACTAGCTTAAATTCAAGGAAAGCTTCACCGTGAAAATTGTTTCAAAATTGCAAAAAAGCTTACGGCCAAAACTGATCAGAAGGCAAAGAAGAAGTGACTGAAATGGACCAACCTCGTCAACTCTTTGTTGGTCATCAGGAGTGGCCTCTGCTCCACGATCAAGGGGATCAATGGCGTCAAGAAGCTCCTCCTTGAGGACCTTAGCATCCTTTCCCTTATTCAAGAAAGCAGGAAAGAAAGGAACCTTAGCTCTCCATCTATCAATATTGCTGGAGTAGCTTGAAGAAAGGTTAAAGAAATGGCTGGTGGGTTTATTAGTAGAGAAGAAGTAAGAAGCGGTAAGCTTCGGCAATGGTGAGTGAGTTGAGAATTGAGAGGCAGTGAGGATTGCTGGAGACTGTGGAGAAGAAGATAAGACCATCGACATGGCAAAGGTTTTGCAGAGAGTGGCATTGGGTTGTCTCTCTAATAAAGCAAATCTTTTTTTCTTTCTTGAAAAAAACTAATAAAAAAAAATCTGAAAACATTGGGCCCATGGATCTTGGCCCAACAAAATTATGAAGGGCTCTAATGATTGTCAACTGACACGTTTCAATTTTCATTTCATATATATATGATGAATTTTAGCGGTTTATCTCTTCTCCTTGTCTGAAAAAAATAAAAGCTTCTGTGCTGTAGAGTGGCGTTCATCTTCGTCTCCACCTCCACCACCAATGGCCACCGTTTCTTCTTCAGCTAGGCCTACAAAGCTAAAAGTTGGTCATCCTCTTCCACCAACCAAACTCGGCAGCTCTTATCATCGATATATAAGGCTCTCATTTTCCTTATCTTGGAAACCCTATCGTAATACTAGTTCTCGCATAGGCATACACTTATTATCGAGCTCCAACAACAAGTGCCATGATTGGAGGACCAGAGTTTCCTTCTTTCAAGGTTTTTCAGCCGAAGGTAAAAAAGATGTAAAAAGGAGCCTTAAAGAGCAACTTCTTGAGGCAATAGCGCCTCTTGATCGGGGTGCTGTGGCTACCCCTCAGGACCAACAACGTGTTCAGGAGGTAATCATTAGTGTATTTTGTTATGATTAGTGAGATAAAAGGATTGTATATGATTAATTATTAACCAAGACATTTGATATTTCTTCTCTTCTTTTATCAGATTGCTCGTAAACTTGAGGCAGTGAATGCTATAAAGGAGCCACTCAAGTCAAATCTACTGAATGGGAAATGGGAGCTTTTGTATACAACATCTCAATCAATTCTTCAAACAAAGGTGGTCCTTTTCACTGTATGGTTACATGATCTATACATCTTTGTGTCAATTTTATGTTGTTGGTGGGAAATTTATTTTGATAACTTTGATTATCGAATGCAAAGTTTGGATTAATTTCATGGGGTCTCTAGGAGTATAGGTGTCAGGTTTGGCACCTATTTTTTTCTAACTTGGTATTATTTTGTTTATGGAAAGATGATACATGCACCTTTAGCTTAGAAATTAACAGCAAATGGATTGAAGTCTGGTTTGTCTTTTTTGTTTTTATTTTTTCTTTCAATCCTGGAGATCAGTATACATGGTGATGGTGTGGACTGTGGAGAGATTTTCTAGTTCAAGAAACAAAATCAAGCAATTTATTCAGTATAAAAGAAATGCAATTCTTTCTTATTATGGTTTGCAGTTGGCAAAATCATGGTGCTCCCATTAGATACATAAAGTAGTGGAATAAAGAGCAGTTATCCTCTATTTCTCATTCAAAAATCCTGCTGTAATTGCTATTTGAGACTGAGATGTTATCCCAAGTAGATTCAACAGCAACATCTGCTGATGTTGAAATGAGGGCAAGCTGACTGTGTTACATAGTCTCGTATAGTCGATGGCAAGTTTGTCTGTGGTCAGTGGTTGGATTTGCTAAGGCCAAGAACACCAAAAACTGGACTGGCACTTTGTTGATTCATTCTTCATATCGATTCCCATGCTTACAACACTTATATATAATCCAATCATGGGAGAGCTGAAATTGAGAAGTATCTTTTAATCTGATGTATTTATTTGCCAGGCAGAATTTAGAAGCAAAAGGCCCCATTTACCTACATGGACTTTTCAAACGGCATAGGAGAAATAATTGTGCTGCAGGAACCCATAACAATGCTTGTCAATGCCCAGTATTGGGTATTAAGTCAGAAAAAAAGGCCTGTAAAGACTTCACAGCTATGTCAGGATGCGAACTATATCGATTAGATGCATAAACAATATTGGTCCTCTCTTTCTAGAATATGGAGTCATTCTATCTTATCTGCATATCTGTCTATTTCTTCTCGTATTCTTTTCCTTCATTGTTTTCTTCTTGTTTTGCACAAGTCGTAATTACTTTTATATGATCTTCGCATAACAGAGACCGAAGTTCTTGAGACCAAATGGAAAAATCTACCAGGCAATTAATGTGGATACCTTAAGGGCTCAAAATATGGAAACTTGGCCATTCTTTAACCAGGTACTCCCGATTCTGTTTCTACTATATATTATTTGCTTAAATGAAGTACTCAGTTCAGTTTTTCTGGCTTACACTGTCACTGAAACCGTTGTTAGTATTGACATGAAGCCCTGCAACAAATACAATACATCTGGCGTTGTCATTTCTGAATTGATTATTATTATTATTATTATTATTATTATTTTGTAACCCATAGCAATTTATAAGGCTTTGAGAGTTGAGACTTTAGCTAAAGTTAAATTTATCAATGTATCTGCAGGTCACCGCCAATTTAGTACCTCTAAATGCAAGAAGGGTTGCTGTTAAATTTGACTTCTTCAGAATTGCTGGTCTGGTATGCACTTGTGCCTTGATCTTATTGAGTATGTCTTATCAATCTCTATGTCATCATACTCGAAATGTTCTCTAGTCTTTTCTTTTCTTTTTTCGACAATGCTTTTAATCAGTTATTTATTTAGTATAATTCAGCTAATAGGATCGATGTAATTTTTATCACCCTGATTCATGAACTTCATTTCAGCTTCTGTATAAGTAACCTCCAAAGCTTTTTGTGCGTAGTACGTTCAGTACTTGATATGTTTTGTCTGCCAAGAATCTTTGCTTCTTCTAGTTTTTCTTTTCTTCTCTTACAGGAAACATGCTCTATGAAAGATTTCTGCGTTTCTTGCCTAATAATGTTACTTATTGCTCTTTAGATACCTATTCAATCACCTGGAAGTGGCCGTGGTCAACTGGAAATCACATATTTGGATGATGAGTTGCGGTCAGTGATGTAAAAGCTTTCCTTTTTTTCTTCTTTTGAAAGCATGATCATTTTTTCTCATAATAAGGACTACAGTAATAAAATTTCTGATCATTCTCAAACTTATCGAACATTTTTTTTCCCCTTATACCAAGTATATGATAATGGTTCAGCTGCACTGATCATCTGTTTTAGCTAATGCAAATCTTTTCAACAACCTCCTGTTTCTCTTGTTAAGCTCTGGACTCTGGTCCCTTTTTCTGCAGAATATCAAGGGGTGATAGAGGAAATTTGTTCATTCTGAGAATGGTGGATCCATCTTACAGAGTCCCTGTCTAATGTAACTGTTGTGGAACTTGATTCTCGAGGCAAAATTGTAAAATTGTACAGAGTTTTTGCTCTTGTATAAACAATTTACACTGCCAGCTCCTTTAGGACAGCTCCTCTTAACTCAGGGTGTGGGTTCTAATATTAGAGAGAATATCGGACAAAAAACATGGGTATCAAAGCAGTGAGGATAGGTAGACCGGTCCTGAACACAGGTCTACCAATCCTTTCTGTCCTGAGAAACGAGAGCAGATCAGGCCACGGAGGTCGCTCCATCAATCTGAAAGAACTGGTCTTCTTATTCTTAGGGTACGTACATGGATTGTTTTTTGACGTCTCCATATTGTAATAAGCTTTGCCGGAGCTTGCTCGGTTTGGTGAATAGATTGGTCAGGCTTCCTAATTGAACATGAGAGGATTCAAATCATCTATAGTATGTGTTAGTGGACTTTTTTTTTTTTTTTTTTAATAACTCACGCATCCAATATGCACTCTAGACTTTTAATAAAATTAATTTATTAGTATTTGAACCTATGATCTTTTATAAGAAACTACAGGATTATAAACTTTTTGATTGTTAATAGACATTGATGATTATTAAGAAGATAACAGTTTAGTGATTATAATTATAGTAATTAAGTGATGTTGATGTAAAAAACGAGATAAATGGATTATACGTAAGTCAAATTTTAATATTTTTTTCAATTGAATACGTAAATTTTTATTTTTTATTTTTTGTTTTGAGTATATATCGATTTTTTCAAAATTAACTTTTTGTCAATTTTTTTATTAAGCGACATGTTTGTTATTCTTATAATATTAAATTATAGTTTTATCTTTTTTTTTTCTCAATCGAGCCCCAATAAAAAACCAAAAACAAAAAAAACGTAAATACCACCTTTCAATTAAATATATAATTTTTTTTCTATTTTATTTTTTCTCAAAGTATATAGAAAACCGAACCATAAGTTTCGGTTTACTGGCCCATTTGTTGTTCAAAAGCCCAAGAAAACTTAAAAAAAAAACCTCTCTCTCCCCCGACGGCAAAACCACCTCAAACAGACACTACCGTACAAAAGCAGAACACGTACATTTCATGACACACGTAAGACATCCATCCTCTTAAGTCTTAACCGAAAGCAACCGATTCATAAAAAACATGGGAAAATCTATGCGCCAGACGACAACCTTATTTACAACGACAAAAATGGAAGAAAAAATGAAATAAGGATGGGAATGCTCTTCAGAAGCAAGAAACCAAAAAGACCAAAATTTTCTTCTTCTATGGCTTCTCCCTCACTCTCTTCTCTTCTCCCTCACACTCATCATTCTTTCCTTCCCGCTAAAAACCCTAATCTCACCCACCGTTACATGCTCTCTCTCCGCCCCTCCCAGTCTCTATCTTTCACAACCAAATATTCTTCCGACAAACAAAACGACAGCACCACCGACGAGCAAAACGACAACAGAATCATATACCCACCACCGCCACCTCCCGCGCCACAGCAGTCGGAGAAGAAGTCGTTTGCTGTTGCCACCGGTGAACTTTTCTTGGGAATTGCGTCAAGGGTTTTGAGACGCGGCAATAAAATTAGTAGTAGTAATAATAATGGGAATGTTGATTATGAGGAGAGGATTGGGGCTGTAATGGAGGATGATGTTGAGCCTGGGGTTATATGGGAACAAAGAGTTAAAGATATTGAAGCGGAGAAAGAACGACCTGTCATTACAAGTCCTGGCTTTAGTTTCTCTGCTGCTGGCTTGCTGTTTCCTTATCATCTTGGTGTTGCTCACTTACTTATAGAAAAGGGTTATATTAAGGTCCATTTTTCTCTCTTTGTTTTTCAATTTTTTTTTGGGGGTTTTCTGGTTTCATCAAGTACTAATACGCATTCCCTTTGTTTTGGGATTTTTAAAGTCAGGATTTTGAATTGCCTGTGTAATATTATCTCATCATATTTTGAATTTTCTTTGTTGGTTGTGGTAATTGTGCATTTTGATTTACTTTTCTTTTCTTTCTTTTGGGATATGTTTGTGTTTCTTGTCATGGATATTGTTTACTCAACTGTGAGTTTTCTGTATGTTACTCAATTTGGACAGTTCTATTTTGCTTTTTCTTCCTCTTCTCCTAAAACAAATTAGAAACTGTCAATGTAATCATTCCATGTATTGTATTGACATGATCAAAATTTTAAATTTGATCACATGATTGCCCAAGATGTTTTCGTGTTTGAAACTTGTGCATAATTCAAGAAATAAACTAGACATGCAAAGCAAAAATAAATCCACTTCTTTATATGCTCTTGTATATGATTTTTCTTTTTTGCTGTGTTTAGGTCATTTAGTCAAACTGGAGATCAACAGTTTTATTCTTTAGCTTAAGCCTCTGTTTGGTTTTTTTTTTTTTTCTTTCTTTTTTTCCCCAGTTGAAAGATTTTTTTTTTTTTTTTTAATGCTCTAAACAGGAAACCACACCATTAGCTGGTTCCTCTGCAGGCGCTATAGTATGTGCTGTCGTTGCCTCTGGGGCTAGTATGCATGAGGCTTTAACGGTTACCAAAGTATTGGCTGAAGATTGTAGGCTAAATGGGACTGCTTTTCGGCTTGGGGTATGTTTCTACTCCAATACTTTAGTATGGTTCACAGAGCATCCCATGCAATTTTTTATCAACTCGCCAACAGTTAATATCTGAATCAAATTGTGGCATTTGTTCTTTAAGATTTGTGGTGTCTGCCTTTCATTCTAAGGAATGTTCGTTGTCAGTAACTTATGCTTTTGCTGCCATTTGGCTATTAGTGCATGTGTCAATATGAGTCAATCGTTCTGGTGTTTTGGCCTTGATCATATGCCATGTTGAGAACAGTGTATCAATGCAATGTATGCTATAAGGTTGGCCTGATGTATGAAGTAAACTTTTTATGAGATGAAACAAATGGAAGGAATTTCCAGAAAATGGAAAGCATAGGGATAAGAGGTATTAACTGTTGCTACAAGTTTTAAAAATTGTCTTAAGTATCTCTGCAGGCCATGAAATACCATGCTTGCAAATAAAGTTATGCTCTTTTGCTGTGTCGCTTGCTGTGCTCTGTGCAGTCTCATATGATCTTTAGTCATTGGTTCATGATATTTGCAGAATGTAGTGGTCATTTGCATAGCTTATACCTACATAAGGGCAAGTTTCTTAAGTAAGTAACTTTAAGGGAAGGTTTATGCTGTAGAAAGAATAAACATGGTTGTGTTTAGTCTGGAATTTTAGCCATTATAACTTTATGGTGGCTCTGTGGACAGTAAACCTTGTGCAAATTAATGAACAAGCTATAATTTTGTTGTATGTTTCTGCTACAATTTTTCATGCAATGTAAAATAGACATTAATCATACTTTCTTTTCCTTAGGCTGTTCTGCGGGATGTTCTTGAGAAGTTTCTACCAGATGATGTTCACATTAGATCCAGTGGGAGGGTTCGAGGTGAGAACAATTGTCTTTCCTCCACCCCTCTATTTTTAGGTCGTGCTTTGAATTCGAAAATGTTTTCTGGTAGAACATATTTCATTACATATAACTACATGTCTAGTGGCTTTAGAATGGTATAAAGGTTTGGTGCAATTCCCTAGGCAAAAAGACACCATGAATGGCATCACCCAGAGATATTTTGTTTCTTCCTCTTCTTCTTGTTTTTTTTTTTTTTCCTTTAATGGAAAATCATCTAGAGATGTAAACCTTGAAATGGTATATATTATAGATTTTTATGTGCTGGGTATTCCCAAGATGCTGCTTGCTGATGATTGCATGCAGCAGGCCACCATTCTCTGCTGAGATTTAGATAATCCTGTTTCCAGGCCTATGGCCTTGCCTCACTTTGAGAATGAAGTTATCAATAATGATAAATTTATGCTGCTACATGTGTTGTATGTTCTAAGTTTTGTCCGTTCTGAGGCTTGCCTGGGTTGAGGTTCACCTTGATCCTTGTGCCGTGCCTGCTTATTGGGTCGTAACAGGTACAATATATTGAAGATGAAGCAAAGGAGACTACTACAAGTTTAATTTTTTAAGAGTCATAAAATAAGACATGGAGAGAAATTACATGGCCTAAGGCACTTGTTTTTCCTCTTGTTTTTTGTTTTTGTTTTTTTGTTTTTCAAATTCTAGTTTTACTATGTAGGTGGTTTAGCCATCCATTGAGAGATTGAATTACCCAATAAGTCAAACCCAAGCTTTCCAGCCTATAGATGTGGGTTTTGTTTTTATGAATTATTTATATGGGAGGTACATATTAAAGGATAGAGGTTGAAAGAGTGGAGTAAGGAGGATCAGGAAATACTTACGGAGCTTAAACTTTGTGGCAGGTGAAAATGCTAAGATTTGCATGGGGATAACTTAGCAGGAGTGATAGTGGAGTGGTACTTGGTTTGGATGTGTGGTGCTTTGATGGAAGATGTGGTGATGTTATGATGGGTTTGAGGGTGCAGCAAGGGAATCTAACAAGAGGATCTTTGTGTATGTTTCTGCTCATAGTCATCTAGGCTGGGAAATGAGAGTGTATTTATAGTGGGAAAGAGATAGCTTCAATTAGGAAAGATTGAGTTTCCCAGTAATGTGGTGAAGAATGATGCGGATTTAGATCAATAGTATGATGATAAGTGGTCTTTGATTTAATTAAAGATTAGAGGGTGACGTGTGACGTGGATGACACATGATTGAGATTGGAGCCTTCTTAAGTAGGATCTGAAGGTGTAAGCCTTCTTCACAAATCCTAATCTGATCCCACCAAGCCAATTCTTCCAAAGATGTCCCATTGATCTCTGACCAACTTTATTATCCTCTCACAGATCCTCTAAAGATTCCTATGATCACCCACAGCGGAAATAATGAATAATAGGACTATTACAGTAGCTGACAACATAAATAAAAAATTATTCTGTACTTGCACAGCTCAAATATAACTGTTTGGTTTAGCCTTTGGCTTTAGCTTAACTGGTAAAAAAGGCTGGGTGCATTGGCTTGGGTGATTGCTTGATTCTTACCAAGCATAAAAAAATGAAAAAAAAAAAAACAATTCAGATAGGTCAGTGTTACTTCTCAGGCTGTTTTGAGTCTTTGCGGTGCTCCCCTCTATTCAGGATTCAATTTTGGCTGAACCATCTGACATTTTGCATCCTTGGACACCTGCTCTTAGTTTTAGGACAGGTGGTAATTGAACTTTTAGTCATTATATTTCATTTTTGTACTCATGAGGATCCCATTCAGTGATTTTGCAACAATATTAGCCTTACCCTTTTGTGGATTGGGGAATTGATCTAATTGCTGGTTGGGTGCACTCTTAGTTAATGCTGTGGGTTATCGTTTTTAATACTTTAGTTTTCCCTTGTGATTGTTGTTATGACAATACAAGTGGAATTGCTATGTCCAGATTATTTGTCATTTTGTTGATTGTGTAATGTGCTATTATTTAGGAAGTTTCTATTTGTAATATGTATTAACTATGATTTTGTTATTAGTATGAGTTCTTATTTTGTTAAAATTTAATTGAAAAGTTGTTTTCTGCATAAGCACACACATATTTTCTATTTTGAGTTTTGATTAAAGAAGTGCATTTGATCTTGTTTGAGATTGATTCTTCTTTTTCTATGGGGATCGGATTCATGGAATCTCCTAGTGGATGTCTACTGTCTATTTTACTTTTCCACACATGTTACATGCCATCATGCCTGGTCATAAATTCACACATGCACCTTTTTTCTTTCTTTGTTTTTTTTTTCTTTTTGTTTTTTGTTTTTTTTTTCATATTGACACGCACTCCATTATTTATGCTCTTCTACTACAGTTGCTGTCACTCAGATTCTGTGGAGACCTAGGGGTTTGCTAGTGGATCAGTTTGACTCGAAGGAAGATCTCATTAATGCAGTTGTCACTTCTTCCTTCATTCCAGGGTAATTGATTAATATGCTATCTTGATGATAATACTCGTCATGTGAATTCATTTAATGACGTTGAACTAAAGTAAATTTCAGTGCAGATATCTTGCACCAAGGCCTGCCACAATGTTCCGGAATCGACTTTGCATTGATGGTGGTTTGACATTGTTTATGCCACCAACATCTGCTGCTAAGACGGTATGTGGAAAAATCTGTCTAAACCTTTTAAGTTGTTGCTTGATTGTCCATGCTTACTTTTTTTGTGTTGTAATTGAGTTAAGGAAGTTTTGATGATCGATCGCTTTGTCAGTATGCAATGTTTCTTTATTGCGGTTGCAGATTACAGCCTATCCAGGCATGAAATAATGGTCACAGCCACCATGATCGTGAAATATTAGCAGCTCTTAACAAAATTTAACGTGAAACATGTCCAATAATATGAAAAATAATGGCAGATGACTGCCTATAACGCCCTACAATGGCCATTAACAATATATAAACACCATTTGTTATGTAGTGGCCCTTATTTGAAACCATGATAACCTAATCAATGGTTTTTTGTAGTGATCCAAGGGTAGTTTGAACAAGCATCTTGTTTCATTTGTGAAGATTGTGACTAATTGCTGCATGAATGAGATTTCTTTCCAGATGGTATGATAATTCACATGTTACCTTGCAGGTTCGTGTTTGTGCTTTCCCTGCCAGCCGAATGGGACTGCAAGGGATCGGGATTAGTCCGGATTGCAATCCTGAAAATAGGGCTAGCCCGAGAGAGGTAAGTGCAGCTCTAGGATTGATGGCTCGTTCATTTTTTTGATAAGCCAATGAACATCTTTGTTATCAACCATTCCAGCTTTTCAATTGGGCATTGGAGCCAGCAGAAGATCATATTCTTGACAGGCTTTTCGAGCTTGGATATTTAGACGCGGCTGTGTGGGCTGAGGAGAACCCAGTCCAGAATGTTGTTCAAGATGACAGTACATTGGTTGAAAATGGCTCTAGTAGCTCACCATAAGGTGTATCACCCGATTTGATGTCAAGGATGCATTAGATGCCTTGGTGACCGATCGATGACCAGGTTTATTTTCCTGCTCATCAACAATGCTGGTCAACATTGGTTAATTTCGTTTACACCATTTTGACATGGCTGGTCAACCAGGTTTATTTTCCTGCTCATCAACAATGCTTAAAGCAGGGAACAGAAAACATCCTTGTTCTTCTACTGTATGTTGTATGGTAAAATTGTCAATTAGTTGAAAGATATACTGTTAAGGAAAATAGGAATCACAGAAAAGCAGAAGTTAGATTATTAGGGATTTTGATAAAGCAAAACAAGACCAGTATGATATGTATCATGTCTTGTCTGCATGAAACGTTTGTTTCCGTTTATTCTGCCATGAAAGTATCCAGTTCAGGATCTCTGTGGCACTACCAGTTTAATAGAACAAACAGAAGAGATGCAATAGTTTTCACGTCTTCTTAGTTCTGTTGTTAAAAACCAGCTGCAACTCATCTACTCCCCTGAGTCAAAGGATCATTGGTGGCTCAACCAATGTCATTGATGGGGCTATAAGGTCAATTGTGCATATATTGGATTTGCTAACTTTCCCATTTTAGCTCACCATTTAGACTAGGTAGAATTGTGTCTACATAGATTTAGTCATCAATTTCAGTTTCTTTAAATTCCAATCAACTCATTTCGAAAAGAACAGAAAGTGATTCTCATTTTGAAAAGAGTAAAAATTGATGACATGACCGTTATCTCAATCTTATTTTGATTGAGTTAGCTGCTGAAAGGTAAAGAGGTTCTGTAGGCATGGAAGTGCAAGATTAGAGTGCATGTAATAGGGAGCGGGAAAAAAAAAATCGTGCAAGAAAGGATTTGTTAATGTGTGTTATACAAAACCCTAATCTTTGAATAGCCTCAGAAGTTTTAGGCCTCCAGACAATATCCACACGAGTAAATCCCTAGAACCAAAATTTCTTCATAGCAGGAACGTAGTCAAATATATCAAGAGGGGGAGGCCGTCCAAGAAAAATGGACAAGGTGAAAAAATGTCTTACCGTGCATTCAATCCCATTTAAAAGATTAAGGGCCTCTCTTTGTTGGAGTAAATTATAAATTAGTCCCTCTAGTTTTTCAAAAGAATTGAATATCAATAACTAATTAATTGGTCTTTATATTTTTTTAATCTATTTGTAATTTAATCATTTTCATTTTGTTGTTTTAATAAATTGAAAAATAAAAAAAATAAGTAAAAACATACTAAAAGTTGATGAGAAAAGAAGATATATATTTTTTAAAATAATATATTAAATCAATCATGGTCAATACTAGTTAAGTGATTAATTAATTAGTTTTTGAAAGATAAAATAAACTATTTAATTTAATTTACAAAACTAGAGGAACTAATTTATAATTTACTCTTTTTTTTCTTTTTTTTTTTTTTTTTTTTTTTTTTTTTGCAATAATAGGACAAGTGGGCTGCTTTTTATCTAATCTTCCTAGGGCTGAACCTTAAGAGGGCCCAAACTCATGAATTCCTGAATCCCGTAAGCTGTGAAGTTGAAGGTTTGGAATAGTTTACATGTCATGTAAAAAATTACTAGTTTTTTTAATCCGTGTTATATTATAGATCAGACAAAACACATAAAATTATTTTAGTTTGATATTCTATATTATATTATGCATGTATCAAATTAAAACTGAATAAAAATTCATTCAATTTTTAAAATTTTTAATTATAATCTTATATTTGATCGATTATTCTTTATATTTTTCATAAATTTTTTTATTAAAAAAATATTATTTATTTATCTCTATCCACAAACTAAAAAATTTATAATAATATTAAATTTTTTTCAAAATCAATGGATTGTTAGTTAAAAACTTATTTTATAAATTATTTTTAATATTTTTTTGCCTTAAGATTTTTAATTAAAAAAATCAGAGAAAAAAATAAAGGATCAAAGTGATCAAAATGAAACAAAAAAGAACCAAAATTAAACAAAAAAATTTGCAGACTAGAAAAACAATATTAAAAAAAGAGAGGCTAAAGTATCATGTATGAAAATTTTCATAATAAATATTTTTAAAATATTAAAAAATTACAAAAATATTACTGTATAGTAAAAAAAATAATACATAATCTTAGCGAATAGTGCTTGCAAATTTTTAATAGGGAGAAAATAAGAAATAGTGTTACTAAAAATAAAGGATTATATGTCATATAAAAAGCTACATATTCGCTGTGAAATGGGGAATTTATTCTTATTAAAAATAATCGTAGCAAAATTTTTTCCACAAATGAAAGTTAAAATAAAAATGTTAACTATTTTATCAAATAAAAAAATTATAATTTAGTTTAAAAATATGCTTTTTAATATGATTTATTTTAATTAATCTAATAATTTTATCATTAGTGTCATGTAAACTGATTATAGAATCATAAATTAATTCAGGGATTCGGTTCTTTTGAAAAATTTTATAAATTAATTAAGAGATCCGATTTTTTTAAAAAAATTATTAAATTTTTTCTGAATATTAAACAAATAAATTTATCCGAAAATACGTTTATTGTCGAAAAAAAATCCGGACGGGATCTACATTAGGCTCCATTTAAACTCCAGAGGGCTCGTTGGACGCCTAAGCCCACGATTTCCAACACCCGGCCTTGTAAGGGGTCACTGTCAGTCTCATCCGACAGACAATGATGTATGCTTCTCTCACACTTCCTACCAGTCCCAACATCCCTGCCTTGCCTGGATCGCAAAAAATCTGCCGAAGCCATCTCTGTAGCCAGCACATCCGAGCAGACTAGAGCAGAATGAGCATGAATTTTTCATTCCAGACTCACATTTTCCTTCTGATGCTTACATTTTTATTGAAACCCGGAAACGCCTCCATTCATGTCTACAACCAAGAATCCTTGAAAGAAGTAGGAAATTCTTATCTTCTATCCGGTGGAAGCGAAGGCATTTCCTCCTCCTCCCATGCCCGCTCTTTCATCCGGTATGTATATACCCATCTACGTTTAATCTGATCTGATCTGATCCGATCTTGTGCTTGACAACTTAACTTACTGGATTTATGAATACCTCTAGGTTTGAGAATGTGAGTTTCTGGAGGCCCAAATCGGCGGCAAAAAGCAGAGGATTAATACAGGTTGTGGTTTTTGAGGCAGCTGATAGGAATAACATTGGTGGGTCTGCTTATGGCGGACAGAGATCAATATGTTGTACCTCTGATCTTGCTAAGCTTCAAGGGTGTAAACAAGGTGAGGTTATTAGGATACCTTCTGCCGCTGATGTGAATTGGCCCATTATTCTAAATCTACATTTCAGTCGTAATTCTTTGTCTACAAGTATTAAAAATCAGGAGGAGGTTAGCATATCCAAGACTGGAATGTATAACTTGTTCTTTATTGCTTGTGATCCAAAACTCAAAGGAGTAGTAATGAGTGGCAAGACTGTTTGGAAGAATTCTGATGGTTATTTGCCTGGTAGGATGGCACCTTTGATGAGGTTTTACGTGTTTATGTCGTTTGTGTATTTCGTGCTTGCTGTTATTTGGTTCACCCAGTACATCAGGTTTCGGAAAGATATACTGCAACTTCAACATTGTATCTCGGCGGTTGTTGGTTTAGGACTGTTTCAGATGATTCTCTGGTATTGTGAGTATGCCAATTTTAACCGCACTGGAATGAGGCCAGTTGTGCTTACTACTTGGGTTGTCACTGTTGGAGCTGTAAGGAAAACAATTGCTCGCCTTCTTGTACTCTGTGTTTCTATGGGGTATGGTGTTGTGAGGCCTACTCTTGGTGGTCTTACCTCGAAGGTGCTTCTTCTTGGAATCACTTATTTCTTGGCATCTGAGTTGCTTGATATCACTGAGTATGTGGGGACTATTAATGATCTATCAGGGAGAGCAAGATTGTTTTTAGTACTTCCGGATGCCTTGCTCGATGCATTTTTAATATTGTGGATTTTTACTTCTCTTTCACGAACATTAGAGCAGTTACAGGTAACCATTTCCGCTTTTAATGTTTTCTAGTCTTGTTGCTATCCTGCTGCTCGTTTGCTTTGATCATGCCAGTTTTGCCATTTCTGTTTCATGTTGTTTCAACTTTCAGGAACTAATATAAAATTATTTTCATCCAGGCAAAAAGAAGTGCTGTTAAGTTGGATATCTATAGGAAGTTCTCAAACGCGTTGGCTGCTGTAGTGTTTGCTTCTGTTGCTTGGATAGCATATGAGGTATCATTGCTGGCCACGAGCGCACTGTCTTTTATGAAACTTCTCGCAATTATATTTCTTATGGTAGAAGTTAACATGTTATATCTTCTGTTTGTCGGTTCACTGACCTCACAAATTTTCTTCTGGAGGTCTTATAGCCTGTTATTATGCCAATACTCTTGGTTGCAACTTATTCTGGGACAGTTAACTAGCACTTTTGTTGAGAAGACTCTCTTGAACTGGATCATTCGTATTAAGTTGAGCTCCTTGGCATTCAGATATTAATATAACTAGCTCTTGAATGGTTGGTTGATAAAGGAAGATAAATGATGACAAATTAATACAGGAAGTGCTTTAAATAGTTTCTGCAGGGGGATTTAGATAATTAGGAGATGCTCTCTGTTCCAGCAGCTTTACGCTTCTTCTTCTTTATCAAAATGGCATGCAGTTTGGCACAAACATGTTGGTGGGTTGAATTTAAGTCTCAGGGTCTGAGAGTTTGAACTACCATACCGACAGATTATGTGAGGTTTCATGAAGGGTGAGGAAGCCTTATATAGACCTCTGGTTCTGTAAATGAGAGACGAAAAGAATAAGCTTTGAACTTTATCTGAAGTTTGCAAGTTCTTGAATCAGTTTGGCTACTTCAGTGCTATATTTCTTTAATTTTCCTTGAGCAGCAGTGCTCAACAAATAGCAGTCAACTTAATCATCTTTTGGGCTAACAAACATCGATATGTACACAGAGAGAGAGGCCCCTGATGTTTGTGACAATGAGTTATGTTGCTTCATTTTACACAAGCTGCATTCCTGTGTGTGATTTAGAAGGCTTGTTTGTGGAGATTTTTGCAATTTTTTAATATGCTCCTTACTGCACAGTTCCTTTCAAAGTTTAAGTTGGATAATGGTTATAAATATGCAACTTTAGAGGACAACACCGTGGCTTATTTGTGTGTCTAGATTTCCAAGATCTTTTGCGATGGTATAGCCATTTGTTCATGTCTTGTGATAATTATCAGAAAGCCTTGTTCTGGCTCTAATTGAAAATAGATATGGGAAATCTCTTTGCGGGCATATTCTAGAAAGCAGGCAACAAACCTCAGTCCTCAAACAAACCCCAGGGTAGAGAATTAGACTTGCTTTTTCTCTAACCGTTTAGTATTTGCTACTGATTCATGCCACTATTACCCTTAACCTCTCTTTGATAGTTGTTAATAACCTTGTTCTTTGGAAACAACTGCCTTCCTGTTCTGCTGATATTTCTTATGTTAGATGTTCTCTTCTAACAAAACTTCTCTATTTTACTCTCCTAAACAGGCCAAAATGTTTATATTGGTCAATTCATGTGTCTGATGTTCTCTGTACAGCTTTACTTCAAAGCAACAGACCCATTCAGCGAGCGGTGGCAGAGTGCTTGGATCATCACTGCTTTCTGGGACATTCTTGCATTTGCGTTGCTCTGTGTTATCTGCTATCTGTGGGCTCCATCTCAAAGCTCTCAAAGGTGCAGCATTATCTCAATATTTCATTTGATGATGAAAATCTCTTTTCAGCTGAAAAATATAAAAGAAAAAAAATTGTTTCTGTTTTTTCTTTTAAAGAGCCTTTTTATCAAATTTCTGATGGTCATGTTGATTATTTGACGAGTTCTTTTCATTTCAAAATCATCTGGAATGACCATTGATTTGTCAAAAACAATCCTCTGACATCAAACTGTTTTAAGAGCAAATTTTAATGTTTTATTTTCTGTGGTTCTGTAGTGTTCTGCGGCCAATTTTAAGTGAAAAGTTTTTGCCAAAAATTTCTTCTTTTTTTTTCCTTGAACATGTGAGTCTACAATCTCTATATTTTTCGTTTTGACTTTTGCCGGCAACTTTCTTAGGTATGCCTACTCTGAAGAATTAGGAGAAGAATTTGATGAAGAAGAAGCTCAATCCCTGACCAGAGAAAAGCCAGCTGGTGACATCAGTTTAGTTGAAAAGAAAGAGAAGAGTCTTGGAGGCACTCATGTTTTCGACGAAGAGGGTGAGGCCGAAGAGGATAAGAGAGAATGATCAGCTGAAAGATTCTTTTCTAGCAACCTTATTCAGCAGAGCAAAACCATTCTGTCGATTTGAGCTCAAAGAGGTGATCATCTGTTTTCTATGCGCTCCAGGTGACAACCCTCTCGCTTGATCTACCGATATCTTTCCTGATTCACTGCTATCAAAATATGGCTAGGGTTCTTGTTCCTCTTCACAAGATTTGTGTAGTCTTTTTTCCCCACTGTTTATGTATGTCTAGGGTGGGTTGCAAATGGCTGTAGAAAATATTGTAAATGCTGGTTTGAAGCTTCAAACATTGGATCCCCATGCTTAGCTGAGCAGTGTATCATAGTGATTTGTGATGCTTTAAATCTTCTGTTTGTTAGGCATGTAATGTATTTTCAATGTGGTTAAAAATTATTCATCAATCTCATGTTTATGTGACATAAGAAAGTATAACTTTCGTCCTACTAAGTATTTTCTTATTGTATTTCTTTTAGATTTCGTCAAATGTGACAATTAGATTAAACTACCTAATAATTTTTCGAAGCACAAGAATGTTTACGTGGCAAACTAATACGAATAAATAGCACAAATAAATAAAGTAGAGACACTCAAAATGTAAAAAATAAAAGGTTTTTTTTTTCATAGTCAAATTCTGTATTTTTGTAATTTTTTTGGGTTTGATAGTATTCTGCATTGGGTTGTGTCGTCATCACGAGCGAAACATGTGTTTAGAATTTGATCATCAATATCGACAGATTTGATTATAAATAAAAATAGTTATAATATTTGAATTGAAAAAGTTTTAGCTTAAAATATAATCATTGGTGAACGCATAGTATATGGCATTATATATAATATTATTTTTTTAATTTGATTGAGATTTTTAAAAAATTTTTGTTTAAACAACAAGCTATTTTTATTTTTCTGAAATCTTTTATTTTATAATGTTACATATTAATCACATCTTAAAAAAAAATTATTTTACACTGATACATATTAATCACATCTCAAAAAATATAAAGTTTTAATTAAAAAAAATAAATAGAACTAAGATGCCAGTTAAAAAAAAAAAAATTCAAAAGATTGTATAGGTGGCAGCGAATCCAACGTAAGGGAAAAAAAGTTGATACGCATGATAAAAATCTGGAATGACATTTTTCTCCAGATGACTAGAAACAACGCAAGCAACGGCATAAAATTGCGATCCTCTGAACGACTCTTTCTTTTCTCTCTCTCTTTTTTCCCACGTAACAGCTTTGTCAGATTCCTACATTACAGCTTTTGTCATCAACAACATAACAAACAAATTAGCCTCATCATCCTCGTAATCAACGCAAGGTACGTACGAACAGCATCGACTAATTCTTTCACGTTTTCTTTAATCTTTCTTGTTTTGCTCTTTTCCGATTTACTAGTTTTTCTCTCTTTCTTTCTGGTGCCATGCACAAACATCTTCAAGGTTAGGTTTCTTTCTTTCTTCGTGTACCAGCTACTAGCTAGTACTAAATTTGTGATGGATGATGGCCTAGATCTTAACGATCCTGCTTCATAGATTTGTCGAAGAACTACATCCCCAGATTCTTGCATATAATGCATAAAAGGAAAGATGGGAATTTTTTTTTTTCTGGCTTCAGTTTGTTCATGAATCACATGATTAAATACCTATTTGAATACCTACTATTCAGTTTGTTATAGTCTAGTTTTGCTTTTTTTAGAAAGAATGTTGTTTAGTTTGTTTTCTTATTTGTATTTTAAACTGTTATTATAACCATTTTCGTACTAGCTACTTTATATATATATATATATATATATTGATCGATTTTTATCCAAAAAAAAAAAAAAAACCTGTTTGAATAACCTTAACCCCATTTGTTTTGTTAAAACACACGAAAAAAGATAGGGTGGGGGGTATTTTCATCAATGAAACCTTGAAAAGTAAAGTGAGTTGATGGTATTCTTCTTGAATTGATTCCATGTTTTTGTTATTTTGTTTAAGGATCATTAAGATTATGAAATGGATCTTCTTGAAAAAAAAACTCAAGGTTAATCATGCAGTCATTTATGAAATTACTCTAGTTTTAAATCGTAAATGCCGTTAAAAAAACAATAGCTATCGCGAGTCGCAGGTCGTCTTCATTGTATAACACGAGACGCTCCAAAATCATTCTTCATTGTATAACACGAGATGCTCCAAAATCATTATATATCGATTGTTATATAACAACCCTTATTTAAATATATGTCTAGAATTTCTCTGTGAATGGCTGGGAATGAAGGTAAGATAGTTAGCTTAGTTGACAACTGGCTGAGCTGGCAGTTGAGTTGGCAAGTAAATGAGCTGGCTCTAGTTGTTTAGGAGTTAGTTAGAGAGTGTGAAAGGTGTGTGAGAATTTGTTGTGAAGTCAGCACAAATTCTCGCCTTCGTCTCTTATCTAGTTCTCTCTAACCTCTCTGTTCTTACTTCTGTACTTTTTCTTCTTCTTCTTCTTCCTACTGTCCATTGCATTGTTAGTGCTCAAGTTCTAGCATCTGTTTTTTCATTGATTAATTCTTACTGTTTTTCCCGCATGTTTTCTTTGCAATCAGCTTGTTTTTTCAGTTGATTAGGAATCGGAGTTGCATCAGTTAATTACCCACATTTATCATGGATGATAAAGGTGACCCATTTCCTCAGCTAGGGAGTGTATACAAAAAAAATCAACCGTAGTTCAAGTTAATCAGTTGAGCGAAAATGGGCCACGTATCGCTCTAAATTCTGCACAAGATGGGAAGATTGCTGCAAAAGCTTGGTCTACTCAGAACTCTGCACCCAGTGCATGGGGATTTTCAAGATCGCAGAAACTGGGGGTGCAAAGCAATGCTTGGACAACCCAAAATACTACTTCTAAGGATTCCCTTGGCAGAGGAAATGGATTGCCTTCTCAACAGAACAATTACCCCAAACAGAGACAGAATTTGTCTCAAGTTGGTTCTGCTAGCTTCAATGGCCGGGAAGAGAGTCAGGCCAAGGATGAATCTGTCTCGAACCATCAAGTTTCTGGCACCGACAATGATGACGAAGATGACATTGATGGTGATGCTGTGTTTGACAGTGATGATGATTCTGATTCTGATTTAGATGCAAGTGAAAAGAGCTATGATGTGCTGAAGAAGAGCAGGCGGTTCAAGGCATTCTTTGATGATTTCGATAAACTTACTGTTGAGGAGATAAATTCACCAGCAAGGAAGTGGCACTGCCCTGCTTGCGAAGGAGGCCCTGGTGCTATTGACTGGTACCGAGGCATGCATCCCCTAGCATATCACGCAAAGACAAAAAAGACTAGAAGGGTGAAGCTCCATCGCATATTTTCTGAAATTTTGGATGAGGGGATGCGTAAGAAGGGAACTTTAGTAACTCCACTCGGTGAATCCTTTGGCAGATGGCAAGGACTGGATGCGAGAGTTAAAGATTATGAGATAGCTTGGCCTCCAACTGTTATGATAATGAACACGAGATATGAGCAGGAGGAAAATGGCAAGGTAATTTAGTACTTTCTTCTTTTCACTACTATGAAATGAATGACTGAAACTTTGTATATAGATAATTTTTTTCCCCTGAATTGGATTCTAGCAGTGGACTGGCATGGGAAATCAAGAGCTTCTGAACCACTTCAGTTCATATGCTGCACTGAAAGCTCGCCAATCGTATGGTCCACAAGGGCATAGAGGGATGAGCGCTTTGATTTTTGATAGCACTGCAGCGGGTTATTTAGAAGTAGCCCGCCTTCATAAGCATTTTATAGACCAGGGAAGAGGCCGAGATGCTTGGAATTGTAATCGGGTTTCATTCTGTACCGGTGGCAAGCGCCAGCTCTATGGTTATATGGCTTTGAAAGAAGATTTGGATATCTTCAACCAGCATTGCCAAGGTCCACTCTCTCTGTCTTTCTCGGGATGTGTATGTCTTGCCATGCAGTTTGATCTAATTTACAATGACAATGACAATAACAGTCTGCTTTCCTAGCCCAATGATATAAAATAATTAATAAGGTTGACACAGGATTCATCTAAAATGATATTCTTAAGATGAGCTTGAGCTAATGTGTTGATATAGGTCTGCAACTACAGGTTCTAGATTTTAGAGTTTAAAATGAGATCTAAAAACCATGTTAATAAGATCCAGAATTGAATGCAGTGCTGAGTTCGAAAAGGTGAGTAGTGATTATGAGTTCTTTAATATTCTGATACTTGAATTTTGACATGTACAAATCCTCAATAGTCTTGACATTAGGCCTGTTACTGTAAACTGCTGAAGCAAGATGTTGCTATCCTCTGATTCTTGGAATGGTGGTAGCTACATCTGCAGCCACATTTAACTGCATATGAAATTGGTTAGGTAGGAATAATCTCAAATTTAAGATGGTGTCGTATCAAGAGATGGTTGGAAGCCGCATAAAGCAGATAAATGAGGATAGTCAGGCGCTTGTCACTTACAAGAACAGGTTTGCCGTAGAACATATGCAGTCACAAGTTCTCGCTGAGTCCCTGTGCAGATTGAGTGATGAACTGAAGAAGACTATGGAAGAAAATCGTGTTGTGAGAGAGCAAACTAATTTGCTGCACGAAGAGACCAAGGAGGAGGTAACATTTTTAAACTGCAAATTGGTGTTACTGTTAATGTTTCTTATAGCACATCTCTTGTTGTTAGAATAAAATGAAGTTGGTGAAGGTTGCTATCTGTTGATCATTTCCTGGGCAAGACAATGCTGAATTAAACTGTTTGCTGCGAAATTTTCAGAAAGTCTTAGGCACAGAAGGTTTGCTTAAATTGACTGGTGTTAGATGCAGGGCACCCTATCAGACCATGTATCATTGTTTTTCGTGCATCCTAATGTTTATATTCTACATCTATTTTATATCGTCCTTGTGTGTAAGTTCTACATCTATTTTATGTTGATTTCTGCATGAAAACGATTAGACCATTAGAAGAGAGCTTTGAACAATTTCAAGTTGCAAACCAAAACAAAGAGTAGAAGAAGAAAATAGTCCCACAAAACCAAAGGATGATGCATGCTCATTTTCAGCTCAAGGAAGATATTTAGCGTTTATGGTAGCTATTCATAATGAAGAATTTCCAACTATAACTTATTTTAAGAAAATTCCTTATTCTGCATTATTTATGGCTCGCTACTTTGCTCCTCTTCTCCTTTTGTCTTGCATATATCAGAAGTTTCAACTGTATTCTGCTGCATGTTCATAATTTAGCCATCCAACAATGATCTACACTATGCTCCTTCTTGGTAAATTGAAGGATGCATTGTTTTGAAGGAAAAACATAGCTCTTGGATGGTGTAATTCATGTAAGTTAAGAAAATCCTATTAATAAAAATACTATAATTGGCAGGACTTACAGAGAATTGAATATAATGCACAGGGCACTCCTTTGCACTCGTACCTACTCCATGCTACTGTGCTCATATTGTATTCTTTACATCTGCTTTCTCTGTTCTGAGGCATTCTTTTCCAGATGGATTCCCAAGAGAACTTTTTCAAGGATCAAATCAAAGTTATCCATCAGGCTATAGATGCAAAAGAAGATAACTTTGAGAAGTTGCAGCAGGCAAAGCTAGAGAAAGCTAAACAGTTAAATGCAAATCCCTCAACTGCAGAAAATTTGGACAGGTAACAGTACCTTAGCTAGAGAAGTTTACTTACTCAATTATACCATTCAGCCTTAGGTTGAGTGTTACTAACCTTTCTGGCTTATCCAGCAGGTCACAAGATCGACCTAGTCGACCTTCATCCCCCTCCCCACTTTGGAGACCAAAAAAAAAAAAAAAAAAAACTATGCATCCTCAGTAGAAAGCAATGAGTTAAACAGTCACGTCTATGTTCATTTTAATGCTAGCAATTAGAAAAATACCGAGTGGTTACACTTGTGCAGAATATCTGTTCAAATTCTAAACTTACATGGCCTAATAATGTTTTTGAAAATTCTGTGCGAATAGGGTGGAGGACATCGATACGTTCATAAAACTACAGGATAAAGAGATGGAGGAATTCAAAGCAGAGAGAAAGAAGCTGATAAAAAGCCATGAAGACGAGAAGGCTGCACTTATGAAGATTTACTGGGAGGAACTGCTTGAGTTGGAAAAGAAGTTTGAGAATGGAGTAACCCAGCTTATTGAAAAGTACACCCCAAATCAGAATCACCCCCTGATGTAGAAACCAAGAAACAGCCATCAAATTTTGAGCGGACATGAGACAACAGAGATAGGATATAGAGAAAAAACAACCCTACACATAGTATACATGCCAAAGAAGCAAGAAAAACATTCATTTTATCATCATTTTTGGAAATGTAGAATCACTCGATCACCATTCCCTTCCAGTTTTGTTTAATTTTCAGCAGCAGTGTGTGAAGAATGATGTGGAGGTGATGATTAAATTGAGCTTACCTTTCCAAACTCGAAGCAAATGTTGTCCATGATGGACAATGGAGGCCATTTTAAGGGCCATAGGTTTCAAAGATTGTTCTGAAATCAACCATCATTTTTACTCGAACTCCATACCATGCAAGAATCCCTAATTGCGGCTTTCCAGTTTCAGTGGTTTTTTTCACACACACCTTGCTGTTTGTTAGAAGGGATTGCGGGAAGGGTGAATGAGAGGGGAGGGGCTGATCAGGAGGAAAGATTGAGCGTATCTATCGTTCTTCCTCATATGAAATTTTCAATCTTTCCAATTTGAGAGATTTGGCTTTCATCCTTTTTCTTCGTTTATAATTGTTAATGCTTTCCATTGGATGGATTTACTTTCCTACTTTTTTTTTTTTTAAGTAAACCCATCTATCCCTTTTCCTCCTTTATCTTTTCATTTTATCACACAGGGAAGTTTTGTTTTGGCTAATTAGTTTTAAAATACCTTGAATTTTTGGTCAAATGAAGAAAGATTCTCAACTTGTAATTTTTCTAATTTAGGTCTAAATTTTTTTTTAGTAAACTATTAAATTTTTTGTTTCCGTTGATCAATTTTTAGTTGCATGTAAAAGTAAAATTATTAAAAAAAAAATCCAAACTCAAATTAAATACTCAAGACTCATTATTTATATCTACCAAGTATTCGATGAAATGTCTTGATTCAGAAGCCATTTATATAAAGCAAAATTACGCAGAATTTTAAACAGTTACGAGGACTAAAGAGACAACAATAGGATCTACAAGAAGGAGCTTGGGTTCAGCATGACAAAGGAGGAAAAAGATGGTATGCGTCAAAATGAGTGCTGATGGTGTTGGGGATTGCACCAACCATAGGAATTGCAAGTCAAAACGAGAGTTGATGGTGTTGAAGATGGCACTAACCGTAGGAGCTGCATGTCAAAATGAGTGTTGATGGTGTTGAGGATGGCACCGCTCATAAGGATGAGTTCTCTTAATTTTTAGACGTCATTCTACTCTAACCAAAGAGATGCTTGAATCTTTACTTTGTACGGTTGTTGCTGTTGGTTTGAATTCGAATGTCTCGTCGTTAAAAGCATCTTCAAAGCCAAAAAGTGGATGATAAAAGTTCAGGTGGAAATGGAGAAATGGAGACCAACAAAAGCAAGACAAGAGCAAAAGAGATGCGGAAACGAGAACAATTCCATTTCTCAAGGTTGGAATTGGGGAGAAATGGGGATTAACTGCCTAAGTTAACATGTCTGAAAATGACTCTATCAAGACACATGTCGTTTTTTTATTGGATCACATAACTCTCAATAATGAAAATTTTAGTTTGAAATTGGATAATAAAAAAGAAGGAATTGGTTGTTGATGAACAAAAATATTCGGGATCTAAATAAATAAAAAAATTAAATGTTCTATTTGATCAAAAGTTCATAATACTTAAAAAAATTAATTGGTTTTTTATTGGATCAAGTATGAGAATTTTAATATGAAATTGTATAACCCAAAGGAAGGACTTGATTGCTGACAAAAAAATCCGAGACCTAAATAAAAAAAATTAAATGTTGAGAATTTTTTCTTATTTAACCAAAAGTTTAGAATACTTTGAAACCAATTAGTTTTTTGTTTTTATTTTATTGAACTTCCTCGTAATCTTTCTTTATTAATTGAGAAAATTTTAATTTTCCTCTTAGGTTTATGGAGTGTCTTAATGTCACCCAAAAGTTTGGTTCGTGTCAATTAAACCTCTCAACTTTATTTACATTTTCAATTTTCTCCTTCTGTCTACAAACTAACGGAATGGATGACGTGGCATACTTTATGTCTCAATTGACCCTTGAAGTATGGAAAGGTTCTCAATCAAACACCCATCCCTGGGTCATGAAATAAGGACAAAATTGAATTCTTAGAAACCGAGTGGCAAGTTGGTTTTATGGGCTGATTAAAGACCGCATCTTTCATGGGCTTGGCCCATTTGTTCTATATGCTATTTAAACGTTACGCCGGAGCTTCTTAGAGCATCTGTCTGTGACTGTGAGCAAAAGAATGGGAACAAAGACAGAGAGCAGGAAACCAGTGGCTCTGTTCATGGCTTTTGGTACCAAAGGCGATGTTTACCCTATCTCTGTGAGTTCCATCTTCTAATCGGAGTATAACTCTTTTCTTTCTTTGTTTTTTCTTTCCAGTTTAGTTGGGAATTAGAGAATTTATGGTGTTTTTTTATTTTTGTTTTTGTTTCAGGCCATTGCCGCTGCTTTTGCTGGTGATCAGAAACAATACCATGTGGTTCTAGTAACACATTCAGCACATGAGGTTTGCATTTCCTCTTTGGTTTATTCTTAATTAATTGTAGAATCAGCTATGCATTGTCCTTATATATATATATATATATATATATATATATATATATATATATATATAATTATGCTAGTTTATCAATCTTTGATGAGAAATACTATATTCCACTGCAGTTCTTTAACCTACCTGAGAATATTTGTAGTCTTCTTCTGTAGAATAGAAACAATACCTTCTATAGGTTGTGCCTTTGGGCATATATTTTGTTAGTCCAAGAAACCTTTGATTACATTTTTCTAGTGTAGCCATAACTTGTGAATGGGTTGGCGAGGTTGAAAAGTCATTTTTGAGTTATGCCCCTAGGATGAAATCAACCTAATACAATTGCAAGGTGTTCTTCAATATAGACCCATGCTGTTCTTTAGTTTCCTTTTCTTTTCCCCCATGTCTTTTTTGCACCTTTTCTTCCCTGGAAATTTTTGGTTCATGTGGATATGCTATATCTTTCTCTCTTTTTTACTGATAATTTTTTGAACTAGACCTGCTGATGTTATAAATGTTGTTGGGTTTCTTGCAGAACTTAAGTTCTATCTTGGAAGAAAGACATGTTACTTTTCTAGCAATTAATTCACCACCGGTTCTTTCTGTTTGCGACAATTATGGTTGTACAGGTTCTAATCTCAATGGTTATGCTATCTTTCCTGTCTATAAGAAGGCTAATCTTTTTGGGAATAGAATTGGTTTTAGTTTCACAATGAATTAACTAACCAATCTGTCGTAATGGACTATTTCTTTAACAGGATCACATGAGTTAGCTTTTTCACAAAAAAAAATGATTGTGACTAGTGAGCACAGACAAGAATGCTATTCAGCAGTTGAAGGGATGTTTGGACATGGTCCAACCATGGAGGGTGATTTTATTCTGATAAATTTTTTTGCATTGGTATATCTTCTTGGAATTCTAGCCCATAGAAGCTCTTCCAATGTGTTGAAAATATAGCCTGGATTTATATGGCTGCCTTGATGGAAGTATCCACCTGATAAAGGAAAAGGTTGCTTTGCATACTGGTACAGGAAGGGTGGAGCCTTGCAGAACTTTTTCGTATCCGTTGTGTGGTTGCTGCTCCTTATGTTGTTCCATACAGGTAGTGATATTTTCTCTGACAAGTCTGAATTCTCTATATTTTAATGACTTGCCAATGGTAGTGTTGAAGGACATTTTGTGTGTTCCAGTCTGCAATAATTTTTGTGTATAGGCATTCTTACTAATTTAAGTACTTATGAAGTATGAACACAGCTGCAGTTATAAAAATGTATGCATCTAAGGCAGTGGATTACATGAATATAGAATTTCATTTTATTAAAATAAAATTGAATACAAAATTTGTTCCTTGATGTCATTTATGAACATGGAGAAAAGAGAAGAGAATTACACATGTATCTATTACGTAATTTTGTGAACATATTGTTGGTTCCATCCATGATTCAAAATCCCATAGTGATGAAATAGCAACAAAAACTATCGTAGGTATTAGTGGGAATATCCAGTCAAACAGTTCAACTTTTCATCAAGCTTGGGTTTGGATTCTATGCTGCTGGCTCCAAAAGCTGAGCAGGTGTAGGGTGTGAAAAAAGTTGGTACAAGACAACTAACAATAAGGGTGTTTAAACTTCCGCTTAAATTATAACTTGAGGACTGCATTCCATTTGTGTGTAGAACTAAAATTATAAGGTTACAATGAATGATGGTTTTTTTTTTCCTTTGAGTTTCGATAGTCACTTAAATGTGTTTTGTGGAATTTGATGTCTGGCACTAGGCGAGGTTGTTTTTTTGACCTATGAATCTTTGGAAGTTCACAGAAACTTTCTGTTTCCTGTCTTTTTTGCATTTCCCTACTTTCTAATGCAAGTTCTCACAATATCTTGTTCTGTAGATTTCACTGTAAGATGTGTGAATATCTAGTTTGTTCATTTTATTGTTAAGTTTTACAATGTGTGATTGACTCTTAATGTGCTTTTCAGTGCACCTTCCTCATTTGAGAATCACTTTAGAAGAGAGCATCCCCTTTTGTATAGATATCTTCAAGAAGCTGACAGTAACCAGGTGCTTCAAAAGTCTCATGTAGAACCATTTTCTTGCTTGTATAACAACAGCACAATTTATGTTTTTGTCTCGTACTTTCTCCTAGTATGTTCAAATAGGTTTATGATGTGCAGCTTATGTACGAACTTTTTAACCTTGTTATGAACATAGGTTTGCTGGAAAGATGTGACTCACTGGATGTGGCCACTTTATACTGAAAATTGGGGATCATGGAGAAGTGATAATTTGAATCTGAGTCCCTGCCCTTTCACTGTTAGTGATTTTGGATATAAGATTTCCTTGTTTCATGGAATGAATTTATGATTTCCACTTCCTGCATGTGCATTGAAATCATGATATTTTGTTGCTAGGATATGTTTCAACTCATTAAATTTCTTATACAATAAATCCAGGATCCAGTAACAGGCCTTCCCACATGGCATGATAGGCCACCATCTCCCCTGCTGTTGTAAGTGACATTTTCCTTTTTCTACAAAAAAACTGCCATCAACGTGCTTTATTATGGTTACAAGCAAAGGAAAGGATGATTGTTCCATTGTGGCACCTCTGAGAATTTAAATGGTTTCTAGGTTTTGTTTCCATGGCATTCAAAGTTTCATTTGAAAGTATGAGATGAATTATTTTAGATGATCTTTGAATCAATGTCCATGTCTGGCTAGAACAAATGAAGCAAGAGTAAGCCTAAGAAAAAGGAAAAAGACAAGCAATCAAAGCAAGCAGTCTCTGCCAAATGCCAATGGCTTGCCATCTGTAATCTACTTGGAAATTGCATCATTATCTCATGCTTTATATCTAGTTGGGAATGACACCCAAATTCATATGCATTCTATCTTCTTCTTTTTTTTTTCCATTTTAATTGGACAGTTTTATTAAAAACTTGAATATTCAACTGTATTTCTATCTGTTTGATTTCTTTTGAGTAAATAACAATAACCACTTGAGCCAATATCCAAAAGCTTAATGACTTCCCAAAAAGCTTTTGTCAGGTTTAAAAAATACTACAAAACACCATGAATGCCCCTAATGCCCCCAGTTATCGCACAATGCCTACACTAAATTGAAATTTAGTTTTTGTTTATGCACGAAGTATTTTAAATACTTTGATACTATTATTTCAATGTTAGTTAATGAAAATGTTTTTTTGGAAAAAAAAAGTCATTAGGATAATATTCTAGTGATTTTTTTAAATAATTTTTTTTTCGAAAGAATAATCGAATAGGTCAATATGCTTGTATTTTGTTTGATATTGGTTTTCAATCAAAATTAAAACTGCATTATACCATACATTTGCCTATCTTGAATTTTTTTTCTTACATTGGATATTCATATGTTTTTTGTTAGGAACTAATGGGTTTTTAATTTTCGACATTGAACATAAATTCATTTATATAGTAATGCATTATTTAATTTTTTTAAGAAATTCAATAGATAGTTTGTCGTAATGAATTATTTGATTTTTTTAAATGATATTTTTGTTAATTTTTGAAGTCATGATATCAAAATAATTCAAATAGCTAATGTATAAACAAAAGGTAACTTTAAACTCTGAAAGACAATTTTGGTTTAAATGGAGGTAATTTGGTCACAAAGTGTTCAGTAGTATTACTTAAATAGGGTTTGTAGTCAAATTGCCGAACTTTTGGGTTCTGCTTGTAATTGCACGATAGCTCAATGAGGTTTTTGTAATTTACCCATTTCTTTTTGCAACAGGTATGGATTTAGCAAAGAAATTGTTGAATGTCCAGGTAACCACATTCCTTCACCTCTCTAATATGATATTTCTGCTTCGTTTGTTCCCTCTTCTCTTCTGCCTTTGTCTTTCACTCAAATGACTGTAGACTTGTGATTTGATGACCATCATAACCTCAAAGCATGTAAAATTGCCAAGGCAGTCCATAATCCATAATTTGCTTCTCATTTTTCCTTACAAAGAGGTTATTATACATTACTTATTATCTTTGATTGTGAGAAACATTTAAGCCCATCAACGTTGTATCCTATCATGTCAACCTCGACACTTCTGCTATTATGTTTGAACACTCTCCAAGTAGTTCCATTAAGTTTAAGATTCTCTACTGCATAGAATTTAATAGATTATACCTATAGTAAATTAAATATATAGCACCATTGGAACCACAATTATTTGCATAAAAGGTATAAAGATCATTATTTGATGCAGGATGGGAAGGAAAAGTTTAAGACTATCAGCAGTAGTCTTAGAATATACATTTATTTGATGGTGATTTAAGAAATTAGATAAAAAGCAATGAACTACCAGGCTCACACCTTTATATTCAAAGACTCATTGTCTGCAAGATCCCATCTAGAAAAAAAATTCTGTAAAATTTGTCTGTCCTTTTGCATTCATAATATGCAATTGTTCTTTAGCATGGAGAGTATGCATGTGAAGTCTAAAGTCATTGTAGCTTGTACTTGTCATTATGCTGGTGTCCTAGCATGCAAAGTATCCATTTGATGCCTCTAGACATAGTAATTTTTATTGTGCTGCCTGTAGATATTGTAATTTGCTTTTGTCCTTTAGCAAGTGAAAAGAGCACAAAGGAACAAGTCGTTGTAACCAGGCCATCTCCTTCCTATATATTGAGACATATTGTCTGGCACATGGCTAACTTAGAAGAATAGATTTCCTATTATTCAGGCTACTATCCTGTGTATAACCACCAACAAGATCACAAAAAAGAGAACCAATTCTCTAAGAGAAAACTGAAATTTTTTGTTTTTTAATAATCGACGTCCTTTTGATGTCAAGGTAAGGTGTATGTTAGGCTCCAAAAGAGATAAAATAGGATAACCCAATAATAGTACTAATTTGATAAGGAAATTAAAATCCTAATTTAACTACTAAATAATAAATACTCGTATTCCTAAAAATCCAGAATAATCATACAATATCAAAATTCCTAATAGTCAAATAATAATTCGCATTGTTGTCTTTCTTCATCTCTGTTATTCTCTCTTGAGTGGGAAAAACTTGACCTTGAGTTTCGAAGTGTTGAAGTAGCAAAAACTCCATGAACTCGCATGTACTCTATAGCTTGAAGAAAACTTTTTCTTTGACACTTTTTATTCTTTTTTAATGCTGTTTGGAGGGAACTACGTAGTCAATGTGATCAACCTCTTTAAACTCTTCAATAGTCGAATCTTCACCTTGTGACGCTTCAAATTTGTTTTGTACAAGATCCATTCCTCAAACTTCTTTATCATTGTAGCTATGGCCATCATGTAACTTCACGATCTCCATTTCCTCTAACAAGTTTTCTTCGATGTCATCATCATTGTATCCATCAATTTGTTCTATTATACCTTCACTTCCACTTCTAGTCTTACAAAATCTGAAATTTCCTGTTGTTTCATTTCTTGCTCTCTTTTTTCAAAAGATTTTTTACTTGATTCTACAAAAGAGGATAATGAGAATACATTGAAGAAAATAATGTAAAATGGATGGAATTTCTTTATGAATTGTTGAACTACACGAGTACCATTGTAATTATATGGCATAAAAATTAGTTTGCTCTTGTAAAATACATGTCATTTTTAAAATGATAGTATTTTTACGTTAAAGTAAGTTGGGTTGGCGGCACTTGCTTAATGTTACTTTGAGGACTAAATTGACTAAAATTGAAAGTTCAGGGGCTTGAATGAATGTTTTGAAAGATGAAGGAAGTTGAGACTTTTAATACAATTATACAAGAGTATTATCATCTGTCAATGAGATGATCATGTGATTGACGTTGTGCTTTTCCATTTCTATCACACTAATAGTAGCATGTTAACAGATTATTGGCCATCAAATGTCCATGTTTGTGGCTTTTGGTTTCTCCCTAATGAATGGCAGATTTCCTGTAAGAAATGCCAAGAAATTTCAGATCCTTCTTATCCTGGGAATTTGAGAACAAAAGACGAAGTGTGCTCAACTCATGTCAAGTTACAACATTTTCTGACGAATCAAGCATCAATGCCACCTATTTTCATAGGACTAAGTTCTGTTGGAAGGCAGGTTCCTTACTTTTTTGTTTATGGACTGTTTATTTTATGAAGTTTTGATTATCAATGCACCCTTTTCTTGTAGTTTTTCTGAAATTTATTAACCACGATGTTAGGTTGAACGAAAATGGTTAATTGGATAGAATATTGACATCTTCTGAACATTGTGGACCTAGCCTGAATTCCAAATTTGTTTTTGTATAGACCTTTTTTGACTTGTTTAGAACATCAATGATGATCTTTCCTTGAACTGTGTTTCGCGTTTCCTTTGCAGCATGGGCTTCTTGAGGAACCCTCAAATATTTCTTCGGGTAATTCAAGCTGTCTTGGAGATCACAAAATTCAGATTCATCCTCTTTACTGCTAGCTATGAACCTTTGGATGAAGCTGTCCAGGCTATTGCCACTGAAGCATTACATCTAAATAAAAGACAGTACCTTGAAGAGGGAATCTGTCTCTTTGATGGCCGCCTCTTCTGCTTTCCTGGGTGAGTATTTTTTTTATTCCCTTAGATAGTAACTTGGAAAAGGAAGATTAACAATCAATCAGAAGGAAATAGTGAAAAGAGAGCTGTAACTTTTTGTGCAATGTTATCAAGATGCTTTGACACAGACATGTGGCAGTAACATCAATCAAATATTTGGGATAAAAAAATTTTTTACTCCCCCATTCTTTTGTATATCTAGCGTCCCAATGTGGTTCTTAAGTTTATAGCATGACAAATATGACATATGTGAAGTAAGACCCATGTGTTTGCAACGAGATTCAAATTCATTTTAGGTAATGATACATTGGTTTTTCTAACATGTGCCAAACGTTATTAACAATCTTGTGGAAGTTGCACTTCCAAAATTGTATTATAGGGGTCGTTAGAAATTTTAATGATAAAAAATTGAAAGGTCAAAATTAATTTTTAACTAAATTAGATCAATATTAAAAACAAGATTGAGATTTTGAAGCCATCTTATTTATTTATCCATTAATAACAAAAAAAATGGTGCATATCATTTTAAATTGATTTTCTAACTAAAGTCAACAAATCCACTGTCTGATAATAAACAAAATTGATTTTATTTGACTAATCATGTAGGAAAAAAAAATATTACTTTACGAAAAAAGTTGGAAAACAAATTTATGTTTTAACTATATCATGTGAAAAAGATTGAAGTTAGCCATATATATATGAGATACGTTGATTTTGTATGTAAATTAAGAACACCCTTATATATAACATACAATATAACGGTGGTTTCCTTTACTTTTTTTTTCCTTCCATGTTATCCGGTTATAAACAAAACCATTATCTGTTAATTGTTCAGTCAAATAGGGAAATCAATTAAATGAGCTAGTTTTTTCTTCCTTAATGGATAACAACATAGCTTAAAAATCTCAACTTTTATATGGTCCTCTAATTAAGTTAAAGGTTACATTTGACCTTTAAAAATTTATAGTTTAGCATTCTAACAGTCTATAATTTAAAAATTGTAATTTTCATAAGTTTCTTAATAACTTATGCCTTAGGGCACATGTTAGAAAAACCCATTTCATGATAGTTTTGTTGCATATACTGTCTAGATTAGGACACTACCTTAGTTTGGGAATTTGATCATGCATCCTGTAACTGAACGTTTGTAAGGCCTGCAGCTTTCCTAGCATAAATGTAAAGCCCTTTGGTGATGGACTTCTGAAACTGAGAATCTTGAGCTTTAAAAAGCCCCTTCTTGTTTGATCTACACTTTATTTACTATGATGGAAGAAAGACGAAAAAGGGAATGAAGGAGGTTTTTTTAACATTGTGGTCAAGTATTAGCATGTAAACAGAGAGTATTCTAGTGTTTAATCCCCACCGAGAGCTCTGCTAGGGGTTAAAAACTATTGAAGTAAGAACAAGAGTTTTCATATTTTCCTTTTGAAGCAATGAAAGCCTTGGGGCAAGTGAAATATTCTGAGATTAATATACATGGAAAGTATGCAGTATACTACCTTGTGTTCTAGCATGAATTACGGAAATTGTAATTCTGCTATGCTTACAGAAGTACTTATAACTGCGATAAATTCCATAGGAGATTGATTTAACACAATACTAATGATAAAAGATTATAAAACCATGTAGCTGACCCATTCAAGGAGCATTATTCATGGCTCTGCGGAAGATACACTTTACGCTTTCAAAATTAGGTGGAAATATCCATTAAATCCTCTTATCATGCATACATTAGTTGGCGAGGTAATTATTTTGGTAATATGAATGACCCCTTTATTTCATGCAAAACAGTATGGTACCTTACAAATGGTTATTTCCGAGATGTGCAGCTGCAATTCATCACGGGGGCAGGTGAGACTGAATTTGTTATTTTATTTCATTGAAATATTAACTTCAACGCATGAAATGCAGAAGAACTAATTAATTTTCCTTGCTTCTCTTTGTCTGTAAATTAGTGGATCCACTGCTGCAGCACTACATGCAGGAATCCCACAGGTTTGTGGCACTGCTAAACCCTTGTTTTATTTCATTGTTGTAGAACTCAAATAATGTGCAAGTTGTTTTGCTTTTCAAAGTCTCCAGTGTGCTGTTTGGGTTAGGGTATGCCAAAATAAATGATTTTCTGTACAATTCCAGAATGAAACTCTGATAGTTCCAGTGTGCTGTTTGGGTTAGGGCATGCCAAAATAAATGATTTTCTGTGCAAGTCCAGAATGAAACTCTGATAGGTCTGTAGCATATACCACTGTAATGGGACTGCCATGTCCATAGAGAGGAGTAGGGAGGGAGGGATACGTTAGGAGAAGAAAGAAGAGTAAAAAGGGGTGTTTTAGCAGAGAGCCATTTGATAAAAAGATGTATGGATGAAGGTGAGCGCTTTGGTTTAACCTCTGGCAAGAGAAGGCCAGCCCACGATCACAAATCTTATTCAAGACACAGTTTGTTGTGCTTGAGCAGCACCTCTCCAGACTGTCGGTTATTTTTCATTTACTTTAATGAGCGAAGTTATCCATCAGCCGTTAAACATAAATGATGTGAATGGATTGCAAAATTAGATTTTTCTTTGTTTAGAAGCAGTCTTCCATTTTTGACTGCTCATTCTTCATCTTAATCTTGCCAAATTGGTACCAATGTCTAGCAGCTGGGTGACAAATTTATAATACAGAGTTAGTAATTTTGTTATTTCTTTATTTGCAACGAAGGCTTTTGTCAAAAAGTGAATTTTCATACTAAACTCCAATATGATGCTGCAATTTTGATGCCATACATGCGTTATAAATAATATATGCTGTCATGAATTTGAAGTGATTATGCTAATCTCCTTGCCCATATAACTGGTGTATCTGCTTTTCAATGCTGTCAGCTTTTTTAAACAAATATAATACATTTGAAATCATTGCTGCACAAATACTTGTGAGCTTATGGCTTTAATCCATAAACAGAAATGAAGCATGAAAAGGCTGGTCAAATTTTCCTTTGCGCTCCATCAATGATTATCTTTACTAATCTCTCTCAACCAATTAATTAGAGTGTTGGATGACAGGTATTATGTCCGTTTATACTGGATCAGTTTTATTGGGCTGAGAAGATGTATTGGATTGGAGTTTCCCCAGAACCATTAAACAGAAGCCATTTGATTCCAGACAAACTAGACAATGTTAGCATCAGAATGGCTGCAAATGTTCTATCAAGGGCCATAAACAATGCCCTGTCTCCAAAAGTCAAAGCACGTGCTTTAGAAATTGCAGAGAGAATATCTCTTGAGGTAATACATGTTCTTCAATTATTTGATCACATTTTGGTGAAGTGTTTAAAGAAATTTCATATTTTTAAAACCTATAAACCTATAGATCTATGAGTGATAGGGAGTTATTCTGGGTTTTATACCAAATTCTTCCCGATCATATTCTATTCTGCAATAATTCATATGTTGAAAACTCTTGCTTCTCAATTATCACAATGGTAGGTCTTTTTTTTTTTTTTCCTTTTTTCGGTAATGCCCTAACCTTATATAGGGGCTTACAGAAACATCGATTTCTGGTTGCTTATCTGTACAGAATTTTGGTTTTTGCACTTGAAGATTCTTTGTAGTAGATTTCATTTTAGGTATATTGGTGGGTACTTGAGGATTCACCAATTATATAGCCAAACATTTTGTCTGCTGAAGTTGGAATCTAAGACCTTGTGAACCATGTCAACTGCATGCCACTTGATATAAAGCTCAAAGATAAAGAGTTTAACAATTTCTCTATATGGTTAAGGGTACATAATGTAAGTGTTCAATACTGTGTCCATTTGGTAGTGCAAGTGTAGAATTCTTAGTGGCAAGAGGAAGGATTTGAGTCTTGAGAAAGCCACTTGGTATGCGATAGCAATGGATAAGGATTTACCAGATTCAGATATCCTTCCCTTATTACTATATACCAGGTAATGGCCTTTTAAGTGCTGAATAAGTAATGACGTTATGAAACTAGTAGATTGGATGCTCCACAAGATAAGAGTTTTGGTTGGCACATATGATTTGAGAGACATTGCCTTTTCTGGCATACTTCTTGGCTGTGAAGTGTGATCTTGGCCATTACAGCACCATAGCAGTCCTCTTCCCAAATGATGATGTGAGGTGGAACAGGGCATTTTTCTCTGAAAATAACTGTTAACGTTGTATACATCTTGCTTGGAAAGAACTGTTCCTTTTGAAACAACCATCTTATGTGTACATATTTTGTAGACAAACGCTTAAACGATTCCTTGTATCATCCATATATGTATGCAATATCGTGTTTGGTATAATTTTACATCCTCTTTTCATATGCTCTTTTCAATTTCTTTAATTTTGACAACATCCTCTATTCATATATTCTTCAATTTCCTGGATTCTCCTTCTCTTGGAATGGCATTATGGAAAAATTGAAGAACTTGCAGCAATGAGCTTTTAATTGGATTTTGACTTAACACATTTTAACTGGATTCTACCTCTCTCTGGATGCATGGGTTTTTCTTCTTTCAACTCTCATGAATGTTGGGTCCATTATTAAAACTTATAGCATGTTAACCTCCTTAATGAAGTTCTGAAATCCAACACTATTTTAAAAAGTTCTTTACCAACTTGCAGGATGGAGTCACGGAAGCTGTAAAGATCCTTAAACAAGAGATGAATTGTTCGTGTTAAACGCTTTCAGGTTGAGTTCTCCAAAATTTCAAAAACTTCTGCTCTCTATTCTTACACGAGCTTCTTTTGTAGATGTTTCCTTCTTTCCCGTTTTGCATACAAGGTCTAGATATCAAAATCTCTGTGCACAAACTCTTATAACACCAGTATGTAATAAGTTTAAGACTGCTATATGTAGGGTTCAGTATATAAATTTAGTAGTACTCCATGCAAAATGTTCGACCAAAAGAAATAATCCATAGAATGTTGAATTTCCGCTGTTTAATTTTCTGATGCCTTGATACACAAATTTATTTTTGATACGTAGCCATCCAATATAATAGAAGTACAGAACTGAACAGAAGGGCAAAATTCTTCAGATAACCTGTAGTAAAGAGGTAGAATCCAAAAGGGAGTATAAATATATAAATGACTCCCATAGTTTTAAATCACTAATGTAGTTGTAAAAATAATCATGATTGTAATTGTTGGTCATGGTTTATTGTGGTAATAAAATAGTAAATATTGCAATGTATGTCGTGAATGCATTAATATACTAGGAATTGTTAATAAATTTATTTTAATTTGCATGATTTTAATAGTTTTACTAATCAAGTATAATAATATCTCTAATAGTTGAATTTATTTATATATATAAAAAAAAGATAATTTTGCTTTTAATAGTTTAATATTTTTTTGGATCTTAAAGTATCACCGGTCCAATGGTCTAGATTAATACTTCACTGTTCAGTCACATACATAAGGCAGATATAACTATCTAGTGAATTTTATGTGTATATAAAAATTTGAATTTGAGATCATTTGTTAAATCACTAGAGCTATTTTCGCTCAAACCAACTATTTTAAGCACGGCGGCTGCTGTCATTTAAAACTATGTTACCACCTCCTGCATTGCAAACAATTTAAAGTAAATTTAAGATGACTGAGGCAATGACATTAGGTATTTAGGTTAGTTGGTAGCTACATTAGCTGATGGAGACCCACTTGATTATGCAGAGAAACTCTCGATTAGCTGAGAATTATGCTGAGAAACTCAGTTAGCTGATGGAGACCCACTTGATTATGCAGAGAAACTCTCGATTAGCTGATGGAGACCCACTTGATTATGCAGAGAAACTCTCGATTAGCTGAGAATTATGCTGAGAAACTCAATTAGCTGATGGAAACCCACTTAATTATGCAGAGAAACTCTCGATTAGCTGATGGAGACCCACTTGATTATGCAGAGAAACTCTCGATTAGCTGAGAATTATGCTGAGAAACTCAATTAGCTGATGGAAACCCACTTAATTATGCAGAGAAATTCTCAATATGGACAATATGAATTTTATTTTCAACAAGCAGCCCGATACACAAATACCTTCAAGGATATTAATTATGGCTCCCGTACTCTCCCAAGACCAATACACCATTTTCTCTCATCTTTCTTCTCAATTAAATGAGCCAGATGTGCCACTGACCTCATCAGTCTTCTTTGCTGCACTTTGTTGACTGATTCCCATTTATTGACTATTTAGCTCGCATTTATTGACCATTTAGCCCACAGTGGATCGTTGGCCAAATGTAGTAGAGAAGTTACTATTATTTTACCCCTCTCCCATTTAAAGATGAAATTGAAAAAAATTATTCCAATATAAATCAAATTACATTTTAAATTAAATAAAAATAATAATACTATACTTGTGGCCGAAAATGAGAAATGAAAGAGAAAAAATAAAATAAAATAACGCTCCAAATTCATTTACTCCTCCCTAAGAAATTATGTCAAATATAAGTAAAGAGGTTATCCTTGTAATTCGTCACCCCATTACTCCATACCGAACATACACTAAATTCGAATAAGATAATATGTTTTGAGCGTTGGTCCAATTCATTAATCAAGCTAAGGATAGCTAATCCTTGTTCGATTAAAAAATTCAGAAAAAAAGCTAATCCTTGTTCGATTAAAAAATTCAGAAAAAAAGACTTTCTATAGTCTGTTGTAACTTGTTCTGAAAATTTTATTGGCTTTCAACTTGTGTCGTTTCCACTTACACAAACTCAATCAATGTCTTTATAATTTTGAATTGAATTAAAATTTAGCAAAAAAAAATCATTCAAAATTATTGTTTTTAACAGAGGTTCTAGTGGTCGACAAAAAATTCAATTTGTTTTTATACTAATTTAATCCAGAAAGTGATTAATTTAATCTCAATTGATTCGAAAATTGATCCAAAAATACTCTATTATATATATATATTGTTTCTAACAAAGGACATAAAATTATGTTGGCCGTGTGCAAAATGAGAATATGAAGTTAATAATCTTTCTTAATGTTTGTTATTATAAAAAGAAATTCGAAGTTGGCATCTTTTATTTTAAAAGACTAATTTTATTACAAATTAATTAGCATATTATTTTTTTAACATGTTCTTTTACATTATAGACTTTGATGGATTCTTTATGAATTCTTTGGACTCAAAAGAAATAATTTTTGAACTCCAACTTTGTTTTAAGCTTATCATAGTCGGATATATAGCTCCAATATCGCCTGAAAAGAAATTGAATTTTAAAAGACTTCTAGAAAAAAATTAATTTAGAAGTCATGAAATTAAATTAAAACTGACTCCTCATGCCCGTAAACGATAGGTGCTTTTAATCTAACCCTTTTCAGCATAGGTAATAAGGCAAATCAAATTACAAGAAGAATGTGTTATGTGAACAAAAAAAAAAAACTCATTTTGAAGTAAATGAACAAGAAAAAATAAGGCTTCAAAAACTTTTCAATACTTCTGTTTGAAGTTTTAATTACTGTACCAAAATTAGGAGTAATTACAAGTTAGAAGGTAGATTTAATTTTAAAATTTTCTATTTATTTTTAAAATTATACAAAAGTAATTATGTAATTATTAAAATTTCCTTATTTTAATGGAATTTTTTTATTTATCTTTTTCTAATATAAAAAAAAATTACTTTTTATAATAATCTGTTATTGTGGGGCGATGTCTTTTTTTAGAACATCCAAAAGTCAGTGAAAAAAAAGGTGACGACATCCAGATGTTTGAATACAGATGCCTTTTGGCCACGAGAAACAAAACCAAAAAAAAATCTGCTTTTTCAATTTCTTCCCCATTAAAAATATTATTCTTTTTGTCTACAAAAAATTAACTTCTTTATATTTTATACAAATTCATATCATTTATATTTTTCTCTAAAATATTCATAAAAGAATTAATTATAAAACACATATATTTAGACTTTTTTTACAAAATAAATTTTAATTAACAGTGTTGTAGAAAAATATATTATTTAAAATTTTCAATATATATATATATATATTACACAAACGAGAAAAAAAATCTAAAGAGAAAGATAATCAAAACAAAACCTAGTAGTTACGACTCCAAATATATCTTTAAGTAAAAGGCATGCACATTTCGAAAGAGCATCGACATGGTAAGTGACTTCTAAAAGAAGAAAATATGCATTAAAAAAAAAAAAAAGGAGAGCCAATTTGCAGTATAATTAACTTCTAGAAAAATATTTTAAAATACGTACAAATAGAAAAACAGAAAACAAACTGTAGGAAGGATTATTACCACTTTAGGATGGAGTGTGATTTTGTACCTACCAGCTACCTACCCACCCACCCAGCAATGTCTAATATCCCATTCGCCATTTTTCAAAGTTCAAGCAGATATCATTATGACACTGGCCAAACCCCATCACTTACATGACTTACTGCCTGTCATTTTTTAGGATAATTATATTATAAGTATCCAAATTTTTAATGTTTTTTAATTCAGTATATAAACTTTTATTTCTTTTGTTTGAGTGTATTAATTTTTTTTCAAACAATCAATCAAATATTGTTCGTATAATTTCTATCAATTATTCTATTATTTGATAACATTTCACTTTTCTTAAACTACTAAATTATGACTATTTACCATATGAAAAGTTGAAAATTACAAAATAATTTGGAATGAAAAGCTTACGTCGTAAATGAAAAAGTAAATTCATTATTTATTAATATGAAAAAAATGGCACATTATCATATTACGAAGCAATTGACAGAAGTGAGACAATAATATTTGATTGATTATTTAAAAAAAAAATAATGTACTCAAATAAAATTCACATATTTTATTGAAAATCATTAAAAAAGTAAAATACTTATAATGCAATTATAACTACCAACTTAGTCATAGCCTAAGCATATGTAAATAGAAGACCGACCCCACAAGCTATCTCCACACCAAACTCCTTTAAGAAGGGGCCAACGGCATGCCTCAGTCTTCTAAGCAAGTCCCTCAAATAGCTAGTTAAGCAGTCCTTCTCGTGATCTCTCTCTCTCTCTCAAAAATGGCTCAGGGAAGAGGCAGTGCAATGGCGGTCACAGTCACAATCTTGCTGTGCATGATTCAGCTCCATTTTGAAATAGCTAGCGCAGCAATCTACACTGTTGGAGGCCGTGGCGGTTGGATCTTCAATGTCGCTGGCTGGCCTAAAGGAAAGAGTTTTAAAGCTGGTGACGTACTTGGTAAGTTCGAAACCATGGAATAAACCAGAAAAATCCTCTATGTGTGTATATATATATACACACACTGATCCTCAATTTTCACCTGGATATATGTGTGTTTGTGCGTGTGTTGCAGTATTCAATTATAACCCTGCAGCCCACAATGTTGTTGGTGTTAGCAAGGCTGGCTACAATTCATGCACCGCCCCTAGAGGTGCCAAATTTTTTACCTCAGGAAAGGATCGGATCAAGCTTAAAAGGGGACAGAATTTCTTCATCTGCACCTTCGCTGGCCACTGTCAGTCTGGAATGAAGATAGCGGTTACTGCTGCGTGAGATGAGGTTGGGGAATGGTTAGAGGTTCATCATCATGGCCATGGAATTCATCTCTTCTTTCATGACTCTCTTATGTTTTGATGGAACTCTGCTTTAATTAGGGCATCTATCTGTGAAAGTGTGTTCGTCAGTGACCACCCCATGTACTAGTTAATTAATATATAAATGAAATAAAGAAGAGAATAATTTTGGTGTTTATGAAATGTTTTTAAATGCTTTGTTTTTATTAATTAAGTTTATGAATTTTCAAGAAAAGAAAGAAAGAAAGAAGAAAGGCAGTGTTAAATTACTTATATGCTAATCTCCACAATAATTATCCCAATTATGGTCATCTTCAAGGGTTTTTTTTTTTTTTCACTTTCTTGTTCAATATCTCTACTTAGACACTTCCTACTGATTAATGAAACCTTTTATATTGTTTTTTATTTTTTTATTGCTTTGATTATTGATTAAATATAACCATGCAAAGGAAATTGAAAAGTTACCTATAAAAGATCCACTGAATATATACAGCTATACTTCAATCTTAATTGGATTAATTTGTGGTGTCCACTTGTCTAATCGAAGGGTATATGATTCATGTCTTTGAATTTTCTTGCAGACAATAAAATTTATGTGTTGTTTCACAAATCTTTATAGAAGGTTTGCTTTGTCGAAAACTTTTTTTTTTTTTTTTTTTTTTTGCATTTGTTTGTATTTTTTTAGTGTTTGGCAACCATTATTTTATGATAAAATAATAAATAAATATATTAATCTATTCTTATATCATATTCAAAATTTTTCACATGTTTCTAAGTTTTTAATTACATTTTATTTTTTAAAATAATATTTGAAATATTCAATCTATCTTTTTCATTAATTTTTTTAGCCAAATAGTTTTTTTTTATGGAAATGTTATTTTTTAAAAAAAAACCACATGTCCTATATGTTTCATTATTAAAATCTTTAAATTTTTACTTATTTTTTGCATTTTAAAAAGATATTTTGGTCGAAAAAATTTTATGTAACTGAAAAAATTAATAAAAATAATAAGTGAACATTTCAAATACTTTTAAAAACGAATAAAATGTAAAAATTTTTTAATATTATATAAAAAATATATATATATATTACAAAAAAAAACCTTAAAAATTTAAAATGTTGACTATCCATTTACTGTAGACCCAGACTCAGATTTACTTGCTGTGAACCATGACTCAATGGCACTATGTTGTCGGATTGCTTGTCTTTGGGCTGTTCGATTGTATTTTTTGTACTGTATTTTTGTTTGTTCAATTTGGTACATTCATTTGATATTTTTGTGGGTTTAATCTGGTACGTTCATTTTATATATATATTGTGGTGCTTTTTTTTTTTTTTTTTTTTGCTGAATTTGGTGCGTTACTTTGATATTTTTTTTATTGAATCTGGTCCGTCTGTTTGGATATTGGCCGCTTTTTTTTTTTTTTTTTTTGCCTTATTTTCTGTTTTGGCATTTGCTGGCTTTTTTCTATTACTTTTATATCCTTCCATTATTCTCTTATATTTCTGTCTTCATAGCCTTTTTATGGCAATTTTGCTTTTCCTTTCATTGTTCTGTTACCTTTGTGTGCTCCCTTTATTCTGTTTTCTGGTTTCTGCCTTAGCGGGCCTTCTATCGTCATTTTGCTTCTCATTTCATGCCGAGCATTAGTGGTGCTGTACAGTGTACAATTTGGCTTTTAAAAAAATTTCTGTTCTCCTCCACACCCAGCATTTGCCATTATACACTATCATATATACTTGCCCTTGAAGATTTGGATAAATGCCCAATGAAAACTTGGTGTGCCATTTCAATTGTCGTGGATATTTCTTAAAAGTAGCAATCGTGATAAAATCATAAATTATACAATAAATTAAAAGAAAAGGCAACCATGAATTTTTTTCTTTTTGCACTTTTAGGTGAAGATTATAAAAGATTGAACTTTATTTTTTATTTTTTTTGTTTCACGCAGCCTAGTGATGATAATATATATATATATATATATATATATATATATATATATATATATATATATATATATATATATATATATATATATATCTTTTCGCGCACGCACACACACACGCACACGCACACGTACACACACACACACACACACACACACACATATATATATAATTTCAAATAATTTGTTTTAGATTTTTTTGAATATTTTTCGCTTTGTATTTCGCATTCTCAACCAACTAAGTATAGTCATGATATATAAAAAATTATTAAATCATCAATTTTATTAAAAATTAGCTATCATCTATACACCTAACACCAACCATTTGCTATTAATTATTTTTTTAATATTATAAAATCGATTTTTAAAAATAAAATAATTGAAATAATTTTTAAAAGAACCACCATCAATAATTCAAATACGGTTTTTTTATGCTAATATTATTGACTATTTTTTGAATAAATATACATATTTTTAAAAAATAATCTTATCATCGATAATAAATAAGAATAAAAAATAATTTTTTATTTGTTAATTTTTGTACAAATTTATACATTAATTGTAGCTTTATTTTTTTTATACAATCTTATAAAAAATATATATTTTTAAATCATTTTTTTTAAATTTTGTATTAAATTTTCAATTTAGATTATTACAATTTTTTATTTAAGAACCAATAAATAAAAAAGAATGAATCATATTTTTTTAATTAGAAAATTTATGAAAAATATAAGAAACAATTAATTAATACAAGAATTTGATAAAAAAAATTATAAAATTTATTATTTTTTATTTTTATCCTTGGTTCGATATATTTTAGTAAACTTATAATATAATATAGATTATCAAACTTTTGTTATACTAGGCTCGCAATGTAACGTAAAAAATCGACTAGTTAATCTTAAAATAATTTCATAATCAAACTGTAGAGTCTTATCGCCACCACTTTATTACCACCGATTGTTGACGATCGAGCTATAAAGTAATGTTTTAGGCGTAATAAACCTATGCTTGAGGAAACTAGTACTAAAGGGCTGGCCTCATATATATTTGGAAAAGTATCAAATTTGCCCTTAACTTATGATTCCATTATCAATTGAATTTCAAATCTTTTGATTGTATCGATTTTATCCTAAATGTTTTAAATGCCAAACAAAATTACCCCATGAGCATTCTCCGTTTGTGATGGTTAAATGATCATTCAAACTCGCACGTATTCTATTCACATATTAGTGAAATTGAAAATAAAATATCCCACAATTTTAGCGGCCCAAAAACCTTATATTTGAATTACAGGTCCAACTAGTTCTTATTTGTACTTTTTCTTCATAATTATAAGAAGTTTCATGATCCAAAAACTTGATGAATAGCACTATTAACATTACTATTATTTTTTTCAAGTTGCTCCATTGATCTACTTGTAATTTTTTTGTCTTTTTTTTAAAAAATAAATCTTTTGTTTGATATAGATAGATTTTGAGTTTTCTTAAATTGGCTTTTCTATATAATCTAATCAAGTTAAGGGATTAACTAGATCAATTTTCATGCTTAAATCATATTTTAGGTCAAATTAAGACTTCTTTTCAAGGTTAAATGAAAGAAATATATGCAAACTTGACGAATCTATTAACTACCATAAATAGAGAATGCATGCTAAAGTAATTTTGTTTCACATTGAAAACGCTTGGGGTAAAATTGCTACAATCAAAAAATTGGAGACTCGATCGATAATAGAGTCATACTTGGGGCAAATTGGAGGTTTGCACATATATATATATATATATATATATATATATATATATGCAAAAGTGATATATTGGGCTCTATTTGTTAATGATCCAAAATGAGTATCCAAATGGTCTTAATCCACAAGCAACTTAGATTTTTTTTTTAAAAAAAAAACTTAGATTAATTGTTTTGGCTGAAGAATCAAAACTCTGAAGAAAGACTATTTCTACATGTTTAATTTTTTACATATGAAAACTTTTTATTTGTTTAATTTGTAAAAGTATTTGAAAAATAAAAATCAATTATATGCAAATCATTTGTTTAATTCAAGTAGTTTAGTCTAAAAATCATGCCAAACTAATAAATTAGAAACTTAACGAAAATTCAAAAAATAAAATCGACTCAATTAAAAATATAAAAACAATATAGAAAATGCTTAATTGGTCTCAGAAGGATCAAAGAAATGGTTTCAGATAGGTATTGTAAAACTTGTGCAAAGAACATTTTATGGCATATGGGATACTGAAAAGGGTTGAAGAAACGTCATAATTTATTGGTGCTAACAAGTTCGTTGGTGTCGGTACATCGACTAAACACTGATTAGCAGACAGCCTAACAACGCACTGTTAGTGAATAGTGGAGAAGATGGAATTTAGGCACGTCAAGTCGTCTAGTCTACAAAAGTGCGAAATAGAACTACAAAATGGTAGGAGTTGACTGCTGATTGGTTATAAAATGATGCAAATTATTGGTTAACAGGAGAAAAGTTTATAATTTTTTTTTTAATTTGGGTTTTATTTGTATTTTTTATTTATAGTTAAGTTTTTTTGTCTTGTTAATCAATCTCGCATTACATTGAACTTATATAAAAAACACGTAAAGTCATAATGTAACGATAAATTTTACGTGTTTAAGACTTTTAGAATATATGTCATTGTGTTTAATAGTTTTATATGTTTCTTAAATTGTCTGAAATTAATCAACGAAATGAAAAATATTAATTGAGGACAAAAAAATAAAAACTTAAATCCGAAAAAAAGAAAGATTAAGGATCAATAGTTGAGGATAATTTACAACAAATTAAGCCTATACCTATTATCATCTTTTTTGTGAAATTATGTTTGAATGTTAATTTTACACCGAATTCTTTAGTTATTTAATAATTAACAACGCAATAGCCAAAGAAGTAGTCTCTCTATTTTAAAGTGATACAGTCTTTTTTTATTTTTTACACAGTTTTTAAAAAAAACTTATTAATGACATATCAGCATTTTTTAACAAACTTTCTTAATTTTTTTTTATCTAATTTGATTCGGCATTGCAAAATGGGAGTATTTAAAAGAAAATACAGGATTAAAAATTTTGACCGTATAAATATTTTGAAACACATGTAAACAGAAAATGGATAATCGAAGAGAGAGTATTTTCCTTTACTAAATAAGTTGAGGTTTGAGGTCAAAGGATCGAATTTGGTTTGTTGGCTTCCAAGAGACCTTATCTTTTATTGTTTGTTGAAGTCAGAGAAACTAAAATAAGAAAAAGAAGCAGTACTGCTGACCTTCTTCTCTGAATAGTTTGCACCAAGTTTAGCATGCATGGCCTAAGAAAAAGCTTGTCCCTTTATATTCGCTGGTGTTTCCTTATCGTCTATCCCAAGCTGACTGAAGCAATGGTCTACCGTTCGAAATTTTCATGTCCATTCAATGCAGAAAAAGCCCCTAATTTAAGGAGAGTCGTAGCTTATAAAAGCCGCCATGGCAATTCACCATCTTCAACAAGAACAAAGGGAGGATATCTGTCTTTCCATCTTTGTTTTTCTATCGGATTTTGTGCCCTTTGCATTGGCACAGAATCCTGAAGAAAAAGTTTGAAAAGTACTCACCTTGTAAGATTAATTAATTTATTAGTAGAAAAATGTTAGGCAAACTAGTTGTTACAGGGATTTCCCTGATACTTGTTGTGGGCGTGATCATTGGCGTGGTGGCCACTGTCCACCGCAGCGGTGGATCCGATGATCGTGCAGAGAGCTTGTCGCCTCAAATGAAGGCTGTTAGCACGCTATGCCAGCCTACTTATTACAAGGAGGCTTGCACTAACACCCTTAGCGCTGTGAACTCTACCGATCCCAAAGAACTAATCAAAGGAGGCATATTAGCCATCGCTGATTCATTGAAGAAATCTTTCAACTTGACTGAGGATCTCGTGGTCAAGAACGACAACGAGCATCGTGCCAAAATGGCCTTGAGTGACTGCAAAGAGTTGTTGCAGGATGCTTCTGAGCGGCTTCAGGACACATTGTCAAAGGTAGGCAGCATTGATTTACGTTCATTATCAGACAGAGCGGATGACTATCGGACATGGTTGAGTTCAATTATTGCATACCAAGAAATGTGCTTGGATGGATTTGAGGAAACCAGCCCCTTGAGGGCTCAAGTGCAAAATAGCACGGAATTTGGGAGCCAACTCACAGACAACGTTCTGAATATCCTTTCTGGGCTTTCACAAGTTCTTAATTCCTTGGGACTCAAGTTAAATATTCCAAGCACCTCCCGTCGGCTTCTTCAAGCTAATGGTTACCCCGCCTGGATGTCTGTCGCCGACCGTAAGCTTTTGGCCTCACGCGGCAATCGCGGGGTTAGACCAAACGCAGTTGTGGCTCAGGATGGCAGTGGCCAATTCAAGACCATCAGTGCAGCACTTGCCGCATACCCTAAGAACCTCAAGGGCCGATATGTTATCTACGTTAAGGCAGGAGTCTATCGTGAGTATGTTACTGTGGCCAAGAACCAGCCAAATGTGTTCATCTATGGTGATGGAGCCAGGAAGACCATCGTCACGGGAAACAGGAACTTCGCAAAAGATGGCCTAGGCACCTGGAAGACTGCTACATTTAGTGAGTGCAGCATCCAACTCATGAACTAGTTAAAAGTTTCTCCCCATTTAATATATATCCTTTAATTTGGATGGTTTATTTTTCAATTCTAATGATCATTTTGTTGTCCCTGTTGGTGCAGTTGTTGAAGCAGATGGATTCATCGCCAAGAGCATTGGATTTTCCAACACCGCCGGTCCTGACGGCCACCAGGCTGTTGCAATCCGTGTTAATTCCGATATGTCAGCATTCTACAACTGCAGATTGGATGGCTATCAAGACACATTGTGCTACCAAGCCGGCCGCCAATTCTACCGCAATTGTGTCCTTTCTGGAACCGTAGATTTCCTCTTCGGCTATGGATCAGTGGTGATCCAAAACTCCTTGATCATTGCCCGAAAGCCAAATCCTAACCAATTCAACACTGTGACTGCAGATGGCAGGAAAGAAAGGGGTCAGCCTGGAGGAATCGTCATTCATAACTGCAGGATTGTCCCTGAGCAGAAGCTTGCACCTGTGAGGTTCCAGATCAAGACATACTTGGGCAGGCCTTGGAAGGCATTCTCTCGGACTGTCGTGATGGAGTCACAATTAGCTGACTTCATTGACCCAGAAGGATGGACTCCATGGAGTGGAAACCAATTTCTTGACACTCTCTACTATGCTGAGTATGCCAACACTGGCCCTGGTGCAGCAACTAACAGGAGGGTCAGGTGGAAAACTCTCCATTTCCTGCAAAGGAGAGAAGCTCTTCAATTCACTGCTGGTCCATTCATTCAAGGTGGCCAATGGATTAGAAACACCGGAGCTCCAGCCCTACTTGGCCTGAGAAGATGAGAGAGCACATGTTGTTTTCGAACCAGCACGAGAGGATCGAGAGACAAGAAAAGCAATTTCCTGTTCAGAAAGTGAAAACATAATCTCATAGTACATATTAAAGATCCATGTATGCAACATGCATGGAAAACCTAGTTTTTGTTTTGTTGTCTCTCGACGGTCTATGTCTCGCGGAATGATATAGAATCTTGTATACATTTATAGCTTTGTTTATAAAAAATAAATAAATAAAACATTGAAAATTGAGGCTACTATTATTGTCCTTAAATATTTTGCTTGACGTACTTCCAACTGCTGTGCTTGTTCTTCTAACTAAGTTAAGTTATCTCTGTCAATAAGTTGTTCGTCCATCACTAGACAATGTTGGTTTTTGTGTGAATTTCTTATCGAAGAATAAAATTTTAATTTTAAAGTTATATTAAGAATATTTAAATTTTATCGTTTCTATCTCGAACTAAATTAATCCTATTTATACCGTGTCAATAGGATGGGAATACTTTGAGAAACTAAAAAAAAAAATCAAGTGACCTCTTCTCATGATGCTAATATATACGTAAAATTAAGGTATTACAAAAATAAATTAAATTAAGATCATGGAATGTGTTAAGAAGAAGAAAGGTGCAAGATAGATTGATGACACATGTTCAGAAAGTAAAGGGTTTAAGAAAGCTAAGGTCTAAGTAAGAGTGACCCCAACAAGCATGTTCCATGCCACATCTCCGATTACATCACTAACTCTCTGGAGCCTTGTTGCTTGTTCCTTGTCACTTTTTATGACTTTTAAGGTGATTTCTTTGCAATACACATTCAGCAAAAGAAGCTAGGAAAAAGATTTTAGTGTCCATTTGGTAATAGAATTTCATCGTATTTGAAAGTGCTTTTCAAAAGTGATTTTAGACCGAAAAAACATTAAATTTAAATGTTTTTACATGTTTATCATGCGAAGATATCAAAATCATCAAAAATTATTCAAAAATCATTTAACATGATGTTTTTTCAACTGAAAAACTTACGAAAAAAACATATTTTTACATATTTTTATACATCTGATAAAATAATAAAATATTAATTTGAGTGTTTAGTTTGGAGGATAAAAAAAATATTATAAAGAGAAACACTTCATCCCTCGTAATAATTAACGAGCGCGTGAAGCCGTGCCCTGTTCGCTAAGCGATTTTTATGTTCTGTTCGTCCAAGGAAATTAAGCTATGTGAGCATAAAAGACTTGGCTTGAAAATCATTAGTAACCCAAATCAATTTTACTGCTTCCCTTGAGTGGTATTCTTTTCAACTCAGCTATACAGAATTTCATGTACCTTAAACAGTTAGACATGTATATTATATTAGTATTTTTTTTATCAATTTGTGCGTAAACTAATATTATTTTTTTTAGAACGATTTTAAAAATACAATTTTACGTAAATTTAGTGCATTTAGATAAATTTAATAATCAGGTGAATTTATTAATTTTTTTCTTAATACTAACCTCGAGATTTTATTCTGTAAAAAAAAAAAAAAAGACAAATTTTCTTAGCCGCCAGCCTTTCAGGATTTATATCCATTCGAACTTTTCTTTCTTCCTTAATATTCCTGCATCTAATCTCATCCTTTGACTCGTGCTTCTCTCTGTGTCAACTCACCACTTGACTTTCTTTGCTACCGAGTACAATCAAGTCACATGAAATCAGAACATTTAACAAGCTAGTCTATTCGTTCTCTGTTTTCTCGATAAGACCTCTACAAAAGAAATTGATTTTAATCCTGAATTATTGTTGATAATACGATTTTTGCATAATTTTAAGGGAAATTAACTCTAAAAAAGCGTGGCAGTGATCCAATTGTGAATTAAATTTTTTGATCCAATTGAAATGAACTTCGTTTCATTTCAAAAATAAAAAGTCTAATATATTCAAGATGTCTTTCTTAGATATATATATATATATATTTTTTTTTTTTGAATAATCAATAATCCAAAAGTAACCAAAAAAACGAGGATAACTGATCATCCATCCACCTATACCGTGAAGGAAAAGTGAAGTATTTTTTTCGTAGATAACCAATACCTTTCTTGGTTCTTTTAATATTTTATACCAATGATTAATTTTCCAATTTTGAAAGTTTTAATAAAATTATGTTCTGTTTTGTATGACTTTTGAATTTTAATTTAATTTTTTTATTTAAAAAAAAAAAAAAAGCTTTTGCCTTGAATCAATATTTTGTTATAAAATTGAGTCAAAATTTTCGTTCTAATCAGAAATTCAAGTTTTTAACTTCTGACTTTTAAATTATAACTTACACTGCATCTTTCTTTCGGAAATTTGAGTCCTTTTTTTTTTTTTTTTTTTTATCTAAACATACTTCTAAGTTCACTTATTTTTATCATAAATTATTTATGAAAAACAACTATTGAATTATGACTTATAATCGAAAGTCATTTTTCATAAATCATGTCAAACGGAACCTTGAAGGAAAGACCAAGCGTTGAGGGAGAATGTGAAACTCATTAAGCCATGTCAACCTGCAAAAAAGCGGCATAATAAGAGTGACATACACACCAAAAAAGACTAACATCCATACCAAACAAAGAAGATCTCCCAAAAAATCCCCAAGAGATTTTACTAGATGGCTAACATCTCGTTCTAAGGTGGCATGTCGTTTAGACACAAGTGAAGAGTTTGATTTCCTTGAACGTATGATGTAAATAATCAACTTGGACCATGACCACAGACATCGATTAGAAATTGCAGTTTGCATATATCTGATGTGAAGGTCTCTCGTCAACAAAGGAAAGATTATGATTTCTAAACCAAAATGGTTATAGCAAATTGAAGAGCCATGGTTGAAAATTTCTGGATTGGCGAATCTTGTTCCACGTTGCAAGCATATGGATCTTCATAAGAAAGCAAACGGAAACGTACACAATTTTCTCACACTAGAACAAAACCCCATTCATGATGATGCCTCTTCAGCCTTTTTATCCTCCAAAAGTTTGAGCTCTTGGCGCCAACCGTCCAATTTTGTCAACTTCTCCAACTGCTCTGGATTCATATCCTGTGTCGGAGTTTTCTGCTGCTGAGCTTCTGCTAGTCGAATCTGGATACAGAATCAACAATCATGCAAACTAATCATTCGTATCTAGCATGTGATTATCAGTTCACTCATTTATAGAACAAACCAATAAAGTTGAATGCACAAACTAAATGAAGATTAAGAGCTTGAATCATGTTAAATTGTTATGATGTCCAATGTTTTCAGATGAAGAGTATAATCGTTAATCGCTGTTTAAGCATGCCAGGTTTTTGGGAAAGAATATTTGTTGACAGAATCCCAAAAAAAGAAAAAAATTGTAGATGAATGTGAAGAACATTACAAAAAAAATAAAAATAAAAAATCAGGGAAATGTAACATAATTCGTATGAGCTGGAAGAAAGGCTGACCAGTCAAATGCTCTTTTTACTATTATACTTTTTCCATAGTTTTTAATGATTTGCTTACATCAATGTTCTACGAAGGACCCAGTACCTTCTTGCTATGCAACAACCAAAGCCTCAATCCCAAACTAGTTTGGGTCGACTATATGGATCCTTTTGCACCATTCCACGTGATCGGATGCCAGATCCATCTTCAATACCTTCTTTCTATACCTCTATAAAATGACCACTGCCATAAAATTTGTTCCCACATCCCTCACCCAAGCCTTTCAGACCCTCCAACCCACACACACACACAACCCAAAAAAAAAAAAAAAAGGAGAGAGGGGGAAGGATGACTGCAGCTTTTGAAGTCACATTCCTGACTCCCTGTCTTGATGTAAATAAATCTCTGAGTTTCCAATAGTCTCAAAAAATAAAAATAAAAAACGCGACTGGCACTTCAAAAAGTGAAACTCTCGTTGAAAAAACTCTCGAGTGAAAATTTATCTTCTAAACTGCTAGTATATACTTTACAATGAAAAGACGAACATTGTCAGATCATGCAAAGACAGCGCAGTTTATGGTTCCATACACCCGGATAACTCCCAGATCAATTTTTGCATCATATTTAATGTATGAACCTATCGGGAGTGGTGAGATGATCTTGTTTTGAATTTACATCTCTCACGCAACACAATTTACCTTGTTTCCCTTCCAAAAACAAAAAAAAAAAAAAGGAATGACCAACATATATTGCAACGTAATCATCAAATTGGGTTAAGTCCATAGAAAACTGTATCTCTTGTATGCAAGATTAAATAGACACAGAGATGCATCCTCACAACAAAATCAAATGCTAGAAACCTACAAAATACAAAAAAAACGAACACTCATGTCTGATAGAGTTTATAATCTGATTATCTAAACTGAGGAAACTTGTATTTTGCTGAAGGACCTCAAGAAACACAATGAATTGGATTTGTTTTAAAGAAATAATATTTGCTACCATAAACAAAGCTATAAATATCCCTGTGGACAATACCCACTGTCTTCAAAACTTGAAATCTATTCTTAATTCGGAGGGGAAAAGAGAAGGGTAAACTGCAATAACCCTCCTGAGGTATCATGAAATTACAATGGTCATCCACAAGTTAGAAGATATCACAACATCCTCCTTTGAACACAAAATGACCTCAATGTTTTTTAAAATTCCTTATTGTTAAAGGGGGTGATTTTTAAAATAATAAACGTATTTTGGGTAATAATGGGGGATTTTTTTTATATTTAATTAAACATGGAGGGGCTTATGTCAAATCTTTAAACTTTTGGATGGTCCATGAAATTTTATAATACCGCAGGATGGTTTTTGTAATTTACCCAAAAGAAAACCTGTCCAAAATCAAATTTATACTCGGGTCTAGAGATTTGTGGGGATCACTGTACTAAATTAGAATGTTGCATGTAAGAGCGCTTTATATTTTTTTATCAGCATTCATTAGTGCACTAATTCAGTTCATCACTTTGCAAATTGAGCGATATTATTAATTTCCCCTTTTGCATGGACTTCAATGGTTATTTTGCATAATACAAGTTTAGAGCACGTATGTAATCAACCCTTTCGCAATCATAAACCATGGTTCAACCTTAATTAGGTTAAAAAACAGTTACACACTAAGTATAGCAATAGAGAAAATTATACTTTGGTGTATCTTTAATATTATGCATATTGTAAATTTAATGAGATAAAGTAAGATGCTTAAAGCTTGTCTAAAGTAATAGTTGTTTCTCAAGTCCCAAAATTGTTAGTCCTCCCTTGACTATTTAAGAGGACATGCAATTCTTGTGTTCACCATCATCAGCAATTGTATAGGTTTCTACAACTTTTCCTCAACTATCCTCTTTTTTTCATCTATCCGTTATAATCAGGGACGTCTTTGTTAAAAAAAAAAAAATCCAGAGAGAGCCCGCAATATAGATGTTCAAAGGGAAAAAATACTTTGAGGAATAACCATGATAATAAAACATGGGCATTTAAAGAAAGCGATCCAATCAGTCAATGTGCAGAAAATGCCTGTTGGCTTTGTTAATTATGACCCAAAATAATTTCAAGCCTGTAAAATCTTCAGTTTCTTACTGAGATTTTTTAATTATCAAGATTGCACATTTTATCTTCTGTTGTTTGCTGCAGAAGATTATTAGTCAGTTCAAGTTTTAGCATCATTTTTGGCATGTCTAGAAAGCATAACTTATATAATTCCTTAAAGAGTTCAATTCATAATAAAAGGAGAACATGTTAGCCATTATTATCAATAGGGAAGGCTAAAAAGCAGGATTAAAATATACCTTCTTTTTTAGAGCCCGAATTCTCTTATCGATATCTTGAACTGGAGCCTCCATATTTAAAGCATCTGCCAAGTCCGAGGAAGGAGCAACTACAGCAGGATTTGAAGAAACAGCTAGATCATTCATCTGAGATGTCAATGATTTAACAGATTCGGATGCATGGCCTAAATCTTCGGCAGGTAGCGCTCCCTTTTCCACATTTCCATCTTCATCTGCTTCTGAGTTTTTGCCCTTTTCAAGTGCAGCCTGCTAAAGAAATGGGTTAAAGCATCAAATTAAAAGAAAAAATAAAATAACATAAATACTAAACAATAACAAAAAATACTTGCGCACAGTATCTCACAAGCTCTAACAAACTTATCTGCCATTTGGAAAGATTTTAAAATTATGAAACTAGGTAGAAATTTTAGTGACGTTAACTGCATTAATAAATGTCATTTTGTTACAGAAACCAAGCTTTAGATGAATATTAAAATCCAGATTAGCCTCTAAGCTATACAACTTATACCCTGCAATTTGTTATTCGGAGGGACAATAATTTCCAACTTCCCTTAGGTGGCAATATTTTTAACTCTCGGCTATAATAATTTTCATGTACCTTGGAGACATAATACACTCTCTACCAAACTAATATTAACCTTCTTCTGCTTTTTTTTTTTTTTTTAATTCTAATTTTGATTTTCTTTAAAATCTCTATTCTTCTCTTTTCTGTGACTCCTCCATATGCAATAGAATCTCTTAAAACCAAAACAATTCCTTCTTCTCTTTTCTATGGTTTTGGATTGATAATTTTGCGACTTGTTCATAATTAAATTGAGGGTTTATATCATCAAGTCATGAACACCAATCAACAACCCAAAAAATTCATTTTAATATTCACGTTAAAGGGAGTTTTGGTGTGTGGAGTTTGAGATCTCTAGTATTATAGTTTTTTAAAAAAAAAAAAAAAGATGAAGGAAGAAATTATTTAAGACAAATCATACATTGAAGTTATTGGAGAACATCCAGGAGTGACAAGAAATTAGAGAAGTAGAAAACCTAATACAAACATAAAGTCTTGATTTAACCACAAAAGCTTCTCTAAATTCAATTTTCCATCTCCATTGATGCCTTCCAGCTGCAAAAGATGTCTTTGATATCATTCATTTCTGTTAATGGTTACAGAGAACTACTCTGTTTCCTTTTCTGACTTTTCGAAACATCTTGATCTCAGGAAATACCACTGTATTTCAACGAACAAGTCTCCTTTGGTTCCTTTGATATTTGATTTGTCTATTTCATTCTGTTACTTTTTAAATTAAATATTAACGAAACATTTTAATATGTGTGTTTGAATGCTACAAAATGTTATTTTATCATTTGGATGGCTTGGTTTCTTGGTCAAATTTTAGTCATGAAATGGGTTGCCTGATAATTTAAGATGCCTAAGTTTTGTATTCCACAGCCGCAAAATTCCTACCGATTCATGATTTATAGTCCACGAACTCTTGATTTGCCAGCACTTTTAGCCTAGATAAAAAGATCTGCTACAACTTTAAATGATTGGTAAAGGTTCATTACAGAGTACACAAAGAAAAGGACAGAATTCAGAAAGGAGATATACCTAACTATTAGTCTCGCGGGTATTTGAACATGAAGATAAAATATGCATTCTTTCAATTGAAAGCATTGAACACAAACACAGAATTTTGCAATATTTAACTGTCATTAGAATGCCAAAGTGCTTAAACAGTTAAAGATAAAATTAAGAGTTCAAATTCCAAGCCATCAAATTGCATCTAGTGCCATACCATAAGTAGATTAAATTATGATAGTTCTGAAAGTTGTAAGCTAGCAAAAATTACTGTTCGCAGCTGGAAACCATATGGCTGCGATTTTGTCATGTAGAATGAGAGAGGGCACTCAATATATCAGAACTTATCGATCTCAAGAAAGAAGAGTTTCAGTGATCATACAAAATAATGGGTACTTTGGTAGCTAGTTTCACCGCATATTCAAAATTTGAAGCAGATTATAGATTTCTTCTGCGGAAACCACGAAAACACTTAACATTCTTACAGGTAGAGTCCTAAGTCCTAGCTAGTAAATCGAAAATCAATGGGAGCAAGGAACAGACCTGAAGCCGTTTTTCCTTCTTTCTTTCATTCCTTTTAACAGACTTAGTTTTCGGTTTTGTTTGAGGGTCAGGATCATAACCAGGAGGGACTTCTTGAGATTGCATTTCCTTTCTCCACTGCATCACACAAGATAAGAAACCAAACCCATATCAGAATGGAATCAAACCCATGATTCTGCAGGTAATTGGCAAAGTAAAACCGAACATACCAGGGAACCTTTGGATTGGTAGATGGCGACTTCGTCTTGGGGGACATAACCAGCCCGAATCCGAATGGGTTTTCTAAGGGTACCGTCAGGACGTCGGCTGGGAGCCACAATTCTCTCCCCTTCTTTTAGGGTTTTGCTTAACTCTGCCATTGTCGTCAATTCTTCGCCTCCTCCTCCTCCTCTCTTACTACTACTGTTATTATTACCGCTTGCCATTGATTGATTTGCTAGTAATATGCTTTTGTTTTTTTTTTTTTTTAATGTTTAAGTTCGTTGTCTCTGTGTGCTCATTATTGCTGAACCACTCCTCCTGCTGCCGCTTTGAGTTGCTGATTGCTACCTATTCTTTTCTTTTTTCTTCAATTTTATAAATAATAGTAACTTTTTTATATATCAAGGATAACAAAATAGTCCCTGATTTCTTAATATGAGATAAAAAATCTCTCCCATCTTTTTAAAATAACACTTTACTCCTTTCTTCGTTTATTACTCCTTTTTTTAAAAAAAAATCCCTTTATGTAGCGGAGAAGGCTGGGTTGGGCAGGTTTCCTAAGGTTATCCCGACCACATTTTGTTTTGGATTTCAAATTCAAAAACAATAATAAATAAAAAGTTAAATATGTAAATTTGTTTTTATATAATACTTAAAATTTTTCATTTGTTATTAAATTTTTTCAATTGTATCTCGTATGTTTTTTAAAATTTTTGAAATGTTTAATCTGTCTTTTCGATTAAATTTTTCAACCATAAATTTTTTTTACCAAAATATTATTTATTAAAATATGAAAAAAAAACACTTAAATTCGCATAACCTCTATATCTATTTTTGAAGTTTTTGGGTTTTTTTTCTTTTTTTTGTATTTCAATCAAGAGCATTTCAGTTAGAAAAATTTTATTTGATCGAAAAAATTAATCGAAATGATAAATTGAACATTTCAAATATTTTTAAGGAAAAATGACATATAATTAAAAATTTAAAAACATACCAAAGATTTTGAATTTTATGTAAAGATAAATGTGTATTTTTACCCTAAATAGAATTCAATAATGATTATATGATTAATAGATATGATCCAAAATTCTTATCAATTAGGAAATTAACAAATTGGGGATATTTTCTAAACTCTGCTCCAATTCTAGACATGAAATATGTGTGTATAAAGAAAATATCAATTTAGCCCTCGATATATTATGTCAATCAAGTCACAAACTTTTGATTTAATCATTTTACGTCAAATGTAAGCAATATTACCCTTTCCTTCCTCCATTGTAGTGATCTTTTAAAAGATTTTATTCAATTCGCACATGCCGATTAAGTGTTTTCATCCAAAATACCAAAATAAATTCCAATCTATTTTATAGTTACAGAGTTGTGGTCATAAAGGTTGGAGATAAAATCCCAAAATTCAAAACACAAGGTTCCATCAATATGAAAATTACCTGTCTTCTTGATTACTTTAAAAAAATTAAAAAATTACATCCTATATATTTAACATTGCCTGTGAATACTAGTTGTGATTTTTCTTTTCTTTTTTTGCACTAATTAATTATGTATGCGCTTTTTAAGAGAATATATATATATATATATATATATATATATATATATATATATATATATATATATATATATATATATATATAATGATAATGTGAAATTTGTTTTATGCTAATATTCCGAACTTCTAATGTGATACAATATAATTTTAAAAAGAAAGAAAAAAATAGAATAACTTATTAATTAATTAAAAATATCTGATAAAAATCAATGCTTTCCAATAAAAATACTTTAAATAAAATATTAAACTAATTGCATAAATTGCTCTAATTTATGCAAACGGATTTTAGAGGTTTATATCTCTTTTTTTTTCTGATTATGATAATGATTTAAAATGTGGATGAAATGTGATTTTATTTTTTAGTGGCACGTGTTATTCTGCTAATATTTTTGGAATGTATTGAGATGTTTTAACTCGTTTAAATAATCAATAGAGATTTGCATTTTATATATAATATTGACCCCTTAGATCAGTTTTTTTTTAATATTAATAAGAAAGATTGAATTAAAAATTATTCCAAATTAATGATTCCTAACGTTAAATATCTCAACTCAAGTGATTTGAGATTTATTAAACTACGAGGAATTTTCACTTGATTCCCAATTAGGAAAACTCAAAAAAAAAATATATATATATATATATATATTGAAGAGATCGTTAATTTTAAGCTACAAACTCATCCTTGAAGCAATTAATTATTTTTATTTTTTAAGCCACAACAAACTACAAGAAAAAATAAATTAAATGATGTGCTCTATCTCAAACAATATCAAAAATGTCTTTTTGTTACAAAAAAAAAAACACTAAAATGGAACAATCTTTATTCCACCACTGCACCTGATTATAACTATTTTTACTAACAAATTATCAATTAAGTGGTAAGCAAACTGATTTTTAAGCGAATTTTCTATTAATGTATATGGTTTGAATTTTAAAATTATATTTGTTGAAAAAAATTAATTTTTGTGGCTCTTGTTCTAGACAAAACTAGCATATATCCTATGCGTTGCCTCGGGATGAGTTATATAACATTCTTATACATTCATTCATATAAAATTTAACATTTACAAATCATTATTTAACAATATCATGCGAAAATTTTTTTTAAAAAAAAACTAAAACATATATTTCATAATTTGATGCAAGGCTAGCTAAACGAAAAGTCCGCAAAATTGAGTAATGTAATGTTGCTAATTATATATTGTTTGATATAAACATGTATTTTATTTAAAATATGTATAATAACTGATAATTAAAATAATAATGTGGTAGTTTTTTGAATTTTTAATAATTAATTTTTACTATATATTATTCATTTGTAATTTGTTAATGAGATAGAGAGACTACCCAAAACAAAAAGACAAAAAGCTTTGTCAAATCGAGAATTTGACAAAGAAAATAGAGATAAAATTACACATGATAAAAGTTAAATGATTAAAACAAAGTAAAGGTTATAAAAAGGATAAAAAAAAAATTTCACTAAAAGCATACAAAACAAAACTTATAAACAAGTAAGACTAAAAAAAATTCATTATGCATAAGGCAGGAATAAAAGTAAACATTATAGAATTTTAATAACCAAAATAAAAAAAATATTAATAAAACAAGAATCAAAACAGAAAAAATTTTAACCAAAAAAAAACTTAGAATAGTTAAAATGTATTTAATTTTAATGTAGAATGTCTAATAATCAAATATAATAAAAGTTTAATGATCAAAATAAATGAAAGATCTTAAAACAAAAACCAAAATATAACAAAAAGTTTTACTAAAAGCAAAAAATAATTCATTGTAGGGAAAAAATTTAATGATCAAAATAAAAAAACAATTACAAAACAAAGATTACAAAAAAATTCTACTAAAATTTAATGACGAAAACAAAGAAAAAATCACAAAACATAAATTAGAATAGAAAGAAAATTTCACTAAAAGAAAAAAAAAACAACCTTAGGATGGTAAACTTTATATAGTTTTAGTATGGTAAGAGTAAAAATCAAATATGAGAAAAATTTAATGACTAAAATAAAAACATATTAAAAAATAGAAACAAAAAAAGAACATAAATTTTTACTAAAAGCTAAAAAAAATTATTATAAGGATAAAAATCACATATAATAAAATTTTAATATTTATGATAGGGATAAAAATCAAATATAAAAAAATTTTAATGATAAAAATAAAAAAAAATAGAAAGAATGGACCAAAATAAAAGGCAATTTCCTAAGCGAGCAACCGAAACGGCAAAAAAAAAAAAAAAAAAAGGCATGCGCGAGGGTTGTGCATCGAGACTGGGTAGCTCAAGACCTAATAAAAAAGAAGGCTGCAACTTTCGGCTAATCAAGGTTGCTAGAATCTTCGTAGGAAAATTAGGGATCATCCTTAGAAATTGAATTCGAGCATTATTTTTTCTCCAAACACCTCTAAATGAGCGGAATAAAGCCAATAAATATATCTAAAATCTTAAAAATCATTTTAATGCACAAAAAAAAAAATACAATCAAATCGGAATATTGTTTTTTTTTTTGCTCCGATCTACATCCTCTAATTATTTAATGGTTTGAAACAAACATAAACAAACTCATCTCTCAAATATAAAAAAATCTAGCGGATTTTCGTTGACCAAAGTAACCTAAATAAGCTTGGCCGACGATCTCTCTCTCTCTTTCCTTCTCCTTTCTCTCTCCATCTAGAGATCAAAATAGATGAGCAAATGAAGATGTGGATCGAAATATTGGTTGACAAATATCATAAATAGCAAAGTATAAAAAACTCATAAATAATAAAATGTTAGTGTATAAATCATCGTTTTGTTTTAATTTATTTAATTAATTAATCCTATTTTGAGTGTGAGATGGAAATATCTAAATAAAAAAAATTGATATCAAGAGAAATAGAAAGAGAGTCCAGATCCAATTATATATACATATGAGTGGATACGAGGAGAGTGGTCAAAGCAAGGAGCACAATAATATTCATCCTTTTTCTAATTTGATCTCTGGGAAATAGCACTCAAAGTTTGACTGCCTGGTAAGATAATATTAACAAATTATTAATAGATCTATTTTCTGATAATTTTTAGTAAAAAGCTATTTTTTACAGCTCTTTTTTTATCCAACATTCCTTTATTAAACCTGCGACCAAAAAGACCCAACTGAAACAACGCTCTACCATTGCCAAACCACTGGCATTCCCTCCACGCAGAAAACCTTAATTTAGATCATACCATGCGTATAAAAGCTCATCCTTGTCCTTCTTCACCTTCAACCTGGCCCACACAAACAGAGCAAAGTCTCTGTTTGCATCGTCTCCATCTTTCTTTTCCAACCTTATTTTTCTTTTTCTGAAGAATTCAGGAATTGATACAAGCCGGGTGAAACATATAAAAAAATAAAATAAATAAAATGATTCGCAAAATAGCTGTTTCGATTGTTTCCCTCATTCTTGTTGTTGGTGCTGTCATTGCGGTGGTGAGTTTAGTGAACACCCCTAAGGGATCCGATGGTGGGAAGAAAGAAGAAAACTTGTCTCCATCAATGAAGATTGCTAATCAACTATGTCAGCCATCAGATTACAAAGAATCTTGCATCAAGACCCTTAGCTCTGTGAACAGCACCGATCCTAAAGAATTTGTCAAGCAAGCTATATTGACTGCCTCAGATGCTGTCAAGAAATCATTCAACTTCTCCGATGATTTGATCGCCAAGGCCAGCAACGATAAGCGTGAGAAAATGGCCTTGGGTGATTGCAAGGAGTTGTTGGACTACGCCGTTCAAGAGCTTCAAGCAGCAACGTCAATGGTGGGAGATAGTGATTTGCACACCACAAATGACCGAGTTGCAGAGTTACAAAGTTGGTTGAGCGCCGTCCTTGCATATCAAGAAACATGCGTGGATGGATTTGATGATAAGAGTTCCATCAAGCCTATCATACAACAAGGTTTCGTCGATGCTAGCCAGCTTACAGATAATGTTTTGGCTATCATTTCTGGCTTGTCAGACTTCCTCAAATCCGTAGGCCTTCAGTTTAACATTCCTTCTAACTCTCGTCGTCTCCTTGCTGACGATGGATTCCCAACCTGGTTCTCTGGTGCTGATCGTAAGCTTTTGGCTGCCAAAGACAATGGTAGGGTTAAACCAAATGTGGTTGTGGCCCAGGATGGCAGTGGACAGTTCAAGACCATCAGTGCAGCCATTGCTGCATATCCCAACAACCTCAAGGGACGATATGTTATCTATGTTAAGGCAGGAACTTACCGGGAGTATGTTACTATTGACAAGAAGAAGCCCAATATCTTCATCTACGGTGATGGACCAAGGAAGACCATCGTCACAGGAAGCAAGAGCTTTGCCAAGGATGGCTTGGGCACCTGGAAGACTGCTACTTTTGGTAACAATCAAGTTCTTTTTTCTTTTTCTTGTTTTACGTATATATATATGGAGTATATTAATGAATCTTAAACGTAATTATCCATGATGGGTTCCTATTAATCATTAGCTTGGAAAATTCGAAATTAATTATGACTCTTGTTTTAATTAATTTTTTTCTTATGCAGTGGCTGAAGCTGATGGGTTCATGGCCAAGTCGATGGGATTCCAAAACACCGCTGGTCCTGACGGGCACCAGGCTGTGGCACTTCGCGTAAGTTCTGACATGGCAGTATTCGTCAACTGCAGGATGGACGGGTACCAAGACACATTGTTGTACCAAGCTAAGCGTCAATTCTACCGCAACTGTGTGATTTCTGGCACCGTAGATTTCATCTTCGGTTACGGAGCTGCTGTGATCCAGAACTCCTTGATTGTTGCCCGGAGACCTAACGACAACCAGCAGAACTCTGTGACGGCAGACGGCAGGAAAGAGAGGCACGCCACCACCGGATTGGTCATCCACAACTGCAGGATCGTTCCTGAGCAGAAGCTAGTGGCTGATAGGTTCAAGATCCCAACATTCCTGGGCAGGCCATGGAAACCATACTCCAGGACTGTTGTCATGGAGTCAGAATTAGGAGATTTCATCCAACCTGCTGGATGGATGCCATGGGCTGGAAGCTTGCATCTCGATACTCTGTACTATGCCGAGTATGCCAACAGAGGCCCTGGTGCGAACACCCAGAAGAGGGTGAACTGGAAGACCTTCCATGTCATTAACAGGAACGAGGCTCTTCAATTCACTGCTGGCCAGTTCCTTCAGGGCGCTGCTTGGATTAAAAATGCTGGAGCGCCCGTCTTGCTTGGCCTAAAACGTTGAGAGATCGTGTTTTTACGGGTTGCAAAAAGACGACACGTAGGAGAAGGAAGACAAATTATATAAGACATGATCTGAATGCTAAATGTACCTAGAAATTTTGAGCTTATATAATGAAATTCATTCGTTTGAATTCATACATGTACTAATTATTATTGATTTAATGCTTGGTTTGATCCTTATTTAATCTCTAGAATGACGCTGTACAAATAAAAATTTCAGACAAAATTACATCCCATGCAAACACGTGGAATAGTGACTTTTTTATTTTATTTTATCAAAGACTAATCATTTAAATTTTTTAATATTCGTACTTTATAACTTTACCAATGTACATAATTTGTATGAAAATTTAATCACATATTCTCAATTAATGACATATCATTATAAGGTAGTAGCTAGCTAGTAAATAAGAGTTAATTTGTAAGCTAATTTTAAAATTCAATTTTTTTCTTGTATTTCGATAATTTATTTTTAGAATATTCGTGGTTATGTATTAAGAGTGTCCTTTAACCATACTTAAGGATTAGTGTCATATGCAAGAACTGATCCGAAAACACTTTTACTACTAAACCTTTTAAAAAAAACAATGATATATAATTTTTATTTTTATTCTTATAAAAACAAAAGAAAATAAAACATAAAATGGTGATACAACTACAATGGTGTAATTTGATTCACTTTATTTGTTTTGAAACTTAATTTAAACTTAAAATAATTATTTTTTACTTTTATCTCTAAATTATAAAGAGATTAATCATTTTCTATCAAACACAATACTTAAGAGTTTTATCATATGTTCAAATAAACATAAATAATTGTAAGTCAAATGAAAATTAGATAAAATATATAATATAGGTCGAGATTTTTTTCTTGGATCACAAATTTTAATTTTTTTGACATTTAAATTCACTAACAAATTTATAATAAATGTTCAATCACATATTCAAAGTAAATTTTTTATATAAGAAAGGTGTTTGCAATCTCAAACTATTATATATTTTTATTTGTAGTAATTTACCTTTATTTTCATGTTTCTTTCTCTCTCTCTTTTTTTTTTAATTCAAAAAATTAAAATTAGCAAAACTCCCGCCCTTGAAAACGAACACATTAAAACAGTCTTCCCTCCCTGCCTCTCGCCCTTGAAAACGAACACATTAAAACAGTCTTCCCTCCCTGCCTCTCGCCCTCTCTCTAACTCTCTAGCTGTAAACTGTAATGACGGCGTCTCCGGCGGAATCTTCTTGTCTAATCTCCAAACTCGAATCTTCCTCCATTTCCACACCAATCTATTCTCCTTTCTCCGATTACCTTCACCCATTCACCGATCTCACCAAAAAATCCCTAAACGAAAACCAAACCCTAACGCTAACCCGATCGCTCGCCAAGAATTTCCTTCCTTTCGTCAACCGCTGCCTTTCCATTTTACCAAAACGCCTCTCCGATCTCATCAATTCATCTTCCGTCAAGGAAGAACAAGAAGATGGAAAAGTCCCCAAACTCGTCATCGAATTGTTCGATACTTACAGGCTATGTTTGGATTGCTTGGAATTGGTGTCTTCGCAGTTGGCTGGTAAGCCCTACGCTGTGTATAGACAGAGGTTGAGGTTGGTCTGTTGCTTGGAGGCTTGGGGGTTGTACAGGGATGGTGAAAATGAAGGGTTTCGGGTTCTGGAGAGGCTTAGGGCTTTGGATTTGGGACCAAAGCCAAAAAATAACAAGAAGAAGAAATTAGGAAAGTATTTGCCTGTTCTGCTTGAGAATGGGGACTTGGATTTTGCTAAGATGGTAGTGGAGGCTGTGGTGGCTATTATGAAGTGCGTGGCGTTAGGGAAGAGTAAGAATGATGACCATTATAAGAGGGTTATTGGGATGATACAGGAGGTTAAACCCTGGTTCAGGTGTGTGAGTTTTTTTTTTTTTTTTAAATTAATACTATCTTGATTTATTTGCTTGTTTGGAATATGGGAGAATGAGATGTCTTTGGAGTCTGGATTAATTGTGTGGAAACGAGATGTTTTTGTGTTATACAGGCTGTGTTTTTGTTGTTTGCTTCATTGATAGATCTTTAGTTTTTGCTGTCTGACAAAAGTAAAGCAGAGAAGGTAGAACAATTTGACAATTTCATAGAAAATTTACGTGGTATGGGAGGGAGATATTTTCTCATGAAAGAAATCTCGCTAGAAGCTGAGTTATATTAGAACAGTGAAGGGATGCCAAAAACTAGTACATAATGGGGGAAAAAAGTTAGAAAGAACAATTACCATTCTTAGCTTCCTTCTCTGCAATTATTACACTTATCCTATAGATCGAATATAGAGTTTGGGATTGTTCCTTATTTTAATCTTGGAATTTGTGAGTTGTGGTTTTCTGAAGCAAATTGTATTGATTCTGATCTAAAAACTCGTATTGTTCTTCCAAAATGCTACCCAAACCATCAAACAGATAGGTTTCAACTAATTTATTATAGATGCTGGCTGAATTAATAGATGTGCAATTTCATCTTTTATTTGAAGGAAAATGTTGCTGATGTTCATTGGATTCATATTGCTGAATAGTATATCTAAATGAATATTTTAGGGTGTTAGATGCTGATGCATATGACAAGTTACATAGGATGCTTGTGACCTACCTACGTAAGTGCACTCAATTTCTGGTTGGGGAGCTAATGAATTTTGATGGAGGTATAGTGCGTACTTTTTGTACAACAACTTTGGATGAGTATGCGGAGTCGTCTATGAAAGATCAGATTTACAAGGTAATCTACAGTTTAATTATGGCGAGACAGATTGCAGTGAGCTTTATGTGCTTCTCTAATTGGTTTTTGGTTTGCAGTTTGCTCGTCATATCTGTTCTCTTTTCTTCCTTCAAGGTGATAGATCTTCAGTCAAAATTGACGTACTGATGTGTGTTTTAGACTCACTTGCCCAAAAATGCAAGGTAATGTGAAGAAATATATCATTTGCCTAATTGATCATTGGCATTTTGTTTGTTAAGGCCCATGCTCCCTTCCAACACTTTTTACAAGCGTCTTTCCTATTTAATTATCTGTGCAGCAGAAAGTGAAATTAGAGAGCTGGCATATTATTAGAGATGCAAATTGATTCATTATGTGTTCTTAGTTATTGTTTGTGCCTTTTGCTCTTTCCAGTTGGAGGATGCAGTTTTCATCCCACGATAGAAATGTTCTCTTTTAACTTGTCTGGTTTCTTTCGTATGAAAGATACCTGTCCTCTAAGTTATCTGTTTAGAACTTGGTCACAAGATAAAATTAATACATGTTTTTGTTAAGGTATGGTTAATGAATATATGGAATATGACCTTGAGCCAGGCTGTTATTTGACTCTTTCTTGACCTTTTCCATGGTGAATGATGAGTATGAGTTGTTGTATATATCTAATTACTTTTCTAGATAATGATTATAAAAGATCTATATCTCTTGTCTGTGTATCTGTGAGTAAACTTGAATTCCTACCCTAATTGTGAATTCTGATAGGTATTTTATTTAAAATATGCATCATAATGAGTATTACTTTCTCACTTTATGATAAGTGGAAGTTAGTTTGCAAGTGGATTATTTAGGATATTACTAAGGGTGAAATACGTGCTGAGCCAGGCTGATCAAGCTTGGCTTGAAAAAATTTAACTGCTGATCAAATTTTGCTTGAGCTCAAGCTATTTTTTTAGCTAATATGCTCAGGCTCAGCTTGTCAAGCATCTGTCTGTACCAAGGTCTGCTTGTTAAGCTTGATGGCTTAGTTCAAGGAGAAGCTCAAGCTTTAGATCAGATTCCAGCTCAGTATTATTCCAAATAACTTTGTAGGTTGAGTCGAGCTTCAAATAGGTTGTACTTGTCTTGCTTTCTTGATGAGCTTAAAGAGTTGCTCAAGATTGGATTGAAATTTACTCTGAACAAGTAGGACCGACCCACAAACCAAATTGAGCTTGAGACGAACTCAAACTACTCAGTTCGAGTTGCACTCCTAGATATTACTTAATTTATGTGAGCTCTGTACAGAGTGATAATATGACTTTTTACTTTTTTGGCAGGCTGAAATGAAAATTTGGGGAATAGAATTCATTGAACTTGTCGCTTATTGTGCCAATAAATGTCAAGCTGCAACCACAACACTTTGTATTACTTTTGCAGAATGCCTAGATGACTTAGCTGGTGTTTTGTGTCAGGTATTGATTTAATTTTAGGCTTCCATCTATGGCTCTTTGTGCAGCAGTCACATCATTATGTGGATGAAAAATACTTGTATGGTTTGAAATTTAACTTGGTTGGCAGGTTATGACACCGCTGGAAATGATTATCAAGCTTTATGCCATTGGATTGTCCTTCGTTGATCACATTGCTAAGTCTGTGGCTGGTGATGTTATGCCATCCAAAGGTGCAAAAGATGAACATGCAGTTGGTATTCTTGATGGAGTTACACTTTGCAATTTAGCACCTGTGCTTGGTTCTTTGCGAAGCTACTTTTATGATGGTTGCAAAGAGAACTGTGTGTCATGTGGTATTGAATTCCAAGATTTTGCTTGCGACATAACTTTAGATTCTCACCATGGGACCTCTTTAAATTGCACACAGAATAGTAAAGAGGTTTATCTACTGGCTTACTTAAATGTACTGAAGTTCCTCTGTAAGCCGCTTTCTGAACTGGTGATCTCTCAGAACAAACAGATAATTTTTGAAAGTGATGCTTCTTCTCTTTCTTCGATGCTGTGTAGTATCCAAGAAGCATTTCATCAGTTCAGTGACATTGTTTTATACTTTCACAGGTAAATTAAGTATAATTTTCTGCATCTTCTTTGCTGTAAATAGCACGAGGTATATTTGCATCTTCTTGTAATTGAGTTCTCCTTTTCCATTTCATTTAGAATCTCTTGCTACTAAATGGCATCACAAAAGGCATTCTGTTTGACTAAATGTTTGTTTGTTTGGGTTTTTTTTTTTGTGTGTGTGTTTTGTTTTTGTTCTTGGAGTAACTTCACTTGTTGTTTGTGTCTGTTGATAATTGGTCTGAAACCAGGGGTATAGTGCCTTGTAGAAGGACCTAATCTCGAGTGAAGTAAAAAAAAGAGTTAGAGGTGTATTAGGATTGTTTTTAGTTTTATATGATGCGCAACTAGCAAATTTAACTTATTAAAGGATTTGTTTTTCACCAATGGATTTTATATTATCTCATTCTACTTCCTTTTTTAGTTTATACCACTTAGGTTTTAGAGATATATGGCTGTTGATTTATTTTGAGGTAGCTGATATTTTGTGGATTGAAAAAAAAGTTTTGAGAATCGAGGAATGTCAAGAAATCTGTCCTCAATAGCTAGTTTCAGTCTGTCCCTGTCCTAGTTTCATTTATTGTATGCCTCAATTATAATGAAATCTGCATCAGGACCTTCTTTTAGTGATATCTATCATACTTAATAGGTGAGGAGCCAGCATGTGCCACGCACATGGCTCCCTGTTTTCAAATTTTACCATTTCAAGTGCTCACTGTATGTTGTCTTCCCATCTGTTACGTTCGCTAACATAAGTCCTTATTGGAGATCCTGTTAGATGTTAAGGATATAATAGATGCAATCAGAAGTTTAGAGATAGATTTGAGGCTAGCTTGAAAGTACAATTGGTAAAAAGTTTCTGAGATCAAAGTTAGACACTCTATTAAATTTCTTTGCTTCTCCCCTTCACATTTCTTCTCCATTTCTCCTCCCTTTTCTCCTTTTCCCTACATTATTTGGTTCCTTTACTATTTAAACCTATGAATGGATGAAACTTTAACCGAAATCTTTACCTACCAATATTATCTAGCATTCTCCGAGTATTCCTATTACATGGTTGCAGAAGCACAGCTGAAAGTGAGGCAGCTGGTTTTGATGAGAACAAGATGATTCTTAGTGTATCTGTGGCTACTTTCATTCTATCCATCAGAACAAAGCACGGGTTGCAGGTTGTCTCTTTTTCTTGTAATATTGAAAAATCCAAAGTAATTGTCATTCACTTGATAATGCACTCTTGATCTTATATAATTGAAGGACATGCTGTTGTTTTCTCAAACTTCAATTTTGCTGATGGGTTTGCCCTTTCTTATTACAGAAGAGTATGCATCTGATAAAGCAGATCATTGCGAGTGAATGGATTCAACCTCAGGGGCTGAAATATATATTTGCTTCCCTATACAGTGTTGGTTTACTTTTGTATAGAAATAAACAAATGAATGAGGTAATTTCTTAAGGATGTGGCTTCTAACTTAGAAAACATATGGGCATTAATTTGATATCCTTAATGGTTAATAAACAAAAAGAGTTTAAATTATGAAAAGCCAATTTCAAATTCATTTCCTTTTAATGGCATGATGTTATTGGTCTTATTGCAAGAATTTTGTTCACATAATTATGCCAATTTTGAAATTCATTGAAAATTCAGTTGTTAAGAAGTATATGTAGGATGGAATATTTGTTCATATTTGCCTTAGTGCAGTGCTACGACACTTGTTTATGATGCTTATTTTAGAGTTTGAAAGATGCTGGTGAAGGCAATACACAAGTACATAAATGTACCTTATAAAGGACTACATGCTGCTGCTGTTTGTGCAATTTGAATTTTCCTATGCTCTTCTTTCCTCTTAATTAATGGAAAAAAACATGGCATGCTCCTTTCGGAATTTACCTCCTAATGGCAACCTAATGTTTTACCAAAATAATTTCAAGGGACTACAATAAATAAGTCTGCCCTTCACATACCACAACTAATCTAAATGGCATTCCCTGTGGCATGCATGTACCATGATCAACAATATACCTGGTTCAAGGCAACTATAATATACCATAGGTGACAATTACGGTGGGAGTTATATAATGAGAAAAGATATGGAATGAGAGCTGGTGGATCAAGTCATCAAAGGAGTGTTTAGAGTTTAGATATGTGATCACCTGGATACATGGAGGGAAGATCACAGAGTTAACTCCATACATGCATAACATGTATATTGATTTCTATCCCTCTGGTATCACCTTAGAAATATGTTTTCTCATACCCTTAATTCTTTTGCATCCAAAGTCTAGTTTTATTCCTTTTTTATTTTATTTTTTTCCAAAAAAAGCCTTATTTATATTGATCATTCATATTTGCAGGCTTTGAAGCCGTTGAAATTATGTTGCAGAGCATCGTGGAAATGTGTCAAACTTCTTTGTGAGATGTATATGCAAAAGGCTGATGGGTTTGTTGGTGATCTTTCAGAAGATGCTATTCTGGATTTTGTCACTGAGGCATGTAACCAAACAGTTTTTCTTTTGGATGTTCTCCACAAATCTGGCAGTCTCAGGGTGGAAAAGATAATTGTAAACAGTCTTGAAAATTGGTCTGTTGCTGAAAATTTGTTTAGAAGGCTGTCGGTTCCTGTGCCTTTGGTGAAACAATGGGTGAAGGTAGCATCTGGAAGCTTCCAACTTTTTTCAGCATGTTTTTGCTTGTTTTGTTGTTTTAATTGCAGTTTAATTTCCAGATACGATGTGAGATTAATAAGAATACGGCCATGGATGATAATGCTCCAACCTTGCACTGCTTGCTATCATTGTCTATGACAATGTCAAAGAGGACAATTGGCAAAATTTTACAGCAGGTTTGAGCATCTGTGTTGTTTCTGTTTTAACAGTTTTTAGCATTACATACCTTTTGCATTTTTTGATTGTGGTTTAAGTCTTTTTTACTTGATACTATCGGCTTTTCTCTTCCTTTTCTTTGTCTCTAACATTTTCAGGAGCTTCTTGCTTATGAAGAAATGCATGCTATGTATCCAGAATTTTGTCAGAGAATGCAAATGGGAGTCATAGATGTCCTCTTGAAAGATGTGTATGTCACAGATAGTCATTTGCAGAAATCAAGAGTTTTGGTCAGGAAAGGATGGGCATTAAGGTCCTGTGGCTTTGAAGGTTTGGGGGACTGTATTCAATGCTTGTCAGAAGCAATCTCTGTGCTTGTGAGTTATTTGGCCTTATTGCATTTTTTTTCCTTACCTTTTTTTTCATGATTGAAGGTTCAGTAGATGCCCTTTTCCCTATACAGTGATTTACTTACACACCCACTTGAACAGAATGATGAAACATGTAGCCAAGGACCTCCTGCCTGTCATCATTTGGCTGCAATATATTGCCTACGTGCGCTATGTACCCAGGAAATAGAACCAAACTCAAAGGTGTTAATGATAAAAGGCTAGTTCCCTGATTTTACTACTTAATGCCTAAGGGCTATCTGTGTTAGTATGTATGTACACGTTTGTTAATGAAATATTTTGTGGTTACTAATTGTTTGCTCGGTTTTCCTTACGAGCAGCAAGTTTTTGGAGATATCCAAGCTGCCTTAGATCTATGGTTGAGTATTCCAATCCTAGATTATGGCTTTGCATACGATGAGGGCAGCATGTTGCCTGACAGTGCACTTTTATTGCTCTATAATATAGTTGATTTGTTAGCAATGAAGGTATGTTTATGATCTTATCGCATGCTTTGATTCTACATTACTTTTCAGCTCATAGTATCATTGCTTTATCTTTTCTTTGTATTCAGGGTTCTATGGAATTTCACAATGACATATATAAGCTGATGATTAGATTGTTTAAATGGAAGGACATACAACTGCATACCTGCTTATCCATTTTGTGGGAGAGTAAAAGGCTTACTCATGCTCTTTGTGTTTCACCTGTAAATGAGGCTTTCATAATGAACCTACCAAGTTTTTCTGGAGAACAATTCAGGTCTTTCGATTCTTGGATTCATTGTCTAAAGGGGTCCCCACCTTCATTAGTTGGGTTCCAGCATAACTTTTCTTATCTATGTACAAACTTTCCCTGTGGCTCTGAAAATCACAAAACTTCTTTTCAATCTGATGTCACTGTTGATGTTGTTAAAGAAGCAGCCTTTGAAGTCATTTCAAGTGTAAGATTCCCCATGGGACCTAAGTTGACTCTTTCATTAATTTCATAATCCTTTGTGATGCAAATTTTTTTAATAGTTTCCTATTGTTCTTCTTATAGGTTCCTGTCACAAGTAATTCTTTTTTCATTGCTGGATGTCTTTACTACGATTTGTGTGAAAGACTTATTGCAAATGGACGTTTGTTTGAGGTAAGTAAGCAGTCTCTGGAAATTTTGTTTCTAGATTTGCCGAGACCTTGATTTAACTTTTTTTTTTTTTTATCCTATTCTGTGAGAAACGGCACACCAAATTTGGAAAACATTGGATTGAATAGCTACCATACCAGAATGCCTATTATTGCTCACCTCCCTTTGTCTTAGTATAGGATCTCAATTAAATTGTTGGGCGGCAATTCATGATATCTTCATGGAACGAAGAATATATCTCTTGTTTTAGACCAGTCAACACTCTAGTTGAAATATAAGTGTTGACTGGAGATTAAAGTATGCTAAATAGCAAGTCGTGCCTGGATGGAAGTATGGAAAAAATATGCTTGGTATGCAAAATGTGTATTCAATAATATCCATTAACGTAGTTGTATATAGACATTGGCAACATTGACAAAGAAGGGCATCAGAGGCACAAGAGAAGTATGCTTGATGTTGCAACCGCGAAGGTGATTTAGTGAGTGCTTTAAACGGGGATTACAAAAGAATGACGACCGGCATTCAGAAGGGAATTGTGAACTCATTGCCAATAAATAGTTTGATTTATATTTTTCATGATGAAAGTGGATTATTGAATAATTCTTGAATGCGTTTTCCTGAACAAATGTATGTTGTTTGTATTCGAATTGTTAAGTTACTTTGAAGTTCCTTTCTGAGTGCAACTGAAACTTTTAGTCTGGCTATAAGCTAAATGGCATATTAGACCAACTTTATGTGAATCCTTGAACACTTCAGGATATTTCTTTCTTCTGGAAATTGGGTATGTAGAAAGAAGCTATTGTGATGCACATTTAATTGTTTTGAATTTGAGCACTCATTTAGGCCTGGGTGTCAGAGATGTAAAGCACCAAACTCGACCACATGAACACATGGGGTGTTGGGAATAGCAGTGATAGTTCTAATGTATTGTTTATAATTTCATTTTGAATTTTACAAGATTACATACCCCTATCAAGTTATCATTTTTCTGGTTTTGCCATTGCAATTGAAGTGTTTTAGTTCTTATACCATCTGCCTTTTCTGGTGCTCTAAGCTATGCTATTTTTTCAGTTGCATCTTCCACTTGTTTCATTATTTGTGCTGTCAATCTGTTTGATTCTCTTCCTACCAAAACAAATTTCCACCGTTTTATGGGGAAAACTAGTTGATTTAGCTGGTATAAAGCACGACTTGAAAGTAGCTTCTCCTTTTCGTCTCAGTTTGGCTATTTTGTTTTGGCAATGTCAGACATATATGTCATCCACATACACCTGTGTTATTTGTAGCCTGAAATTGTTCTGTTGCTACTTTCTTTTTTTTTTATTTACTCTCTTCTTTCTGTAGTGTGAAATGTGACTGTTTATGTTCTAAAGGATTATTAGAGAAAAATGATCTGGCATCCAAATGGAACCATGACAGTAGTTAATATTATTAGTAAGCATTTACAAATAGCAACAAAGATTGACCATAATTTGCTGATATTTTTTTTTAATGCGGACAAATCAATAAGCTATAGTATTTACTTTGCCGGTACAGATGTAATTCTAGATGTTCCACTGTTCTCTTCCACATCTGGGAAATGGAAGGGAAATGGCTTGGGAGAAGTTAGTCTCTGAGGATCTTAAAAGCTGAACAACCATCCTGTAATTCCAAAGAATGAATCATATTCTGCTGTCCCACCTAGTTCACAGGCGTGTTCCTATAAGATGCTTAGAAATTACATGTTTTCTCATTAATATCTTTATTTCGGCATCATATGTTTTTCCCCTCTTCTCTTTCCTCTTGAACAAAATCACTCTCATACTCTATCTGCAAGCCTGTGTTGCATGTTGTTAAACCTTCACAGATGACTTTGTTTCAACTTATGCTCCAGTCCACTAGTTCTACTCTCCTAGACTTTGTTAATATTACATTGCACCTTTTTTCTGCTTGATTTCCAGTTATGGATTCTTGTGCACCACACCCATAGAGCGGTTCCATATATGGTCATTGATCCATCTTGATATTTTCTTGCCTCCTACTGCTCATTTGTTTTTAATTTTTGCTATTTTTTCTCCTGTTTGTAGGCACTTTCATATGCTAAAGAAGCCCACCGGTTGCGTACTAAACTCTTTAAAGAGACTTTTATGTACACAGTTGAGAAGAAAGCAGAAAAGCTTACATATGGTCTTTCAAATATACAAATGTACAAATCAATTGCTTGTGAAGTTTGGTTGTTCGATACCTTTTCATGGGACATGAATGCCTGTTATCTTAGCCCATGGAAAATACTTCAGTGCTACCTTGAAAGCACTCTCCAGGTCACCCCATCTTTAACCAACAACTTTCTGACGTAGAAATTTAAGGCTGATTCTCTTCCCCGTATAGAGGTTATAGATTTTCTTTTGATTCCTATGCAATATGCAGGTTGGAACTATCCATGAAATAATTGGAAATGGAATTGAAGCTGAAAATTTTTTACTCTGGGGTAAAGACATCGCCTGCTCACAAGGCTTGCCGCTGTTTATAGTTGCCTTTGCCTCTGTTTTAGGTATGAATCAACTAAGGGCGTGTTGGCTGTTTCCTTGAATTTTTATGTTTCCTAATAAAAGCTTCTGTCTATCATCTTACTATATCTGTTAAAACATCAGGTAAACTATACTGCAAGAAGGGGTCTTGGGATCTGTCAGAAAAGGAACTTCAAAATGCCAAGCACATTTTGGTACATAACTGTGCAGATTTTTCTTGCTTAAAGTGTGGATTGATGCTTGAAGCCACAATTGATCAACAACTTGGTGATTTATCCCTTAGTCTCTTTAATACAACCAGGAGTGTCTCGATAGAGAGACTATCTCTTGCTGAAAATTTTTATAGATCAGCCCTAGACAGACTAAATTATCGTGAATGGAAAAACTCTGTTAGCTGTCCTGAAGACGTGGGAGAAATTGAGGGAGCTTCTGTTTGTTTCACTACAGGTCAGCTGAGGCCTAAAATGAAAATGGAAAGTCAAAAGTATAGAAAGACTAAGAAGGCAATGAAATCTTTACTAAAGGAGCAGTCTTCTGTAACTGAGAACCATACTAGACTAACTCGTTCCAGATATCGTTCTTCTCAGAATCAGAATGTAGACAGTTCTGCTGAGGTACAAGTTGGCCTTCTAAATCAATTGAAAGGTAACAGAACGCATGATATAGGTATTCCTAATGGTCAGAGGCAGTGGCTCTCTGGAACAAAAGGTTGCATGGTTGATTTGGGGTGTGAAATCACTTGCATTTGCAATGGAAAGAAGTGTTGGTTTTGTCTTGCCAGGGAAGTTAAGGAATCTGGATTGTTGAGCAATTTCATATGTCTGAAATGGGAGTTTGTTCGCAGGCGACTATCAGTAAGGCTACTATCTGGCATAGGTTAGTGGCAACTGCATACTATTGCTTCTTAGTTTGGTCATTTTTGCAAGCACTAGAAAGCATGAAATGATAATATAGGATCATTTCCAAAGTCTTACCGTACTTCTCAATTTAAGAATTTAGAGTCTAGTTTTAGTGGATTATTTTACTCCACTCAATGGTTACTTAGTTTCTTATGGTTTAGATATAATCTACTTAAAGAGTAATGTAGAAAAGTTGAGAATTTATTCTCAACAATAAGGAAAACAAGGACAGCTTGCTTGGGATATATGAAAATTGTTTCTTTTCTTTCCTGCAAGAGAGGACCTTCCTTTATATGGAACTTCATTGTCATTCTTTCTTCTCCTTTAAATTTTAGATCCTTCCAATATTATTTATATTGTTGAATTTCAGGAAAATGCCTGGAAGTTCATGGCAGATTTCATGAAGCGCATGAAATTATTTCACAAAGTATTTCTGTCCTAGTCAGCCGAAACCCATTCGCCCATGCTTGTATTCCATTCACTTTCTTGCTTGATCTAGTTGGGAAAGAGTTGTCAGGGGATGTATTCAGTGTTGAGCGTGCAGCAGTACTTTACAACATATGTTGGTTCTCTCTGAAGAGTTACTCCTCTAAGGATAACAGGTATTCGTTTTAGTGAATGCTTCCATTTTGCTTCTCCATGTCTGCATGTTTCTCAATGATTCATAACTCCCAGGGGCAGAGATCTTTTTTCATTAGCTTTTCATTTTGTTTTGTGATCTAAACTAAAATCCTAGCCTACTTAGTAATCAATTGGATGTCTTGGCATTAACAGCTGCTCTATAAGTAGGCTTTTTAACTAACTGACTTTGCTTTTGCTTTGATTTATTTGGGACCAGGACCGTCTGCTGTGATCTATTCCATGTTCAAATACCAAAAATAGTGTCTTGGTTGATGCTAGCCTATGTACTCTGCCGTGAGGTTCCAGCCCTTCTTCAGAAGGTCAAACTTTATTTTTTATTTTCCTTCACATGATTAACCATTCTATTCGCTATTCTCATTAGTTTTATGGTTTTTGTTGCTGTTCTTTTAATCCCTTGGTTTTAGTATTGTCTCTATACATATCTTGCCATTTTAAATGCTTTATGTCTTGTAATGACTGGTATGGGTTTTGTTGGTTCTTAATGTTTGACATATTGAAAGGAATATGGCATTCGGATTTTTTTCTGCGTTCCTTTATGTTGGACTTGCAGTTACTCTTCTACCTCTAATTGATTAGTCGGAGTTGAGCTGAGCCCTATTTTGTGAATTGATGGCTCAAATCCTTACAGGAAGGTTCATGACTTCTCTTTGTTTGTTTCAGATGGCAATTTTGAACTGAACAAATCAAGATCAGTTTAAGAATATCTGATGCAAACTAAAACAAAATTAATAAAGATGCTGAAAAAAATTGAATACAGTAAATTTTGTTCGATTGTGTAATGCCCCATTTAACCAAGCTTAGAATAGCTTAGTTTTGGAAATCACACAGGGGAATATATGGATGCTCTGAGCCAGATAAATCCTTTCTCTGTGGTTTTAGACCTTGGATTTGGATTAAGACATGGGGTTTCATTTTGCAATCGGATTGCTTTGACTCTAGGATTTGCAATGGTTTTAACTCGCATTCATTTGGTCATTGCAATTGTGAACTATTAAAAATACAAGTTATTTTTACACAACTAAAAATGTAAGACTGCAACTTTTGCAGTATACCATGTACAACAAGTGCAGTGGCTGTAATTGTCTTTATCATTATGTAATGGCAGTTAGAGTCACTATGCTTGTGAAACAATCATCACCAAAGTCCTTTGGCCTATAAATTCCTGTTAAAGGTTGCTATTCAATCATTGGGTTCTACCAGTGGACCTAGAAGGATCCTTGCTTTTGATTTTCTGTAGTAGAATACTCAGGTTTTTCTAAATTTTTGAGGCACTAAGCTTGCTGCAGTTGGTTTTATGCTCTTAGTTGATAATGCATTCAATCTTATTGCAATTTAATCTCAACATGATTTGTATGGGTTTTGGGTTGGATGTGAAATAAAGCATTCTTTTACACTTCTAGATGAAAGCAATGTTGGTTTAGAAAGTCGTATATCAATTGCTTTTTTTCAGAATTCTGTTTTTTAAATGGACTTGGGAATGTCTGTGTGGAATCATATTTATCTGATGTTGCTTTTCCTTTGATCTTCAATTTCACCTTTTGCTTACTGCTCTAGATTTACTTATGTTTCCTTTATGCCATCTTGAATTGTTTTTTGACTTCTAATCATAATTCAACAGGTTTCCAGATTACTTTCTGCTATATTTGTACTTTCTTCCTCCAGCGAGACATTTTCTTTGCCAAATTATAGCAAAGTACTCTCTGAAAGTCATTGGGCTTCATATTTTCATCAAGCTTCACTACGAAATAACTTTAATTTTCAGTTCCTTTCAAATACAACTTTGAAATGTAAAGAGCAAAACCTCGTTGAGGATCAGGTAGACCTGCTTGCTTATCATTTCATTCTTTCTTTAGTTGGAATTGCTTTATATGATGAGTGGCTTCTTGAAGAAGTTTGCAGTTTTTTTTTCTTTCACCTTTACTTTTTCATGGTTTTATGTGCCAATCAATTTGAGATGCCATTGGTCTCTCTATCCTGTGGTTTGGGAGTTCCAATAAAAACTGTGAAACCTTTTTAAGTTTGTTTGTAAAAACAAATGCCCCTTTTGACTTAAATGTCTAATTTGATGTCATCTAAATCAGTGATTTTCTCTGTTTAATGGATGAACTGGAACAACTAAGTATAGAAAGCAAGGCATTCTGTGGTATGGAGTGTTTTTCTAATGCTCGATCCATTTGTGTTGCTTTATTTATTGACTTTCTACATAATTGATTAAACGCTGAATTCATGGCCTTTTGTGTGGTTACTTGAATTCATATCTTCTCGAGTATTTATGGAAATATCCTCTCTTAAATTTGCACATGAATACATGCAAGCTCTTTGTTTGAGTCCACGTCTGGTCCGTTTATTATTTAAGAGGGATTCTACTGAAAGGAAAAGAGAAATTTGGGAAGTGCTTTATTTTATTCTGGTTTTACTTTACCTGCTGTTGCTTTTAAGTTTCTATAACTTTTAGTCCTTTGCAGTGCCTTAGAAACTTTCTTTTCATGGTTTGGAAACTAGTTTTTCCAATTAATTGCAAATTGGAATCTATTATTGAATTATGTGTTCTTAAATATTTTTTACCCAACAAATAATATTATTGTTACTAGTATATTATCATTATTATTATTATTTGGTGATGGTTAAAACCAATCCTAATCATGGCCCTATTTTTTGCCATTATGAATGTTGTTTGTTTCAGTAAATTTATATTAGCGTAAATGCAATTCTAAAAATCTATGCTACAATTCTGATTTGTTTAACTTTAATGGTCTGAGCTGTCTTGTTGCTTGAGAGTTTGGTCCTCAGGAAATTTATACTTGGTGATCAGCATGCTTTTTCAGGCTCTTATGTATTCTGTAGTTTACTGGTGGTTGGTGTCAAAATGCCGACCTGGAAGTTAGAAAACCTATGCCTTTTCTTAAATATTTCAACCTTTATCTTGATTGTGCATGTGGTTTTCATATTAATACCTCATACTTCTTCACAGTTTAATAAGCAATTCTTTCTTCAGGGCTCCTGTGTGACTGCTTCAGCTTGTGAAGGAGCAGAAATATGCAACTTTCCGAGGTTTCTGCTGTCTTTCGCATACTAAAGCTTTCCCTGGTTCTAAGCACATTCTTAGTTACCTTTCTTCATGCTGCAGGCTTGCGCCTGAGTCTCTTCAAGATTTGGAACAATTTGTGATAGACTTTTATTCGGACCTTCCTTGCACGACAGTCATTTGCATAAGTTTGATAGGAGGTTCTTGCGCAAATTTATTACGAGAACTACTGCTATATCCTTCATGTATTAGTGCATGGATGCTGTTGTCACGCTTGAACTTCAGGAGTCAACCTATTATGATGCTTCTGCCTGTGGATTCAATTTTAGAAGGTACACTCATTAATGTATACATGGGTAGCTGGAATTCATGATGTTCACACACAAATAGTACTGAATAATTTGCAAAAATTTGTCAGAAACTTCAGATGATGATTGTGCAATGTCTGGCACTGGAGAGTTTGTTGTGAGCAACAACTTGGGTAAACACTGGCATTGTCCCTGGGGTTCGACTGTGGTTGATGATGTGGCTCCAGCATTTAGATTTATATTGGAGGAGAATTACTTGTCTTCATCGGAATTTCCTCTGGAAGATACAAAAGAGAATAGAACTTTATGGTGGACGAAGAGGAAAAAGCTTGATAATCGACTTGGCAAATTACTGAGGTAGTTTCTATTGCACCCTTAAATCGTATGTGCAAGTTTCTTGGAACTTTTTTTTAAGTTTTATCAGATATTCGATAAAAATAATCAAGTCCGCAAGTGGTTGCCCATTGGAAAAGACATTGAATGCCCACCTTGTAACTCGTTATTATGGCGGCATTCTTAATTTAATGGGAAACTGTTGCCACCAGAAAAGTAAAATAAGATGCGAACCAACAAATTGAAGGAAAAATAATCTCAACCTTGGTCTCTAACCAAAAATAATTTCAGTCTTCAAAGCCTGAAAGATCAAAAGGCCCACTGAAAAGAAAAGATCTAATTCTGGGTCAAGACTTCTATATCTTGACAGAATACATTATCTCATCTAAACCATCTTGAAATTTCAGAAACGAATCCCATAAATCTTCTGAATTATTGACAAATCAAAAGAATTAAGTTTACTTCAGATCTGCTATTGAGACTTGGGTGATACCATCTTGAAGCTTCAAATCTCAGGAATAGCAATGACTGTTGGATCTGGAAATGAACCATGATTTTTGGTGAGTCTGCTGGGTCTTTTGCTATTAGAGTGCGCCCATCTTCTGCCGATAGCTCTAGTGGTCATTCTGTGGTGCCATCTTGTTGAAATGGCATGTTTTGACTGAGGCAGCACACTGAGATGGTAGAGTTGATGAGCTTCGGTTGTTTGGGTGCTCGAACAACTTGATGAGATTTGGTTCATGAATAAGTAGATGGACTCATCTTTGGTTGTTTAAACTGATTTATTCATAACAATAAGAAACATGCTTTTTTTTCTGTTTCTTTTCCAATTTAAATTTTAATAATCAGATCCATGTATGCACAAGAAGGATATTTTCTTATATTAAGCTTCTTTTAGGGTTTTTTCAATTAGATGGCATTTGTTTTGTGTAAAATATTTCATAGATGGAAAATAAGTCGTTACATTGATTTTACTTTGACTAGTTATCTTGTAAATTAAAATGCAAAACAAACACTAGAAACTCATAAATTCCTTTTTTTCTATTAGATATTTTACGTAAAACAAACACCCGTAGTTGATTTTTTTCCCCCTTGCTGCAATTGTATATCAAATTAATCTTCACTAATTTGCCATGTTGGGTTATGGCATGAGCATATTAGAGCCAGGTAATATTCTTTCAACTGAGTCCACTTCTGACATCCTTTGACAAAAGGTAAAATGTTTAACTACTCCATTGACAACAATATAGTTTTAGGACTCTAGTAGGAATCTTCAAAGTTTCTTGGATTTTTTTTGCTGGTCTCCCTTAGAATTGCCTTTTAGGCTAAAGTAAGTTAGCCTTTGGTTATTAAGCTCTTATTAGTGGCTGTTGAAGAACTGTATTAAATATTCCCCCAGCCATTTGTGCATCTATATACCAGCTTTGGTATGGTGTCTTTAGATTACGCAATATTTTTTGTTGGTGCTTACCGAATATGATGCCTTTATGAACCAGGAAAATAGAAGATTCATGGCTAGGCCTCTGGAGGTATGTGCTTTTAGGAGATTGGTTCAACTGCTCACACCTGGACTCTGTAATGAAGAAGCTGGTGCATGATTTGAAATCCAAATGCAAAATCAATACAAATGAAAGCTTTCTTAAGGTTATTCTTCAAGGTGGAAGACATGCTTTAGATGAAGAAGCTTGTATTTCACTGTTACTATCCCTCAAAAAGGGTTGCTTCATTGCCCAAGCGGGATATTCAGAAGAGGAAAGGTGTGAGACATTCTCTAAAGAATCTGAACGAGTTAAGAGACTGGCTGGCCTTGCTGTCCAATTGCTGCATGAGGCTGTGAATGAGCTTGAAGAGGAAGAATCCATAATTAGAGAACCAGTAATCTTGGTGCTGGATTGTGAGGTGCAGGTGGGTCTTTGTCATTTTTGCTATTCCCTTCCTCCATCATTATAAGATTGAACTTGACTATCTTTTCAATGTCTCCATCTTTCTAGTTGTGATGGTAAATTGCTATATGATTGTTGAGTTCTTTGTAAACTTAAATGCTGGCATGCACTCAGGAAGGATCAATCTGTTCGGTTACGAATTTAGGAATAGCTTTAAAAATGAATGATAGGTAGATCATTTCTTCTGTGTATTTAAATTGAAACTAAATACCTTAACCATTAGGTTTACGACCAGAGATTTGAAAGTTTCCTTTGCAATATGTTTTGTGAAGTTGCAGCTAATGTGAAGTATAATACATTATGGAAACAAATCTATAGACTCTAAGAAGGCTACATTCTAGATGAAAAATTCTTTTTGTTATAATGTTATGTCATCCTGACGATCAATCGGTTGAATATTTTGCACAAGAATCCTGATGATTCTCATCTGTTCTAAACGAAATTAATTGAAGGAAAGGTATTGCTGTAGGTCAACCGATTGCTCAACAATAAATAATCAAGATGACTTCAAAGCTGAACCAGCTACCTCATGGTTCCAGTTTTTGCCTGACTTGTACCCCAGTCTTTAGAGCAATGGGTCTTATTCAGACAGTTTGCTCTCATACTTCATCTGCTCATCCAGATCACTTTAAGTTTGACAGTGTTTCCTAGATAGTTTATTTGAGTGAATTTGAATGTTCTGATATTAATTATATAGATCTATATCTGCAGTCTTTACATGATGATACAAACTGAATTCATTCTTACTGACAATTGTCTTCTTTGGTTAGCAGCATGATTAAAGAATTCTAATTATTTCTGGATGTAGCTGAAATGCAACTTCGACTCCATCCCTTTGGAGTGGATTTAATTAACTAGTTTTTCTTTCTTGTGTGTTCTTTTGTTTCATTTGAAACTTACTAGATTGATTGTTATATGCAGATGCTTCCATGGGAGAATATACCAATACTAAGAAACCAGGAGGTTTATCGAATGCCTTCTGTTGGCAGCATCTGCTTCGCAATTGATAGAAGCTGCTGCCAACAGGAGCAAGTTGGGAAGATTACTGGTGCCTTCCCTTTGATAGATCCCTTGGATGCATTTTATTTGCTGAACCCTGGTGGTGATCTCAGCAGCACACAAGTTGAGTTTGAGAACTGGTTTAGAGATCAAAATTTGGAGGTAATTTCTTCTTTGCCTGTAAAGCAAATTGCGAACTTGATAATCTATGTGATGTTGGTCTCTGGAATATCTTCGCACCTTTTTTTTTTAACTCCTTTTGAATATTGGAATATATGTGATACTAGTTATATCTAAAGGAAGACTACTGATAATTTTTCTTTCGGCAAATAATGTTGCATTGAAAACCTTTCAGGGGAAGGCTGGATCTGCTCCTACTTCTGAAGAATTGTCATCTGCCTTGAAAAATCATGACCTCTTTATATATTTTGGCCATGGAAGTGGTATGCATGTTAAACATTCTGTGTAGTGTTTTTACCTTTTCTCTTTATGTTGTTTAGAGATTTTATTTACATAGTTCCATTGCAGTGATGTTGATTCTGTAATGGCTTGTCTCATGATGCAGGGGCACAATACATTTCCCAGCAAGAGATTCAAAAACTGGAAAATTGTGCAGCTACTCTTCTAATGGGATGCAGTAGTGGTTGTTTATCGTTAAATGGGTGTTATGCCCCAAAAGGTACTGCACTATCTTATCTACTGGCTGGTTCTCCTGTCACTGTAGCAAATCTGTGGGAAGTGACAGACAAAGATATTGATAGATTTGGGAAGGCCATGCTTGATGCATGGTTAAAAGAAAGGTCTAGTGTTTCCTTGGGATGTGATCAATGCAATTTAGTTGCAAAAGAATTTGAAGCAATGAACATAAAGGGTGGTAAACGTAATGCAAAGAAGAAAGCTCCTGGAACATGTTATGGTGGTTCTGCAATGAATTCTTGTGAACATAGACCAAAGATTGGAGCATTCATGGGTCAGGCTCGTGAAGCTTGCACCCTCACTTACCTTATTGGCGCATCGCCGGTATGTTATGGCATCCCCACAGGTATAAGGAGAAAGAAGGATTTATAGCAGTGTGGGAAATTGGCTAACATGGGGTGGTCCGGTTTTGATCATATCGAGTAATAGATGATCCAGTACACACTCATAGCATCAAGTAATATAAGATTCAACTAACCTCAACTCATTGTTTGATTTTATACTTCTGCTAATATTTTGCCATCAATGTTAAGCGCATACCTCCAAACAAAAATTTTAGGACAGTTAATTTATGCCAAGTTCCTTGCAATATTTCCCCCTTTAAGAGAGGAAGGGTGTGGGTGCGACTATGACTGTCCCCTTCTTTATGTTTATGTATATCTGACCTTATATTTTTTCATCAATTCTTGATCATTTAGTCTTGACACTAATGCCTTTGGATATTGTAGAAAATTAGAGGAAATTGCATTTGAATGTTTGTTTGTTGTCTTCTTTCAAGTGAGGTCTCGGTTAGAAATTGTCAAAAGCTGATAGATGTGAACTGCTCAAGGGGCTGAAGTTCCATTTTGCTACTGATTAAAAAAAAAAAAAAAAAAAAAAAAAAAAAAAAGTGGTTTTTATTGTGCATCATCTCTTCGCTCTTGCATGAGATGCGCTTCATTTGCTATTATTCATTCAGTGGCATTTTTTAAGTTTTGGATAGGTTTTAGGGATTTTCATTCAATAGCATTTTGAAGTTTTTGCTTGGTTATAGGGTTTTATGTGTTGTTATGATTTGGGTTTACATTTTGGTCTCTTTTTCACTTAACAATTAATGATTGATAATTAAAATATCAATTAACAATTAAAAAAAACTAACAGGAAATGGTTTTACTAATAATTCACTCTCTATGTATGCATAAAAGACAATTAATTAGATGGTATTTTTGAAGTTTTGGATTAGTTTTAGGTGTTGTCATTCAATGGCTCTTTTGAAATTTTTATTTGGTTTTTGGGGATTTGTTACCGTAAGAGTTTACAATTCTTTTATAGCCTTTAAATAAAGTATGTCTAAAACAACCAAATAGGACCTATTCGTATGAAAATTAAAATATAGAGAATAAAATAAACTTTAATAAATTTCAAGGACTTGAATCAGCATTGGCTAAAAAATTATTTTCCCCTCAACTGCTCAGGGCTGTATATGAAATTTGTCAAATGAGCAACCTTAACGCATTAAACTAGGCAATACTAGACGATACCATCCACTAATCCACTGTGTGTACCAATCCGCACTTTCAAAATCTTTGAACCAACCCACTCTGTCAAAACCAAATGGTGGAAACGAAATTAATGGAAGACGCTGAAATTTAACCAAGACGACATAGAAGGTTCAGTGATCCGTTTCTATCATTAGAACAAGAAAAATCGTTCAGGCCAACAACCATGCTTAACGGCATTAAATAACCATCACATCACATCACTGGTCAACAGTCATCATCCATTCCCACTTACCTACCGCAAAAATCTTCTCGTAGAATCCTAAAAGATAACACAATTTCATTGAACATATTAAAGCAAATGCATGTTTACAAAGGTAATTAACGAAAATACAAGTTTACACATGTTGATCCACAGAAGAATATTCATAGTCTACCGAGCAGGTGGACTGAAGGTAATTAAGAAATTGCATCTAAAAGACTACACATGGAAAGAAAAAGGTCATTCTTTCCGCTACAAGTTTTTCCCAGTCAATCTACTCGGAAACCGGGAAACAGAAAAAGAGAAATGCATGCAATGTCCAGTCAATTCTTTTATGTTTTCTTTGATCATCTCAAAGTCCCCCTTCCTAAAACTATGTACCTACCAAATGTTTCCCACCAGAACCATTTTAAATCATCTCGGACCTCCAATGGCTTCTCTACGCCTACGTCTCCTACCTGAACGCCCCAAAAGCATTCTGCCATGTCGACGAAGGCGGCTAACAAGTGACATGCCATTATCATCACCATTATCATCATCGCTGTTATTGTCATCATCTTCGTCGGACAAACCCAGCCCTCCAACAGGAGAAGTGTGATGAATACTAACAGAATCTTCATCAGTCATTTGACGATCGGTCCTTTCAGGATGCCTCAGCCGTCTACTGTGGCCATCCCCTGTTGGCCCAAATGCATGCAACAGCAAGAAGACATTCACCAGATTCCGATCAAAGCCCACCTCAAAACCTCCATTCCTCTCTGTGGCATCTGCATCGAGACCCCCGTCTTCATCTGTATCAAAACCATAATGACTTCCCTCTATTACATAATCTCCGAAAACCATTGCACCTGGCATTGTCGACCGAATTGTGCTGATTACATCATCATGTTCGCGCTCACGCTCAAGCCTTCGCCATTTCTGTTCAAGAGTGGGATCAACTGCACGTGGTCGTGCTGAGGGGTGCTTTGTCCTCATGTGTTTCCTTAACTCCTTGTAAGTTCCGACAAATGAGCAGTCATCCTGCATGCAGCTTCTCTTTTTGGTATTTAAATATTCTCGTGCAGGTTCTACCACAGTCCACCCTTTCACCTGGCCCCTACAGAGTGGGCAAGCAAGCTCGGTAGCTTCACCCTTCTCAACAGGCCAGGTGGAATCTGAGACCAAAATCGGATTATCAGCAGTACCGGTGGATGAGATAGTCTTAGTGTAAGCTTTCTTGTACTGGTCAAGGCAGTTGGAGTAGCGGAAGCTAGTTCCACACATGTAGGGATGGCAACCTTTCTCATGAGAGGAACAGAGCAGAAGGACAGCATTGTGCGGGCACTCCATGCAAACAGAACAAGTTACACCTTCCCATTCTTTCTTATCCAGAATTTTGGAGCATTTCGTCGGGCACAAGTCTGTGGAGATATCTTGATTATAAGCTGGTGATGAGTAAGGTGCGTGCCTGCATTGGCGAGAAGTAAACCTACGCCTTGCCCTGCTACCTTTCGCCATTTCCAGCTAAACCTGAAAACCCATAAAGTATAATTCATTAGTTAATTTCATGTATACAACAGTTAATCTCAAATACCAACAAAAATAAATAACCAACGAATTCGTCACTAGTATGACTAGGCAAAACTAATATGGACCTTCTCATTCTTCATGCAATTACAAATGCACAGCACAAGGAGCTAAATGGCCTCCATCATAAAACTGCTTAACATAATTATGTAACAACCACACAAACAGCTAATATTATTTTTAAACTGTGGGGCAAAAACTTTCCAAAAACAAATGATACAGCAGTCTCTGTAACACATCCCCCATCTTAAATGTAAGCTTTCTACTTTCCATTGCTGTGAAAAATCACCCGGCCCAGTTGGATTCTGAATCTGTTAAATCATAGAAAAATATCTAATAATAGAATGATACTACTTTGAAAGTGATTCAATTTCTCAGACAAGAAAATATCATTGACACAAATGTGTGCCAGCAATCTGAGATTTATTTTATGTCCTTATTCATGGACTTTTTATTGAGCCTTAAGGATTCCTGTCACTAAATACATAGCATCAAGGAAGAGCATTATGTATCAGATCTGTATAAAACTCACTTCAGGTTAAAACACTGAAATTTTTGCTAGCTTAAAGAGAGCATGGGTTATAAACAAACACATAGGACAACAAAGTAGCCCAAGTTAGCAATGTATCCATCATTTCATAGAGATCGGAGAGTTTGCTTCACAAGGAAAGAATCTCAAAATATTGTCACGATAAGTGAACTAATATATTAATAAATACACAACAAAGTACATCCGCTGCTACTTAATCTCAGCAGCCTCAGCTGGAAAATACCTTGTTGCTATGTTCCACAGTACGAACTCAAATTTCCAATGGACCATTGGAATCATATCATAAGACTTCAATTCAAAATGCAGAGGTACTCAATGGAATCTTATTGAAACACAAAGTCATACCGACATGCTTGAAAAAGAGATCCATTCAGATTTGATTGTAGTCTCGAATTCCATTCAATCCATTACTGTTGACGAGAAATATCCAAGGCTTTGATCGCTATGATCAATATGCAATTAGAATATAAAAATAAAAATAAAAAAACCTTTCTTATACCCAGGAATTTCCCCAGCTATATAACGGATTCTTGCATATCACAACATCTCTCAAATCCCAACAGAGCAATGACAACCCTCCCTCCCCGTTACACCCCCACCCAAAACCCTGACCCAAAATAAAGAGAGAACACTTGAAAGAATTTGGTTCTTTTCCCCCTCTTTCAGAATCACTTTTCATCTATAAGGCCATGTACAAGTAAACAACATAAATATATACTAAGATAAAACAATTAATTGAGGCTCCAAGACAGCAACAAAACTTCCAGCTGTTAAGCATACAGTAATCAATATTCTAAAGACTACAGCAAATGTATGTCATATATTTGTTACAAAGTTCAGAATCTGGTGGTCACAGATCATACAGACTGTATTCCAGATAGAAGCTGGAGAGAGATCGAGCAAGAGCTGTTTGAAAAACCTGGTTGGCATGCTACATGACTCGAATTGAGAAGTTGAATTGTGACTTAATACAAGTCGTGCCAAATCCAGTAGTGTTTTCTTGTGTAAAATTTTCCAGTTTCTAGAAAACAGAAAACTATAAAATAATAAATAAATAAATAAGCGTTCACTGATTACTGTTTGCTTGGGATTGCATGGTTTCTATTTTCAACAGCTCAAAACTGTTTTCCGGATTCTACTTATTCGAAAACAAGGGCCCTTTTCAGTTCACCTGTTACATAATCTCTCTAATATTCACTATCTTAAAAATAATCCAAACAAGGGCCTTATTTTCTATTTTAGAAAAGTATTAAACACATTCCCTTAAAGGAAAATTTTCTCTAAAAAAAGGATGAAATTTGGAAAATTGTTTTCTGAAGCACAGCATCAATGTTTGAATTAGAAAGCAAAAATTGAGCTCAGAAGTAAAATCATCTGTTGCTTCTACACTCTGATTCTTACTCATTGTTATAACAAAGAACCTCTCTACTCTATCGAAGTCTCTCTGAATTGTAAGTCTCTCTGTTACAAATCTATTTTCTAACCTTTATTTATATAATGTGCTCATATGCATCACATAAGAACAAGGAAGACTAATTATTTCTACTTCATTTATCAAGAAGAAACTACTCCAAGTTTTCTTTTATCATTCCTTTCACAAAGAGCATAATACAATGTACCATGAATCATGCCACTTCATAATCAACCTCCAAGTGTAAAAAAACTACTCTAGTCAAAAGTATTAGTTAGCTTGAAATTTCTCAACATGCTAGGGACATGCACTTGACTCCTACTCCTACAACTCAAACAAAATAATGGCTAGATTTGAAGCTTAGAACTTGTATTACCTGTCCTTTTTGGAAAGTAAGTAAAAAGGATGGGATCACATAATCCGTGCATAAATTCATTCTAAACTTACAAAATAAATATTAAGTAGACAGAAACGTAGCCCTAAATAATTGCCCAGCATACCTCAAATCACTGCAGAGCAATATAAAATTTATGGGGCATTCCATATCTCATTATTCTAATACCAGAAAACACATATAACTGGAACATGTCTAACAGCCAAAACTACTACGCATTGAAGGCCAAAGTTGGACGATTATCTAAGGTTAACTCGTGAAGTTGACCTCATCAATCTCAATTAGATCAATGGTTTTAAGTAGCATCCATCCCTCACAAAGAAACCGAAACAACCAGCATTTCTAGCATATTTTAAGGGCATGTCTTCATGGGAAATATCATCTTTGACAGAGCATAAACTCAAAAAAACCATTGCGTATTGAGTTTCTCCCCTGGTAACTTGCTAGTAGTGCAAAAACTTGTCCCAATTTTGAAGATCTATTACAGAAATATCAAGATCCACATGATAGGATACAGCAGGATCAGGAGTAAAATACTTCTGAAGAGAATACATCACCATACAGCAACTTTTTCAAGAAGGGACCTAGTTGCCTGCCAGTCAGCAGTTGCTTTTGCAGACTTCAAGTGGCTTACAAAAAATGTACGTTGGCAGGTGGAATTGCAAGACCCTAAAGTTTACAAATATGTGCAATTTTTTCAGGGTTACCTCTTTCTAAATGAATTCAAATAAGATTCTAGTCTCCCCTCCCAGGCTTCTTCTCACGGTCCTTGACCTTTGTTATCCAATACTAGCACACATTGAAATTAGAGATCACAAAAGACTTTCGGATCACCTACTCACAGATCCTAAGACAAGTGAATCAGATTAAAACAAAACAAACCTAGCACATCCACACCAACTCTAAAAAAAATTCTATGCGGGCACAAGGGAGCTAACATAGATGGAAATTATACATTGTACAAAACACAAATTACAGAACAAGACCAGAGTTAAATTACTAGATAAAGAGAACGGTAAACAGTATGAAATTTCAAGCAGTCAAGACAGAAGATTGATTATTCAAGTCCGATGAAGTTTAATTCAGAATCACCAATGACCCAATAGTCAAACCCTGAATTCAACAAAAAAATCAAGGAAATGGAGCAAAAAACTAGATAAAAAAACCCATCAACGAAATGAAAGAATAAGCAGAATTGAACCCAGAAAAAAACCAACCTCGTAAGTAAGTAGGTGCGTAAATGGTGCAAATCCAGATCAAAAGACGAGAGAATTAGTTGACAGGAGCAGCAATAAGCATCATCTGATCCATTCCTGATACAATATAACCCCGAAAAAAAACATTTACAAAGTCAGAGATTCCATTATTTTAATTCATTAAATAATTAAAGCAAAACCCAAAAAGCAAACAACATGCTTTGATACGGAACTGACAGACTGGTAATCCTTAATTAAAATATTTAAAAAAATGAACCTAAGATTATAACCACGTGCTACTTGCCAACCTCTTCTCTCCAACTACCTATCTAAGATCCAGATTTTATTTTAAAAAAAAATAATAATAATAATAATAATAAACAATAAAAAAAATACAGTCCGATAGCATCAAAAAAAAAAAAATTAAATAGAGTAGAGAAAAGGGAGAAGTTCAAATTTAGGTAAAATCCAACAATCCATACAAAAAAAAAATTTGGGAAAGAAGCAAGCACTTACCTTGAAAGAAAAAGGAAAAAAGAAAGTATGAAGTTAGGGCTTTTTTCGCTGTTGTTGTAGTTATTACAGGAAATCGAATCGAAAGGTCAGGCGATGAGATCGAGACAGGTAAAGGAGAGAGAGAATGATTACAGGCGGGAGAGAAACTAAATAAATAAATAAATAAAGGGCAGAAAAAAAGAGCGAGAAAAAAATGGAGAGAAACTAGGAGGCATGGCTTTTATTTCATTTCATTTCATTTTATTTTATTTCATGGGATGGAACGGGATTCGTCGAGTCGTTTCTACGCAATCGAAAAAAAAAAAAAAAAAAAATCTCTCTCTCTCTCTCTTCCACTCTCCCACCCTCTTTTTCTTTTGGCAGTTTGGAGTGTGGAGATGGGTGGTTTCACCAGCGCAGCCAATGGATTGGATGGGTTATGTTCATCACAAATCATCCCCTGTCAAAAACATTTCACCAAATTTGCTTATTATTTTTTTGATTTCATCGATTCAGTCCAATTTAATTGGACTAAATTGTAAGTAAACTGTCACAAACTTACCAAGACAAGGCCGATTTGGCAAGAGAGTTGGCAAACAACTTCAACTTGAGGTAGTCGTTTGACTCGGCTTTGTTGTATTGTCCTCTTTATCGTCCTCTTTATCGGAGAAAAAAAATTCCAACATTTTGTATCCTTTTTGAAAATTAATGAAGTAGATCAATCCAATCAAAATATGATTTACTAGACATTAGCATCGAGAAAGGCTATAATGCTTACAGCATCCAGTCCAGTTGTTCTGAATTAACGAAACATAATCAATATAGAGATTTATTTTGTGAAAGTTTTTTATAGTAGCTCATTTGTCAAAATGATCCAAATACAAGGATTAAATTGGAAATTTTATAAATGGATGCTTTGCTGACGGTTTTTTTTTTTTTTTACTTTCTGGTGTTGCCAACAATTAGGAATAAATTATAAATTAATCCCTTTTTTTTTAGAAACAAATTAATTAGCTCATCTTATTTTAACAACTAATCATTTTGTTTCTATATTTTAAAATCTACTTATAATTTTATTTTTTTAAGAAATAAAAAAATTTGAAAAAAATTGATAATAAAATAAGAGATTTCATGAAATAAAAATAATATTAAATTAAATATATTTAACGTTGATTAAAGAAGTAAATAATAGTTTTGAAACAAGAAGAACTGATTGATTTATTTATTAAAACTAGAAGGATTAATTTATAATTTACTCTAATAATTAATTGCATGCCTTGAATCAAAGAAACCCCAAATTAGTCCACCAACTATGAAATGATCTCAATTTACTCCCAAACTGTCAATTTTTCAATTACTTTCCTAGAGTATCCTACATTCCTCAATTGGGTTCCGGTCAGATTCTCCTTTAACGGGCGTTGTTTTATTGCATGTATGCAATTTAGATTAAAAAAAAAAGTAACCATAACAAAAGTACTTAATTGAGAAACATATGAAATTTTTGCATCTGATTGAGAAATTTGATAGTTAGAAGACCTAGTTGAGAATTTTAAGATATATATATATTTTATTTGAGTAACAGTATCCAATTTTTTTTCCTATTAAAGGGTCTATAGGGCAAATATTTTCTATTTAAGTATCTCTTTTGAAAATCAATAAAATGTTCGTGAGGTGAACAGCTAACACTAAAAAGTGGGTTAATTACAAAATTGATACCAATACTAACTGATTTTTTTATTTAAATATATGTACTCATTTTTCTAATAGGATCAGCAATGAATAAAAGATTTAATTTGTCTATCAATTTTATCGAGAGATTAGAAGACAAGATGGCTGTCCTCACGAACTCTTCAATGGCAGTTATGAAAACTTTTGTTTTTTTCCCATGATTAAAAAAACTCCAAATAAATAAATAAAAACAAATTAATAAAAGAATGGATTATGTTTCAGGGACAGCTGAAAGCCATATGATTTGGCAAGTTCTTTTGAGAGAAGCATTCCGCAAAAATAACATTACTCTTTCTGACTTTATTGGTTATATTTATAGACACTGCGAAAATCAAATACCCGAGTTTATTATTATTTTTTTTTTTAAATTAAAAAAAAAATGATTATCCAAAAACCAATCTTTATCTTCTTCCCTCGTTTTTTTTCCTACTCCAACTGGAGAAATTTTATAATACACAATGAATAACTAGTGACATGTACGGTAGTTACTCCTTTGACCCACTTTGAGGAGAGATATAGACACATAAAAAGAGAGAAAAAAACACTACCTAAAATAATAAAATCGGGCTTAGGTCAAGTAATGACCATGTTTTTTTTTTTAATATACATGTGTATTTTACTATGACTTAGTAACTTGATTGGGTTGTTGTCTAATTCGGGTTTAATAACACTTTTTTTTTTATTGAAAGAAAAGTTTTCATAAAAAACTCTAAAACAAGCTAGCTAGAACAAAATCGAAAAGACTGATCTCATACATATCCTTTTAAACAATACGAAAACAAACAAAAGGAATAGTTGAAAAATAACAACAACCAAGAGTTAAGGAGAGAGCATGATTTGCCAACCAATCCATACATCAATTAGCATCTTTAAACACAAGAGTAGTTTGTATCTATCAAGATAATCGTAAGAGTAATCGGATTGCATCGACTAATTGAGCATTGCTTATATCAACACTTGAATTGTTCCGAATTAATTGAACAATGACTTTAGAATCAGATTCTAATTCTATCTTTCTAAAGCTCATATTTTAAGTCATATGTAATTCAAAATAAATAACTTATAATTTAGCTATTGTAATAGAACAACTATAGCAAAACCCTCAATCTAATCTAATACGCAGAAGTCTCTCTTAGAGCTATATTCCTAAAAGCTCTTCCTTCATGTATTTTGACAAATCCATCTATATCTAACTTCATAGGCATCCAAAATATCATTGTTTCCAATTTATGTGGTTTTATAGCAGCATACTTTTACAGATCAACCTCCGTTTTCTTTAATTATTCTACACTAGAAAAAAGGTCATAATATACATATTTTTTTTGTTTTGAAAAAAGGAAGAAGCGGAAATTCAAGAGAACGCGAGGCGGGAAAGGAAAACAAACTTAAAATTAAAAAGGCAGTTTCATCACTATACTGCTACTCAGAGAAATTCCAAACCCTCGCTGGAGAAATGAGAGGCCCAAAACACCGTCGCCCAACAAACTCTTTCAACCCACTGCCGACGCCCGACCACCACCACCACCAATACGCCGCTAACACCTCCCGCGACTCCGATGCCAGTTTCGCCAGCAGCCGCCCATCCTCCATCGGCGTTGGCCGCACCGCCGACCCATACTCCGACAAGGCCCACCAGGCCTCCGCAATTCGCGCAATCAACGCTTACCTCTCGTCGCACTCCTCCAAACTCCTGCCGCTTAACTGCATCCCCACCGGCAAAGATATCACCGAAACCCTAACATACCTCCTCCACCAACTCGATTACGAATCCACGAAGCTCCATGATGATCTAGCTTCCATCTTGAAATCCCTCAATTGCCCCTTCAAATTCAACAAATCTACACTCCGTGCGCCCAATACTCCTCATAATTGGCCTTCCTATGTGGCCATAATCCACTGGCTAGTCCAGATTGCGATGTATAAAGAGGATTTGGTGGCCAAGTCGGAATCTTCTATTGAAACCAACAGCATGTTTATGTATGCTTTGGACTGTTACTTGAATTTTATTCACGGCAACGATGATTCGGTGTTGGAATTGGATAACAAATTTATGGAGAAGCTAGGGATAGAGAGGGAATCTGTGTTGGAAAACGTAAGGACTTTGGAAGCTAGTTTAAAAGAATTTGAGGCAAAAGCGGAGGCATTGAGAGCAGGGCCTACAGAAAGGGAGAGGTTGGAGAAGGAGAGGAGTGTTTTGGAGGAGGATGTGAAGAAGTTCCATGCTATGATTGGAGAATTCGATCAGGGAATCCAGGTGTTGGAGAAAGCGTTGGAAGAGAAAAGGAAGGAACTGGAGACAAAAGTGGAGGAGAAAAAGAGGCTTGATGAAGAAAATGATGAGTTGAAGAAGAGGGTGGAGGAGCAGACTGTTAATATGAGGGATGCTGAGAGGATGAAGAGGGAGTTGCAGGTAGTGGAGAGGGATATAGTGGAGGCTGAAGCTGCAAGGAATGCATGGGAGGAGAAGATGTGGGATCTTGATGCTACAATTGCACATAAGTTTAAGGAGATTGAGGCGCTTGCTATGGAGTGTAACCAGGCTACTAGGAGGTTCTTTTTTATCCTGAATGTTTGGCTTAACAGTATTTGATTTTTGAAACTCTTTATTGTTGATGCTTTTCATTATCATTTCTGTGCAATTTGTGGTTATTTTAAATGCTTTCTGGTGCTTCCAATGGAGGAAATCTTGTGTTGCATTTCCTTTTTCCTTTCTGACATTAGTCTAATTTAAAATGCATACTATCTAGCATCTATTATGTTATATTTGCTCTTTAGTTTCAATTCGATAATTCCATGAAATTAAAACAGAAGGATGCAGTTGCTTAAGGGTTTGGAATTTTTTGTTTTGCCTAGTTGATATGACTAACTGTTAGAATAAATGGTTAGATGAAAGGACAGAGGGGGTGGGGTGGGTGTTTAAAGCTCCATTCGAAGTGGAGTAAATTGGGTCTGAGATTTGATCTTGAGACCTCCCACTAAGAAAGTGACCAGTTAGTTTTACTTAGTAGCTAATTAAGCTGAACTTAGATATGTTATTTTTAAAGCATAACTCTTTTGGGATGGAGATAAATTGTTCCATTTGTTGTTAGAGATATTGCACCTTCTGGCTAGCTTAATGAAGTAATGAAACAGTACAAACAAAGCAGTGTCTTCTCTTAATTATCCTGATGAATAGGTTTAGCCAACCAAAAACAAATGTGTCCTTCTTTTGTGTACATGTACACAATGAGGGTTAGCAGAGACATGTCCCTGCATCTGGACACATGGGAGGGGTTAATTTCTGGGTGTGATGGATAAATCTCACAATCGAGGGATGCTAGGCTTGTGCGATTCCTTTACGCTGATTTGTAAAACATACATACATGTGCCTGTGTGTGTTCAAGTTCAATTTTCATACCAAAATCCTGTCTTACTTTTGGCAAGTAAGGTTTGGCTTATTTCCTAGGTTAGATTACAGTAACCAAAACATTTAGATGGTTCAATCTTTTTTCAAATTGCTGTTGGTCTCCTTTTGACATTCATGTTGTGTAGAATTTCTAGTGCAGATTGTGACCTCTGGAACATGTTTATACATTTAAGTTCATATCTAGGTGTGTCTGACTTGCTGCCACTTTTTTGCTGTTTTCACCTGTTGTCATGCCAAAATTTCACTACTTTGCTGTGTCTGCTTTCATGTTGATGGTTGTAGGTTAAAGCTTGGAAATGGCTATCAATATGTGCTGAATGCCAATGGGTCTACATCTGCTGAGATCATGGGGGTTGACTACAAATCCTCAATCAAGCCTGGGCTTGAATCCTTCGCCACTGACATAAAGGGAAGTTCTATGGCAAAACTGGAAGAGTTGATTTTGCTTCAACAAGAGTCATTAGAATTAGCTGCTAAGATTGAGGGAAAAAGAAATCGTACTGCCACACTTCAGTCGCATATTGTTGAAGTAAGTTCATTAGAACTAGGTCTTTACGGTTTGGGGCGTTAATTTTCTGCTATGCCTTTATGGTATATTATGCTTAAATCTCAATGCAAATGGAATTATACACTTGGCATCACCTATAGACAACACGTTCTCTACCCTCTTTCCCCTGAAAATGTGGTTATTGATGGCTTACCAGCATCAACAAAAAAGCCATTTGTTAAAAGGTATGTGACATCAACAGACCTGGATCCTTCACTTCACTTTTGAGTAGTCTTGCAAATTAAGATACCCGCAATGCTGTCCTAACTGGATGCATGATATCTTAGAATTCCATTAAAGAGAGGAAAAGTAGACACTTGGACATGTAGTGACACCACATCCGATGTCTATTCCTGGGTCCATGTAACATGATTACTCGTCAATGAGACAGAAATCTAAAACCAATATTTTTTTTTTTGACAAAAGGAGTGGTTTTTTTCGCTCGTCAATGCCTGGTTCCCAGGTTAGCGATTACTCCAACAAGGAACTGTCCTCTTGGCTTTCTGGTTATTCACACATTGTGTATTTTAGGAGCTTGTCTTGTTTTTTATTTTCACTTCAGATTTGTGCATTTTCTCAAATGGAACTTCTCCTATTCTGCTCTTGCTCTTTTCACTTAACATTGAAAGGAAAAGTTTTTATTGCCACTGTTTCCTTTTCATTTCACATAATTATGACATCACTGGGGGTGGGGGGTAAGCTTGCTGCAATGGTAGAAGTCTTAGTGTTGCAACCACAAGGTGTAGGTTTGATTTCTTGACAGGAGCCACTCCATGCAAAATCCTAGAATGTTAGGAATGTCTCCAAATTCTCCATTCTAATACCCTACTATGCAAAGGAAATTTTATCACAAGATTGTACAACTAAAATGGTCATTGGAATTAATATAAGTCTATTGGTGAATTGTGTCGTCCTTCGTTGTTTATACTGCTTCGGTTCCCTTTCCCCTATATATAGAGTGCTTATATGCATTATTTCATTAAGTTTCTCTTACAATGAATATGAATATTTTGGGAATAACAACATGGTATTTGTTGCGTATCTTTATCTTTGTCAAACACTCTTTGTGCACACTGTTGCCTACTTTTTCATTGTTTATATTTTATTAGATTCCTTAAGAACATGCTTTATGTAAAATTTTTATTCTTCCTTTATTTCATCCAAGGGCTGTGTTTTGCAATTTTTGTTACATGTCACTTTTTCCATGAACCTGCTTTGACAAATTCAGAAAATAGTAATATCTCGATGGGGATGAAGAAGGACAACAATAGGAATTATTATTTGACTATTTAGGAATTCAAACATTGTATGATTATTCTAGATTTTTAGTATTTGTATCAATATCAGTATTTATTATTTAGCAGTTAAATTAGGATTTTAGTTTCTTATCGGATTGGTACTACTATTAGGTTTTTCTATTTTATTTCTTTTGGTGCCTATAAATATGCACTCCACCTAGACTTTAAAGTAACGTTGAATATTGAATAAAAATAAAGCTGAGTGTCCTTCCAGGGAATTGGTTCTCTTGTTTGTGGTCATGTTGCTGGTCCTACACCAGTTTGAATAGAGCAAAAGGTGGGGGTAAGAAACTTTATATTGAAATTAAAATTTCCAAAACAAACCTACTCAACTTAGTGCTTTGTTTTGCTATTTAGGTTCCTATTTGGTTTCAAAAGAAACATTTCAGTTTTGAAACCAAACTGAACTAACCGAAGTGAATTGTATTTTTTCTAATTTGTTAGAATGGGAACTTAATAGGCTTTTAAGGTGATATACCAGTAAAAAAATACTGTCAAAATCTCAAAAACAGAAACCATGAAAGGAACCAAACCAACCAATCATGTTCAGTTTGATTTGCTTCCTCTATGGATTTCGTTCAATTCAGCTGTTATCAAAATTTAAAAAAAATTTGTAACAGAGTTGAAATTGCCATTCTCAAACTAAAAGGACCAAATGCTCACTTTTAGCTGGAAACGGTTGTGTTGTGAGCCATTTTGAAGTGTCCAGAAGCCAACACTATCATAATTAGCTCTTCAAATCCTAAGAGTAGCCATCAACACTATCATAACTACCTCTTCAAATCCTAAGAGTAGCCATCAACACTATCATAACTACCTCTTCAAATCCTAAGAGTAGCCATTTCAGGAAATGGCTATGGGTAACTTATTTTGTTGACATTATGGTTGGAACAAGCAACAAAACCACAAACAAGAGAACCAGTTCTCAGGAAGGAAACTCATTTTTATTTTTAATTAATAGTCGACATACCTTTAATGTCTAGGTAGACTGCATATTTATAGGCACTAACAGATTAAATAGGAAAACCTAATAATAGTACCAATTCGGTAAGGAGCTAAAATTGTAATTTAATTACTAAACAATAAATAATAGCATTCCCAAAAATACTAAAACTCTACAATAACGTTACGATATTGAAATTCCTAAATAGTCAAGTAATAATTCCCATTGCTGTCTTTTTCCATTCCCCATCACAAACATATCCAAACAGAACTGTATAGTGCTTTTTTTCCATTGAGGAGTTGGAGGTCATAGTGAATCTATTATTGGAGGTTATGATGGTCGGACAGTGTTGCTATGATACTAGTGATAATGACGTGTTGCAATGGCATAGTGACAGTACTGATGCGCCCTGCTAGAGTTTTTCTTTTCTTTTCTTTTGGAGGATTAGGGATTTAAAGGGACTCGAGTAAAGAGAAAGGCACTTAGGGTGAAATTTGAATTGAGATGAAAGTAAAAAAGGCTACTAGCTTCGCACTAGTAGGTTTTCTAGGAGTCACACCCATGAGAAAAAAACTAAGCATAACCTCTATGGTATCTAGGAGTAGCACCTAATATAGATTGTATGGCATAATTAAATTGCACAATTGCTAGAAATTCTCAACAAACAATATATTAACCTACTTAATAAAGGACTAATAAGACATAAAACATGAAAAACCCTAGACCCAATGCAGTTTCCAGCAAATATGGTAGTTACAGAAATACGTTGTCTTTCCAATGTCACACTGTCTCTATCATTGCCCCTGGTTGGAGAAAAATTGTGCTCGAGTTTTGAAGTGTTGAAGCAGCAAAGTGCCATACCCTCAAATAATTATGTGATAATTGAATTATTCAGCTCGATATGGTTCTCTCTTTGTTGTTGGTGGAAGCAATGATGACTTTATGATACTTTTTGCCTCTATGATTTTTGAATTTGCATGGACCATGGAATTCAATGGTTGAATATAATCTGTCCAGTTTTTTTCTTGATTTGTATCTTGAAAAGTACATTAGATTTGTCCATCTCCTTTGAATCCTTTGGCTTTTTCTGAGCCCAACAATTGTCTATCTTGCTCCGTTCATTTTCAAGTTCGCTTAGGCTTTAAGATAGCACATTAGTGTCTTTAATAATCTAATAGCACACTAAGCTCTTTAAAAATCTAGTTCTGGTTGCAGGTTTCTTTTCATTTCTTGTTCTTTCCTTGTCAGTCTCAAGGTGGAACGGCCAACTGGTTGAGTGAACCAGTTTTTCTTTTGGTTTATAGTCCCTGGGGTAGTATGCAATCTACTTGATCTATGTAAAATTCTTTCACATATGACTGCCTATCAAATTGATTAATGGTTCTAAACTTGTAATTTACACCAGACTATTTTTTTATATCATCTTAGATGAGTACTTTCTTCCCAGTAATTATGTTTTAGGTGGTTGATATATGGTGTAATCATTGGGTCATAATTGATTGCTCCATTGTTTGGTTAGAGTTTGAAATCATTGGTACTGATTTTCTGACATGCTGTAATTTAGATGCCATTCTTTATCATGCTAGGTCACTGGGTCAGAAATGCTACTGGAGTTTCATCATCAACAATGGCTTCATGTATTTGATAACAAGCCAAATAACAAATGAGCAGCTTTCAAAATTTCTCTACTAATTTCTTGTTTTCGGTAACACACTGCCCCAGAGGCTTAGTCTAGTTGCCAGGTAGGAATCGCACATACACAGCTGTTATCATCCAGGGCTTGAATCTTACGGAGGCCTAATGCAGTAGAAAAATAGAATAAGAATAGGGATTTTAATTATTAGATGTACTTTTTAGTGTAGAATATCCTATTTTAGAAATTTCTTATTTTACGTGATTTTGTGTTGAAGAGTCAATGCAGGAGAGTTAAGAGGGTAAGTGGAGAATTTGAGTGTTAGAGTTTGAGAGTTGTGAATTATGACTTATAAGTTGCATAGCTCAGGTTTATTTATTTAATGAATTTCATGTACTCTAATAGATCTCTGGCTTGTTTTTTAATGGAGGGATCTGAAGATTCACCTTATCCTGACTGAATCATTTCTCTCAGGTGGAAGCTCAGTTGAACTTGTTAAGGAAAGAAATAGAGGACAACACCTCTAGATGTGCAGCTGAAGCTAAAAAGCTCGTGGAGGATGTTCAGATAGAGATCCATAACTTGGATGTTTTGGAGAGAGAAGCAGCGGAGATTTTAAAGGTATGGCCTTATGACTCGCTCATTTCTTCTAACAGTAAAGTTGAAGATCTTGGTATTGCTAGGCTGTACTTAGAAATTCGGTGGAAAATGATTTTTCTTTAGATTTTAGGGTTAAAAAGCTGCTAAAACCTTTTATTTTTCTACGAAGTCCTCCGAACAAAAGTTGCAGGAAGCAATCAAAACAAGTGAAGAAGAAATTCAGGTGCAGGTTGTCGAACTTCTTGCTCTGGTTGATTCAATCTCAAAATACAAAGAACAAATGGAGTCCAAAATTTTAGAGGCGAAAAGCAAACTATGTGAAACCGTTGTTGCTGTGTCAAATGTTTACAAGGGTTCCTTATCAGCACAATTTGGCATCAATTTGGATACCGACCATTAACGTAAAAGGAAATATGTAATGGGTTGTACTATATAGGAAGTAAAATTCTATCCTTTTGTTTGTGCCGTAAATTTCTGTTTTGCTGTAAATTTATTTTAGGGTTGATCAGAACAAGGTTGTGATTTTATTCCTAAGTAGGTGAGTTGAATTGTCGAAAATGGTAAATAGGATTTTTTTCCCCTTGTTGTGAACTAAAGGTTGTGTTTGGATATACAGGATGAAGGACATAAATCCCAAAAAAAAAAAAGAGGGTAAACTTCTTGGATTTGGACCTTTTATGTTTTTAAGGGAATATAAATATTGGTAGTTAATTTTTGAATTTAATAACTCAAAATGGGTAAGAGAAATAAAATATTAAAAAATTAAGTTTTATTTTTTATACATTAAATTATGATTATTTAATTTGAATTTAATAATTTAGATTTGATTAATAAGGCGGTAATGTTTCTTTAAGAACATAAAAAGATTTCTATTCAATGCTTATGTTAAGACAGACCTTCAAAATCCAAATGCCATTGTCTTGGATGGTTGGCCCATGAATGGTAGCATTGGGCTAAAATGACTCATTTTAAATGAGGAAAAAAAAAAAACAGTGTATACTTTTTTTTACTTCTTTCGTTTTTTTTTTCCCTATTATTTCCCTCATTTAAGAAATTACTGAATTACTAAAATACTTCTGGTCAAACTGCCACTATTGAGATTTTCTCAGAACCGACTTAATGCTCCCACCTAAAAAGTGCAAACTTGTTAGAATTCGATGTTAAAATGAAATATTTTCAAAATATGAATTTTGATGGGTAGATTAATGTTATTTTTATGCTTGGGAGATGAAAAATAAAGTAAAGGACATTTCGGGAAATTTAAAACTTTCAAACCGGTTTGGTAATGACCCATTTTCTTACCTGATTACCCAACTAGAGGTTGGAGATGGATGGCAAACTCGCAATTCCATCCTCATACTTTTTAACATTATCGTTAGATGCCGACATTTAATGTTGCTGCCTCACCCATTAGGGGAGCTGCTAAGGACACTGAGACTTAGATGTCTAAATATTATATTTATATAAGTGCAATGAATACACTCTCTGGATTCAGGATTTTTTTTTTTTTCTTGATTGTGGCAGTCTAAATTTTTTTTATTTTATTATTATTATATTTTATGTTTTATATATAATATATTTATTAAATTTTAAATGCTCCGATACCGAGATATTTGATGGTATAACAATGTTACTTTTCAAAGAGTGAAATAATTGTCGAAATCCATTATTTCATAACAAAATAAATACAGATTTAAAACAATATTAAATTTTGAATTTCTTTTTATTTTATTGTTTTTAAATTTTGATAATAATGATTTTATATGATTACATGATGTGTTTTATATTTGGGAGATGATTTTGAGAATAATGGAAGGATATCATTGAAAACATAAATCTCTCAACCAAGTCTGTTATGACCCATGTCTAGCCTCGTTCAAGCAACATGGGGAAAGGGATTACAAACTTACATTTTGGTCGTTGTTCCTTGAAACATTACACTTTGATACACAAGTTAAATTATTTGGAAAGCCTCTTAAACGTCCTTAAGTTTGTATCAATTTTGCAAATTAGCCCCTCTTAAAAAGATTTGGTCGAAATTTACCTTGTATTTTTAAAAGTTAGTTGGTTTAACCTAACCACCCTAGATTGCATAAAATTATAAGATGAATACCAATTGCAATTTTTGAAAATGTTTAAGAAACAAAATTAAAAGAAATTAATTTTTTTCAAGAAAATAATTTTTTTTGAAATGCTTACGGGATATAAAAAAAGTAATATTTTACAAAAAAAAAATTAAACTTACAATAACATGTAATCATCAAAATTTTAAAAATTGTTTAAGAAAAAATATTAAAAATTGGAAAATGATTAGGACAAAAAAAATCCTAAATTATTAAGAAATAATTCCTTTTTGCTTTTTATTTCTTAAATTTTTAAATGTTCAGAAAAACGGATTCTTCAACGTTTTTTAAAAATTTTAATTTTTTAAAACAAATGATTATTATTATTATTTATTTCTTAAATTTCAAAAAACATTTAATGGCTACATCTTCAAAAAAAAAATCCGAGCATTTCAACTTTTTTTAATCCTTAAAAATCTTCAAAATTTTAAGTTTTTTTTTAAAATAAAATTTACTGTCTAATTTCTCAAACCTTTTTAAATTTTAATGATCGAGTATTATCAAAAAAATTTATTTAAAATCTTTAAATTATTTTTTTAATCCTAAAACGTTTTTGAAACTTTTTATGTTTAAAAAATAATGCTTTTTATTTCTGAAAAATGTCAAAAATGTTAATTGGTTGTTATCTTGCAATTTAACTTAATTTTATTCAATTGGATTGAATTGACTAAATCTTTTTCACAACAGCTTATTTATAAAATGGATACAAACACATGGGCCATTTTGAGGATTTTTCAATTAGCTTTCATATAGATTTTATTGGAGTAATCAGCAAAGTGGGACCAAAAGGTTCACTGTAGGGTAGTTTGAGAACCACAAAATAATGTGTAATTTTCCCCAAATATGAGTAAAAAAATAAAAGATTAAAAACAAGTAGTAAATAAAAAAAATAAAAAATAAAAATCTGATTCGGGTTATGTGCTTCATCCCCATGCGCTTAGGTTTGATGCCATAGCCCTTTTTGCTTGGATCAACCTAAAATTTATAAAAGAAAACTCACGGACGATGTGTCGTGCTGATAGGGTGACATGTCGTTTCGCCTTTGCAACTTCTTCCGCAACTCAATGTTTTATATTGCCCCAAAATGCCACAAAGGAATCCTAACAACTTTTACAAATTCATTTTCAACCCCAAAATGCATTTATATTCAATCAAAAGTCGAAAAAACAATCTAATCAAACTATTTATAACTTTTGAAATTTTAATAAAATTATTCATATTACAAAAATCAAACATTTTAATATAAGAAATGCTCAAATTTATTTGTTTACAAATAATTCAAAACAATACATATATATAGTGACGGTCCTCCAAGCTCTCTCTTCATTTTTCTCCATCAATAAAGTTAGTATTAAAATATAATAAAAATGAAGTGTAAAAATTAAATTATGAAAAAAATACAACACCAACTGTTATATAGAGTAAATTATAAATTAGTCCCTCTCGTTTTGAGAAAAGAATCAATTAGTTCCTCTCATTAAAAAAAAACTAATTATTTATTTTTTATGTTTTGAAATATGCTTATAATTTAGATCTTTCTCGCTATTTTTTAATTTATTTTGATTTTTATTTCAAAAAAATATATGAAAAGATTGATAAGAAAATAAGAGATTTTATAGAATATAAATAATATTAAATTAAACGTGATCAACACTAATTAAATGACTAAATAATAGTTTTTGAAATGAGAAGGACTAATTAATTTATTTTTTGAAACTATAGGGACTAATTCATAATTTACTCCTGTTAAATACCCATAAAAATCAATGGGGGAAAAAAACCCTCAGAAATAGCGGATCTACACTATTCCCAAACGCATCAATTTTTTATTTTATTTTATAATGATACTATCAAAAATAGTAATTACCTAAAGTTGTATTTTAATCCGCTGGCAGCTGATAAGGCCTCGAGCTAATATTCTCTCAGCCTTAAGGGGTTTAATTTTAGAGGGAAGAAATCAACGCAGCGTCCCTATCAATATAGTATTATACAAAGAGAAAAGAAACGAGGAGAGGAAAACCACATTGACTTTTGTTTAGTATTTCAAGTTAGCATTAGAGAAAAACTATATAAATAATGTAATGAATAATATATGGTATATATTATATAGTATAGTATTATGCTTTGAACATGGGGTAGAGAGAGAGAGATTTGTGAGGTCTTCGAGTTGACAATTTCTAGATCTGATCCCAATAGGTTCTCCTGTTATGGGATTTCGTAAAGGGCTCATATTCCATGAATTGAGATGATGTCAGAACTATATATATATATATATATATATATATATATATATATATATATATATTTCTAATCTTAAACCATGGTTTTTGTTTCCAAGTAATCCAAATGAATCTGCTTTTGATATCCTATACAAATATTTTGGGGGCTGCCCACTATTTTATTATTATTATTATTTTATTAGAAGAGGCCTTTTAGTGAAAATATTTTTTTTGGTTGCAATCAAAGGTATTACTCTTGAGTTTTGTCCATATTTGCAATTTTTTTATTGAAACCTTTTTTTCTATTTTTTTAAAATATTATAATAAATTAAAAATAACAAAATAATATTAAATTAAATATGATAATACTGATTAATAATAAATTTATTAATTTTAAAAATAAAAGGGACTGTTTGTTTTATTTTTGTAAAAACTAAAGGGATTAATTTATAATTTACTCTAATAACGGTGTTGTGGTAAGTAAGTTCCTTATAAAGCACTCATTTATAAATTTTATCTTTCGAGTTTCATTTATCGCAATCTACAAGTGATAACATATTTGTGTAGATGATAACACATCTATGCCTCTATATGAGAATATTGTAGCTATTCGTAAAAAAAATATTTAAAACTTTGATCAGTCTTTTCAAATAAAAAAAATGATATGATACGAAGATAATTTTTTCTTTCAAAAAAGTGTTTTTGCTACGGTACATTGTTTCATGATAAAGTTCACTATAAATAAAATAAAAACAATATTATTAGTTAGGGAGGTATCCTAATTAATTATCCAAGTGGAGGAATAGCTTATTGGTCTAGCCAGAATTCATACAATCATTACTTCTTAAAATAATTAGTATGATATTATGAATTTTATAATTAAGATATCATCGACTTAGTTTTCACGTATTAAAAAATAAGTTAATTTCTTCGGTTAAATCAAAAACAATTATCTTAAACAACCATAAGAATAACATCTCCCCTTCCTTCCTCTCTCCCTCTCTCTCTCTCTCTCTCTCTCTCTCTCTCTCTCTATATATATATATATATATATATATATATAATAAAGAAATAGAAAGTTGAAAATGAAGGAGGCCTTAATGTACGGTGCATGTTAGGGTATTTAAAGAAGCTGCGCATGAACACAGGCAGTTATGCTGTTTAGGTCATCGTTAAGAAGGGTGTAAATAAAGGACTTTCAAAAGGCTACATTTGTGTTACCATACTACGCTTGAAATGGGAGCATGCTTTTGTGGTTAACCTTTATTAGCATACAATCAATCAGCTACATGACTAGTGACTCTAAAGTCTAGTTTTAAAACTCACCCTCTTGCTTTGCTTGCTAATTGCAGGCTAAACATGAAAAGACAAAAAAGACCCATGTCCGGTCAACATGATGTTGGGCCAGTAACAAACGAATTGATCGTCAAACAAATTTTTTTATTCAAAGGGCAAAGTTTGAATATGTTCTTGAATCATATCAGTTAGAAGAGATTAAATTTTATCATTTTTGTTTTTTTATTTCAAATAGAATTAGTTAATTATATCTTGAATTTAGGATGAAAATACTTTAAAAAAAGAGAGGGAAAAACTCATGTCCTATTCAAATTGATGATGTTATGTGAGAAATGTTATAATACTCCAGGAGTAACATGGGAGAAAAATTTTTTAAAAAAATTGAGCCAATGTAAAATTTTTTTTATTATTTTTGGTAGGTTCAAATGTAATTTTTTTTATTATGTGTTTATCTCTTTCTTCAAAGTGGATCCATGAAGTAATCATTGTACATATCATTAATTACTCTTTGAGTATTATAAAATTTCTCGATTTTATGGTGTAATTTTAATTTTAGGGCTAGCAAGGTCTTCTTACATTTGAGGAGGTCTCGGACTTACTTGTGAAATATTCCTGATTAGCCAAAGTTTATTATTAATTGAACTATTAGTTAATTAATTTAATGGAGAGTTAATTAAGGAGCCGATTAAAGTCAAAGCTTAGATGCGTCCTAGTGTGTCTAATACTTCTACTACTAGTACATCTTTGAGACGATGGAATTGACTTTGGTGCCTCAAAAGCAGCGCATACAGAGAGAAGAGAGAGAGAGATCGCATCTTGTTCTCGACTAGAAGAGAAGACGAGACAAGAAAAACATGGATATTGATCTATCCCTCAAAATAGATGCTGAAAGCGAAGTAGAAGAAGATGGAGGTGAAGACAAACAAGATAAAAAAGGAGAGGGAAATGGTCAAGAAAAGGAGGTAGATAGACAAAACATACAAGATATCAATGAACCTGCAGGAAGAAGAGGAGAAGCAGAAGATGATTCATCTGTTGAATTATCCCTACAAGAGAACATGAAAACTGAAGAGGTACTTTTTTCTTTTCGATAGACAAAACACAAGAGTTGCTCCTATAACCCTACACATATACGCTTTATTTTTATCTTTTTTCTGATGCGAGGTGCTAAACTCAATCGTCTGCATGCTTATAATTATATGTATATATAGATATATAATGTCAACATATAGATACATAGATGTCTCATGGAAGCTGCTTTAATTTGCATATATAATAGCAGTTGTTTTGTGACAATTTTGTAAAAGCCATATGGATATATGCAGTTATCTGGTTTACAGATGGAGATGAGTCGCATGAAAGAAGAGAACCAAGTCTTAAGAAAAATAGTAGAGCAAACCATGAAAGATTACTATGATCTTCAAAAGAAATTCACTGCTTTTCAGCACAATATCGGCCAGAAGAAGGTAAAAAAGTGCAAAAATATTAACTTAATTTTATTACTTTTCATAGTTTTTAGCTTCAAATAAATTAAACAACTCCTGTACATGAAATCAATGAATATAGTTATATTTTTTTAATTAATTTCTTCCAGCTATGTGAATTATATAAATATGTATTTTTTTTTTTTTTTTTTTTTACTTTATCTAGGATCCGCAAATCTCTCTGGGGCTTAATGCTAAGGAAAACAAAGCTGTTCAAGAAGTGCCAAAGGCAATATCCAAACAGGTAGATTCTAACTATAATCAAAGACACCAGGCAGCATCATCTACGAAAGATGATCCTGAAGGAAAAAGTGAATTAGGGCTGTCCTTGAGGCTACAAACAAGTACAAGTCAAGAAGAAAGAGCAAAAGACCATACGGAAGAGAATAAGGAAGATCACGTTGCAAACTATGCCCCAACAATATCACAGAATAATAATAAGCTTCAAAGAACAGACTTGGGAGGAGCTGGAATCACTGCTCATGGTGCTTCTTTAAACAACAGAAAAGCTAGGGTTTCAGTCCGTGCCAGATGCCAAGCAGCAACTGTAAGTTAATTACTCCAGAGAAATTCCTTCAGTATGTGTGTGTGTGTGTAGCTAGTTGGATATACCAGAAGAGTAATAACTATTTTTATTTGCAGATGAATGATGGCTGCCAATGGAGAAAATATGGGCAGAAAATTGCCAAAGGAAACCCTTGCCCACGAGCCTATTACCGTTGCACGGTAGCTGCAGGATGCCCAGTTAGAAAACAGGTAATGCCAGATTAATTTTTATGATCATATATAAGCACGCAATTAGTTTTAATTTTCTGTTTTTCGATTCTTTAATATATATTTTTTTGTGTTGTTTTTACTAGGTGCAAAGATGCCTAGAGGACATGTCGATTCTGATAACAACCTATGAAGGAACTCATAATCACCCACTTCCAGTGGGAGCAACAGCCATGGCTTCGACAGCCTCAGCAGCAGCTTCCTTTATGTTACTAAATTCCAGCAACCCTCTCTCTGATGGCATGATGATCAGTACAGAACATAATTCCCTCCCATACCATGCCTTGAACCCACAATATTCATCAAACTTTAGAAGCATAAACCCCAACGATCCTTCTAAAGGGATTGTTCTTGATCTTACACACGAACGAGATCGATCGCTACTGCAATACCCAATAATGGCTAGCTCTTCACGGTATTCTCCTTCTTTGGCTCACGATCAGTTCTCCACCGCGTTTTCTAATTGGTCCCAAAGCCGATCAAGCACTTACCAACATAGTGCTAATATTGGTGGCAGTAATTTTGGTGGCCCTAGAGCGCATGAAGATAAGTTGCTGCTGGCTGAAAATGTGACAGCAATTGCTTCGGATCCAAAATTTAGGGTTGCTGTTGCGGCTGCTATCACATCTCTCATTAATAAAGAAAACAGCAGCAGTCATTCTACAGGACCATCTTTTGTTAATAGGGAAGGCGAGAGTGGCAGCTCTACAGGCAAGCAACAACAGCAGCAGAAACTTTCCAGTCCTTGAATCTCTTCCCGGCCGCGTGCAAGAGTAAGGCAATCCAGCGTTTGAATAAGCTAGAACGGTTTGCTCGATCCATGGGAGCAATATTTATGGCTTGTGTAATTTTATTACTATTAAAGTACGTCCCTAGCTACAATTTTTGCTTAATTTTCTTCTCTTTTCTGCTCAATAAAACTCATGGCAGTCCAATTTTCTTTTCTTTTGAGTTTTTTTTTCTTTTTTAGATTTTTCTTGTCTATCTAGCTAGATGGTTTTTATTTTTATTTTTTTCAAAATTTGTAAGTAAGAACCTTATTTAATGCACTGATCATTCAATCCAAGGATTTGAAAAGGCATCTCTCCCCCTTCTGTTTCCATTTTCTTATTAATTCTTTTGTTGAGTAATATATATATATAGATATAGTTCTTGCATTAACCGGTTTGGAATTAGGTGTAGCTATGTCACCAGTTCATGTTTCAACAATCTCAATCTGTATTTACTTGCAAGCTATTAATGATTTGAAGTGACTTTGTAAAGTAAAAGATATAGGACTAAATGTTAGGTCTAGAGAGAAGGTGAATAGGTTTTGATAAAACAAAACTTAAATACTTACGAAAAAAATTCGAACTTTAGGCAAAAGTTGAATATAGATCAAATATAATTAATGACTTATCTTGATTCAATCACGTTTATATTTAATCTCCAAATACAATTTGAGATTTTCTCATTTACTATGCATTTATACTTGCACGAAATCTTTAGTTTAAATTTAATTAGAAGGTTGATACGATGTTACTCTCACCTTCAGAAAATCTAAATAAAATAAAATATAAAAAAAAAACCCAAAAAATTATACTCATCCAAATAGCAAATCAATCAAACTAAACACAATGGCACAATATATATGATTTCAACTAATAAAACCCTCAAGAAAATTTCAGTGATGATACAAATTTTTTCCTTTAATTTGTTTTACTCCTCTAAATTTCCAAGATGTATAATAATGCATGAAAGATATTTATAAGAGATTCAGAATACTAGACGTCGATTACTTGTATAAACGTAGGCATAGCACAAAACTTATCAAAACGAGCAAAATCATACACAAAACATTACTCATCTGGTTTGGCATTTAACCCCACTAGCTCTAGGCTCACTCTACAAGTTTTCTATTGTTCAGCCAATTCTTGAGAGTTTTCTCAATGCCAAAATTTTATATTTTTCAAGATTATCATATCCAATATTCTTCATATATATCATCCTTACGTGTGAGTTAACTTCAACATACATAGTAATCCTTCTAGAGTCTTTTCTAACATGCATAAAGAGCATTAATTATTGTTGACCTCAAATTAATATAATTAGTCATATACAATATAGCGAAAAAAATAAACCAGGGGCCTTGGATCACTTCAAGTTCCAATCTTTTGCACTTTGGAAACAATTTTCAAAGATTATGATTCATTAATTGTCTTAAAAATCATATTATCTCTTTGCATACTTGTAAAATATTATTAAACTTCTATGCGTAAAATATCCATGCATTTTAAGCATAATTCAATATTACTCCAAACCAATTTTGACAAATGCTAGACACAGTATTAAAGCATGATAGTAACTTCAAGTATAATCATCTTAATTGAATCAGATTAATTTTTTAATCCATCAATTAGAAATTAATAGCTGGTGGCCGACAAAAAAAAAAAAAAACTTGAAAAAAACATGTTTGATAGGCGGTCAGCGATTCAGAAAGATGAAAAAAAAACACGAAAAAGGCGAAAGCCAAACTGCCAAACTGGTTGCCTTGCTAAACATGTCATCCTCTCCTAAGGCTAGAAGCTCTAGCCCGTAAGCCCTAAACACATCTGTAGCTTAGGTGCATCTAGACCACACGTGTAAAGTCTAGACGTACAAGCCAAGCAAACCGCCACAGCCTTAGCCCTTATGCACTGCTGGACGCTATTTATCTCCTTTTTTTTTTCTTTTTCTTTTTTTCAATATTTTTATAAAATCGAATTAAATTAAGCAAACCACGCAAAGCTTCAGTATTTAGAGAAAAATAAATAAAAATAAAATGGTACCTTATGAGTTTTTATTACTTGTTGGACCTACCTTAGAAGCCCATTAGTATCAGCACAAGTCTGCCTTTCTCTCAGTTTAGCTTTTAGCCCAATGTATTTGACCCATTAAGGCAATCAATTGCCTTTTTCTATTCCAAGGACGTTCTGCATAACTAAGTAAAAGATAATTAGTTATAAAGTATTTTGAAGTTTTGCTTAATAAGAGATTTTTTTTTAATTTGAGTTTTAAATTTTTTTTAATCTTGCTGATTAATCTCATATAATAATAAATATATATGAAAGACAGGTAAATCATCAAAATAACAATACATGTTATGAGAAAAACACTTTCAACTAAATGAGTTATTAAAATAATAATTTTTATTTTTTTAAGTGTTCGTTCTGTATCATTTGAAATCATCGATAAAATAAATGTACTTAATTGCTAATCAAATATTCTATTTTTTTCTATTGATACAAAATTTGGGTTAATTTATAACGAATTAATTAATCATAAGTATACACTAGTAAATTCATGTGATCTCTTCCTCTTCTGCGTGTTTCTTTCACCTTCACCTAAAAAAGCCAATCTTTCATTTATACTTTGTATGTGATCCCACGACAACCTTAACTTGTGTTAATGCTTGTAATATCATCACCGGCATGTGTACGTATTCCTTAGTAAGCTAGTAGTCGTTGGATTTTCTTCTCCTTTCACGGCACTAAAGAACTTTATAGGCAAACATGGAGTAAATTATAAATTAGTCCCTCTGCCTTGAGAAATGAATTAATTAGTTCCTATATTTTTAAAAACTGATTAATACTGATTATAAAAAAATTAAATAATTATTTTTGAGAACGAGAAGAACTAATTTATAATTTACTCGCAACACATGCATACTCCATTCCTTGCTACGAATACCATACTGTTTTGGAGGGGTCATTGTCAGATCGTAGAAACAGTTACTAAATTAATCAAATGATTTTGGTTGTTAAAGAAACTGTACAAGCGTAGCTGGGTACTTAATTTGTAGGTACCTATTTGAGCTAGTACACATGCTAATCTAGCGTAAATTATAAATTAGTCCCTCTAATGTTTTTTAAAAAAACAAAGTAACTAATCCCTTTTGCTTTAAAAAATATTATTTAATCTTTTAACGTCGTTGATCATATATAATTTGATATTATTTTATTTCACATTATTTTTTTCTCATCAATCTTTTCATGTGTGTGTATATATATTAACATCAAAATAAATAAATAAATAAATATTATTTTACAAGTTCATTTAAAAAGATGAAAATTAAATATTAATTTTTGAAACAAAAAGAACTAATTAATTCGTTTTTCAAAACTAGAGAAACTAATTTGTAATTTACTCGTGTGTTTATGTATTATGCATCATATGTACTTGGGTTAGTTAAGGTCAAAAAGCTTGAAAATCATATGATTAATTGTAATTCAACTGGCATTATTGTCTTCTTTTTTTAAAAAAAGGTTTTAAGTTCGAATCTTTCCTTCCTTTCTTTTTTCTTTGTGATTTATATACTCATTTTTTCTTTTGATTTTTTTGAGTTCTCTGCCTCTTTTTAACTATTAATTGAATTTTGATTCATTTCTAAAATACAAGAGTCATCTTTCACTACTCATTTAAAATCTACTAAGGGTAATAGTTCATTCATTCAAGTAAGATCTAACCCAAAAAACCAACCAAAACGAATGGGCAAAACTAGTTTTTGGTTTTATTTTTATTTTTTGTTTTTAAATGTCAAATCTAAAAACTTGTTTGTTTTTGTATTTTGTTTTAAAAATTGTAAATAAATAACGAGTTGTCACGAGTTTTTGAAACATGAAAAAAAAGTTAGTATTTTCCTTCTTTCTTTCTTTTTTTCTTTGTGATTTTCGTACTCTCTTTTCTTTTGATTTTTTTTTTTTTTAGTTCTCTGCCTCTTTTTAACTATTAATTGAATTTTGATTCATTTCTAAAATACAAGAGTCATCTTTCACTACTCATTTAAAATCTACTAAGGGTAATAGTTCATTCATTCAAGTAAGATCTAACCCAAAAAACCAACCAAAACGAATGGGCAAAACTAGTTTTTGGTTTTATTTGTATTTTTTGTTTTTAAATGTCAAATCTAAAAACTTGTTTGTTTTTGTATTTTGTTTTAAAAATTGTAAATAAATAATGAGTTGTCACGAGTTTTTGAAACATGAAAAAAAAGTTAGTATTTTCCTTCTTTCTTTTTTTTTTCTTTGTGGTTTTCGTACTCTCTTTTCTTTTGATTTTTTTTTTTTTTAGTTCTCTCCCTCTTTTTAACTATTAATTGAATTTTGATTCCTTTCTAAAACACAAGAGTCATCTTTCATAACTCATTTAAAATTTGCAAAGGATAATAATTGATTCATTTGATTCATTCGAGTGAGATCTAACCCAAAAAACCAACCTAATTGAATGGACCGGAGTAGTTTTTGGTTTTATTTATATTTTTTTTCAAATACCAAATTTAAAAACTTATTTGTTTTAAAAATCTTAAATAAATAATGGATTGTCACAATCTTTCAAAAGCAAGCAAAGCGAGTTTTAAAAAATGATGATGGTGATTGTTGGTTTTTCAAAACTAGAGGAACTAGATTGTAATTTACTCATGTGTGTTATGTATTATGCACCATATGTATATGGGTTAGTTGGTGTCAAAGAAATTGAAAATCAACTGTTGAATTGTAATTCAATGTAATTCAATTGGCATTATTGTCTTTTTATTTTTCCTAAAAGGTTTTGAATTCGAATCTTTCCTTCCTTCTTTCTTTTTTTCTTTGTGATTTATGTACTCCTTTTCTCTTTTTATTTTTTTTAGTTCTCCATCTCTTTTTAACTATTAATTGAATTTTGATTCCTTTCTAAAATACAAGAGTCATCTTTCGCTACTCATTTAAAATCTACCAAGGGTAATATTTGATTCATTCAAGTAAGATCTAACCCAAAAAACCAACCAAAATGAATGGGCAAAACTAGTTTTTTGTTTTATTTTTATTTTTTGTTTTTAAATGCCAAATCTAAAAATTTGTTTGTTTCTGTATTTTTTTTAAATCGTAAATAAATAACGATTTGTCACAATTTTTCAAAAGCAAGCAAAGTGGTTTTTAAAAAACATGAAAAAAAATTAATATTTTGAGTTCGAATCTTTCCTTTTTTCTTTTTATTTTCTTTGTGATTTTTTTTTTTTAGTTCTCTCCCTCTTTTTAACTATTAATTGAATTTTGATTCCTTTCTAAAACACAAGATTCATCTTTCATATCTCATTTAAAATTTGCTAAGGATAATAATTGATTCATTTGAGTGAGATCTAACCCAAAAAACCAACTTGATTGAATGGACAAAAGTAGTTTTTGGTTTTATTTTTATTTTTTTTTCTATTTTTAAATACAAATTTGAAAACTTGTTTGTTTTTGCATTTTGTTTCAAATCATAAATAAATAATTGGTTGTCACAATTTTTCAAAAGCAAGCAAAATTGTTTTAAAAAAACGAAAAAAAATAAAAAATAATTTAATATTTTGAGATGAAAAAAATAAAAAATAATTTAATATTTTGAGTTCGAATCTTTCCTTTTTTCTTTTTTTTTCTTTGTGATTTTCGTACTTCTTTCCTTTTGATTTTTTTTTTTAAGTTCTCTCCCTCTTTTTAACTATTAATTGAATTTGGATTCCCTTCTAAAACATAAGAGTCATTTTTCATAGCATATTTTAAATTTGTCAAGGGTAATAATTGATTCATTTGAGTGATATCTAACCCAAAAAACCAACCTAATTGAATGGACAAAAATAGTTTTTGGTTTTATTTTTGTTTTTTTTTTAAATACCAAATTTGAAAACTTATTTGTTTTTGTATTTTGTTTTAAAAATCTTAAATAAATAACAGATTGTAACAATTTTTCAAAAGCAAGCAAAGTAGTTTTAAAAAATGGTGATAGTGATTGTTGGTTTATTTTATTATAAAAAATAAAAATATCGAAGCAATTTAAGCGTTTTTTTTTAATCAATCGTGTCATCTTTTGGGTAATCCAAGTTGTAATTTTTTTTAATTATATGCACATGCTTGTTAACGAGACCCCTTCTACACATGACAATAATGCGACAGCTGCTTGTGAGACACGTGGTTGCCACGTGAAAATGACATGGAAATGAAAAAAAAATAATAATAAAATCTCTTTCTCCTGACAAAGAAACTCTAGTTGCTCTTCTGCTCTCTTCTTGCAAAACCACTTCAGCTCATCCCTCTCATTGTCAGCCCTTTCTCATTTTTCTTTCTCACTTTCTCATCTAAACAACCCACACCAAAAACACCATCTCCACCACCAACCAACAACCACTGCTAGTCTCTCCTTCAACTGCCATCTCTGCTGGGAAAATCCGCATCACAATTGTCATCTCCACCAAATCAACCCGCCTCCTCTTCTTTTTATGCCTTGCAGCTTCAGCTCCTCCCTCACTGCCAACTTCTCTCCTTCCCTCCTCTCTTGACTACCATCACTAGCCAACACCCAAAAATCCACTAAAAAATCAAACCCATTTCAGCCACCGCCACCAACTATCAAAACCCATTCCATCATTTCCTCATTTGCCTATACCACCATTCGTCCTTTCTTCCTTTTCTATCAAAACCAGCAGCCACAAGCAATCAACTACTTCCACCACCTAACCCACCACCAACAAAACAAAGCAAACAATTTAAAGAAAAACAAAAAGTCTATAACCTGACTTTGCAACGGTGAGGTTTATGTGGCAGAATAAGAAAACGAGGGTCGTGATTAACTCGAATAGAAAATAATATAAAATTAGAATTTTTAATCGAAAATTAGATATATTGCATTAAACTTTTTTTTTTTTACTAGTTGTAACCCATAAAGGACCTTAACTAGTTCCACTTGTTTTCTTTCTTTATTTTTATTTTTTAGTGTGGTCATGAATGGCAAAAATTTTCAAATCCTAATTTCTAACGTGTTCATGAATGCCAAAAATTTTCAATCGAATTAGATAGACCACATTCAATTTTTATTTCTTTCTTTAATCGTTTTAAATGTAGTCATAAATGGCAAAAATTTTAAAATCAAAGCGAATTAACCAAGCTTATAAAGTAACGAGTTTTGAGTTGATTTTTTTAGCTCAAATCGTAAATAACCTATTTTAAAGAATAATTACTAGATAGATTGTTTTCTAAAACAATGTTCATCTCATACTAAATTAGCTTGCAAAATTTTACGAAACACAAGAAAAAATTACTCTTTGTTTGTTAAAAAGATTGTTCTCTTAAATTTTTCACATAGTTTAATAAAGTTAGAAATTGTTATCTCATTTTTTTTTCACTTTTTTCTAAAATATCATTTTTTTTAAATTGTCATTTATCAAATTTAATCTTGTATTATATGAAATCAATATTGATTTAAAGATAAAATCTATCCAAATTTAAGGTGGTAAATACAAAAAGTATTAAATTAATTAACGATTAATATTAAATAATAATAGAAAAATAACATATTAATGAAAATATTTTACTCTAAAAAATTCTACATCCATTAAAGTTTCTACGATGATGAATATTTTTGATGCAAAAAAAAAAATTGAAATTTTTATTTTAAAATTGTTTACATGTATAAGAGAAGAGTATAAAGAATGTTAATTTCTTATGAATGCCAAACAAGAAATAGAAGGTTAGTGGCTCTTCTTTTTCTATGGATTTGTTGGTGTAGGATTTATTTATTTATTTTCATGAATTCTGTCCAATTTCATTATATTAGGTGTTATATATTATAGATTTACGCATCATTATAAAAACATAAAAAACCCATATATAATTATTTAATTCTTAAATTAAAATCATAAAAAAGTTTATCTGTTTTGAAATTAGCTATTAAATGATATTATAAATTACATGACAATTATTTTATAAAGTATTCCCTACTTTACTTAAAATGGAAAAAAATGATTGTTATTTAAAATTTTATACATAAGGGATATTAAATTAAAAAAAATAAAACTATTTTGTAAAGTATATATTTTGTTTTTATTCAAAAGTTCAGTATTTGACAATTACAATTAAACTCCTTTCAGAATCATATTAAAGGTTCTCTTTCACATATCACATTGTACATTTAAAAAAATTAAAAAATTAATTTGTATATCGGTTTCAAATTTTAAATCCAACACACACACATATATATTCTTTTAATTTAGGAAGGTTGGGATTTTTAAAGTTAAAAATTAAATAAAAAGAAAAACCCCCAAAGGCGAAGCAAAACGAAGCAAGGGTTTGTGTGGGCGGGCACAGTATAGACAGACAGAAGGAGCTTGGTATCCTTCAGTTTCAATTTCAATGGGTAGTAGCAGTGCTGTAGAGAAAAGCGAGGAAGAGCTCCAACGAGAGATCGATGAACTCCATCGTCAACAACGCCAGGTCAGCTCCTTCACCGTTTCTTTAATTCTCTTGTTAATTTAGCTCTACGTGTATGTACAGCCAATTAAACGCCAAATCTTTCCTTACTCTTGTAGATTACGGAGCGCCTTCGTGATCCTCGGGGACTTCGACGGGGAGCTTCTTCCGCCGCCGCCGCTCCTCGCAACTTCGCTGCTAACGGTGCTCGTCACCGTGGCTTTGGTCGACCGGTATTCTTCTTTTTTGAAAAAAAAAAAGTTTTCTGGTTAATTTTATGATTTATAGAGTTTTCAGCTGTTCAATAGGTTCTTTATTTTCTTGAGTGGTTGTGTTTTAGGCTGATAGGAACGATGCAGAAGACCAACCTCCTGCTAAACGGCGACTTTTGTCTGCTGTTGTTAAGGTAAAACCAAAACCTCACACATTGCCATATATATATATATTATTTGGTCATCGTCTTGGACTCTATTTTTGTTGTAATTTTCTGAGAATTAAATCTTTCTTGCAATCTGGGATTGAAGGTGGAGGAAGATGGAGAGATTGTTGAGGATCCTGCCACAGCAGAGGATGTAAAGAAGAAGCAATTGGCTGATGAAGGAAATGTTGGCCCTGCTATAGGAACCCAGAGCGATGGAAAGCCTTCCAAGTTGCAGCAAAGTGGTTGGTCTAGGAGAGATGTCAATCAAAGAGTAGTGCAGAGGGTAAAGGACGTTAAGTCTTGTCTTGTTGCTTAGTGTGTTTTCTGCAGGTTCAACTTGTAATTTTTTTTCTTTTCGTTATGATTGTTTTGTTTGTAGGAGGTCGAAATTCCACAGATTGAGCCTCTTCCAAGGGTGTTACCTAAGAACCAGGATCCAAGTTTGGTTAGCAGAAACAAAAGAATGCTGGGGCAACTCTTAGGTACTCTGGAGGTATGTGTAAGCTAGTTTTTAGTTTTTGGTTACTTTCCATGGATTTCGACTGAAACAACTGGAGTGGAACTTATTTGCCTTTTTTTTCCCAATAACTCGAATTTTGATACTCATTTTTTTATGTTTAAATCTTTCGAAAGATCTCAGATCTGATTAATGATCAAAGTGAGTAATTTTTGACTATTTGAGTAATTAATATGGATATTGAATAAAAAATTTCAACTTTTGATAGCGGACAAACACAATGGTATGTGCAAAGGGGAAAAAAGAAGAAGCTGAATAAAATTCTTTATGTGACTGAGAGAACATCTCTTGGGATGATGTGTTTTTCAATCTAAAGAGGAACTCAAAACAATTTTTGATTAATGATAGCCTGCAAGTTATCACACGCTCTTTTGTAGACTGGAGATATTAATATAACAAGTTGAGTTTCATGTAACCATTTACAACATGTGTCATGGGGGTTGTGAAATACTCTTTTGTTGCAATATAATTTTGAAAATAATCAATGTGCCAAAATAATACTAATTCATGTAAGCAGCATTTGCTTATTGAGTCGAGCAAGTGTTCATGGTGTAGGGTAGGCAGAGAAAAGAACACCAACAGCAACGAACAGTAGATATATTGAGTAAAACTTGAGTAAAATTGAAGCTGGAACAAGAGAAGTAGGTTTAGGGTTTGTAGAGAATCCCTCAAGCATGAATTGATTGATAGAAAATAAAACATGTCTTATAAAGTAGCACTACTAACATAGTATTGTAGCAGTTGAAAGCCTAAATCTTAATCATTGTAGGAAGTAATCACTAAATAAAAGTCGCATGCTTATCACATGACGATTAGATAATCCAAATATCGCAAGGATTTCTAAACTAAATGAGAGAACCAAAATCACCAGGGAGACTAATTAGTTCTTCAAAACTCCAGAAACAGTTTTTGGCTCAACATTATAGAGGAGCCAATTGCACATTCATTATTTGAGATACCACTAGGAGGGATTGAGAACTGGGTGCAGAGGCATCATTGATTAAACTGTGGAGGTTTAGGGTATTTTATGTTTTATACATTACTAGTGATTGCTCTAATTTTGTTGCTTGTGGGTGTTGGCATACGACAGTGAGCGACATATATTTGCTAGAATAAGCAAGTGATCCTAAAGTTTTTCTAAACAAACTCTACCTAGAAATTTAAATTTTGAGTTTGAGTTAGTGATGGCAATTGTAGATCTTGATACTTGATCTCTAGAAAATTCCAAGCTACTCTCTCAAGTCTTTGGCCTTTAATAGTATTGACTTGAGTTGAATCTTAGACCAAAGGGGAAGAAGAAGAAGAAGCTAGGGTTTTGAAAAATCCTGAAGCTGAATATGGTAGAGGGAGTGCTGGGGTATGCACACAGTTAACACAAATGTGGTTTGATTTTTTGTGTGGTATGTGTTTGGGGACGAGGCATGCACTTACATCAATTTGTGGTATGTAGGCGTTAGACTCAACTTCTATGTTAGTTTGGATTCTGATACGCTTTGGAGCATCTATTTGGCTCATTTTTAAGTGTTGACTTTCAAACTAGACAAGTCTTTTAGATGTATTTGACTCATTCTGAGTATAATGCCTAAGGCAGTGTATCAAGTGTTTCAGTAGTTAGAAGAGCAAGAAGTAAGAAATGTATTGAAGCTGCCATCCGTATTTTTCCCTTGCCCTTAAACAAAGAACAAAGGAAATTCAAATTGCCAGTTTGGTTGATACCAAATGCAAATTTATCACGAATCGATCTGGATCATGGTCAAAGGGGTAGCACAATCTCAGTAGCCATGGGTATTCAGGAATCTTATGAGAGAATGTGTACAGGTCTGTCCAGATCTCCATCAGCTAAAAGATGCTCCCATAGCTACCAACCTGCTGAACAATTATTAGTAGTTGTACGTCTAAAATTCTTAACTTCTTTACTAATGTATTATCTCATTGAGGAATCCCTAAAATTTATTCCTGTAGGATTTATACACGATATAATTAAGATCTTGCTTGTAATGAATAACAAAACAAGATAAAAACGATCCGAACTACCCATGCCATTGGATATGATTTTATGATTGCAACAATTTTCCACCTGCGCAAAAGTCCTTGATGCATGTATCCTGTACAATGCCATCTCATCTTCCAAATATGATGATTCAATCCCCATTGAATTAATGCTCCAGTAGTAGGTTCACAACTTGTTTGCAGATTCGACTTTGTGCTCTGATTGGTCATTGTACCTATTCCACTGAATTCTTTGGCATATGGTTATGCCACTGACTTTGTTTGGGTTTCCTTAAATGTGTTTTTTGATTCTGTGGTTTGTTTTGTTACGGGTTCTATGGCAGGAACCTTAACTAACTCTAAACGAACTGTCCATGCCAAACATTTCATTTGAGGCATCTCATGCTGTAATGAATTTTGCCTCATCTTAAATTGGCGTTAACATCTTTATGGGAATGGTTCCGACAAGCAAATCACAAAAACTAGAACAATTATGTAGACTTTTCATCATCAACTTCCGACTGCAAGCTTGGACTACTGAAGTCTTCAAGCTTCAACTCTCCCAAAAAATAATTCCTTAGATTACTTAAGCAGTAATATGCTCTGTTGTGCCCATTTTTGCTAAAATATTCTAATGCTGCATTTTTTTTATTCTAAAACATGTTTGGATAAGCATATTTGTTAGTATTTTCTTCTCTCTTAATGTGTGTTCCATTATTACTTATATTTTTCTCTATTTTTGATATTTGTTTGCAATGGTTTCAGAAATTTAGGAAAGAAGATATGAAACTTTCAGGCACTGAAGCATTTATACAAAGGTCAAATGCCTTGCAAAGAGTGAGTATATCAGCTCTATTAATCCAGCAGTTATGTTCCTTTTTGAATTATTTGTTCTGTAAACTAAACCTTAGTCATACTCTCTTAAAAATCTGAGTCTTTTTTGACATATTACAAGTCTTCCTTTGAGGGAGCCTCAAACGAAGAAGAGCAGATCTTGTGTCATGGGATACAACTGGCACTTCATATAATGACTGATAGGTCCATGGTTTTGTTGCTGTGAAACTTTGAAAGTTTCCGAAGTATGCATTTCATTTGATTTTTTTTCTTATGTGGCTAGATTCTTGATTTTTTTGTTTTTGTTTTTTGTAGGGTCGTGTTTCATAGTATTTTTTTCTCTCCAAGATCCTTTTTGGCCCTGCTAGAGACAATTTTTAATATGTTGAGATTTACACTGGTCTTGTGTGATAATTAAATGTCTTGAAACTTTTCTCAGGCTGAGCAAAAAGCACGTGAAGAAAGTGAAAGGCTAAGGCAACAAGAGCGTGAACAAATTGCTGAACAAAGGAGGAAAGATCTGGTTTGTTCTTATATTTGTAGACTATAACTTGTGTTGGCAAAGCCTTTAATGGTTCCTGTATTTTCTCTGCCCTCAGAAACACATGATCTTTTCTCACCCTGTTGTTTTATGTTACTTCACCAGACACTAAGAGCACGCATTGCTGCAAAGGCTGAAGAAAAGAAGTTGGAATTGCTGTTTCTTCGTTGGAGTGAGCATCACAAAAAACTTACCAATTTTATAAGGTGCACCATCAATTTGACATAAGTTCTTTGTTCTCTGTAGATAAATTCTCCCAGTTAAGCATTCATATCAATATTTTCCTGTGTATCTTCTGCTGCAGGTTATTTTTAACTTTGGTCCAAAAGTGTCCATATTCACAATTTTATTGAGACAAAGATAAGTTTCTGTTCAAGTGCATAGTAGTGTTGAAGGAAATGGGCCACTGAATCTTTCCTGCATCTTTGCAGGATCTTAAGGGAATTATGTTTTAGTTTTCTGATAACTTTCAACTCACTTTGATTAGCTTGTGGGATGTGTTTTCAGGACTAAGGCACAACCTCCAATTTATTATTTGCCTAAAAAGCCATTGGAAAAAGATGCAACCTTACTTGACCAGCAAAGAGAACAGGTGAGTTTACTGCCACTTTCCCAGTCCCTTGGTCTATTGATTTTAGAGGCTGAATGCATATAAGTTTAATTATATCAATGTTATCATAATCAGACCACAAAACCGGCGGACTGGACACTGATCCAGCCCGCTTTTAAGAAAAGACTGCTTAAGCAATTGAACCAGAACGAACTGGCTGGTTTTCAAAGAAACTGGATGAACCACTTGCACTTGAACCGGATAAACTTTTTTGAGTGATTAAAATCTAGCCTTAGAGAAAAGTAATTCTTCTTCGTCAAAGAAAAAAAAATAAAATGAAAGCAAGCACTGATGAAAACTCAAATATAGCTTACAAACATAAATACCCAATCTTTAAAAACTTGCTTATGAAAGCTAAGGAAGAAGGCAGTTCAAATTCTCTGATTTGTGTCAATATTGGAACAAAATAAATTGGGCATGGGAAAAAATGGATTTTTTAGGTGAATCAAGGATGTTGCATAATGGTTAAGAGGTTCCAGGTTTGACTCAGTGAGTTATTGAGCCAAGCATACTACCAAATTGTTGATTCTTTACATAATTATTTGAGTGAGGTAGTGGGTTTTTTGAAGTGGATTACCTAGAGTGACTCTCTCTCTCTCTCTCTCTCTCTCTCTCTCTCTCTCTATTATTGGAGATAGCAATTACAAGACAGAAATTTGAAGGGAAGAGGGTTTAGAATAATGGTGGCTGTAGAGGCCAAGAGGACTGCAAATTGTAAAGGGAAAGATAGGGAATGGTCGTTTTACGATTTGGACTTTTAGGTTTTATTAGATAAGGTCAGAGCTTAGTCAAAACTATGGTGGAAGCACTGAAAACAGTAAATCACCTTCAATGAATCATTGAATCGGAGGTTCAACCAGGGAACCAGTGATGTGGCTCCTTTGCTGCTTCACTGTCCAGTTCAGTTCTTATAATGCTGAATTATATAGTTGTAAATGGAATGAGCAGGGATTGTGTGTATCGGTGTTGTACTACAAATAAAAGTCCTTTGTTTCCCCCGAGTTTCCTGCTAGAAGGAATTGTCAGGGGAAGATAGCAGTTGTGTTTCATATAATGTTAAAATTCCATCGATGATCTTCTCCAAATTATACATTTACGTGATCTGTAGATCTTAATCTGGTGTTGAGATTTGGTTTGAAATTATGGATTATTCCCTAAAGATTTGTTTGATCTAAATCCTTTCTGTTCTTGTTTGCACACCAGGCGTTTTTAGAATGGAAGGCTGCTAGGAGAGATGAATTATCTGAATATCAGAAGCAGATTGGGGATCAGCAGCTTAGCTATGTCGAGAAGGAGTTGGAGAGGTGGCAAAATGCAAGAAAAGCAAGGAGAGCAAACAATGATGCAAACTTGCAAGAAACAATGGACAAAGAATTGGATACCCACAGGCTTGAGCATGGTCCCAAGACAAGAAAGATACCTGGTGGAAGCAACAATGAAGACGAGGATGATGTCGAGGATATCAATGTTGGGGAGGATGACTTGATGGATGATGTGCTGGAGGTTGATGATAACAGGAGGGTTGATGAAGCAGCCCAGCCAGAACACAATGATACCAGCCCCCTCCGGATCAGTAATGATTTAAGGCATCATATTGCATTCCTTATATCAGGTTATTCTATTGCTGAGTCTATTTTGTTCTGTATTTACTTGCTTTTGACTGGCTGTCTTATTGTTTATTTTTCACATTAATGTTAGATCATCATGGCTTTTTTTTGGATTAGGATAGACTGGTTCTCATAGTTCCCTTGATGTATTGTATTGCTCATGCCTTATAGAAAATAGAGGATGAATTATCTTAAGACATCATTTGTTCATGGTTGTTATGGTTAGTGTATTTTCTACAATAGTCAATGCTAAGTTGCAGATTAATAATGCAAGCAATAATCTGGATTTGAATCATATGTCGGTATGGGAATTGGCATTGACATGACTCTGATGGAAATATTTTCCGGGACATTTTTTATACCTACTCAATGAGTGAAACAGCGTGTTTTGTTCCTTATGCTTAACCAAGATTTTGCCGTATTTTTTCCTGATTCTGTGGTGAAATTTTGATCTTGGAGGGACAGGATGGAGAATGAGGTAGAGATTTCGAATTTAAAAAGAAACTGCATTTGAACAATGTCAGCTCTTTCTAAAATTAGTATTGCCAAGGTTGATTCATAGCTTGAGAGAGAACTGATCCTAAATCGAATTTCTAAATTATGTTTCCATGCCCAAAAAAATTCTCAAAACGTTTGGTGATTCCCAGTGTTCTGCACTTCCTTGCTATCGTGGTTCATATTACCTGTCCTACTGCATCGTGGTCGCTCTTTTTTTTCGTTGCTTCAGGATAATGTTTGATTACTGATTATTTAAGGATTATTGGCCCTTTTTATTTTTTCATCAACGGTATATTTTTGGCGGGATCATGAATGCAGTTTATTAAATTATCATCATCATTATTGGTTCCACCTGAGGTTTGGATTTGATGGGCTTCCTCCCCTAATTTAAATCTCCCTCCCAGGATTCGAAAGGGTCCTAATAAAAATCCAAAGTGTTAACTTCCTTGAAAGATTGTTTTAGATGTTATTGGATGAACTATTGTATTTCCGTACACAGGAAATTTCTTCCCCCTTGCCCCTTTGATTAATTTTGAGCTAATAACATAATGTGTGTGTGTATTTTGTGAATTCTTACAATTGAGTATATCAACATTTGTTTTTTCAAATAGATGCCTTGACTCTTAAAATTGTAACAATCAAGTGAAATTTAAAAGAAGAGGTGTACGTATGAATTATGATTTGAAAACTATGATGATATCTCATTTTAATAAAGCCACGGTATGCATTAGGGATCGAAATGAGTGGGTATCTAGTTTATTAATTCAATTTTTATCATATTTATTAAAAAAAATATTCTATCCATTATTCATTAAAAAATCCCTATATAAATTGTTATTTGACTCATATTTGGCATGTATTAGTTTATTCGTATATTTAGTACTAAATACTCAATTAATAACCATTAATAGTAATTTATCAATATACTTTATTTCAGTTTTCAAGGAAAGGTTTTTTGTTATTTATTTATTTTTATTTGTTTTTTACATTTGGGTCTTTTCTTTATAAGTGTTTTTGGTCCTTTAAGTTTTTGAAAAAAAAATATTTTGGTTTTTAATTTTCTATAAGGATAGACTGGTTCTCATGGTGTTTTTAGTCCTCAAAGCTTTTGAAAAAAAAATATTTTGGTTCTCATATGTTTTTAAAAAATCAAAATAAATTAGTAGGCGTTAATAATATAAGAAGTGGGTATTTATACCTTAAAACTATATTAAGAGATATATATTTTTTCTATCTTAACTCATTTTAATACTCATTGAATATTTTTAATAGGTATTTATTGGATTGATAAAGTAAGTATATGCTTTAGACTTACTCCATTGTCATCTCAAGTACGTATGCCATGGATAGTAATATTGTGTCTTTTTTTAATTTCTCTCCCTCCTTTTCTTTTTAACTTTTTTGATAAAATAAATAAAGCTATTAAAAAATTAACTAAAATTTAGGAATTTTTTTTTCTGCTTTTTATATTTTTTCAATAAAGTTATACTTTTTATATAATATTAAAAAAGTAAAAAGAAAAGGTAGGGAAATTTTCTTGCAATAGTGTATTTCCTAGTCATTGTGTCAAGCCATCACTCATCTGCTCTGCCATCAGTAAAATGACATTTCATTAAAGTTTTCAGGTCATACTTGTTTTCAAATCTTACTTGATTGTTACATTTTTTTAAAAATCCACACACATGTTTTAAAAAAAAGTAAATGTAAAAATTAATTTTCATTGGCTTTGCCAAACAAAGCTCGATGAGAATCTGTAAAGACGGCCAACAGCGAAACACTTGCAAATGGAAACTGAGCCAAAGGGAGGAAAAGATGTAACGAGGGGAAAGGAAATTTACCCTCTCCTTGGTGAAAACGGAGAAAAAGGAAAGTAGAGTTTTGTTCGTTATTTTGTCAACAACTTAAGGTGAAAATGGACAATTTGACCATGTGGACCCATGTGACCCTGACTTCTTTCGGCGTTATCTCAAACTTTTCTTGCCTTTTTTTTTTTTTTTTGCTGCTTCCACCTAGCTTCATGCCACATGACGAAAAAAAGAAAATGTCAACCTACTAATAACAAAATGAAAAGCCAGCCTCAGTTTAAGGCCGCTTTTAACGTTGCTGTGCTTGCACCTCTGCACCTGTACTGCTCAATGACCTGTCGATTGTAAATATGGATCAAAATTTGGCAAATCTTCTTTTATTTTATATTTTTTTATAATGAAAAATTTAGGATTACTGATCCTTGATTGATGATGTTATAGTATTGTACATTAACAAATCTTAAAAAGTAAAATGAGATATTAATAATTGATCGATGATGTTATTAATGAAAATTTGATGATGTTATTAATGAAAGTTTGAAGTGAGAAATTTTAAAAAATAAAAAATCTTAAAAATAATAAAAAAAAAGTTCGAAGAATATAAGGTATAAACGTAAGGAAAAAAATAAATTGCATGGATATATAATTATAAACCATTGAGCCTAAAATGTTTGATTCATGACGATGAAGCACTTGTATGTAATGATACCAAGGAAGCATAAACACCATCCTTGATATTGATCAAAGTTTCATGCTTTCCTTTCTCTGCAATCACTCCATCTCTGACCACCGCTATAACATCAGCATTCTTAATTGTGGATAGTCGATGGGCTACTATCACCATTTGCATGGAACCAATTCAATTTGTTGTAATAATAGGATTTTCTATCTTATTTAGTTAATTATTAATTACTAACTCTAACTCTCTGACGTCAAACAATGTGCGTTGTAGAATTTTATTTATAGCCACCAAAAAAAGTAAAAAAAGAGTGGGATGAAAATGGCAAATCAATCAATGAGTGAAACAAGGGATTATAGCAAATTTCATGTGATATTAATTAGGGAATGCACACCTCTTCTCATTTTTAGTGAGTTAATTCTCAAACATTATCTTATGTTATGATGTTAATCAGGCTTTCGAAAGCTCAATTTCAACAGGGAGTACCCTGTTGAGATGACTGTGCTAAGAAAAGCTCATGCTTACTAATTACAATTACAATAAAATTAAACCAAAATCATTAGTTATTATTTATTTATTGTATTATTTGAAATACTATTTAACCAGATTCATTCAGGTGCACTTGTTCTTTTACTTGTGCAGTAGTATTTTTGTAATTTTTAAACATTTAAATATATTTATTATGAAAGTTTTGATGACATTACACTTTAGTCATTCTTATTAAATATTATTTTTTTTAGTCTGTAAATATTTTAAATTTGATTTTAGTCTCACATTTTTATTTCATTTTGGTCACTTTGATCCTTATTTTTCTTTTTTGATTTTTTAATTAAAAATTTTAAGATAAAAAAGATATTTAGAAAAAAATAATTTACAAAATAAGATTTTAGCTAAAAATATGGATAGAAATAAATAAATAATTTTTTTAATAAAATATTTATGAAGATACAAAAAATAATTAATCAAATATAAATTTTTAATTAAAAATAATAAAATTAAATAAATTTTTATTTTGTTTTGATTCGATCCTAATAAATGTATAATATAACACGAAATTTTTATGCATGTTGAATCTGACGACAATTGGCACCCAGCTATCAGGCGCGGCCTTAAGCAGGATGCAGATCACATACTGCCTCTTATAGTTTTTTTTTGTTATGATTATTTACAACATAAAAGAGTTAATAAATTTTGTTTTGATTAATAAAACATAAAAGAAAATAGGGTTTTATCCAACATTGGTCATGTTGGCATTGTTTTGATAGAGACTTTTTAATCTTTTTAGTGTCAATCAGGTCCCTATACCTTTTTGCGATACGCAATGTCATTATAGAGAGACCTATCTCTATCTCAGATAAGCCACAAAAAATTTAGACTAGTCGCCATTATCTGTATCTCAGACTCATATAAGCCATCATATAAGCCAAGAAAACAAAAGTAAAGGTTTCGGTTTCGATAAGATCTGGCAAACTCAAGTAATGATTGTGCAGAAGAACTTCCTTTCTCAATTTAAAGAGTAAATATACCTGTATGTTATTGCATAATTTCCAAAATTAATATGTTTTTAAATTTTAAATTGCATTCTATTTATTTCTAAAATCTGTTATTTCTATCGATTTTTTTGATTAAATAAAAAAATTAATAGAAATGTTTTTGATTGAAAAACAAAAGGTTAAAAAATTTTAAAATAAAACATGCAAGTCATGTAGCTTTATGTATTTTTGTTTTGTATTTTAATAAAGGATATTTCGATAAAATAAATTTTTGATCAAAAAATTTGATTAAAAAATATATTGAACATTTAAAAAAAAACCGAAGACAAATAAGATATAATAAAAAATCTAAAAACATATATGAGAGATTTTTGAATATTATATAAGTAGCTATGGTTATTTTTATTTTAATTTAAATCTAAACAAGATTTCAATGTATTCCATCTAGCATCTCGACTTCTCTAATACTGCATACCGGTTTGAATGTATTCCATGAGTATATAATTCACGTTCTTGTTATAAAAAATTCTGTCATAACTCAGAACCACCGTCCACCGCCAGCATCATCCCTTCAAACCTTGGCTACCCAGGCATAACCACCACCACCCTAGCCGTCGTGCCAAACAAGAACAAATTCTAGAATGGTTTGTAGGAGACAAGAAACGGGCCTAGGCTTAAAGATTCTAGGTTGATAAAATTAGAAAGGGAGGGATTAGGTTTTGAAATGGTAATTTACGCATCTTGTTTTTCCTCTGTAAAATCATTTTCTGGTTTCTTGTGTCAATCTTCGTTTTCAGGGAAAAAAAGAAAAATTTTAATTTAGTCTCAAATCTATATAACTATTTCTCAATTGCATTTCAATGCTACAAATTTTACCGATTAGGTTTCAAATATTTTATATATTTTTCAATTGGACCATGGTCAATTACTTTAAATATTTTTAAGTTTAATGTTTATTTTATACATTAAAAAACGTTGATTTTAAGCAAATTTGACAAAAAAAAAAAAGATAATGAACTTCGTTCCAATGTGCATTATTTTGTGCACTAAAACATCAATTTGGAAAGAAAAAAAAATCATGAAAAAGTTGGTGAATATTGATAAAAAGACTCGATTAATTTTTTTCAAAAAACATCTAGAATTCAATTGAAAAAAAAGTATAGATTTAATTATAACTTAATGAAAAAAGAATATACAGATTTTGAATTACATTGAGGTTTCCCTTTATTTTTTAGTTCTTTTGAATTTTGAAAAATAATGAGTCCTTTCTTTTATTTAGTACATCAAAGATGGTACTCCCACATAAAAAAAAAAAAAAAAAAAAGAGAGAGAGAGAGAGAGAATATAGACGAAGGATTCATTCAACCGAAACGAAGAGGTTCCATCAATAATATATATATATATATATATATATATATCAATCAAAATAATTGGAAGAATAAAAATATATTTAGGCGAATAATATCTATCGCAGAAAACGAATGAAAAAGAGAACACAGCACAATCATTATGCGAATAAATTATAAATTAGTCCCTTTATTTTTAAAAAACATATCAGTTAGTTTTTTATCAAAAATTAATTAATTCTTTAACCAGTGTTGAATTTTTTTAATTTAATATTATTTTATTTTATAAAATTTCATCTCTTCTAATCAATTAATTCATAATTTTTTTCTATTTTTTAAAATAAAAAATAAATTAAATTAAAAAAAATTAAGTTTGAAAAAAAAATTAAAATATAAAGATTAAATAATTATTTTTTAAAACAAAAAGATCTAATTAATTCATTTTCAAAAGTAAAGGGAGTAATTTATAATTTACTCCCCATGGTGGACCAGTTCGTTCGTTTCCACTTTCCACTTTTTTCTTTCTTTAATCTAATTATTGTGACTCCTTCACTTATCTACTAAGCAAAGTCTCCTCTCACTCACTCTCCATTCTTTTCACTCTCCTTTTCGTCTCTCTCTCTCTCTCTCTCTCTCTCCGTCTCTGTCTCCTCAAAAGCAGAGCAGCAACAGGTGTAAGAATAAAAACAGAGTAGAGAGAAGATCGAAAAGAAAACTGGCATTTCTTTTTTTCAAAATAGCAACAGAAGAAAAGAAAATAAGAAAATGCCACCTAACAGTAGCCTCAGTAACGGTGAGAACCCACCAACAACTAGAGCACGGCCACAAGCACCGCTTTCAAACCAAAACCAGGACCAAAACCAACACCAGCACCACCATCAAAACCAAAGCCACCATCACCAGAACCACCAGCACCACCATCAAAACCAAAGCCACCATCACCAGAACCAGAACCAGAACCACCAGCACCAGTACCACCACCCATACTACCCAGCAACATCATCTTCATCAGCCTCCTTCAAAGGTTGCTGTTGCTGCCTCTTCCTCCTCTTCTCCTTCATTGCCCTCCTAATTCTGGCCGTCTTTCTTGTAATAATCCTGGCTGTCAAACCCAAGAAACCCCAATTCGATCTCCAGCAGGTCGGAGTACAGTACATGGGCATAACCACACCCAATCCTACGTCCTCTCTGGACCCCACAACCGCAACTGCAACCACACCAGCCACTGCCTCTCTTTCTTTAACCATTCACATGCTGTTCACTGCTGTCAACCCAAATAAGGTTGGGATCAAGTACGGGGAGTCCAGTTTTACTGTCATGTACCGTGGGATTCCTTTGGGGAAAGCTTCAGTCCCTGGGTTTTATCAGGAAGCTCACAGTCAGAGACAAGTCGATGCCGCCATATCCGTTGATCGGTATAGCTTGATGCAAGCTGATGCTTCTGATTTGATTAGGGATGCCTCCTTGAATGATCGTGTGGAGCTCAGGGTTCTGGGTCAGGTTGGTGCTAAGATCCGCGTTCTAGACTTGGATTCCCCTGGTGTTAAGGTCAGTCCATTTTTTTTATTTTTTATTTTTATTCGATAACAATAATATAATATTTACACACAAAAAATTCCCCTCATTTATGCATGTTCTTGTGGGTATGTGGGCTTGGTTTCTTCATGTCCTCTTTTCTTTTCTAAATTTTGGTTTGGACACTTTATTTTCTTTATTTATAAAGTGGATCCCTACTTAATTTATAATTTACGTTCTTTGTTCTTGGCATAACACTAATTACACGAATAATTTTTAATTTTGGCAAGAAGTATTGTATTTAGTATGTTTGATTGTTTTTAGTTAAATCCGTGCTTATTTATTTTTGCCAAGATTTCTCTGCTTAGTAGCTTTAGTTTTATTATTATTATTATCATGTAATTTTCTTTCTATGCTAACATGAGCCGCTTATTTGCTGCCAAAATCATTGTAAATTATAAATTAGTCTCTTTAGTTTTCAAAAACAAATCAATTAGTCCTTTTGTTTAAAAACTAACTATTTGGTCCTTATGTTTTTAATGTTCTTGCACTTAATTTATTATGTTTGATTATTTTTAGTTAAATCCGTACGTATTTATCTTTGGCAAGATTTCTCTGTTGAGTAGCTTATGTTTTATTCTTATTTTTATAAGTTTCTTTCTATGCTAACATGAGCCGCTTATTTGTTGCCAAAAATCGGAGTAAATTATAAATTAGTCTCTTTGGTTTTGAAAAACAAATCAATTAGTCATTTTGTTTCAAAAACTAATTATTTAGTCCTTATATTTTTAATTTTCTTACAACTTTATTTTTTGTTCTTTTTTAATTTATTTTGATTTTTTATTTTAAAAATAAAAATAAATATAAAATACAAAAGGATTGATGAAATTTTTTTTTGGTAATTCCCTTGAGTTACCCATTCCTTGGAATTTAAAAAAAAAATGTCACCTAAATTGGTTCGAATTTTTTTAGGAATAGGGTTCACTCCTGACATAATTAGTTTGCTACATGTGTTAGATAAAAGATGTTTTGGCATATTATGGCTAATCAATAACTTTTTAGTTTTGAGAGGGCATTTTATAAAAATTGAAAATTGTGAAATTTTTATAACCTTTTTAAAAATTCTTGAATTTTTAAAGTATCATTCAGAACTTTAGGAGGACGATGGCCAACAGCTTCGCTTGGCTCTGCCTCTATTGCGAAGGCAACATGTCATCCATGAGATTTGTGGTTTTGTTCAATAATTTTTTGTCCATTACTAGATTTTGCTTTTTACTCTGCCTAGAAATCTACAAACATGCTTGGATACTTCTCTGTATGTTACCATTTGTCATGCTTTCCTGTTTGCTAGTTAGTGTCTCTACATATGTTGCTATTTCTTCTTCTATATATATATATATATATATATAGATATATAGATATAGATATATATCATAGCGTATATATTGAAAAAATATATATATATTAAGATGCTCCTTGATTCTCTATGACTTGCCTGTCTTTCTTTGCCTCAAGTATGTAATGTTTTTGAATTTACGGATTTTGGCAACAATATTATTTCCTTTTTCGAGGACAAGGAGCCAAGTAGTAGCCTATTAGGTACAAAATAGAGGTTTTATTTAAAAACATTAAAGCAAGGTTTTTTTTAAAAAAAAAACATTAAAGTAAGGTTTTCTTTAAATTTTTTTTCCGGATATTTATATGCTATTTAAACTACTAAATATAAATGCTAGTATATGTTTGTGTGTGTGAGTGCGAGCACGCGTGCGCATTTGTGAAGGAACATAATTAAAAGAAAAAAAAATGAAAGAGCAACAGCTGATTCACCATCTCTTTCTTTCATGTTCTGCTCTCTGAGTCATAAGTAACCCTGATGTGTGTGTTTTTAAGTTCTTAAAACAAAAGGAACATAGTTAAAAAAAAAAAGAAAAAGAGCAACAGCTGATTCACCGTCTCTTTCTTTCATGTTCTACTCTCTTAGTCACATGTAACCCTGATTTGAAATAAACTCCCTGCCCTCTCTTTGATTCTTGTTTGGAAAGCTAAGTTTGGAGCCAGGGCTGTGGAATGAAGGCAGGGGCAATTTTTTGGCATTTGTGGTTTAGTTTGATATGGGGTTAATGTGAGGACATGTGGGATGAAGTCAAACAGCAAGTTGGAGTTTTTAAGCAGCAATTCTTTTGGTATTTGTGGTTGGGCATGAGTTGGAGTTAGGATGGTGGTCTGCGACAATACGTTAAGAGAGTGAGTTGGGGTTTTTTATTTGGGATTTTTGGTTTATAGGCTTCTTTTTGTTTGATTTTACAGATTTTAGTTCATGTTAATTTCGCAAGGATGAGGTGAATTCCTTTCAGGTTTTTTTTTTTTTACAAACTTAGTTTACGGAGTGAAATTCACTTTGTGCCTTCGTATCATCAACAAATCTTGAACTACTAAACATTCGAACAAACCGGTCCTTTGCATCATACTTGGACAGAAGATTTAAAAATGAACGGCACCAGATAGTCTAGATAGTAGAAGGGCATGGGATGAATTTCACCTTAAGTTCATGCTGATATCACCTCGCATTAGCAATCAGCATGTGAATGGGTGGGCTAGCTTCTTACGATGGCATCCAATGAATATGGGTTGGCTGGAATGTTTTAGGGTCACTTTTCTTGCAATTTTGGAGGGATGCATTGTAAAGCGTTACACTATAGTGGGGCATGTCAGATAGGGATCCACATTTTCAACATCTCCCTACAGGAACTAATTACCGCGTGGAAGTGTCTCCTTTCTAGCTTGAATTTTTCGGTTACAGTTTGCTTTTATTGCACATGTCTCTTTGGAATTCCAAACTTGGCTTTTTGACAAAATGAGCGAATCATATCTTCCAATATCTCTTTCTTATGTATTATTATTATTATTATTATTGTTTTAATAATTACTTCTGTTTGGTGGCATGTTGTTATGTTTGCCTCTTGTCAAACAAGATCAAGGTCTAATTCGAATTGGAATGGGCAGGTATCAGTGGATTGTGCAATAGTGATAAGTCCAAGAAAACAGGCTCTTACCTACAAGCAGTGTGGATTTGATGGATTGAGTGTTTGAGGTACCCCCACCTATAGTGAGGAAAAAAAGTTCAATTTTTTTCTTTTCATTCTCTCTCTCTCTCTATATAACAAGAAAGAGAGAGGAGATGAGGAGGGTTTTTTCTTAAAAAAAAAAAAAAATGGAAGAAGAAGAAGACGAAGAAGGATTGAAGGCAAGGCAAAACCCAAATCTTCTCTTGGATGGATTGGAGCTTGTTCAAACTTCAAAGGCACAAAGGCAAAGAGCTAAAAAGAGGAACGAGGGATATATACACTAAACTTTTAAAAACTGGAGGCCAAAAAGGTTTTCCTAGATTTTGCTGATTCTTATATTCTTTTACTTCACTTGGAAGGAAAATTTAAAGTGCTGACTGCTTGTAAAGTGCCAAAACAAACGTAATGCTCTATCCCTATCCCTGCCATTAATTGCACCACCCAGCTGCCCTATTCAGTACTCTCTCTCTCTCTCTCTCTCTCTCTCCGCCCTTTGTGCTGCGTTGGACGATCAAGCTCTGGATATCCTCTGCATTGTGTCAGGACTTTGTTCATAAATGTGGAACTGAACAATTCTGGACCATTAATTGTTGCTGAAGTTGTTCCGCTTGATCTATCAATTCCGGGTCCATTTTTCTTCCTTGATGGAGATGGTTAAAGTTTTTGGCATACCTAAATCACATTTACCCATTGGTGTCAGTTGAGTTAATTTTATAAGGAATAAATTATTAATACAACCTTAATTTTGAATAAACCCAAGTTAATATTTTAGACCCTAAACCTTAAATCAAATATTTATGAATTAATATTTTATTTATACAATAAATTAAATGTGTCATAAGAATGTTAGATTGAAAATTAAAAACTCATGGAATAACAGAGTTGGACAAAAAAAAAGTACATTTTTTTTACGGAAGTATAAGTAAAAAGGTATATATATATATATATATATATATATATATATATATATATTCTAAGAGATATTTTTGTGGAGTGAAACTGTACTTACTAAATGTTATATTTATAACTAGAGATGGACAGTATTCTGATTAACTCAAAAAGCCAAACCGGATCCAAAATAAAAATTTAGTTGGAGCTTTAATTCAATCTAGGTGTAAATTATCGAACCTAAAGTTAATCTGGTTTTTCGAATTTAATTCATTTCTTAGAATTTTAGAATCGGGTTTATCCAAAACTCAAATACAAAAATCCCAAATTTGAAATTTAGATTTTATTTAGTCTTTCATTAATTAATATAACAATCATTATATAATTATTTTAAATTTTATTATTATTATTTTAGTATTACAATAACTTAGTACAGTGACTGCTACCGTATTTTTAACCGTCCGAGATTTGATCCTGTCGCTTCCCTCTCTTTTGCGTTCCTGCTCGTCTGCTCGAGTCTCTCTGTCTCTTTTCTTCCTAAACAAAAGAGGCCGGTCTCTCTTTCTACTCTCTTTTGCCTTGTGCTCCTGCTCTATCTTGTCTCTCGAATATACTGATCTCTCGATCTACTATTCCTCTCTAGGTTGACATCAAGCTTAAATAAACAGTTAATTTCGTCAGGTTGGTCCTTTTACAGAAACACAAGTGTCGGATTTCTTCAGATTTTGATTTTTTGGGTTTTGCAGTTTATTAACTATTGCGTGGTATCGATGGAAACAAACGTGGTCGTCTCTTAAACATTTCAAAAGAAAAAGGAGAGAAGAGAAGGCGCTGGTCAGCTACGTGCTTGGTTGACGAAGGAGAACAACTGCTAGTCAAGGTGTCAATGGCTTAGTTCTTGTTGGACACAAAATTGTAAGCATATTCAATGTTTTGCTTGTAGTGGATCTCGGTTAATTGAACAGGAGGACATGGTTTGTCGTATATATTGATCGCGTAGGGAAGAAGACAAGAACAATTTTCTTTTCTTTTCTTTTCTTTTTTGTTAGCTTTGATGTAGGACAGAAAGATCATGGTTGCATGTGCAGCAATGGTAATAGGACCAGGTGGTGGTTTCTTTTGCTTTAAAAAAATAAAAATTAATTAAAAATTATTTATATTTTTTTTCCCATTTTCATGTAGAATATAGCCGCAAAGAAAACATAATTACAAATAAACTAAAAGAATTGATGATTTTGAAAAGTGATTTTTACTGTTTATCCCTTTACAATTCACTATTTATTTATTATTTATTTATTGTAGTTTAGTTTTTTTTTTTTGTAATTTTCAAGTTGCTTTTTTTTTCTATAAATTTATGTTTTTCTATTTAACTAGGTGTTAAAAATTTTAAAAAATCAATTATTATTTTTTTCACATAAATTAAAGATTATATAATATATACAATATGTTTTTATATTTTAGAATAAATATATACTACTATTATTGTTAAAATTAATGTTTTTAATTTATTATTAAAATTCTTATAAAATCTAAAACTTAAGAAATTTAGGGATTATTTAGAGTAGAGGATGGGCCACACAATTATTTTGCATCAAGGATGGGCCACGCCACTATTTGGGTAAAGGTGGGCCACCTTTGAAAAAAAAAATTTGAAATTTGGGTAAAGAATGGCCCATCTTAAAAAAATACGTTGAAAGAAAGATCGTTTTTTTTTTTTTTTTTCGTTCAAAACAGAAACCAAAACCCAGAATTTTAGAACTTGATTGCTCAAAACCTGAATTAAATTGGTAGAACTCGAATCCGAAAATCTAAATGCTCACTTTTATTCATAATAAAGTATATCTATAAAATTACATGTTTCTTCGTATGAAGTATGGAAAGGTAAAAAACCATCTTTGAATTTATTTTTTTAACTACAAGAGAATATAGTTTTTTACAAAGTTTTTATTCACAAAAAAACTGAGTGTGTAGCTTTTTACAGAGTTTTTTTTTTAAAAAAAAAAAAAGTTAGAATCTAGAAATCTTAGAAGTGTTTTTATTTACCATGCACAAAATTCCAAAGTTTATTAACTATGGACAAAATTTCGAAGCATGTGAACTTTTCGATTTGGAAACTAATGTAATAGTTTAATATATAGATATTGAATTCATTGAATATAAATAAAAAATTATTACAATATTGAAGAAATTAATCGAACAATGATGTGTTAAAAACATAAATATATAGAAGTTGAAGGTTAAGTGAGCTTAAAACAAGTCAAATGGTTCGAAATGAAAAACATTTGGATACAAGTTTTATTTCTACTAATTTTGTTGTTTTTTAGTGGAAGGAGATAGAATCACAGTGTTGAAAAAGAAACCTAAATTGAATTATTAGAACTCAAATTCAAAAATTTGAATGTTCATTCTTATTGATGATAGAGTGTATCTAAGAAAGTGTATATTTCTTTGTATGAAGTAAAAAAAAAAAAAAAACCATATTTAAAGTATGAGAGTCCGTAGTTTTTTACAAAGTTAATATTAAAAAAAAAGGTGAATGAAAAATGATCATGTACCTTTTTACAATGTTTTATTTAAAAAAAAAAAAACTAGAATCTAGAAGTCTTGAAAGTGTTTTTATTGACTATGCACAAAATTCGAAACATTTAAACTTTTGAATTTGAAAACTAATGCAACGATTAAATATATGGATGTTAAGTTTATTGAATATAAATAAAAATGATTATAATGATGAACAGACCTAATCAAACAATGATGACTCCCGATTCAACACCAAATTAAAAACGTAAGTGCATAGAAGTTGAAGGTTTGATTGAATTTAAAATAAGTTAAAGAAACACCTTGATGCAAGTTTTATCTCTCGCTAATTCCGTTGTTTCTTAGTAGAAGGAGATAAAATCATAGCATTGAAAAAAAAAACCATGATACTAAGTATGGCGAGATGAATCGGCAATTTTGGTACTAGAATTATATGCGGGTGAAGTAATTAAAACTTACATAGCTACATGGATTGAGACTTTTTGCCCTTTTTTTTTCTTTCTTTTTTTCTTTTTACAAGTCAAGAGAAATGTATATCGAGTCTTTTAGTAAAGATGTGGTCCTTTTGAAAAATTAACTCGGTTCGTTGGCTAGATTAGGTCGATTAGTTGAAAAATGAGAAGTTCTCTCTCTCTCTCTCTCTCTCTATATATATATATCATCGATGGCTTTGTCAATCATGTTTAGATATTGTTTCCTTTTCTACTTGGAATTTCTTATAGAGAAACAATAATGTCTTTTGGAGATGATTGTTTTTCTTTGAAGAGCTGCGTAAGTATTATTTTATTGCCTCATCCACATAAACGAACTATTATTGTCTTGATTTTTTATTTTTTTTCAAAATAGAACCCAAAACTCAAATTTTGAAACTTGAATTTACGCTCGATTAGGTTCCATGTATGCTTTTGGTGGATTTAATTACTTGAAACCTAAATTGAACCGTTAGAACTTGAATCCAAAATTTCAAATGTTCACTTCTATTTGTAATATAGTATATCTAAGAAATTGTATGTTTCTTCGTGCAAAACATGGAATGGTAAAAAACCATGTTTAAAGTACAAGGGTATGTTGTTTTTTACAAAGTTTTTATTCACAAAACAAATGTGAATAAAAATTGATTATGTATCTTTTTATGAAGTTTTATTTACCAAAGCATATAAACTTTTGGATTTGGAAACTAATGCAATAGTTCAATGTATAGATACCGAGTTTATTGAATATAAACAAAAAGTGATTATAACATTGAGGAGCTTAATCAAACAATGATGACTCCTATTTCAACATCAAATTAAAAACACAAGTCAACGAAGTTGAAGGTTTTAGTGAGCTTAAAACAAGTTAAAGAGTTCGAAACGAAAAACACTTGGATGCAAGTTTTATTTTTGTTAATTCTGTTGTTTCTTAGCAAAAGGAGATAGAATCATAGTTTTGAAAAAAAATTTCGTGATACTAAATATGAAAGATGAATCAGCGAGTGTTGGTTACTAGAACTCTATGCGGGTGAAGTAATTAAAACTTACATGACTACATGGATTGAGACTTTTTTTCCAATTTTTATTTTCTTCTTTTTTTCTTTTTTACAAGTCAAGAGAAATGTATATCAATCTTTTTAGTACATGTGTGGTCTTTAGGAAAATTAATTCAATTCCCCGGCTAGATTAGGTCGGATTGGTTGAGAAGTGAGAAGCTTTCTCTACCTAATGTGTGTGTGTGTATTCTAGAAATGTAGTTTTTTACATGAGTGTGAGCCGAACTACAAGCTCATTAGGATTGAAGACGACAACATATGTTCCTATTGTATTGGATTTTATCTAACTTAAACCCCATAAAACATAACCAAGTAAATTCACTAGTTTGATTGGAGTTGATGTATAGTTCGCCCATCACGCATCTAAACATAACCAATATGCGGGTGAAGTAATTAAAACTTACATAGCTATATGGATTGAGACTTTTTGCCCTCTTTTTTTTTTTTTTTTGACAAGTCAAGAGAAATGTATATCAAGTCTTTTAGTAAAGATATGGTCCTTTTGAAAAATTAACTCAGCTCATCTGGGTAGGTTAGGTCGGATTGGTTGAGAAATGAGAAGCTCTCTCTCTCTCTGTCTCTCTCTCTCTCTCTCTATGTGTGTGTGTGTGTGTGTGTGTGTGTATATAAACAATGGCTTTGTCATTCATGTTTAGAAATCGTTTCCTTTTCTATTAGGAATTTCTTATAGAGAAACAATAATGTCTTTTAGAGATGATTAATTTTAGCATGGGACATGTTGTTTTTTGCTCTTTCCTTGGAGAGCCGGTAAGTATTATTTCATTGTCTCATCCACATAAATGAACCATTATTGTCCGGATTTTTTTTTTTTCAAAACGGAACCCAAAACCCAAATTTTGGAACTTGAATTTCGCTTGATTCGGTTCCACGTATGGTTTTAGTGGATTTGATTATTTGAAATCTAAATTAAACCGTTAGAACTTGAATCCAAAATTTCAAATGTTCACTCCTATTCATAATAGAGTGTATCTAAGAAATTGTATGTTTCTTCGTACAAAGCATGGAATGGTAAAAAACCATGTTTAAAGTACAAGGGTATGCGATTTTTACAAAGTTTTTATTCACAAAACAAATGTGAAAAAAAATTGATTATGTATCTTCTTACAAAGTTTTATTTACCAAAGCATATAAACTTTTGGATTTGGAAACTAATGTAATAGTTGAATATATAGATACTAAGTTTATTGAATATAAATAAAAAGCGATTATAACATTGAGGAGCTTAATCAAACAATGATGACTCCTATTTCAACATCAAATTAAAAACATAAGTCAATAGAAGTTGAAGGTTTTAGTGAGCTTAAAACAAGTCAAAGAGTTTGAAACGAAAAACACTTGAATGCAAGTTTTATTTTTGTTAATCCTCGTTGTTTCTTAGCAAAAGGAGATAGAACCATAGTTTTGAAAAGGAAATTCATGATACTAAATATGAAAGATGAATCAGCAGTTTTGGTTACTAGAACTCTATGCGAGTGAAGTTATTAAAACTTACATGACTACATGGATTGAGACTTTTTGCCCAATTTTTCTTTTCTTCTTTTTTTTTTTTTTACAAGTCAAGAGAAATGTATATCAATCTTTTAGTAAAGGTGTGGTCTTTAGCAAAATTAATTCAATTCGTTGGCTAGATTAGGTCGGATTGGTTGAGAAGCGAGAAGCTTGCTCGACCTAATGTGTATATATATATGCTAGAGATGTAGTTTTTTACATGAGTGTGAGTCGAACTACGGGCTCATTAGGATTGAAGATGACAACATCCGTTCCGATTGTATTGGATTTTATCTAACTTAAACCCCATAAAATATAACCAAGTAAATTCAATAGTTTGACTGGAGTTGATGTATAGTTCACCCATCAAGCATCTAATCCTTTTTTTAGCCTTTTATTTTTTGATGGAATGGATGGATTTTAGTGGGTTTATATATATATACCCAATACAATTAGGTTGAAGACAAGTGATGAATTTAATTATTTTGAATCGGAAGCAACATGACAAAAAACCAGTCCTTATTTAATTATTATAGAAATTTTATCTTATTTTAAAAACAAATAACAATACTTATTTTAGGAAAAAAAGAGACAGATAAATAAAAATATTTTTTAACTCTTAATGGATGCGAATATGATTTATCTGCCTTTTTTTTTCCTCTATTTCTTATACATAAAATAAGCATTTTCAATTATTCATTGAATATTTTAAAATTTCTCACCACGTCACTCATTGATAAAAATAATCATATTTTAAAAAAATAATTTATAATAATTTTTTTTTGGCATTACATTAATTGCCGTATAAATCAACGAATATAAATAACGGGATCCCTAAAAAGGGAAATTTGAAAAGAAAAGGTTTAAGAAGTCCATATATTGCCGTATAAATAAATAAACAAGAAAATAGAGCGGATATAATAAAAGTATATTAATATTAGGGAACTAGCAGCAATTCACTCCTCCGTATTATTTAGGTGTCAGTTCGAGCAGGCAAAAATCCCAACAAAAAAAATAAAAATAAAAATCGTAGGTAGTAGTCGGAGGTATAGGAAGCAGAATCAGCAATGGATTTCAGTCCGCTCACAGACGCTTTAGCTTCCAAATCGTACGGAAAGATCGCTGATATCTGCGATGAACTCATGCTCAAGGTTTTATCTATTTTTTTAATTAAATGTCGTTAATTTTTTGCTGTTCTTTTTTTTTAATTGTAAATTAAAGTAAGATACGGTTTATTTTGATGAAATTGAACAGGCTGCAGCAGAGCTAGAAGGGACTCCTTTCGAGGAGGAGTGGCCTTTTGCTATTCATCTTCTTGCCCATTTTTATGTCAATGACATGTATGATTTTTATTTTTATTTTTTGTGGTGTGGAATTCTCTCATAAATATAAATATTTAATTGATAGTATTAATTTGATTTTTTTTAAAAAAATTCAACAGTAACGGCGCACGATTTCTGTGGAAATCTATACCTTCCGCGGTGAAAGAGAGGCAACCAGAAGTTGTTGCAGCTTGGAAAATTGGTCAGAGGTTGTGGACGCGTGACTATGCTGCCGTGCATGAGGCTATTCGTTCTTTTGATTGGACTCCACAAACTCAACCTCTTGTTGCTGCTTTCTCAGGCAAGTTTTGTGTTTTGATAGTTTCCGATGTTGAATTATAATTTTGATAAATGCTAATTTGAACTAACTAACTAACATGTCTGTTCTAGATTAGTTTATTTATGGGGCGGGAATGCCACTCAATTAAGACGAAAGGTTTCGGTTACGGTTCTTTAGATTGTTTGTTTGCCTGGCCAAATTGGCATTTGATCTTTTCACTTAAATCCCAATTCTACCTCCTGCCTGAGCTAGCCCTAGGTAGTTTGCATTATAGTATTATCAACAACTGCTTCAACATGGCTTATAATATGTTTGACAGAACATAGTGTACTGTAGCGGAGGGGGAAAGCATGATCATATTTTGCAAATACTACATTGAACTTGTGTCAACGACAAGATTTGTGAGTTTACCAAGGAGCAGAATTTTACATGCCAGAGATAAATAATCACAGAATCTCACTACGTTAGCAACCTTTGCAAAAATCTTTATCATCTAATTGTGTATCCGTTATTTGAAATAAGAGTTTGATAGTTGATTTAGTTTCTTGCTTTTCACTGTGAATTAAATTGTGGGAGAAGTGATGAGTATAGGTTTGGTTGATGCTGGCCTTGCAAATTCATTTAATTGATCATGGATGTTCATTAATTAATGCCACGAGAATAGATAAATGCGCTCAACTTTTCATTGGAGAAGCAAATGTGCTTGTTTAGAGCCCACAAGCCTTGCAAATTCATTTAATTGATCATGGATGTTCATTAACAAATGCCACAAGACTAGATAAATATGCTCAACTTTTCATGAGAGAAGCAAATGTGCTTGCCTAGAGCCCACAATTGCATGTTTTAATGTTTGTTTAGTTGTGACATTAATTTGTTGTACATTGATGAACTTTGATTGGCATAATCAAAAGTCTAAACATTGTTGGATCAGTATGTTAGCTGCTGACAGGTTTCCTCACTGGAAAAGTGTGGCTAAGGATGATCTTAACATTTCAGCCTGAAAAGATACTGAGATGCAATTATGAAATTTTAGTATTCTGTCTCGATACGGTTTCTGCTGATGCAGTGTTCAAGTCATGTCCTTGTCAAGCACAATGATGGCAACTTGTTGCACAAGGATTACAACTTGTAAATTTGGCTGGTCAAGATAAAAGAGAATTAGTACAATGATTTGTCTTTGATGGAAAACATTGAAAAGCAGGGTGTAGTTGGTAACAGGTTCTAGGAATTGCGTTGATTAGCATTAGATTTTGTACAAAAAACATTCCCATCACAGCATATTTGTAAGCTTCATACTTCCATTTTTCAGCATATTTTATCTGGAGAGATACCAAAAAAAAAAAAAAAAAAAGGGGAAGAAAAAGGAAAAAAAAAGAGGTTTCCTATCCTTCAGGTGAAGAAAGCAAAGCATGCTTTTTTTTTAAAAAAAAAAATCGTTAGAAACATGGCTTGGGTTCCTGGGAAGTCAGTAGAGGTTGGTAAACTTAATTGAAATATTTGTATGCACACAAAGGCAAAAATATGGAACTGTAAAAGTTAATAAGCAGTAACTGTTCATGCTTGTGTTGCTATTAAAGAAGACGGATGCTTTGAAACAATTGTGTCCACAATCAAACACCCCTTTTTAATGGAAATAACAAGGGCAAGCTATGGAACTGGTGCAATCTGGAAAATTCAAAATATACTGTCATCTTTAACTCCATGTAAACAAGCGTCCCTGGATGTGTTGGATTTTGTTCTGTTTGGAAGTCATCAGCCAATTTATTTGCTGAAGTCTTTGATGTTGGTATCATAACATGGGAAACAACTTTTGTTTGCAGAGGTTTACACCAAGAGGATATTTCAGCTTTTGCTTTCTGCTTACTCAACAATAGGCATCCAAGATACAGCTCTCTTTCTCGGAATGAATGAAGATGATGCCACGAGTTGTAAGATTCTGATACTTCATTCTACCTTTTTCTTTATGTTATGAAATGTCAATATTGGTTTGTTGTGGCTCCTGAGTTTTGCCTTTAGGTCATACAGGGGTTGGGTTAGTGCTTATTTTCAGTAATTTATCCCCATGCCTGGAAAAAATAAGAAAGAAAAATAGAAGAAATAGAATTACCACCAAAGAACTATGATAACAATACAGGAGAAAGTGAGAAGCACTGTCGGAACTGCTGTCGATAATCCATCTATTTTTCTGCCATCAAATCCCATTGCAGCACACCCAAACACATTCTTGGTACAATTAATGAACATCAAATCTAAAAGCATCTGTGAATCTTGGTCCAAATTGAATCAGACAAGCTTGAATCAGTGGCTGATTAGAAATGACTATGGGAATTTTGAAGGATGACCGTCTTTAAAGCAAGTACCCAACTATGAAAGCTTTTCCACCGGAGGTTTAGTTAATATTTGAGAAAAAAGAGACCAGCTTGTCCAGATCTCTGATGGAGAGCCAGTGGCTTATGGTTTGTTTTCAGATTAGCACTTAATGACAGACAGAAAGCCTCTTGTAATGTCTGGAAGGGCGTTTCTATCTGAGAAGTTAATTGGAAGGTGTGGATATTTATGATCCCTGGTCCCGCTTGTCTTATCTTGATATTGAGATTGATTTTAAAGTCTCATAGCACGCCTGCAGATTGTGGTTGATGCTACAGAAATCATGTTCAAGTTTGTGGAAACAACATTTCAAGCTAAACTTCTCCCCTAAATAGTTTAGGAATTCGTTGATTCTCTTTTCGGTCCAAAGTGAATAGAGTTTGATTACTCTCACATAGTCACATGCTAAGAGCTTAGGATAGCACATAAAAACTTGCCTTTTGTCTTTTACCGTTGCCTTTTTGACATAATAAACTTGGACACTGTCTAGACTCTGTGTATGTATGCATGCATGTGGCTATCTGTCTAATGCAATGTACACTATATGTTAAGATTGTTTTATGCATCTTATCTAGTGCATATATGCTATGCTGCCAATGAGATTCTTGTTATCACATGCAGATGTACTGCAGCAAGGTTGGGTTGCTGATCCTGCTTCTCGAATGCTAACCGTGAAAAAGCAGCCTGTTGCGACGGAGCAGAAACTGGATCCCAGTAAACTACAGCGCTTGACAGAATATGTGTTTCACTTAGAGCATTAATAGAACTGTAAACATTACCAAACTCCTACTGAAAGTCTTCTTATTCAGATCACTAGTTGTAATGAGTAAAATCTATTGAAGATGTTCAGTACTTGAATTGCAGCAAGGAAGCTAAAAGATTGTTTTTTTCCTTTCAATTGGGGTTTCCTTTGGATGTTTTGTTGTAAAAACCCCTTGATAGTTGAAACGGCATTAATATATTGAACATAAAATCCTATTTTTCATTTATTTGTAGAGATATTTTTCTCGAAAACAGAATTATTTTCTACATCTGATCACGACCTAATATTCTTCACAGTAACCCCATTCTTTCCAGGGTCGAGCCTCTGCTGAAAAAGCAACGACATGCAGGAACTAGTGTCAAACATGATGCTTTTTCATATTTCAATAAAATCCTTCTGTTATACAATATACAAATCCGAACATGTATTTAAGTTTTAGAGGAAAGGGTCCAATATGTGTTTTATATAATGAAATAATTTTTCAATCTGTTTTTATATTTTTTAATTGGGTTAATTTTATTTTTTATAAAATAATTGAGCTATAATTTTGTTAATTTTATTCGTCCAGATTAACATAATTAGTCATACATCCTACTTAATATTATAAAAGAAAAATGATGACTTTGGTTAAATTGCCTCATTTCATCAATATTAATTAGTTAAATTGCCTCGATTGCTATAATTATCGGATAGTAAAATTAATCTTATAATTAATGAAACAAACAATCGATAAAAAAAACTCTAATACAAAGAATTTTTTAGTATCATAAAAGAAAAATAGTCGAATGTTAGTGTTTAAAAGTTAAGGAACCTCAAAAACTTTTTTTTCTTTCAAATGTAATAACAAAGAACTTGACTTTATCATGAAAATAAATAAAAAATATCAAACTCATTAAAAACTACAAAATGAGATTATTATTAGATAAAAACTATAAGAAAAAACTCTAAAAAAATTTCTATCTAAAAAATTCATCAATTTATTTTTTAAATCTCTCAAAACTAAAAATAAAAATTTTTTTTTATCAAAAGACTTAATAGTTAACTAGTGTTAAGTTAGAAGTTAGCTATTGAGTGTTTTAGTAAGAAAAATATTATTTTATATTTGAGATATTTAAGAATAAATTGATGGGTTTTTTTAATATAAGATTTTTTTAGAAAGTTTTTCTTGTAATCATCCCTACAAACTAACAAGTTATCTTATAAGTTTTCATCGAACATCACATATAACGACCATAGTTTACCTAACTATGCAACATTTGAAATATCTTTTTTCCAATTTTAATCATTAACGTTACCTATCGTTTCCTCACATAAATCTAAGGGAACGGCATGTTTTGGCAATATATTTTACAAATAAAAAAATATTTTAATGTAAAACTTTTTCTATTAAACAAATTTTAAAAATTTATGATAATTTATGACGTAAAAACTAAGAAATTAATAAAATAATAATAATAACATATTGTGATGATTACCTATAATTATTGTAGTAACTGCGATGAATATGGAGTTTATAACTATATTAGTAGAATGATAATAATAGTAATTCTCTATAAGATGATGATAATTATGATGGTAGAATAGTGACAACGACAGCATTACCGTGATGATAATGGTAATAATTACGGTTAAAATAATAAAATGATTAATGTTGGTAGGATTTGAAAATAATTTTTAACAAATCAAGTCAAATAAGTTTAGATTTATTATAAAATATTTTTCCTCGACACAGGAAAAAAAAAACAGGGCCAGTTTTTAAAGAACAAACAACCCAATACGTGGGCCACTGGTTAGTTTGTATCGGAAAAGATCTGCACTCGTGCCACATCAGCTGCCAACTCAGTTATGTAATGCGGAAGCAGAGGAAATGTGAGAAAAATAGGGAAGAAGCAAAAAAGGAAAGAAACAAGAAGGAAAAGAAAAGCGATGGCAACTTAGGTGAAGACGTGAACGTGCGAATGTACCACAAACAAGAGGCAACTACGAGAAATAATAAAAAATAACGGCAAACTTCATATTAGTTCCCCACTTTAAATAGTTTGTTGATTAAATCTCTAACTGTCAATTTTTTTCATTTAGATCCCTATTTGTGACATAACTTTTTGCTAATAAATCCTTTTATTAAAATAATTGGAGAATGTTGTACGTAATAGTCACTTTTTTCCCCCAAATTGATCATAATTTTCCCAATTCTTACACATAAAAATAGCCAAATATTACTTTCAATCTAAGACAAATTGGGTTGGAATAAATTGATATCACTTACATAAGTTAACACTAAATATTTTACACAAAAGATTCACTAAAAAATAAAAAAAAATCATCTATCAAATTCTTATTTTTCAAGATTTTCAATAATTAGACATTGATTGAAAAATAAAAGTGTGTATATATAAGAATTAAAATATAGTCAATGGAGCATAATATATTTATACTAATTGAGATACATTGAGCAATTTTATACTCTAACTAGTACCTACACATGTGATCTTCCTCATGGAATGAGATTGAAAATTGAAAATTATATGTTTAAAACTTAAAAAAATTAGGGTGCACACGTGATCTTCCGCATGGAATGAGATTGAAAATTGAAAATTATATGTTTGAAACTTAAAAAAATTAGGGTTAATTAGAAAACACCATATTAACAAGGGCATTGTTTGGAGCAACCTTTAAATATTTCTAAACAAGAATTCAATTAAGAAACGTTTATAGATGGGGGACCTAATTGATAAAATCAGCAATTGGAAGACTCAATTGAGAACTATATATAGTTGGGAGACTATGAGCTTACCAAAAACAGAAAAACAGAAAAATGTTTTTGTTTTGTTTATTATATTTTACGCTCTTAGGAAAGAGTATATAATAAGTAAAAAAGGAAAAAAAGAAAAAGAAAAAGAAAAAAAAAGAAAGAAAGCTGAAAGGGACAAAATCTGAAACCCTAACGCCGAAGAAAAAGAAGAAGAAGCCTTCGAAACTGAAGGATCTTTTCCTCATCAATTTATTGATTTTAACGAATTTTGTTACAGCCATTAGACTCGTCTAGTTCTCTTCTCCTTTAGTTTCTTGTCGACATGCAGACAGTTAATTTGATTTAAGAGAAAAAATAAAAAAAAATAAATAAACGACAATGGCGTCGAAAGGTCCAAGGTCTAAGCTTGATCACGAGACTAGAGCTCGGCGTCAAAAGGTTAGTAGTTAGTTACTCTGTTCTTTTATTTTATTCTGGGCAGTGAAGCCGTGATGTTTTTTTTTTTTTACTTGAGTTTGAGAAGCTAATTTCAACATTTTATACTCTTAATTTTGAAAAATAAGTGATCTTACTTAATTTCTATACAACATTTAGGGAAATTTTATGGTGTTGGGTTTTTGAATTTTTTATCATTTATTGATAAATGGATTTGTAGGCACTGGAAGCTCCGAGAGAGCCGCGGCGGCCTAAAACTCACTGGGATCATGTTTTAGAGGAAATGATTTGGTTGTCGAAGGTAAGTCATTGACTAGTTGATTGATGCATACTTTAAAATGAGTTTCCTTTTTTTTTTTTTGTGCTAATTAAATTGATACCTACAGGACTTTGAGTCGGAGAGGAAATGGAAATTGGCGCAAGCGAAGAAAGTGGCATTAAGAGCCAGTAAGGGCATGTTGGATCAGGCAACCAGAGGGGAAAAAAATTGAAGGTTCTGATTTCTTATTTTTTCTATGATTTTTTTTTCTTTTATTTGATGCGAAATTTCACTTGGTTAAGAATGGACTGTTTTCATTTAATTGCAATCAGGAGGAGGAGCAGCGGTTGCGAAAAGTTGCTCTTAATATTTCAAAGGATGTTAAGAAGTTCTGGGTTAAAATTGAAAAGCTGGTAAATTTATCTATTATTGTTTGATTCTCCATCAACTTTTATGTTTCCTTTTTCTCTTTGGAAATTTTACAAAACTGTTTCTGCAGGTACTTTACAAGCATCAGATGGAGCTTGATGAGAAGAAGAAAAAGGCACTTGATAAGCAACTTGAGTTTCTTCTAGGACAAACTGAGAGGTGTTTTTTGTTTTACTTTATTCTTGTTTCTAACATTGACTGGGAACTTTGCCCTAGTAATTATGTTTTGTGGATTGGCAATTGAATCTGCACTTTGTGTTGCTAGGTACTCTACAATGTTAGCAGAAAATCTAGTGGACAAACCATCAGAGCACCATTCTGCACCAGATAAATTGAGTATCGCATACAAGGAAGGAGATGATGCTAATGCACCTGCGCAAGTCAACGATGGTAAGCAGAATCACTTAGTTCGAATATATAAAATTATTACTTGGAAAAGAGGCAGATGTTTTTATCAAATGTTTGGCACAATTTTTTAGAGCCTCAGTTGGATACTGCAGACGATGACCAAGAGTATGATGTGCAATCAGAAGATGAAGTGGTGAGTTTCCTTTCATATCTCTTTCATTTTATGCAAAGTATTTTTCCCTTCCATTTTGTACTCAAGATGTAGTTATAATGTTAAAATCCTGTTTGTGATCAAATTAAGGCTGGCCTATACTATCTGTTATTTTATCTGCTCATTAATGCCTGGGGTGTTGTTTATGGGATTCTACTACTAGGAACCTGCTGGAATGGAATAAACTTATCTGTTGTTTATATATCATGGTTGAATGGTGAGATTCTGTTTTGGGAATACCTTGTTGCTTACTATTGACCTCAGGTTTCTTCTGCGAAGCCTTAGGTTGTGAGCTAAAGAGTTTGTGGGTTGTCATGGTGATTCCCTTGTTTGTCCAACATTTTCAATTGGTATGCAATTACTGACAATCTCGTTCACTGATATTGTTCTAGGAAGACGATGAGCATACTATTGAGGAAGATGAAGCTCTTATTACTGAAGAAGAAAGGCAAGAAGAATTGGAAGGTCTGCAAAATGAAATAGATATTCCACTTGAGGAGCTACTCAGCCATTATACTGTAGAGAGAGGTAGAAAGCTGTTCTAATGATTTTTCTTTTTAATTTTGGGAGATGCTATTTTCCCCTCATTTTTTGTTCCATTTGCTGAGTTATGCTTGCTGTCTATGGTGATGACCACTTAAATAGAGTGATATATGAATTGATGCAAACCTCTTGTTAGATAAAGGCTCTCTTTCCCTGTCTGCACGCACATGTATTTGTCTAGATGGTCTTGTTCAACTATGTTTCTTCTCTGCTATATATCATTCCATTGATTATTTCCCCACCTGTTTTTCCAGGTAGCAGAGAGAGTAGTGAAAATGGAGCCAAGCCATCTGCAAATGGGGAAGATCATTGTGAGAGTAAGCTGCTGTTAATGAGTCATTTCTATAGCAAGCAATTTGATTGTCTGATGCTATTTTTTGGTTATATGTTTTGCAGGGAAAGGAAAAGATATTTCTGCTGCTAGTGAGATGGAGATAAGCAGCTCACCTGTTAATACTGGTCGTCGTTGTGTAAGTTGTATGTGTTTATGGTTGCCATTGTTGAATTACCAAAGTCAGCTAAAACGGTTCATCATAATGTCTATTATCTAATAATAGGGTGAAAATAATGGTGCCTTGCCCATTCCAGACAATGATTTATCGGAAATCGGGACAGATGAAATCAGAAATCAGTTAAGTATTTCTGAGGATCCAGCCAAAGAACACGTGCCTTATGATTTCAATGATGAACAGGTAAGATACACACACACACACACACCAGTCTCTGAACTTTTCACCTTCATATTCTATTTTGTCCTTTCTACGTTTCCAATATCTGATTATGAGAAATTTTATTATCATGCATAAAGAAATACATACACGTGCAAACAATCCATTTCTGTAGATTTTAATTTGCCATATAGTTTTGTTTTCGTCAATTTGGTGATTATTTGGGAAAATAAATCAATTAACAGTCATGCAACTAGAACAAGAATTTGACTTGGATCTCAATCTTAGAATCATCACTTCCATCTCAACTTGAGAAGCAAATATTTGATGCTCGAAGCTTGATCACAGTAAAACTATTTCAGAAAATTAGCTGGGAATGTAATGTGGAGACTGGACAGAGGAGGTTATTGGTGATGGAATAAATAAATTGGTCGAAACTGAGTTTTTTTTTTGCATTCATAACATTCATGACTGTCAACAAGCTGATTGCACCTGTTGTTATGATGTGAATTCAAAAAATGCCTTTATATTGCTGTATAATGGAAATGGAACCCCAGGATCCTGTTAAAGATTGGTGTAATGGCTGGTGTTTAATCATGGTTGAACCCATTTTAGGGACTGGAGTAATGAAAGTAGAGTTGATGCCTCTCCCTAAAATGCTGTTTGCAAAGAACTACTTGATTTCCTTTCTTTTCAGCTATTCTTATAAACTTTTTAGAATAACAATGCGGTTTTCAAACTTTTTTCCCTTCACTGCTACTGATAAAGCCAGGAATCTCACCTATTTCTTTTCCTTATGGAATTACGGGTTGCAGACCTGATCGACTGGGACTAACCATATCTAGAAATTGCTTAAGAGAAGAAAAGAAAAACAAGAAATGGTTTAGATTTGTAGGTGAAACCCTTCTACAAAGATCATCTGCTCTGATCTTCGAAAAGGAAGGCTAGTGTAAGGGAAGCTTGGTCTCATTCCCACAGTCACCCCAATATATATAATAATAATACTAATAGTAATAATAATAATCTGCTTTGTTATTTCAGAAAACGGAAACAAATAACCGAAAGAAGGAAATCAATTAGTTATTAATCAAAGTTTGTCTGCGCCAATTTTAATTCTTGCATTTGTTTTACTTACATATACCAGACATGAGCACATCTATGAAAATATGAATATTTTTCTCTTCTTGTTGTGCGAAGTTTGAACCAAGTCCTGTTTCCTGTGTTGCATTTGCTTACCTTTGCAAATCATGGTCAACTGTTGAAAAATAAACTTTTTTTGACCCTCAGTCATATACAAAATCCTTAAACCCCTGTTGTGTTGATGCTGCCATTAGTTCACTGCCTTTTTTTTCTTTTAAAATTTCATTGTCAGTGTTATAATTAATGGTGTCATTTATCTATATTTGATATTTATGCTCACTTGTATCTTCTGTAATGTAGGAAGATGGTGATTTTGATCTTGCTGCTGAAGAGGAAAAGGTATACGTTAGATACGGTATAGTCTTTCATGTAGTTATGATTCTATTTTTACCTTGTTTCCTGGTTTATAGGCCCCCACCACCCCACCCCCCCCCCCCCCCCGCAACTTGATTTTATTTATTTATTTTCAATTGTGAATTTATTTGGCCAAATGCAAATTCAATACAACCATTTGTAATTTTACATGGGATCAATGAACCTTTGAAGTACCTTTCCTGTTATATATTGGTTGAAACTGGAAAGAATGATTTTAGTTAGGGAGTTGATATGGCAGACTTTGATATAGATTTGTGTTTTTCTAGGACCATGCCTCCTGTTGAATGCAGGTTACTAGGTTACTATACCTTCTGGAGAGCTGTACCTACGTCCTTGCATATTGCTTTGCAATCACAGTATTTCGTTATGAAGTTGACATAACTGCATACTATTATTTTCAGAATTTCTTAATGATTGCTAGGGTAACAGCACTGTTTAAAAGGCTAAACCCATATGTGTACCCTGTGTTCTGTGATTAAACTCTTATGTAAATAACTTGATCGATCCAATTTTGATCAATCATGCACAATTGAGCCAAATTTATAAATATTGTAATATTTTTTTGTCATGGCATTTTCCCCCTTCAAATGTTTTACATGGCACTAATTTGACATGTCAGAGGGTGCTTTAATTGCTTGTATCTAATCAAAGGTGAAAGTTATGAATAATAAAAGTTTGAAATAAAAAATAACCAAAGTCATAGGGAATACTGTATGTTTTTTAAAACCTGATAAGTTTGTGTCATAACAGACTTACACAAACAAACTGATGTTAATAAGTTGGCTATTCTTAAAGTTTGATTGACCAATTGATTGAATTTTAAGGTTTGACTGACCATTTTATTTATGTCGGGGCTTATTGAAAGTGACAAATGTAATAGGGGCTTAATTGACATTGGTTTGAATCGTTTGAAATTGATGAATTTAGGTTTGATTGACCAAGTTATTTATGTAGGGACTTAGTTGATGAATTTTGGATAACACGAGGGCATACTTGTTAATTTAGCCAATTTTAAACACATCCTACTTTGCATGGAATTTATTGTTAATGTGAATAATGTTATTTTAATCGTTTATCTTTTAATTATTTAGATGTAATTATTAGGTCCTCTTTCTCTCACCAAGTTTTAAATAGAATAATGTTAATGTGATCAAGTGAGTTCAGATAGTGCAATTTATGTTTATGCTCACTTGCCATGTTTCAGATTTCAAAGGCTGATATTTGACTATGATTTGTCACTGGCTTCAATGTTCAGGATGACGAGACAACCTTGTTGGAGGAGGAAGAGCTGGCAAAAGCAGACTCAAACAATCCCATAGATGAGGTAAAGGACAATGTGGATGTATCATATTTTTTTGTCTTCCATATCCTTTCATTTTAGTGAAGAAATCCATGGTTCTCAACAAAATTTTATTAGAATTTCTTTTTTTCCTTGCTAGTTTAATTGTTTATTTTTAATCAGTTTGCCTGAGATAGCTGCTAATTCACAGATCTCATTGCTGCACAAGGAGAGTGAAATTCCTTTGGAAGAATTGCTTGCAAGGTATACAAAGGTGGGTTAAGGAATTGCTTCTGCACAGACCTTTTCCTCATATTGTATGTTGATTTATTTATGCTATCCATGTCTTTTTATAGGAGGCGAACAATGAAGTTTCAGAGGATGAATCTGAATATGCATCTGTATTATCAGACAATATGTCAAATCCCCCAGGCCATGAAGATGAACTGAAGCAGTTGGATAACTCAATGGATGGAATTGTTGAACAGGGGGAGCATCCCCTTGTAGAAGAACAAGAAAAGGGAAATGAAAAAATTTCAGAAGAGGGAGGGGAGAGTGAGAATAGGATTGCTGATGCTGCTGCTGCTGCTAGATCTGCACAGCCAACAGGCAATACATTCTCAACAACCAAAGTGCGTACAAAGTTTCCTTTTCTTCTTAAGTATCCTCTTCGTGAATATCAACATATAGGCCTCGATTGGCTTGTTACAATGTATGAAAAAAGATTAAATGGGATTCTAGCTGATGAAATGGGGCTTGGAAAGACGATCATGACTATTGCTTTGCTTGGACACCTGGCATGTGAAAAAGGAATATGGGGTCCTCATCTGATTGTGGTTCCCACAAGTGTCATGCTTAACTGGGAAACAGAGTTTCTTAAATGGTGTCCTGCCTTCAAGATTTTAACATATTTTGGCAGTGCGAAAGAGCGAAAATGCAAGAGGCAAGGTTGGCTGAAACCAAACTCCTTCCATGTGTGCATAACAACATACAGACTGGTTATACAGGATTCAAAAGTCTTCAAGAGGAAGAAATGGAAGTATTTGATATTGGATGAAGCTCATCTGATAAAAAATTGGAAGTCTCAGAGATGGCAAACGCTTTTAAACTTTAATTCAAAAAGACGTATCTTATTAACTGGTACACCTCTGCAGAATGATCTCATGGAACTCTGGTCACTGATGCATTTCTTGATGCCCCACATCTTTCAATCTCACCAGGAATTCAAGGACTGGTTCAGTAATCCAATAACTGGGATGGTAGAAGGACAAGAAAGAGTGAACAAAGAAGTTGTTGATCGTTTGCATAATGTTCTCCGTCCGTTCATCCTCCGTCGACTGAAAAGGGATGTGGAGAAGCAGCTCCCCATGAAACATGAGCATGTCATCTATTGTAGACTTTCAAGGAGGCAGCGTAACTTGTATGAGGATTTCATTGCTAGTGCAGAGACACAAGCTACACTTGCCACTGCCAACTTTTTTGGGATGATCAGCATCATAATGCAACTTCGTAAAGTTTGTAACCATCCCGACTTATTTGAGGGTCGTCCAATTATTAGTTCTTTTGATATGGCTGGTAGAGACATCCAATTGAGCAGTTCTGTTTGTTCAATGCTTTCACCTGGCCCATTTTCATCGGTAGATCTCTGTGCTTTGGGGCTTATATTTACTCATCTTGACTTTAGCATGCCTTCTTGGGAGTACGATGAAGTAAAGGCTATTGCTACTCCTTCAAGATTAATCAAAGACCGTGCCAACCTGGATGACATAGAAGAAGTTGGACCTGGATCTAAACATTGGAAGAAGTTGCCTGGAACAAATATTTTTGAAGAGATTAGAAAGTCATTATTGGAGGAGAGATTAAGAGAAGTGAAGCAACGGGCAGCATCTATTGCATGGTGGAATTCCTTGAGGTGTCAGAAAAAACCCATATACTCAACAACCCTGCGAGAACTTCTCACAGTGAAGCATCCCATCCATGATGTCCATCGCCAAAAAGTTGAGCAACGCTCCTACTTATACTCCTCTAAGCTTGGCAATGTTGTTCTTTCACCAATTGAATGGTTCCAGAAGATGATTGATCTTGTCGAATCATTTATGTTTGCAATTCCAGCAGCACGTACCCCAGTACCTGTCTTCTGGTGCAGTCAGACTAGAACCCCTGTGTTTCTGCATTCAACTTACGAGGAGAAATGCTCTGAAATGTTGTTGCCTCTTCTTTCACCTATCAGACCTGCAATTGTCCGGAGACAACTATATTTCCCAGACAGGCGTCTAATTCAGTTTGACTGTGGCAAATTGCAGGAGCTTGCAATTTTGCTCAGGAGGTTGAAGTCAGAAGGCCATCGGGTATTAATATTCACACAGATGACTAAGATGCTTGATATTTTGGAGGCTTTCATAAACTTGTATGGTTACACTTACATGCGCTTAGATGGATCCACTCAACCAGAGGACAGGCAAACATTAATGCAGCGTTTCAACACGAATCCCAAAATTTTTATCTTCATTTTATCAACCCGTAGTGGGGGTGTTGGCATCAATCTTGTTGGGGCAGATACTGTGATCTTCTATGATAGTGACTGGAATCCTGCTATGGATCAACAAGCCCAAGATCGCTGCCATCGAATAGGACAGACACGCGAAGTACATATCTACAGGTTAATCAGTGAGAGCACCATTGAAGAAAACATCTTAAAGAAAGCCAATCAGAAGCGTGCTCTTGATGATCTAGTTATACAGAGTGGGGGATACAACACAGAATTTTTCAAGAAGCTCGATCCTATGGAATTATTCTCTGGGCATAAAACACTTCAGATTAAGAATATGCAGAGGGAGAAAAACCATAGCAATGGAAATGAGGTTTCTTTGTCTAATGCAGATGTGGAGGCTGCTCTGAAATATGCAGAAGATGAAGCAGATTACATGGCATTGAAGAAAGTCGAACAGGAAGAGGCTGTAGACAACCAAGAGTTTACTGAAGAGGCTATTGGGAGATTGGAAGATGATGAACTCGTGAATGATGATGATATGAAGGCTGATGAACCTATAGACCATGAGGTGGCAACTTGTAGTAAAGATGGCACGGTGAATTTAAATGAGAATGATTGCATTGAAGAGAGAGCTGTCACTTTTACTGGCAATGAAGATGATGTCGACATGTTGGCTGATGTCAAACAGATGGCGGCAGCAGCAGCAGCTGCTGGACAAGCTATCTCATCCTTTGAGAATAAGCTACGTCCAATTGATAGGTACGCGGTGCGTTTTCTGGAATTGTGGGATCCAATTATAGACAAAGCAGCCTTGGAATCTCAAGTTAGGTTTGAGGAGGCAGAATGGGAGCTGGATCGTATTGAGAAGTACAAGGAGGAAATGGAAGCTGAGATTGATGATGATGAGGAACCACTGGTGTATGAAAGTAAGCATTTTTTTTTTGGTGCTAGTTTTTCATTAAATGAATCGAAATCTACAAATTAGTATCCTTTTTTACTTCTACAAGTTAGTAACCTTTTTAACTTCTTTCTGAGAAAATTGTAAGTTTTTTTTTTTATCATTAGACTTCATTGCAGAGCATGGGGGCAGGATATAAAGATCGAACCCTTGTTTTTCTCATTTTATTATTGTAAGGTTTTTTTATATCATTAGACTTCATTGCAGAGCATGGGGGCAGGATATAAAGATCGAACTCTTGTTTTTCTCATTTTATTTGTATCTATTTTTCTTGTTGAAAATCATTTATAAAACTGGTAATTTGGGTTTCGAGACTTTGCTTAAACTAAATTTTATAGTGAATGACTACATGGCATGTGATATCCAGTTTCCATTGCAGGGGACATATTTAATAGATTGGACCATTTGAATTTTTTTAGGATAAGCAATTTTTATGTTATGCGTAGTGCCAATCATTAGCAAAGGTGGTAATTTTTTCCCTTATATCAGGATGGGATGCTGATTTTGCTACTGAGGCATACCGACAAGAAGTTGAGGCGTTAACTCAACATCAGGTTAGTGAGTTTTGTTTTATGCTGCTAATTTTGTTTTCTTTAAGATTGTCTTAAAGCTTATCATTATTGTATTTTTGTAGTTGATGGAAGAACAGGAAGCTGAAGCTGAAGCTGAAGCTAATGAGAAGGAGGGTGCAGATGATGGACATTTAGATGCTATGGTGTAAGGCAATTCTGAACTTATTGTGAAAATATTCTGCTGGCTATCCAACTTTATTTGTTAAAAAATGAAGTTAAGGTGTTCTGGGATGAAGGTTAGCAATTAGGTACTTGGATTTTTTTTTTTAGGTTTTAGATGGCTGAGGGCTGAGGAGTGTTCTGTTACTTAATATTCACTAATCTTTTATGGCAGCATGTGGCTTTTGGAAGTGAATGTCCTAGTATCATTAAAACTTCACAGAATCAGTGGATATTTACTATTGAATGCATTACTAGTGTGGGAGACACATGTTGCACCATGGAGGTCTCTGGGGCTCAAACTATTGCAATGACTATATAAACTGCAAATAGTTAATGCTGAAAAATATGAAAATGCTGAGTAGAATGGATGCTTCAGTATAGATTGGGTTTTTTGTTCATTTATAGTTCCACCAAGACATCGCTTAAATGGTTCTGATATTAACCTCGTTAATAAATATGGAGAAAATTGGAACTTGCTTTCTAACTGAACTATTTAGCTCTCCATCTTGAGATGAAACTAAATATCACATGAGGGCGGGAAAAAGGAAGCCTTGTGCCACATCCTTGTTGCATGGGTAGTCTTTTGGCATTAAGAATTAAGCAGGCACTGTTCTCCTTACTTTTTATCAATCTGTCTAAGTATTCTTTTGGTAAACCTAGAAAAGTCTTTCTGCTTTATTGTCTCCAGTTGTGGGTATTTCTTGGTTACACCTGAGTGGCACTTTTTTTTTCCTCCAGATCAATGCTCAGTCAATACTATGTTTCATTTTGGCAGGTATAAAACACCACGTAATCCTAAATCAAAGTCTAAGAAGAAACCGAAGAAAGCCAAGTTCAAATCTCTGAAGAAAGAATCTTTGACTTCTGAACTGAAACACCTGAAAGAGGAGGCATCAACAGAAACTTTGTCTGTAGATGATGATGATGAAATATATCTTGATGATGGTACATATTCAGATACTATGTCTCCTTATTCAAGTGTGCAGAGGAAACGTAAGAAAGCAGAATCAGCAATTGGTACTGAGAAAAAGAGGTCAAGGAAGAAGACTAAGAAATTCAAAAGGGCTCCTGAAACGTGCCCTTTTAATGTAGATTCAGACCTCTCTAGAAAGCAGCATGACAGATCTATGGAATTAAAACAATATGAGGTTGTGGTTTCTGATCTTGAGCAGAAACCTGTTAGCAGGAGCAAAATGGGAGGGAAAATCTCCATCAGTACCATGCCAGTGAAACGGGTTTTGATGATAAAGCCAGAGAAGTTGAAGAAGGGGAATGTTTGGTCGAAAGACTGTGTTCCACCACCTGATCTATGGTTGCCACAGGAGGATGCAATATTATGTGCTGTTGTACATGAATATGGCCCGCAGTGGAGCTTGGTTAGTGAAACTCTGTATGGGATGACTGCTGGTGGGTTTTATCGGGGAAGATACCGCCATCCAGTTCATTGTTGTGAAAGATTTAGGGAACTAATCCATAGATATGTTTTATCTTCTCCAGAATATCCTATTAGTAATGAAAAGATGAGCAATATGGTCTCCGGGAAGGCCCTTCTCAAAGTAACTGAGGTAAGTTTGATTTCCTTTGCATTAAACTGTGTTCCATGTGCTGGAGAAAATAGGGAAAGAAGATTGCTGAGAATAGGAAATGACTCGAGAAAATGTTCATTTATTTAATCAGACTAGCTAATTGAAACTATGCTTATTTGCACTCTTGAACCCTGATCCAGGCATTGTCCTGCAGAAATTAATCACATTAGTCAGTAATTCTAACAATTGATTAATGACAGTTACTGATTCTTGGATTTGCTATCCTTTTTGTTTTCGTTTTTCATTCTTTTTTTTTTTTTTTTTTTTTTGGTTTTATATATTTGTATTGGTGCTCAAAAGGTGGTGGTAAGGAAGCAGCCCCCTCCCTCAACCACCACCACCACCACCACCACACACACACACACAAAAGAAAAAAAAAATGCTTCAATGAATTGGTACTTAATAATATTCATGATGGGTTTGGGATTTCTAGTGTACCATTGAATAGGATGCAACTCACGCAAGTTTCATGGTGATTAATAACAGTAAACTGTACCAGCCTGCACAACCATTATCTCCATAACTGAGGGCACATGCACGCACACCTACACCCACACCTGTTTCTTTCTCAGAATAATCTAAAGTGGATGGCTAATTTAATATATATATATGATTATTTTGAAATTACCACTCCTTAAAAAATGCCTGCTGCACTTTTTACTTGAGACTTTCAGTGACTAATTGATTTTAATGAATAATGATAAATATCACAAGATTACTAGAGAGAGCAATAATTTGGTAATCCTATGATGAAATACGTTAGGCAATAAAGCTTGTGCTGATCAATTTTTCGTTGCATCAGGATAACATACGGATGTTGTTAAATGTTGCTGCTGAGAAGCCAGATAACGAGTTACTTCTCCAGAAGCACTTCACAGCGCTGCTTGCTTCTGTGTGGAGGGTGAAATCTCGTGTTGACCATCAACAAAACTTGTCATCATCTCGAAATGCTCTTTATAATGGTGGAAGGGTTTTCAATTCTTCTGTCAATCAGTTACCTTGGAATTCCTCGAAGGAACCTGCAAAAAGAATGAAATTCACTAATTTGGGACAGAGTACCAAGTTGCTGGCGGCTGCACTTCATGATGCCAGCAGTAGAAGGCCGGATGATAGAGTTTCCTATTCCAACTTGAGCGAAGAAGCTCCTGCTATTGATGAGCAACTGGAAGTAACATTGGAATTCCAAAAGGAGGAAAACGATTCCTTGACTCCATTCCCACCTGTAATAAGTTTGTCAATACCTGGCTCAGCACCATGGACGTCGGTAAATAAGGATAGAGCTGCGGCTCACCATCTCAGGCCATCCACAAGTATAGCTGAAAATAGATTCAGGTGTGTTTTCTTGCTATCACGAAGATCACATTTATCTGCTTGTATGGTATCGATAGTCACTTTTCAAGTCCTGTTTGATGACGTTGAAGATAATGGCTTTGGCAGCATAGTATTGTTGAACTGAGAATTTAAGATTTCACTCTTATAATGCATTCAATTTGTTACTTGTACTGGAACTGGGTCGTCTGATTGCCCCTTGTAGCTTTTGTTTTATTCCTCTCCAGCATCTGTAGTGCCTGACTAATCTCTTGATTTTCATGCATTTTATCAATTTCTTTAAATGTCTTAATGCATCTTCTCTAAAATTCTTCGAGATTTGTTTTATTATGAAGTGATTGTATATATCGGGGAATTGATATTTTGATAAAGAGGCCATTGATCATTTACTTCAGGTGGTAACAAAATGAATTCGTGCCATTGTTGTGTGAAACATGTACGAGTATTCGATTCTTTAGTAGCTGACCAAAAATCTTTTCATCCCAGGGATGCAGCAAGTGCTTGTGTTGAAGGCGGCCTGGGTTGTGTTTCATCTGCCTTACCAGCAAATGATTTCAAGTTGCGGCTGGGTTCAAAGATTCAGTCCTTGGGAAAGCACAAGCTCTGTGTCTCTGAGTCAACCAGGCCTCCTAGGTCAAAGATGAAGAAAACTTCGATAGAGCACAGTGAAGGACCCACTGAGCCAGTATTCCAACCACTGTCTGTACTGTCATGTAGGGATCCCAATTTAAGGTTTGACCTACCACCGGTAGTTATTCAGGATGATAAGGATGAATATTCTATTTCATGCATGGAAAAAGAGCTTTCAGTGGAAACAGGGACCTATGAAGCTATCCCATATAACTATGATCCTGGTTTGATATCGGGTCTTGATGATTATTCGTTGTTGCCAGAATATACAGACATTGGATAGGGTAAAACTAGGGAACCAAATATCATTTTCTCGGCATTGGCTCTCATGACAAATGTGTTCTGGTTGGAGAATTTCCTACGGTTGGGCAACCATAACCGTGCTCTTGGGCACATGGTGTTATGGTAGAGAGACATAATGGAATCAACTGCCCATTTACGGGGACGCCAATCAAAGGCATGGTTTCTCGCATGGTGGGAGTTGGTCTGTAAGGAGGAGGATCAGAGGTGGCTCTGCAGGAAGGATCCCCAGGGTAGTGAAATTACAATGTAACATAATTCTTTGAATTCGATTCTTGTTGGGGGATGTGCCAATTTTGTTGGGGTCGGTTAAATTATCAATTTATGGCATATTTCCGCATAGAAAGGAACTAGGGTAGGTCAATAGATATGAATGAAAAATGAAAGGTTGAATCTCTCTCTAAACCCTAACAACTTGCAATTTGTTTGATTCCAATCTTTCAATTAATGGCACAGCTGATTCGCAAGCTTGGTAGGATGTGGGATGGATCTGAGATTCTTGATACCAGATAGTCATTCCAAGCATATGAATTGATTATTTCATATAATTAAAAGGTAACATAAGAATTGAGTTTTATAAATGCAGGTGAATGTATTCGGTAGAAAAAAAAATGTATATGATTAGTTCTTTTAAAATGTGTGATACAAGGTTTTAAATTTTACGCAAGTTCTATTAATTTTTTAAAATTTTGGAAAATGTATTAAAAAATAATTTATAATAGGATATTTTAGTTAAAAATGTGTGTTACGTAGCTAATATTTTAGTTGGATCGATTGTAATGAATATAGGATCGAATTTACTAAATCATTTATATACGGTTTAATTTCTTGATTTAAGACAAACACAAGATCTCTGTAGTACGAAGAAATGCAATAAAAGGTGTTAATGGGATCCGGAAGGAGATTTGTTAGGTTTAGCACCATTGCTACTTTAGCATTAGCCCAATGAAATCCTTCATATATCATAGCATAAGTGGGTGGATGGGCGGGCTTGGATTATTATAATTAGAGAAGGAGTTGAAGGGTCAAGAACCACCACCCTTTTTTCTTAATTATAAAAAAGAAGGCCGAAACCTTACGGAATTACAAATGGATCATAAGAAGAAACGCAGTTCCGCAAATGTCATTTAATAAAAGCCTTAAGCAATCAAAAAGAGTTTTTCTAAGACAGAGAACTCAACCTCTGAAAAAGAGAATAATTAGCTAACTAATTAGTTAATCAATTTGCACATCATTATTAAAAAAATGAACTAATTGACTATGAAAAAAAAAACGATGTCTGATTATTTTTTACTAATAGGTTCACAATCAATTTAGAATCAAATACAAGTGTCTTTTTTCTATAACATTCATTCCAAACAATCTCAAAACCAATCAAAATACTCAAGAATTCAGTATTTAAAATTGAACATGAACCAATATTAAAGGCAAAACTATGACGTCAAGTTCTTAAGAAGTGGTCCTCGAAGCCAATCCATAAGCATTAACTACAGAACCATCCGTGTTAAAAACTCTTACCCAATAACCACCTCGTTCTTCTTAACAGAAAAATATCCAATAGTAGGATGGGCTTTATTACAAGCCATGATATCGTAGCGTAAGATCTAATTAAAAAAGAAAAAAAAACGATTATAGAAATACTTGGCTCATGGTTGAAAATGGTCTCATTCCACCAAAGAACTCCTACAAGACACACCAAACCAAATGTCCTCACGTATTCCTCCTGTCAGGGTAGCGGTACAAGAAAGGTTCCGAATTATCCGTAAAGAAATTGAGGACGACATCATTAGCATGGCAACCCATTCACACTAGACTGGTTTGTGGACAGTCCCTTATGACATGCCAGACTATTTCTTTGGCAGAATTGCTAACAGTACAGCCCATTTTATGTGTGTGTGTGTGTGTGAGAGAGTGTTTTTTTTTTTTGAAATTTTAGTCAGGGGTATTTTGGTAAAAATATTTATTCATATTGGAAAATTAATCGAAAAGACATATTAGAAACATAGAGATTATTCAAAAACATAATAAATATAATTAAAAATATAAAGATAAATTAACGACTCAAATTATTATATAAATACAGATTTAGCTATTTATTTTAATTGATAAATTGAATGACTGTTATTAACTTTGATATCAATTAATATTATAAAATTTAAAAGAAAAGATCTACCAACTCTAATGCTTATATATTAAGTATTAAAAATTCATCTTTATAAACATTTTTTTTTTTTTTTGGAATACTTTTTCTTCACACTACTCCATCATATGTCAATTGTTTATACTCTTTCAGATCAACCCTAACCGTCATTCTAGGTTAAGGCTATATATATATATATATATATATATATATATAATGAGATACGATATAACTATAACAGATACGCCTGAGAATATTATATTTAATAAAATACCTTTTAATTAAATAAAAGTAAATAAGGATTAATATGATAAATATATTGATATCAAATCGCCAGGGGAGCATGTATGTAGGTGTAGCAGATGGTTGAAAAAACAAGTATTTCTTTAAAATAGTATCAAAACATCAAAGTTACAACCGAGGCTCTCTCAGAGCTATTATAATTGTTAATTGTTTTCTTTCTTAGCTTCTGCTGCCTTTTCCTCAACATTCTTGATTTGTTCTTTCTCTGGTTCAGCTGCTGGGGCCTCAGTCGCTTGCTGTTCTTGGTTCTGCTTAGATGAAACTTCCTCTGCCTTGCTTTCCGTAGTTGTTTCCTTCTTTCCTTCACTCTGCAAATGCATTAAAATCCATGGCTTAATGCTAGTTTAATTCATGTAATCATTAACACGTGTGTTTGGTAATGCAGTGCAGAAGTTTTAACGTTTTAACAAAAAGACGTTTGGCTTGAAAAGGCATTACATTTATTGATTTTTTTATAAAATGGTTTCGATATTAGCATGTGTGTTTTTTTATCCTCAAACCCAGATTAGACTAATCTCTCCCTAGATGCATAAAACGGACAAAGTTATCTAAAGAATTTTTTAAGTACACATGACTCAAATAAGAGACCACTTACTTAAACAATTAAAGCTCATTCCGTTCAAGCCAATCATTTTGGATGACATTAGCATATTAAAACCATTAAAAAGCACTTTAGAAACGTGAATGTGATGTTTTTTTTTCAATTTAAATACACCTTAAAAAAGCATTTTTAATAGCAAGACAAATGATGACATTGTTCTTATTGACTTGAGATCAAACTAATTCCCATCTATATCATGCATGCATGGTGGTTGAAAAATTAAGGAATTTTTTTATTTTTAATCTCAATATTTCTGGGTCATCGCTATAAACAACATTGAATGTTGAGAAATTTATATGTTAAGGTATCTAAGCAGTACCTCGTTAAGCAAGGATCCAAGGGACTTTTTGTCGTCATCATTCTTTTCAGCCTTCTCTTCTTGATCAGCCTTTTCTACAGCCTCTAGCTCAACCTTCACAGCTTCATTGTTCTCCACGGTTTCCTCGACGGGAGGCTCAGGAGCTGGGGCAGACCCAGCTTCTTCCTTCAACTCCTTTGGTGCACTAGCACAGCCTCCCATATTTGATGTTCTGAAAAGCTGAATTCTCTCCCTTTCTTTTTTTGGCTGTTGAAAGGAGAGAGAAAGCAAATCAATAATGCTTTTATTTTGAGTTGAGATGGAGAAAGCTTTGGTGTTTAAAGACTTTATATAGAGAGTGGAATGTTCTTTTCTCTCTGTAGTAGCTAGCTAGCGTGTTTCTCTCCATGGCTAAGAAAGATTTTAGGTATAATTTTCTGAATTAGTTCTCAACAACTTGGGGTTGGTGTTCAGAGGCTGTTGCTGTCCATTCTTATATATTTATTGCACATAATTTACCACTTGTGTTTTCCTAAAAATAGACCGACCAATTTGCTGCATTTCCAGCTCGACATTACTTTTCCTGTTTGAGGCTTTCGGCACACCTTTTTTTTGCGCTGTCTGTCTATTTTTGTAAGGGCACAAAGTCGTTTTTGTTCTGATGTACTAGTCGTTTTTCTTACATGAAACCAACTTCTGGCAGTTACCATATTTATGTACTTGTTGATTATTTCTATTTCAGTGCCCATGTATTCCTTCTTCTTTTTTCCCCGTTGAAAGGTTTTTGGAGTAAATTATAAATTAGTTCAACTTTTGGAAAAACAAATTAATTAGTGTTATCGATTTCAAAATCTAATTATTTAATCTTTTTTTGTCTATTTTATGTTACTTCTTCATTTGTTTTTTTTTAAATAATAATATGAAAATAGATAAAAAAAAAAAAATCATGAAAGATTGACGAGAGAAAAAAATTAGAATAAAATATTATTAAATTAAAGATAGTCAATACTAATCAAGAGATTAAAAATTAGTTTTTTATACAAAAAGGATTGATTAATTATTTTTAAAAGCTAGAAGGACTAATTTATAACTTAATCAAGATTTGTGTTACTATTTGAACTAGACATTAGAGCATTGATATATTTATTTTAAAAAATTTATTAAATCATTATGCAATAAAAAGGAGAGAATAAAATAAAAATTAACGCAAAAATACATATCTATTCTTAAAACTACAACGCACAAACCTAAATCAAATCAATACATTTATTTAGAGATTTATATGTCAGAATTGTATTAACAAAAAAAAAAATTAAACCAAAATATCGGTTTATTATTCATTGCATTTTTTAAAAAAATATTCATTTTCATCATACAGTGATATTTTTCTAGTTTTCAAACTTTATAAGATCATTTACATTAAAAAATTTTGTGGTGTTATACTTTAGCCCTTTCCAACCATTATTTTTTCGATCTGAAAATGTTTTTATTTTATTTTGATTTTTTTGTTTTATTTTAATCACTTTGGTTCTTTTTTTCTTTTAATTTTTTTAATTAAAAATTTTAAAACAAAAAGATTAAAAAAGTAATGTATAAAATAAATTTTAACTAAGAATCTATTGATTTTGACTTTTTGTCTTACATTATTATAATTTTTTTTAATTAAGAATATAGATAGAGATAAATAAATAATGTCATATAAAGAATAATCAGTCAAATACAAAATTTTGATTAAAAAATTATAAAATTAAATGAATTTTTATATAATTTTAATTCGATATACTTTAATAGATGCATAATATAACATGTGATATCAAACTGAAATAATTTTTTTAAAATAATTTTATATGTTTTGTTCCATCGAGGACCTGCTCTGGACACCTTTTCTACCTCCATGCCGATTGCCATCAGATTCAATATATATTATCGTTGTAAGCTTGTCAACATGGCAAGAAGTGCACGTCGATGATTCATGCTCTGGAGTCTGGCCTGCACTGCAAAATAGATGTTTTCTGTAGTGAGGCAAACTAATCACAAAATCGACTAAAAAGAAGTATATAGCACATGATAAAAACGGAGATGACCGGTAAAATACAAGGATAAACTGGGTCAATTTACCAGATTTTTTTTTCTTGAGATAAAATATTCATATGATCCTCAATATACCCCACTAGTTCACAGTTTTTTAAAGCTCTTGTTACTAAATCCCTTAACCCCTTTCTGAACCTCATAAGAAGCATTCCCTTTAAGTAGTTGGAGATTAAATGTGATATCAGAAATGAAAGAGGCAGGTTAAACTTTTGAGATATTTGTCACGTACCTATCTAATACTTGATTTTCCAAAGTAAAGAGGAGTGGGAGCTATCAACAGCATATTTTAGTTGGGACGATGGAATTCCATGTTCTGATAACTTCGAACTCAATCGAGAGAGCAACTCTGTATACCGTGATTGTTTTCTCTTCAGCACTTGGATATAGGCATTCAACCCAAGCCATTCAACTTCTCCATCCTCCAATTGAAGAATTGGGAGGAAACAAGATCCAATGAGTATAGAACGCATCCTTCTCTTTATGAGAATATACATATACCTAGTAGTCAATAGTCAATGAACTAAGAGAGAGAATAGGGGGTGATAGAGATAAAAAGGGATTAAAAAAACCCTAAACTAGTCTGGGTCCCACGTTCAGAAACTGAAAGAGACCATGTAACAAAAGAGCCATTTGTTGGTATTTTAATAACTAGCCTACTTTGGGCATGACTAACAATTGGATCCCAGTTTACCAAAGAAGTGCATATGAATAAACCAAGCTTCATGATACTAATTTCAGCAACAAAAAAGAACGCATGGGAATAGATCCATACCTCAAGGACCTTTCAATCATGTTTGCATAGAATCTTGCACTCAGTTGGCAATGGAACGACATGTCAGAAACATAACAATGGAACTTCATTGCACATAACAAAAATGCTTGGTAGATGTTTAATCTGACAACAGGTGCTGAGTTAATATTAGAATCGAAGAATATGGGATGGCACTTTGGTCTCATGAAGTTGCACAGCTTCCTCTCTAGATGTTTACAAGGTTCACCTTGCCAGCAGACAATAAGTGTAGACTTTAAATGGTTATTCAGATACCTGTTTAATAGATTAAACAAGTTATTGCTTGAACACATTAAACACAAATATTGACTCATTGAGACCTATAGAATGTATAGCAACAAGTTAAAGTGATAAGCGTTATACAAAACATGCTGATATAGAACCGAAAGGGAAAAGTTCCATGAACAAGACGAACCACACCTTAAACAAGAACATAAGAAATCCACCTCAAAACACAAGAGGATATCCATCTCTCATTGGTAACTCCAGTGCAAAATTTCATCAAAATAACAGTTTAACACATAATACAGTCTTAGGTACTCTATATGAGTGCCAGACCCTAGATTCTTAAATAAATTAACAAGTCCAATCAATACCTTATCAAACTAATTAACATCAATTTCTCTTACACAATTCAGTTCACAACACTATGTGTGTGTGTGTGTGTGTGTGTGTGTATCATTTTTTTTTTTTTAACAGGAAAAAAAGGATCTCTTTTGAGTAATCTTATAATAAAAATCTACCTCCTAAAGTAAGAACATCTTTTAATAGTCAAATACTGTATACATCTTCAACAGATTCTTCATCCCATGCAGATTTATTTGGACCAATTTACAAGTCGAGAAACAAATCTCAGACTCAGTCTCTGGGGCTACAGCTCCAGCTATGAGCTCATGGCAACCAGTATAATTACCAAACCAAAAAACACCACAGAAAAGACAAAGTAAGCATATGGGATAAGACCCATCCAGCAAAATCCCTAATAACTAACCTTGTATAATCTGCCTGGACTTCTAAAGTGCAAGAGTTTAGAAGTAAGCCACTCCATCGAAGAAAGGAGATACCATCCTCACCAACATAGAGCTTTTTTGACTGAAGCCCTGATACATGTTCAGTATCAAAATTAAGACAAAACTTTTCCTCATTCATGAAGCAGTTGTAATCCCAAAAACCGCTCCGTAACTCAGAGAAAAGGCCAGCAGCCTGCTTTTCAGATGTTGATACAAAAAAGAAGTCGTCAATAAACCTGAGAAGCATGTAATGAGGGGGTGAGACGACTTTATCCCTACTGTCACTTTCTACAGCAGAAGCATCCTGATTGCAATGTCTTCTAGATAAATCTTCAAGAAAAGGAAAGATCACATTCCGTTCGAGATGCCCATAGTATAATGAGCAAAGCAGAGAAGACAAAATGCTTCCTTGTGGTATACCTTGGCCTTGCAAGTAAAACTTGTCATCAAACTGAAGAACATTGCGCTTCACATGCTCAGTGAGATTGAACAAGAGCTGTTCCTTTTTCAGATACCTACCACGCCCCTGCAACATGATCAAGCAGAGTTAGCTTTTGACAAGAAAACAATTCCACATCAGTAGAATCTCTATACTTCTGCAATCAGGCCAACCATATACGTTAGAATAAGTGATTGGTTTATTGACCAGTTAATATAAACGAGATCCCACCATCGAGGCTATTTGCAGAAAGGGACTCAAGAAAAGTGAATCAATGAGGAAAGTGCATTAGTGTCGAATGGAATTACTGTTCTCAGGGGCTCAAATTAAGTAATGCAAGAGGTAATTTAAGAAACTGTACACTTTATTCAGCACTGAGGGATCAATTCTGTTGGCAAAAACTAGTACAACTTTTCTATTTGATGCGGTCAATGATGCGTGTGTTAGTGGATCTCTCCTCTTTTATATTTCTTCCAAATTTGACCTATCTAGGATTTGGTTTATTACGGAATATTAGCATATTTAGAATCTAGGATATTAATTAGGTGTTTTTATTTATGTCTGTTTTCTTTTCCTACTTAGATTTCTATTTCTCATTTAGTTTAGCACAAGTAGGGTTTTTAATGTTATAAAAGGAGCACCTATTCTATGTAATCATAGGACTTTGAATAATGAAATTTGGAGTATTTTGGTGTAGCTTGAGGGTTGGCCTTGTGTGTTCTCCCCCTTTTCTCTTTTCCCTTCCTACAGCAACCTCGGTTGTTGTTCACTGCTACAGTAAAAAATCCTCCTAAAACATATCCTTAATCCATTCCAATTCCACATACATCAAACCCTAACCCGAATCCCTATCTAAAATCCCTAATTCTCCAACCCTAGCCCACCACAAACTCTTTGTAGGGCACAAATTCAAATCTGTCCAACATTACATTCATCTCTCCTTTCTTTCTGTGAACCATAAGTTGAGTTTATGGTAAGGAAACTGATTGGGATGAACTTGTTAGACCAAAGAAAGTATGGGGGAAAATTAGCAATATTTTGAAGATTGGGGAGCGATCTGTAAGTTGAGGACTGATTTGTAGCTATCCTTCTTTTTATTAAATGACATGTTAAAATTAAAACTAATAGACAGAGTGACAGCCGTTGTTTAATTAAATAAAATACGGTTCAATTGACTCGATTAATAACATATGCTAAACTAACAGATGGCAGATAACATAAGGGCCAAAAATAGGTTCAAGGACCAAAACTGACGCAGGGGCTAATATTTTAGTACTTCAATTTTATTATATTAGCTGTTAGACATGTTCCTATATATGGATGGCTAGAGCCTTATAAATTTTCTTTACATGTTTAATCTAGGACTGGGATTTAAGTTCCTATTGTAACCCTACTATAAATGTGCTGTAAACAGATTTAACTAAACCCGACGTTTTAAATAGAGTTCCAACTTCTATCCTACTTGTTTCTAGCCTAGTTCTGCTGATTTACTATTGTTTCTTCCTAAGCTAACTCAAAAACACTACAGTCAAAATAAAAGCTAGACATTACTCCTGATATTGAAAATTACCAAAATACCGTTATCTTCTTGGGGTGGTGAAATTACCATTTTGCCCATGCTTACAGAATCACTTATGACTCGAAAGACAGCCCCAAACCAAGAAATTTACCATAAACGTATATTCCATACACAAAAGACCTCTAGAGAAATTAAAGGCTAATAAATCTTGCCTTGGCTCCAAATTCCACCCTAAGTATAAATTAGCCACTTCAATATATATATAAGATATATTAAAGTTGTTCAATTTCTTTGTGGACCTGACAAGTGGAAAAACATAATTGGAGGGTAACTTAGTTTTTTAGTATAATTGGGCACTTTAGCAATTGATTAACAAATATACTTGAAGTAATTGAGCTATTTATTGAAGGCTTTATAACTATTAGTGTGTGATGGGAGAACTATTGAGAGATGATTTGATAAAACCAGTTTCAAAACTACATATGTAACACAATATTAATCAAGAAGCAAGTAGGCTTCCACATTTAATGTAGTGTAGGCAAAAGACAATAATTATGAGACAAAGTACAGTTTTCTTTTAGCTACGAAAGCCAAATACTCTTGAAATTTACACAAAAGTTTGCTTGTCAATAACTTTGACACTGCTCCTGCAACTAATTTTATTGCAAGGTTAACATTGTTCCAAAACCTTGCACTAGAATAAAATTTAATAGATTAAGAAACAAAAAAAAATATATATAAGTTTTAAATAAATCAAACTTCTAGTTTAACTGAAAAAGAGAGATGCACATCCATGATATTTTTATTTAGTGCTGGCCATTTTATTTAAAAAATAATTTAAAAATTTAATATAAATTTTATTATTACTTTTGGTTTGGCTGTGATATAAAATTATGGTGCGAGAATTACTATTAGTAAAAATTGTCCTTAACCATTTTTATTATAACTACATCGTTTGTTGTTGGATTTTTTTTTTAATTCTTATTCTATATAATGAGTCAAGTTATGCGTCCATAAATATATAACTATATGCGATTAAATTAATAATAAATGAGATAATGGTTAACAGCTGAAGCAACTGAGGCTTGGTTCGTAGTATGGGGAAAAAAATCTGGCCCACATGTCCCAACTCCCAAGCTACTTGGCAATGCAAGGAAAGGTATCTAGGAGTCTTCCTACTATTAAAGAATGGAATGAAATATTAGGTCAGTGGATAAAAAGGAATTGAGAGAAGTTACTTGCATCAATAACTTTAAAATGGTATTTGGGATGTCCAGGGAATGAAAGACCACTTGAATTTTGCAAGGGACAACAAGCATATAAAATGAAACAGAGGTTATAGGTTTCAAAAGCAAACTCAACTCAACTCAACTAAACCTCAACCCAAATCTATTTGCAGCTGGTTAGATGGATCTGATTCCTCCACTTACTTCTTGACATGTATTCATAGTTGAACCTAAATAATTAAGTTGATGAAAAAGAAAAACAGTAATAAAATACATTAGATTTAATTAAAGAATATCGAAAAACAGAAGAGGCACTCAAATATAATACCTGATTAACAAGGACAGCATGCAATGAACCAGAGCGGATAGAAGAACTAAATCTTGTAAAAGCAGTGATGATGTTTTGATCTCTTGACATAAGGCGCTCATGAGCCCACAAAGATTTCTTAGTGCTGACAACTTGATAAAATCGCTTTAGAAAATATTGATCCTCAAATATGACATCTTCCATTACACAAAGCAGTTTGTCCTGATCTATGGAATCAAATGCTTTGGATACATCAGAAACAACAATGAACACATTTGGCATCATAGTCGATATTTTTTTCAGATCGATTACAAACTGGCATAACTTTCGGTAGATACCATTATAGTCAAACACTGATGACCCTAACTTTTCTGGTTCTTTCAACTGTATACCTTTCAAAACAGCATGCGTATCATGAAGAAAACTATTTACAGACTTAAAATGTTCACACTTGACCGCCTTACTTACGAATTGTGCTTTTTTCTGCATTCCAAGTGAGTGAAGTTCAGAAGTGGATTTTTTAGCAGGCATTGTTGATGATGTTTTAAGATTTGCTATCATCCTTACTCCATTTTTCTTTGGAAGCAGCCTGAGCTTTGAGAAACCAAAAAACCTACAGCCTGCAATACTTTTGACACTGGCTTCATCCAAGCACTTATAGTTCTGATCTTTCAAACAAGAAATGGCTCTATTTCTTAATTTCTTCCAAATTGACTTCTTATAATAATATATTTCATTTTTCCCATGCTCAATTTCAGTGACATAGAAGTTGGCTTGTACCAATGGCACAACCAGAAATGAAAAGAACCAATATATCCATTTCTGTAAAAGTAGATGTTTCAAATCATTTACAGCACCATTGCATTTATATAAACCTTTATGCAAGCCTGCAGTCTGCCCTGGCACATTATTCAGCATTTGAGTATCCAAGCAGCATGAATAGTGTTTATCTGACAGAAATGGAAACTCAGAAGCCTTCACTTTATGCATACATTGCTTTAGTGAGAATTTTTCAAACTTTCTTAGCCAAATAAACTTGGCAATATTTCCCCTCAAGATTCTCTGGTTAACAGTATTTCCTAGCAAATCAGGAGGAACTACATTTCTACAAACAGCCCATATAAATGACACGACCTGACTTTTTGAGCAATAAGATTTTAACGTCACTATCTGAGGATCAATTGTTTCCATACTTTTATCACGGCATTCATTCACAACACCATGGGATTTCCCAGAGAATTCTCTCTCCAAATCATCCCCCTAAAAGAGAATTGTCCACAAAAAAAAATAAATTTTCTCACAAGCAAAAGAAAATTAAACTAGTCAAATACCTCTCAGACTTCACAGAGGTCCCAAGATGAAAACTTACCTCAAACACTGAGTTTGAATTTTCCATGGCATTTTGATTCGATGATGAAACAAAGCAGTGCCTATGCATTAACCTAGAATGCTTGCAGCGTTGAGTTTGCTGTATAAGAATCTTAACCAATTCAACAAGGGAATGGTACCTAGGAAAGGAAATTAACAATAAATTAGCACATTGCAAATAGCAGTCCTTTTTTTTTATAAAAACCGATTAGATTAAGAAGAGAGCCATCTAGTCGATGGCAAAAAAGAGATTAAGAAGTAGAAACATAAGGACTATAGCCAGGCAAGATAACCTTGATGTCTATCCACTCCTTCCTTAGCCAAACTGCATGCAACATATTCTTACATTTTCCTAAAGCACCCATAGTTTAACAGAACCTTCATATTTGTGCTCTAAAGGACTGAATAGCTTCATCTGTCTAGTTTTTGAGCAGGAGAGAGGAATTTGTGGCAGCATACAGTGTTTTCAGATATTTTGGTTTGTTTGGCAAGACAGAAATTTCATAACTGTTATTCTTTTTTCCACAAGTTCCCTTTCTAATCATTAGTTAAATAGAAGGATCACTTGGCTTCCTCTGTCTGAAGCTTTCTGAAGTCTAATGGAGCGGGTAGTAAATGAGATTGGAAAGAACCTTCATATCTGAAGCACTTTCTTGGCTTCATTATGATTCCTATTCACAAAAAAGAAAGAAAAATTTATCAGTGTTGAATTAACATCATCTGATGGAAACTCTGACTCTGAGGAATCCTAGCCCATTGATTGGCTTGAATTGGATCTCAAATCTAGTGAAGATGCTTTAAAATGGGATGAGATGGAAAGTTTCTCCCACAAAAGTTTTGATTTGGTTATTGATGTCATGCCAGATTGCATTTCACTATATAATAATCCATTAGAGATTGTATTAGCATTTGGGATCAATATCATACATCTCCTATACTTGTTTATTCAGTATTGCACCATCCATAGCAACCATGTCAACTCTATTGAGCTATTTGGTAACAAAAGGAAATATAGTGTACTGGTCTTATAGAGAATTACAAAATGGCTTGCAAAACCTCCTTTCCTACCACACCCTTTTGGAGCTTAACAATTTCGAGGAATTGATCTGCATATTTGCTCCAACTAGGCCTATAAACAATCTAAGCCAACTATCTCGTAGTTCAATCTTGGCTCAGCTGGAAAATATCACATTCATGTTAAAGTTTCATGCAGGCATAGTTTGCAGAATGGCCTTCCCTTTATATAATTGTTCTAGATATAATATGGCAAATGGACCCTAACAATGATTAAATAACAGAAAAAACATCCGACTCCATTGTTACAATACTAACCAAGTCAAGTAATGTCTATTGGGCTTGGTTTATTTGTCCATAGTAACCCAAATGAGGTGAATAACATGACGATTTATGAACATAAGAGGTGGTAAAAATGTTACTAGAAAATCACCAATGCATGACTAAGAAAACCAATTAGTTAAGACAATTCTTTATACTGCAAGAAAATATTGCATGTAAAGCTTGACTCACAGGCATGTGGATCCAATGAAACAAAAGCCTTTGCTGTAGGAAAGTGGCATTGATGGAGCATTTACATCTTCGTCAGAGAAGCCAAACATACTCTGAACAAGAGACTTTGAGCCAGCCAAATTAGGCTTTGAGCACTTCAGTACATCTAAATATCATTAAGATTACACGATAACTAAGAAAACAAGAGCAGAAGCTACAAATTCACAAATTTAACTTGTACCATTTTTTGAGGAGGGAAAAATCTACTTTGAAACAAAAGCACATGATTGTCCCACATAATAGCATTATTAGGTAAATTAATCGCAAGGAATTATATACAAACAATTTGTATACAGACTGAAGAATTTTAAATGATAGCAATTAGATTTCTGAACAAAAGAAAATCATAAAGAAAGAAAACATGTTTCGAAACATACGAAAGGATACGTGTTTTTGGAAGCATTGATGAATAATGTTTTGAATTATAGAATATTGGCCGCCTATCAATCTGGATACCTTTCATGACTAAGTGGGGAGATTGTAGCACAAGTCGACAACAGCATTGTGGAAGGATCTGCAGATTACAACAAAAAAAAAAAAAAAAAAACTGATCAAAGAGAAACTATAAGAAACTAATTTGAGGAAATCATCAGTACAAACCCTTGGAAAATAGTTATAACCAAACATGATCTTCAAAAGAAATTACCTTTCCAGGACTGTGGCTTGAACTGTTGCTGAATTCAACTGGAAGCCTCTCAGGTGAGCTGCCTTCATTTATAGAACTCATAATGTAACAAGTCTTACCACCAGTTTTTTTACCATCCATAGGCCTTTGCTTTTTGCGGCGCTGCCACCCAAATGGCTTTCTGGATCTAAATTTAATCCGATGCAAGTCTTGAAGTGTTTCATTTGAATGCACTTCATTGTTGCCGGAAGCCGCTTCAGTTGTTTCAGATAAACTCTTTCTCTGATCAAATTCAACAATAGGATCTGTCCTTTCATAACTTGGAGATGCATCAATACTGCGTTGCCGTCTTTTAAAAATTAAGCCAGCAGCAGCATTATCATCCCAATCCCTCTTCCTCTTGGGCCCTGAGTACAAAACCAACAACCAATACTTATTTCAAAAATACAAGTCTCAAAAACAAGTAATTTCTCAAAAATACAAGTCTCAAAAACATGTAATTTCATTACAAACAATGTGTGTTCTCAAGTTACCAACAAGACAGTGGGGAAGCGCTTTCTGCTGAGACGACTGGAGGACAAAAATAGTGATAGGAGGACCTGCCACCTGTTGGTGTTTCTGCCTAGGTAATGGCAAAAATATTGATGCATGCTTCAAAAGGTAACTCATAAATTCATCTCCAACCCTTTCTAGCAGAAGGGACCAGGCTGAATTAGTTAGAAGCTCTGCAATGAAGCTTGAACGATGATACTGTAAAACCAAACAAGGAATTATGATTTTTTTTTTCAAAAAATAAAAATAAAAATAAAAGTACTAGTACTTGTTCTTGCCTTGTCATAACCGCTGCATAAAATATTATTCGACATAGGTTGTTCTCCGATTAAAGATTCAATAGTCCGAATCACAATCTGAGGTTGTGGCCATCTATTTTCAAGATCGAAGTGAGCGATAGGAGGTGCATTGCCGCTGAGGACGACGTAGCTGTCTTTAAGGAGCTTCTTGTAATCAGCGGGATCGTCAGCCTTGCACAGCACAAATGATGACGGAGGATTGTTGATTAGGGATGTCACTGTGTTGCTTAGGGTTCGAGCTCGCTGTCTGAATACTCGCCATAAAACCTCTGGGACTCTTCGTTTCTTCTTCTTCGACATTTTCTTTTTCTTTTTCCTCAAGAGTGTAGTGTTTGGGAAGTTTTCAGGGGAGAGGAATTATGGCGGGGGGATTTGGTCTTAACTTATTTTTTAGGTCCAGTTTCGATATGCCCTAATAAATACTATCGTTCTCAATTTATCATTATATTTTATACTATTATTTTTCAATCCATAGATAGTCTCACCTAAACAAAATAAAAGTACCTTCATTGAGAAACTTCAACATTTATTATAAAAAAAATTGAAAAAAAATTAAATGATACTTTCTCGTACCAAAAGATTGTTTTTTTTTAAAAAAATATTTGTCTGAAAACATTTATCTAATCAAAATTTTTAATACTGTATTTTTTAAAATATTCTTATTTTATAATACAAATTTAAATTGAATAGATTTTCTCTTTAAACAAAAAAATATTTTAGAAAACTACGGTTTAAAAAATGCTAAAATAATAATTTAATTAATAAATTTTTTAAATTGTATGGAAAAAAAACTATCACTTCAAGTCAAAGTAAGTAGTATATTTCAAAATTTTTTCATATTTATTTTTTAAATAAATTAAGTAAAATTTTAATAGAACATATAAAAATATTTCCATCACATTAGATGAAAAAAAAAAGACAAATTAAACTAATTCTTATGGGCACTCCTTGTTCAGATTTGCAGCAAGGTGAAGGTAATTAAATAACAAAATTTTATTTTTTTAGTTACAGATACTCTTATAGATTAAGGTTAGAGGTGCTAAAACTTTTCAAAGAATTTTTAAACAATAGATTTTTTAAATCATGAAAGTCAATTTTAACACGTTGTGACACAATCACAATTACGGGATGGTTTGAAATGACTAGTAAAAAAAACAACCGGAAGCTAGCACATGATTTATAAGAAATTTTAGTAAAAGTGTAAATATCATATAATTTTCCAATTATTATGCTGTAAAATTAGTTGCAAACTGATATAATTAGTGAATATTTTAAATTATTTTTCTTAAGACTATAAGCCCGAAAATATAAAGGCAAAAGTAGAATGGTTTACCTCAAAGAAAGGAAATAAACAAATCTATGATATTGTGGTGATTAAATGGATCCCATCCGTTAAATATATGCAGAAAACAATGTTTTTGAAAAACACAGGCTACAGTTATGTTGAATTGAACTAAGAAATCAAAATAAACATGATTTACAAGCGAATATATATGTTTCTGTTTAATATGATTCTTCATCACCACATACTTTAAATAATATACAACCAAATTACATTTGGTATGGTAATTAATTCCGTGGTAGCCATAGCAAAGCAAGGCCATCCTGCAAGTTAATAATGGAAGACGAGCACGGTAACCAGCACGAGAAAGAAGAAGAGCTTACACATGCAAACACAGTATGCCATGGGCATAAGCACCTTTGGTTTTAACTTCTATAATCACCTTCAGAACATACAAGCTAAGAACACACCCAGAAAATAATTTTCTTTTGACGGTCTCACAAAGGACAAGGGAAACAGGCAGCATTCTCCAATAGAGAATTTGATGATGTTCAAACCCTTAAAGCAAAGAGAAAGAATTCAGGAACCACAACCTGACCTGAAAGGTACTTGCCAACTTATCTGGATTCCAGCAAACAAAACCAAGACATTTCAAGCAGGTGCAGAAACAATGTGAGAATAAGAGCCCTCCATCGAAGAACAATATGAGATTTAAGGAGAAAATAAAAATACTGGACAGCCGGTGCAATTCATCAAGAGCTTCCAAACAAAATGCCACACGTTTATGGAGAATCGAACCCTTCGACCAATATACCATGCAGAACATGAAAACTAGTTAACTCTAGATCGCTTGCCGCAGCCCAAAAGAGACTCAAATATAAAGTTTAAAAATTCTGTCCAGTTAGCAAGAAAGAGACCCAATCAAGTATCCAAAAGGACCATAAATAGCCATGCATCCTGCCAAAATGTTAAAAATATTAATAAAGCATGCACCGTTAATTAAGAACTAGCAGGCAACTAGTACAAGAAGAAAAGTAATTACCCTCTCTTTTGTAAAATAAGATTTGAAAACAGAGTAACCAAAACAGTCATATCCATTTAAAACAGTAACTAATCCCCAAGTGACAAGAAGCAGATCCCAATAGTAGAACCCACACCATCAGTACTCCAAATGCTAATTTGACATGAAACTATCTTCAGCACTTGGAATTTCCTGTACACAAAAGTCAACCATAAAGTGGGCAATGGTTTTGCAACTGCCTACACATAAAAGAAAGGGAACTCAGAAGCAATGATGGCATTCAAAAGAGAATGAAACCCAACTAAAATGTGCATAACAAGCAAGCATAAGGTCCATTAGACCAAGAGACAGAAGTCAGCATTTTTGGAACACAAAAACAGTCTGAATATTCGCACCAAGTTTCGCACTTGATGAAACTGATCTACTAGATTATCCAGCGAGACAGTGACAGAGACAGCACATCTGTGATAATTAACTTAGACATTTTGCAGGCAGTAACAACAACATCTCCAATTCATCACCTGCATGAGGACACATATTCAATTACTACCATGCTAACTGTGCGAAAAAATGACAGTTAATTACTAAGTATCATACCTCGGTAAGACGTCACTCTATCCTGAACGGAACCCTGAAGAAGCCCGACGTTCATAGGGTCCTGAACGATCACGACTATATCGATCAGCTCCCGAACCTCCACGACTACCACCATCCCGATTACGCCCACCAGATCGATCTCCATTGCGATCAGGGCCATAGCGACTCCCACCACTGCTTCCACTGCCAGAATATCTCTCATCTCTGCCACCATACCTACCACCTCTTGCCCCTTCACTCGGACACTCCCTAGCAAAATGTCCAGGCTTGCCACACTTAAAGCAATCTCCACCGTTAGATCCACGTCCACCTCCATAGTCACGATTCCTGTCACGATCATGCCCACGGTCACGATCCCTATCACGGCTGCGGTCACCATCAAGATCTCTGCTTGAACCTTGCTGAGGCTGGGCTTTATCGACAGTGATAGTTCGCCCATCTAAATCCATTCCATTCATCTCTTCAATAGCCTCTTCCATTGCTTTTTTCTCATCAAAAGTGACAAAGCCAAATCCACGGGAGCGTCCACTGAACTTGTCAACCACTACCTAAACCATACAAGAAAAAAAAAAGCAAATGCTAAAATATAACCCACAGAGTTTGTTATGCTATTTCCAGCCCATCTTACTTTAACATCATCATCATTTCATGAAATATAGAAACAGATTGTATTCATCCAGAGAGTTTCATGATTACTGCTTTCTACTAATTATACAAGCTTTACTGATTATCATGACTCATGCAATTAGTTAATAACTCATCAATTTCAGCAACCTCCTCTCCAAGTACAAAGTGTTTTTTTTTTTTTTTGTACAAAGAGAATGATGGCAATAAATAGAGGAAGAAACATGGTATAAATAAAGAAGATTCGACAAGATTCAAATTCAATTATCTTGTTCAACGTATATAATGAATAATGAACAGAAAATAAAAAAGACCGACAGAGAATCTCAAGGAGTAATTAGTTACCTTTGCTTCAACAAGATGACCAAACTTTTCAAAAGTCTCTTTCAAACCTCTATCAGATGTGGACCATGAAAGGCCCCCAATAAAACAGCGGTACTCTACCTCTTCTGACATGATCTCAACTGCGTTTATTTTCAGAAAAAAAATAACATCATAAAAGTACACAGTATAATCAGTTGAAAAAACTATAATTCAACAGGTTCAATAATAGCAATCAGTTAGATAAGAAGAAGTAGATGTGCGTTTTCATCTACAAAAAAAGAAAATTAATCAAAATAAGAAAACAAACCCTAAATCCATTAAACTGCTTCCAGGAGTACATATTTCTAGATCTCAAACCAAACAAGAAAAATAAACATAGCAACATTCAGCAAGGAAAGGATGGAATCAACTTACAGCGATTTTACTAAAACCTTAAGAGAAGGAGACGAAAAAATTTTTGGGGTGAGCAAACCCTAAAGGGGAGAGATGAGAAAAATAGAGATAGAGAGAGAGCCGTAAAAGAATATGAATAAACGAAGTGGTGAACATAAATAGACGAGGTGGACTTGTGTGGGAACGCAGTCGACTTGAAAAAGGAAAAAATGGAAACAGATTTAAAAACAAATATTGGTGTTTTTCGGATTTAAAAAAAATGAAAAAAGAATTTATTATTGTACAAATAATCATAAAATAATAAATAATAATTTATTATTGTACAAATAATAACTTTTTAATAAATTGTTAGGTAGAAATATTAATTGACATTAGATATGAGAAAACAATTGTGTTGGTACGGTTTGATTTTATTTCAAAACTTTGTTTATTCTTTTTGGATACTTTGTTCGCAAAAAATTATTAATTATTATTCTTTTATTTGCATAAAAATAAGATTCATAAATAGTTATGGGATTAGATTCTACTTTATATGATAGGAGAACAATACATAAAAAAGTATCTTATAATTTCTCAAAAAATGATATATTTAGTTTAACTTTTAGATTCATATCTTATCTTTGTAGTCAATTAATATTTTTCTCAAAAGCTTTGTTCTAATTTTATTTTTTGTTTTACTGTTATTTTATTATCATCAATTTATGTGGATAGATTTTTGCTGATATTTTACCATAATATTTTTATTTTGATTAATTTTTTTGACAATAGCAACTCATTTTATAAATTATAATTTTTTTACCAACGCGTGTGTATATATATATATATATATATATATATATATATATGAGTTTTTTTTTTCAATTCGAGTCTATGTTTTTTTTTTTTTTTTGCCACAAAACATGGGATATTAAAATAAAATGAGAAACTCAAATAGATAAAATTAAAAATCATATATTAAATTTATAGTTTTATCTTCTACTCGTAGTCAATAAATAGCTATACTAATATTTGTATGGTAGGATCCCTCTCTAACCTATCTTTATTATATTTCTAGTTGTACCGATTTAATTCATAACTAAATATTTAAGCTCTAACAAGGTTTTTGGTAAAAAATTTCCATCTATATTAACAAGCTAATAAAGTATGACTCGTAATTTAAATTTTAATAACCAAATTACCCTTATGGTTAGCGACTCATGTATCATGTAAGAAACACGTGATACTATCTATCTATAGAGGTGTGCAAACGGTTCGGTTAATCGAAAATCGAATCAAATCGAATCGTATTAAGGTATTTTATTCGGTTTTGAATTTAAAATTTACTATTTATAACCGAACCGAAAAACCAAAATTTATTTCGGTTCGATTCGTTTTTTTAAAAAAAAATTGGTTCAACCCAAAAACCAAAATTTATTACTTATTTGAGTTATTTCTATTCCGATTTAGTGATTTCGGACATTTAGTTTCGAGTGTTTTGCCATTTCTCTTCTCATTTCCAATTCCAAATAACCAAAATCGACAAATCCCTAACCCTAACTCCATATTCCCTAAGTCCTCGCTGTCATTGGCTCGTTGCCTCGCTGTCGCTCCCTAACTCCCTCGTTGCCTCGCTGCCGTCCGTCGTTGGCTCGTTGCCTCGCTACCGCACTGCATAGTGCCTTAAGTCCCCGTCGCCGTCGCCATTATCATCGCCGTTTGGGCGTTCTCTCTCGGTCTCTCTCACTCTCATATTTGGCGGTACTAATGTACTATTATACTCGGTTGTTCACTTGTTTGGAGTTGGAAAGACTAAAGAGTTCTCTCGTTGTAACTTATAACGTCGTGGGCATATTCCGAATTCTCTATAATGTTTTTATTGTAATGTTGTATTGTTGTGGGCATATTATGATTATTCTCTATAATGTCTCTACTGTAAAGTGTAAACTTGTAAATTATAATGTTGTAATGTTTGGAGTTAGAAGAACTCCCGTTCCTTCCCTATGGCTTACCGACTAGTGAATTGAGATTGAGTAATTCAAGGACTTATGTAAAGTTGTATAACTTATGTTTGCTAGAATAAATACAACTAATACAATTATACAAGATTACAAGTGATCGAAGTGAGCAAGTAGCAGTAGGCCTACCGCAGATCGCCTACTTGCTTGCCGACGGTTGGCTATCGCCGGCAGCCGGTAGGCCTACCGGTCGCTAGGGGTGTGCAAACGATTCCGTTAACCGAAAACCAAATCAAACCGAACTCGTATTAAGGTATTTGGTTCGGTTTTAAATTTAAAATTTACTATTTATAACCGAACCGAAAAACCAAAATTTATTTCGGTTCGATTTTTAAAAAAAAATTGATTCAACCCGAAAATAAAAATTTATTCATTATTTGAGTTATTTCTATCCGATTTAGTGATTTCGATCATTCAGCTTTAGTGTTTTACCATTTCTCTTCTTATTTCTAATTCCAAATAACCAAAATCGACAAATCCCTAACCCTAATTCCCTATTCCCTAAGTCCCTCGTCGTCGTTGGCCCGTTGCCTTCATCGTCACTCCCTAACTCCTTCGTTGCCTCGCCGTCGTCTATCATTGGCCCGTTGCCTCGCCGTCGCTACATAGGCCTTAAGTCCCTCGCCGCCTCGTTGTCGTTGTCGTCCGGGCTTTCTCTCTCGGCCTCTCTCACTCTCGGATTTGGCAAGTACTAATGTACTATTATACTCGGTTGTTCACTTGTTTGGAGTTGGAAAGACTAAAGAGTTCTTTGTTGTAACTTGTAATGTTATGGGCATATTCTGAATTCTCTATAATGTTTCTATTGTAATGTTGTATTGTTGTGGGCATATTATGATTATTCTCTATAATGTCTCTGCTGTAAAGTGTAAACTTATAAATTGTAATGTTGTAATGTTTGGAGTTGGAAGAACTTCGTTGCCTTCCTCGTGGCTTACCGACTAGTGAATTGAGATTGAGTAATTCAAGGACTTATGTAAAGTTGTATAACTTGTGTTTGCTAGAATATATACAACTAATATAACTATATAAGATTACAAGTGATTGAAGAGAGCGATGGCGGTAAGCTCTATCGCAGCATCGCCTACCGGCTTGCTTGCAATTGGCTCTAGCGCCGGCCCGGTAGGCCTACCGGCTGCTAGGGGTATGCAAACGATTCGGTTAATTGAAAACCAAATCAAACCGAACCGTATTAAGGTATTTGGTTCGGTTTTGAATTTAAAATTTACTATTTATAACCGAATCGAAAAACCAAAACTTATTTCGGTTCGGTTTTAAAAAAAAATTTGATTCAATCGGAAAACCAAAATTTATTCCTTATTTGAGTTATTTCTATTCCGATTTAGTGATTTCGGTCATTTAGTTTCGGTGTTTTACCATTTCTCTTCTCGTTTCCAATTCCAAATAACCAAAATCGGCAAATCCCTAACCCTAACTCCTTATTCCCTAAGTCCTTCGTCGTCGGTTGTCGCTCTCCGACTCCCTCGTTGCCTCGTTGCCGTCCGTCGTTGGCTTGTTACCTCGCTGCCGCTGTATAGGCCTTAAGTCCTTTGCTACCTCGCTTGTCGTTGCCGTCCGGGCGTTCTCTCTCGGTCTCTCTCACTCTCATATTTGGCGTGTACTAATGTATTATTATACTCGGTTGTTCACTTGTTTGGAGTTAAAAAGACTAAAGAGTTCTCCGTTGTAACTTATAATGTTGTGGGCATATTCCGAATTCTCTATAATGTTTATGTTGTAATGTTGTATTGTTGTGGGCATACTATGATTATTCTTTATAATGTCTCTATTGTAAAGTGTAAACTTGAAAATTGTAATGTTGTAATGCTTGGAGTTGGAAGAACTTTTGTTACCTTTCCCGTGGCTTACCGACTAGTGAATTGAGATTGAGTAATTCAAGGACTTATGTAAAGTTGTATAACTTGTGTTTGATAGAATATATACAACTAATACAACTATACAAGATTACAAGTGACTAAAGTGAGTAGTGGCGGTAGGCTCATCGTAGCGATCGCCTACTAGACTTGTCGGCGGTTGGCTCACTGGTCGCTAGGGGTGTGTAAACGGTTCGATTAATCAAAAACCGAATCAAATCGAACCGTATTAAGGTATTTGGTTCGGTTTTTAATTTAAAATTTACTATTTATAATCGAACCGAAAAACCAAAATTTATTTCGATTCGGTTCAGCTTTTAAAAAAAATATCGGTTCAACCCAAAAATAAAAATTTATTCCTTATTTGAGTTATTTCTATTCGATTTAGTGATTTCATTCATTCGGTTTCGGTGTTCTACCATTTCTCTTCTCATTTTCAATTCTAAATTACCAAAATCGACAAATCCCTAACCCTAACTCCCTATTCCCTAAGTCCCTCGTTGCCTCGCTGCCGTTGGCCCGTTGCCTCGCTCGTCGCTCCCCGACTCCCTTATTGCTTCGCTGTCGTTCGTCGTTAGCTCGTTGCCTCGCTGTCGTTGCATAGGCCTTAAGTCCCTCGCCGCCACTCGCCGTCTTGGTGTTCTCTCTCACTCTCGGATTTGACGGTACTAATGTACTATTATACTCGGTTGTTCACTTGTTTCGAGTTGGAAAGACTAAAGAGTTCTCTGTTGTAACTTGTAATGTTGTGGGCATATTCGAATTCTCTATAATGTTTTTGTTGTAATGTTGTATTGTTGTGGGCATATTATGATTATTCTCTATAATGTCTCTATTGTAAAGTGTAAACTTGAAAATTGTAATGTTGTAA